CCAGGAAACCAGGAAACCAGGAAACCAGGAAACCAGGAAACCATGAAGACACGAAACCACGAAACCGCGAAACCATGAAACCATGAAACCACGAAACCATGAAACCATGAAGCAATGGAATTGAATTTCGGGGGAAAGGGCTTAAAATCAAAAATTTTAGGATCTTAACGCTCCAAACTCACGAGACTCACTCTCAAAACGACGACAAAACGGGGAAAATTTTCGAAATTTGAAAAACGCGAATCCAAGCAGTTAAATTTCAGAGAAAGGGCTTAAAATCAAAAATTTTAGGATCTTAGCCCTTCAAAATCAAAGGACTCACTCTCAGAATGACGAAAAAGGTGGAAAACTTTCGAAATTTGAAAAACGCGACGCCGAGAGATTGAATCTCAGGGAAAGGGCTTAAAGTCAAAAGTTTTGGGATCTTAACGCTTCAAACTCCCGCGACTCAATCTCAAAACGGCGACAAAATGTCGAAAATTTTCGAAGTTTGAAAAACGCGAAGCCAAGGCGATGAATTTCGGGGGAAAAGGGCTTAAAATCAAAAATTTTGGGATCTTAGCGCTTCAAACTCACGGGATTCACTCCCGAAACGACGAAAAACGTGGAAAATTATCGAAATTGGAAAAACGCGAAGCCAAGAGATTGAATCTCAGGGAAAGGGCTTAAAATCAAAAATTTTGGGATCTTAGCACTTCAAACGCACAGAATTCAATCCCAAAACGACGCCAAAACGTGGAAAATTTTCGAAATTTGAAAAACGCGAATCCAAGAGACTGAATCTCAGGGAAAGGGCTGAAAGTCAAAAATTCAGGGGCTTTAGCGCTTCAAACGCACAAAATCCAATCCCAAAACGACGACAAAACGTGGAGAATTTTTGAAATTTGAAAAACGCGAAGCCAAGGCATTAAATTTCAGCGAAAGGGCTGAAAGTCAAAAGGCTTTGGGATCTTAGCCCTTGACTTCAAACGCACGAGACCCAATCCCCAAACGATGGCAAAACGTGGAGAATTTTCGAAATTTGAAAACGCATATCGCTTACGTCTTTGCCTTGCTTAGTTTCTTATTTTGGGGAGGAGGGGGATCCTAGTGGGAGGGATGTTATCGGACGCTCCAAGCTAGTAGGAAATGAATCAAGAGAAAAGTGAACAAAAAGCGTTTTCTTCAGAGATGTCTTCTATCGGGGGCATTGAAGAATCTGCGTGAAGTAAATATAATACAAGTTATTAATTAGTAAAAAATATGCATAGAAGAGTAGGGGTTGGAGATCATCAAGATTCTTGATTACTGTAACATCCATTTGATTCGCTCGGCACCGGTCGAAAATGGTCCGCAGAAAAGTAGGATCGCCGTCGCGAAGCAGGTCCCATGTGGCCTTGGCCCCTTCGGACTCGGCGCTCGCGATTTTCCTTCCTGCCGTCTGCATCTTCGCGGAATGGGAATCGGATAATAAGACTTGACTTGGGCGTGTGGAAATGGAAGAGTGTTTCTCTTGTGCTGTGGAATGTCACAGACCAATTGTTAGGGGTCGCTGTAAAAGAATGGCTGTTCTTCACGCCGTTGTCGTTAGGTCGTTGTCGTCATTCAGCTCTCTCGTAGTTGTCGCGTCGTCGCCACGACGTCGTTGTCGTCGTACTTTTTCTTTGACAACTCGCTGATACAAGTTTGCTCCGTTTCTGATGAGCCACCACAGTCTAACAGAAGCGAAACGAGCAAACCCTAATGAATGGTCAATGCGCTCGTTTTACCTCTGCCTGCTACGGGATGACAGGCTATGACGAGCTAGGCAAAGGCCCACGGAGAGAAGTTGTCCATATACTTTTGTGGGACCAACACGACGTAGCTATTTCGACTCCTCTTCTCTCGCCCCTCTGCTTCTTCTCTACAAACGGGATGGAAACATTAATTGAAGGTTTTATTTTACAGATTAGTTACGATTAGTATTATCCAAAACACAGAGAATTTTCATTTTGTAGGTACCTCACACACAAGGACTCACATAAACCCAAATAGATAGGTCTCATTAGAACAGTAGGGGGACAAAATCAAAAAAAAACACCACTCAAAAATCTAGTTTTTTATCAACGTAATGTATTAAGTCGAACAAACGTTACGACAAGAAAACCGATACCAATCTAAGTAATATCAAAGTTGTGATCACTAGTTTTTATCTCTTCACAAAATCTAAATCTTCACTCGGTTTATTAAGTACATGGATCTACTTAAAATATGTTAAGTATATAATATATGTTCTACTGTAGTTAAATACTTCTTTACAACGTCATTTCACTTCATCAGCTGGGGTCGACTCCACGACTGCCCCTTTAGCTCAAGTCCACTGCCTGGATCACGGTGGTAAAGTACTTCTTGCGAGGAGGTGGGTCCTCTAATTCCGCGTTCTACTACAAGAACTATGAAGGAATGAATGAATGAATGAATGAATGAATGAATGTACCCACTCCAGGGGTATAGAAGACTACTTCACTACTACTTCTTCTTGCATTTGTACTCAGTTTCAGTTAGTAGCTCCATGAATCTACTCAAGAGAATGGTGAGCCGCGAATCTACTCAAGAGTGTCACTTTGTGGTCATTCAATGCACATCTAGCTCAAATTTAACCTGGCCAGGCGGATAGAGCAGTCCTTGGAGGTGTGAAGATCGTATCTTGGTGGAACACGGACACGCTTCATTATCATTTTTCAATTCCATTTCATTCTTGCATGTATAACTACGGATGTAATGTGTTGCACCACCATGAGAAGTATACATAGAGTCTGCTGGAGATCCTAATTTCAACATTTGGGAATACGCATTTCATTGTTTGGAGTCGTGGTATTCTAAAGACAGCATGTTGATGTTCTTCATGGATCGCAGGGACCATTCTGATGCAAATAAACACATGCATTGAAATGCATCGAGGCTAGCAAAGTTGACTCGCACCATACGAAGCCGTGCACTAGAAGAAGAAGAAGAGGAAGAAACTGATGAAGATGCATCACCATCGTATCCTTCATCTTGGTGTGCTTTTTCCGACTCCGGAGGCGGAAAAGATCCGCTGATCGCGTGTAAGGAAAGCCTCATCGAATGGCCTCAAAATGAGATTCAAAACAAAGTTGATATCTCGCAGATCCGGTGCTACCACATCTCCCATTAGCCCGGCTTCTGCCCAGTACTCCGAAACACGACGAGTGCATTCATGATATTTACGGTTAGACTCCACCGCCCGATGTCTTGCGTAGCAGCTTCTAATCTATCAATGAGTATATGTGGGTGCTGAACTGCTTTCTTGCATATCGTGACAACAATGTTAGTTACATCTTTTCCTGAGGATACCCAGGTGGACAAGAACTGATAGAGATAGTGGTAGCATAAGAGGTACTAAGGGTAGTTGTGAAGACTGATGTTTAGATAGATTGTAGTGATGATGAAATAACATGCTTGCTTGATGATCGGACGTAAATTACGAACCATGGCACTAATCATGTGCTTTTTCTCTGCGTAGGAATTTTTCGGCAATGAATAATTCTAGGAATGCACTAATGTGCGAAATCTATCTCAAGAATAAGCTGCTTGTTGAATATTGGTGCTATGACAAGTTTACGAGAAGACTAGTCAGCAAATCTTGCGGTAGCAACAACGGTTCTCATCTTTCCACATGCGTCACCGTTGCTCGCAGACGGCTACGTCCATGTGCTCCTGCTGGTGGCAGCGGCGCCAACCCAGGGGGTGCCGCGCGCAATGATTCACGGACTGGGTTAGAGTATCAACGCGGACACAACCTCTCTTGACGAGTATTGGTACTATTCAAGTAGACAGAGGTGATTATAGCTGCAACGTCATATTCGAAGACAACGAACAATCTTGCTCAACAAGGATGAGGTGACCGTGATCGATGTGTGCTGTTATGATTCCATATCTCCTACACACAACAACATCATCACACTTAACTTGAGGTCCCAATCGATGTACTTCGCCATCCACCAAACCTGCTGGATTTGCCAGGAACACTAGGTTCATTGTAGCATTCGTCTCCCTTAGTACGGCTTCTGGCGTTTTGGCTCGTGTCATTGCGGTGATGATTAGAATGGGTATCCGCCTCCTTGGAGTTGGACCCAGGAAGCCGTATCTATCCAGCTAGTTTTGCGGTAGGAGATTCTTCTACTTATCAGGGGGAACAAATACAGAAATCCATTGTGGACCACAGCTCGTAAATTAAACTCCGAAAAAGCCCTCGTGGTGCCGTCCAGGATGGAGATGACACTACCCAACTCGTCAGGCATCAATTGATGCCTATGCGAGCGGGGCATACCAGGAATCGCAAGTGGCTTCTTCAAATCACTAGGATTTGGAGGCCTCTTTGGTTTCTTTGGACGTGCACCGGGTGTTGCTCCAGCTCCCTTTGAGTTTATTGACCTACTATCAGATCCTCCAATGATGTCTTTGGAGGTGACTCTTTTCAGTTTCAGCGGCATTTCGCGTTGTACCACCTGCTGACCGATCATCTCAGAGCCATCGCTCTGACCCAATGTGGAGGCTTCGCCGGAACTAGCGTAGCCACCGGCTTGGGCTTCGACACCTGTTGGTGGGCAGGAGTATTTTTGAGTACTATGCAGCTTTGATGTTGCTGTAATCAGGATGATTCAGCGCATTGAGTTTCATGATATTAAGAGGGATTCTCCCAAGCCGTCGAAATCGAATCGAACTGTTGACCGAACTACATTCAGCCTCGAGAGAAGTACCGGAACTTGATCCTGCTTGCTCTTCCTCTTGCGCAGTAGTATCTGTCATGTCTGTTTTTCTCACCTTGCGCATATCGGCCAACGTCTTCATACTTCTAGCTACCAAGTCAACGATGGCAGAGTCCTCCGGCAGGTAGCTGGGAAGCAGCGGTCTGAAAGGCGGCATCACCACCCCATCAGGTTTCTGACCCAGGAAAGTCTGAAAAGAGAAGAAGAATTTGGTATACTCGAAACCATTATTTTCCATTCTGGTCAATTAAATTTGATGGTCCTGCACCAACCAGGAGCTGCAAAAGAAACTATAAGTAGTACCAATGCTCTCTTATTCGCGTAGTAATCAAGTCGTTTTTTCTGGTACTCCTTCAGTTTGACGCGCCCTTCACCTTGGACACACAGAAATCGACGTGTGTACAAATCTTGCCTTACGAACTCTCTTCTTTCCTGTTAGAGTCTGCTAGATTGCATCTCGGCGCCCTCATCTTGGGGTCCCTTTTACCTTGTATTTCACGAGAATACAAGGGAAAAGGGGACCAAGATGCCGAGAATGATGGACACTAAATGTTGACCATAATCCTGGGCACTCATCAAAAGGGCTGCAACTTTATCATCCATGGACATCTTGGCTCTCTGCTTTGCTTCTTCCTTGGCCATAGCCTCCGCAATCTTATCCGCTTTTGTCACCGCTGCACGGTTCTTAGAGGTCGTGGTTGTTCAAGCCTATGAAAATGTCTTGTTCATCATCTTAGTGGAACTATATCACGACATATGTCTGAAGTACAGAAGATAATAGCTGAAAAATAAAGGTAAAGCGAATGTAAAGATGAAAAATGATCATGGGTTTTGTTAGTCTACAACAACTTCCTTAACAGACTTTCCCTTTTTCCCTTCTGCGGCACGTTGACGGTATTCTTGTTGTCGGATCTTGGAATGTACTGCTTTCTTCTCAAAATGCAAGAACTGCTTGGTTACATGGCGAGCCTGGGAGAGGTAGTTTTGGTACGAGGAGTTGAATAGGAAGCGTCGTTCGATTACTTTCTGAAGGTGGCTGGACAGAGCCCCCCCCTTGTTCATTCCTACAACTACATTTAGCATCTACAAAAGTTGAAGTTTTTAGCTGGTGGTCACGAACAAACGTGGCTGCGGCACGAAAAAACACTAGTACCTTCCCTTCATGCCAAGCCGATACTGCTCTCCACCATTTTTGTATCTTGACAACCATCCGGTCAAAATGGCAGCAAAACCAGATAATCCGCCATCTCCTCCAAGCCACTAAAGCTTGGGCAATAGCCGTAGCAGCCCGTTTGCGCATACGAACTCTGGCTTTTCCCTGGATGTAGATCCATAGTCGGACGTCGACACTTTTGGCGGCGTCGTCGGAAGTTAGAGGAAGAGGTTCAGCGTCGTGTGCGAAAACATAAACAAGCTTTAGAAGCTTTAGTTTACTCCTAGCTAACAAGGAAGTCTAGATGAAGTAAGTTCGAAGTTGGTTGCTCTTGAAAAAGTTAAGAACGAAAACAATGATATTGAAGATCATCCCCATCCAGATCCAGCTTGAGCTTGACAAGGAGGAAAATAAAACTAGTTCACTCACACATACTCCCGTCCATAGAATCCTCAGTCTTTCTTGTTTGATTCGCCATTGCTTGACGTTCCTCATTTCGTGGAGGCCACGCGCAATAACGATGAGGCGAATCCACCCACAAAGCATCGTGTTATCTTCACCGAGACGCACTAAGTGAAACCGATTTCCACCTTGCTCTACTTCCCGTGAGTTTGAGGTGGACACCCGACTACCAGAACTTCCTTTGTGCTGACGAACGGTTGTAGAAGTGGAAGATATTACACTGGCTTGATGTTGCTCAGCTCCTGCGGAGGCACTGGTTGCTTCAGCTGCAGTTTTAGAGTCCTCAGCACCTGCCTCTCCACCTTCCTTTCCTCCTCCAGCAGCTTCTTCTCCTTCTCGCCCCAAGAGAACAACAGTAGTAGAGGTATTAGCTCCTGTAGTTCCACCATCACCTGTCACACTCACTGCATCTACACTGCGAGAAGGCGAGAAAGTGCAACTGGACCGATGGCTTTGCGGGGCTTGGTACCTTGTTGACATCAGGCTTCCACCCGTTCCCGGTCTCGGAGATCCACGTGTCGACCCAACTACAGCACGGCCACCCAGCAGCAATTGTTTCTGTTCCTCTGCCCACATCGCTCGACGCATAGTCTCCTCATACAGGCGTAGGGTACGAGCATACTCATCGGACAGCTTCTTCAGTTTACGGGCACGGGTTTCCATGCGGGTTAGAAGATACGCATGAGAAAATCAAAGAGGCTCGTACTTTTGCTTTTCTAGTTTCTACTACAGACTATCATTATCATAGAACCAATACAACCAAGATTATGCATTCAGGAGACTACATCTTCTCATTATCATAGAACCAAAAATATTACCAAGAAGTTTTATTTTTATGCATTCAGACTACATCTCCCGTCATAACATGCGTGCTCGTTTTTCTTGTGCTCGTGTCCTCATGTGCATTTGTCGACTTTGCGGTCTAGCATTGGACGACGCAAATTCGATATTTCGTTGAATCAGATTCGCGCCCCGTCGTTTCTCATTCAGGAGACGCACAAATTCCGGAGGACAAATCGTATTCAGGCGTAGAGGTGGTAGAAGAGTGTCGCGGAGTTGACTACCCCTCAAGGCTCGTTTCTTGTTCTCGCCTTCTTCTCCACCTTCTCCCCCGCCACCTTCGGCCGCAGAGCCAGCTGCAGATCCCTGTTGCTTTCCCTTCTTTCCACCTGCTTTCGCTGCAGCAGCGGCAGCACCTCTACCAGGATTGAAACTTGCCAGATTGTTTCGTAGTTCGGTTGCTGCGGACTCAAGCTCGGTTAGCCTCTGTGCCAGTTCGCCTGCATATTTGAAAATGTCTTCGGGGGACAGGTTGGTCTGTAACGAGAGCGACGCTTGAGCAGCAACATCGCTGCCGCGTTGGGATGAGCCTTGCCCGTCGATCGGCACGTGATCTAGCAAGTATTGACATCCTGCATCCATTCCCATCATCTCCTGTGAGAAGCCATCTCGTAGACCCCCACCAAAGTTTCTGGGCGACAGATTGCCTGATCTCGGCGAACTGCGTCTAGTGCTCCGCACTGGTCCTGGACTGCCGCCCATACTGTGTCCTCCCGCTTGCTGCAGTGAAGTCGACAAGCCGAGACTAGTGGACATGAAAGAGTGCTCTTTCCTCAAGGCACGTGGGGAAAAGGAGTCACTGCGATTCAAAGTAGATAGCATGCTTTGATCAGCTTTGGGAGAACCTGGACCAACAGAGGATGTAGGACTCTTTGTCAGGTCTGCTTTCGAGGAGATGACACGAGTCTGCGATCGACCAAGATCTCCTGTAGCAGCTCTTTCGAATGTAGTCGTGCTCTTGCTACGCGTCGTGTTCTTGGCTCCACCAGCGTTGTTGATCATCTGTGACGTCGAACTAGTAGAAGTGTCATGTTTTCTTGCACCCCCTGCTACTCCGCCCTCCATGTTACCACCAGTCAAATAGTTGTTCAAATGTGGTGGGCCGCCAGACGTCGTCACTCCTTTAGAAGCACCTTTGTTTCCATAGAACAAACTTGGTTTCTTCTTCTGCAATGATCGTAGGGGAGAGTCGTAGCCTGTACTATTCCCTTTGCTGGTTTTACCTAGTGCACCTCCTCCCGAACCTGAAGCGCCAAGGAGACCCTGTCCTGGAAAGGCAAATTCCATACTGGCATTTTGACTCGCACTCCCGAAATGGTCTCTACTCGTGGTCAGCGACAAGGAGCCTCCTAGACCTATTCCTCCTGCATTGAAAGCACTAGTTGTACCTCTGGGACTTGCGCCTAGGCTAGTACCACCAAGCCCCAGAGGAGCACCAAAATGGTCGATCGAAACTCCACCTTCAAAGAGGAGGTTGTCGGATGCCAGAGCGCGAAGGTTTCCCCGTGACTGCAAGCCGCCACGTGATGCCAACCCTCCACGAGACTCGAGACGGCCACGACTTTGTAGGTGGTCCCGAGCGCCCGTATGGCCCGGAAACGAGCCCACAGTGGACGTGGACATGATGTCTTGGATATCTTGATGTCCTTGGAATTGGTTTTCTACGTCGACTTTAGTTTCATCTTTCCGTACTTCGTCTGTTGAAGACGTAGTTTCTTTATTTGTGTGAGATTCCTATTCCACTTCTTTGCCTATTACTTGATGTTGAAAATGTTTTTCAAAATCGGCGGCGTTATAGCCGATACTCTTTTTGCTCACTAGTAATGTCAACATCGCGGGTAGCAAAATCTAGGAGTTGAGGAATGACCGGTCTCATTACAACAGGCCGGGCTCCATTTTGCGCGTACCGATTTACTTGATACAACAGATCAACATTGTTCCAAAACCGATTTCTTTCATCGTAAAGAGTATACCAAGCATAGAACGGACCGACAGAGCAAGTACAGCACTGACCGATACAACTCAACCGTCAACGAGCTTGAGGGGACCGATAGTGCTCAAACTTGCTGCAACGACGACAATATACCACAGAAGTAGAGAACTCAAACAGCAATGAGCGAACACACCGAGAATGAAGACGAGTCAAAATGAGGATCTAGTAAAACGGAATCTCAGATAGCATGCGATAAGAAGAACGTAAGAAGAAGAACCATGTTCAGTAAGAAGACTCCGCATGCTTGTTGCCCATCAAGGTTCACGGTTCAAGGTTAAGGGTTGCCCATCATTTGTGTCCTACGTTAATATCACCCATTAAAGTTCTCCCCTTTTTGATTCCTTGTCAACATAGCGGAAAAGTGCTTGTCCGGATCTACTGAAATCGGCTGGCTCAAATCTTCGCGTACCCTGTTGTGCGCCCAAGCCCACCATCGCACGTACGAGTCCCGTGACGTTAAATCAGGAGGCTTCTCAGCGATTACATCGATAAAGCTCTCCGCGCAATGACTACAAGGGTAGAACTGCACAAAGCTCACGAGCCAGTCCTGCATGGACTTTTGCTTCTCTGGTGAAAACTCCTTGTTGGGAGACGGCTTTGATGATGAAGCCCATAGGGTTGAGGTAAAGGAAGAACTTGAAGAAGAAGTGCTAGAAGTGTTAGAAGATGATGATGACCCAGCAGCACCAGCTAGAGCTACTCCTTGTTCATCGTCTCCACTATTATTAAAGGCTGCAGCATTACATTCTTCAGAGCATCCCTCACCTCTTTCCTGCTGGAAAAAGAGTGAGGAATGGATGTAATGCTGCCATTAAATGGGTTAACCCTTAATATTAGCTGCCATGGTATGCAGATATCGCCATGCTGCTCGACCGATTTGTGACCTCGTTGGTGGATGGGCTACTTGTAGAGGTGCTCCTTGTGGCGTATCATCACTGCAGCTCTGCTCTGCGCACCTCTCCTCTGTCCGGAACTTTTCCTTCAAACGAGAAAGAACAGAGTCCATCTTTTTCTAAGACTGAGAATCGAAAAAAGCGAAAGTTTCAGCTTGAAGTCAAGTGCAACCTCCTAGTAGTGACTCAGCATAAACGCGTAAACGACAGAGCCCTGTCACATGAATCCCTGTGAACGACTGCACAAAACAATCATGGAGGATCTTTCTGTATACTTAAAAAGATCTTGTATGTGAGTACCCTGCCGAATACTCAAAAAAACAAATGGATTCGAATCCATCTTTCCATCGTCGTCCTCTTAAAGATGAACAACTTCGAAAACTAGAGGCACGTATTTCCAGATGATTTTCGCATCATGAACTGGACTCGTCTGTCGCAAATTTCTATATCAAAAGTGAAGGTCCATCTTCTCGTTCAAGGGATTCATTTCTTCTCACCACAAGGTTCATGATTGTTCTCATTGCTCCTGCTTATGAAATGAAAGTGCGCGAGTTGTCCGTCGAGGAAGTCCCTGATCTACATGTCGTTGGGCAAATGCGAGTCGAGGGAGGAACGTACATGAATCACTCAAAGCTCACCATTCTCCTAACGCTCAAAGAAGAAAGGCCGAGATTGAGCATTTCTTCTCACCACAATGTTCATGATTGTTCTCATTGCTCCTGCTTATGAAAAACAAAAACCCCGAACATGATTGACTTCGTCAACTCGTCTGTCCAGTCAAAGCAGCTCGCTCGACGCGCTCTTGTTGCCTATCAGCGATTTTACCAAGTAGTTCTGGAAGCGCTGGCAGCTTTCTCTCCATTCTGTCTCGTTTTTCGGCAAAAAAATCCACGACCATTTGTTTCGCTATGCGTCTTTCCTCGGCAGCTACTTCTAGAGGCTCCTTAGACAGCAAGATCTTGAATGACACACCAAGCAGTGCTTGTAGATCTATAAGACTAACACTAGAGCAAGATGAATGACACACCAAGCAGGACTAACACTGAGTTCTTGAAGATCTATAAGCAAAGTTCTTGAAGACCTATAAGCAAACGGATTGAATCTCCAGCTAACGACAAACAATCAAAATCTTAACATCCAGTTTCTCCTCTACGTCGTCCCTTGCAGCTTCTAGCTCCTTCAGTGCGCGCTCCACTTCAGTTCTCAGTCTCTTCGAAACCGAGGATATTTCTTCGAAGACATACTCAATCCCTTGCTCCGGTGTATCCCATTGCGCTTGTTTGTCGTCCTGCCGGTTAGAGGAAGTTTGATCTGATGCTTTCTCTCTCTACAAACACCCATCATGCTCATACGATAAACTACATCATAAGAACCTACTGATTCATCTGTAGGAAAAAGAGCAGACATCTTCGACGACGTTCGGAATCGGAATCAGGTACTGCAGCTAGTTGCCTTATCTACATCTAAAGGTCCTCATCATAATCTCATCCCCTTCTAGCTCCCCTGAATCTTCCTCTCCACTTTTCGAACTACCGAGCAGCATACCAACGTACTCTTTCGGATAGGGATGCTGCACGCGGTCACGCAATGCACACGCGTCATCGCGCTTGCTGTACTCGCAAACCCAAGGATGGGTCAGGGGAGAATGAAAACGAGGAGGGTGGATAGGAGAAAGCTACGCAGATCAGAAGAGGAAATGTATGCTGGCGTTTCTGGAGACCAAACTCTCGAATTCAAATTCCTTGACTGAGTCACAGCGTGTGCAGAAAGATAAAGATCATGAATGTCAAAAGTAAGTAGATAGTTATATTTGCCATAAGGCACTGCCTTCCCATCTTTCAGTGTGGAAAAAGCGTTCGAGCAAACTCGCACTTTGTGCGCCCTTATCGCTCTTTCGTCACCTGCGTAGGAAGCGAAGGTGATCTGTTCACAGGGTTTCATCTGACACTTCGGCTTCAGCTTTTTGGTCTTAGTAGCCTTCATGGCGGGAGAGGTTTCTTCGACTTTAGTGTCTTCAGGATCCCTGTCTAGACCAGCGAAAGAAGAAAGCGGAGAGGCAGATTTGGACCAAGAAAAATCCTGGAGAAATGATGCTGGAACTGCATCCTGAGGGGGAGGTAGAGCTTCACTATCCGATGCTCCTGCTCCTTCTGTACTTTGGTTTTGTTCCGATGCCACTTCTGGTGCACCCCCAAGTTCGTCGTCCGATGCTGCACCATCTCCTGCAGCTTCGTCCTGTTCCGATGTTGCTGCTGCTTCCGTACGACTGCCCCCATCAATCTGTTGTTCGTCTCTTTTCTCCCCTTCTTCTCCTGCTACTGCGCTACTGCTCTCTGTGTCGAAATCCTCACCACCGCCACCGTCCGAATCTTGCGGAGTACTACCTTCTACTTCTACGTCGTTCTCAACAGATCCTCCGTTCGAAGCCTCAGAAGTCTCCGTCATCTTTACAGTTTCCATTTTTATCAGAGGGTCCTCCTCTTCCTCAGCTTCCGCCTCTGCAGCTCCCTTGTAGAGTTCCGAGTACATACGGATCCATGGCTCTAAGCCTCGTACTTCCTCGGTTGTGCTACTATTAGAGCTCACACGAATTCATCTCGAGATGCATCCTGGGTGTCTTTTCCCCTTCGAAAGTCTTCATCTGAGGAAGCTTCCGAAGATAGATTGAATAGTTATCCAAGCCTTAATACTATCATCTCCGTCAGATGAGTCTCCTGTCCCAGCAGCTCCATCTTCAGCCAGAGCAGGTTCGCAGTAGTGGTCAGGCGTACACCTCCCATCTGCGGCTGGATAACAGAGCATCGGCTGTGTGATATGATGGGTGCACAGCATCGAGGTACGGGATGTTGGTAAACCCTCTTCATCTTTGTCGTCGGTTCCTTGCTTCGCGTTGTTTTTTCCGGCGGAGGATCGACGTTAGAACAAGAGATAGAAGTCCTAATATTTCCGAGTCGTTGCTCCTGTCTTTCCTCAGACATATTTATCATTCAGTCACGAATGGAGAGAAAGGCGAGTAAACTCGTGGCTCTTCAGCTAGTCTCCTCACTGTAAACTAGATTCATATCCATCCATACCTATGATCATCATCCGCATCGATCTCCACTTTCTGGCATTTCAGTCCTGGTGAATCTCGCTCCTCCTCTGATTCGCACCTGTCTAGAGTCCTCTTACGACAAACTTCCCACGGCGACGACATCTGCTTTAAAGCTTCTGAGTGGGGTGCGGAGATAGTTTAGAAGATCAAGAACTTTTACGATGAAAGAAATCGGTTTTGGAACAATGTTTTTGTTTTGTCTGAAGGATGCTGAACGATCCATCGATATTAATTTATTAGAATGAGCGTCTAGTAAGGACAACTACTGAAGAGATTAGGATTATGAGGCGGATGAACCATAACTGACTTGACTGCCAGGCGTGTTCCCTTTTCTCTGACCCAATTCTGCTAGGCTATCGGATACCTTGTGGACCCGTGACGGAAGCTTGTCGACATACTTTGTCAGGGATTCCATCGTTTCCTGATGACTTGCCTTTGTCGCTTGAGAACCTCTTTTTGCATGCTTAGGATCCTTGTGCTTTTGATCTATTTCTGATGCAGACGATGCCATCCTTCTGGTTGACGAGGACCGCTTGTTTGTGTTTGTGTCCCTGTGCTTTTGCTGTTCATGGGCATGGTGTTGTGCCTTCGAGTGAGTGGAAGAGTCGCTATGCGCATGCCTTGCTTTTGCACGAACTGCATCTTTCGCGTATCTCTGCTTTTCCTTCCTGTTAGGTGGAACGCCGATGTCGTCGTCGCCTTCCAGTCCTCCTTCGCCAGCAGCATTATCGCCCCCTTCATCTTCACTGTCATCGCCGTTTCCATCATTTTCCTCCTCTTCATCCCTGAGTCGTCCACTGTCCTTTCTCTCTCGACGTGATGGAGCGGCATGGCGTCCATGTCTTGCTGTTGGCCGTGTATGCGTGTGCGGGCCTCGTCTGGAATGCTCTTCCTCCAGCTTGCTAGTCTTGCTCCGTCCTTCGATCCGCAAAAAAGCACAGATGCCCAAAAAGCTCAGGCAGTAGGCGCTTCGAGAGACGAGCATCATTTTTCTTTATTTGAAAAATTTCGAGGTGGAGGTCAGAGGGAGAAGTAAGGCTGTATTTAGAATTACTTCATCAATTTCTTCCATCAGTCACTTTATCCCTCCGCTTTCGAAAAAGGATTTTCCACAATTTCTTGAAGACAACCTCGACAAGTTTCTGTTTCATCTCCTTTTCAAGCACAATCTCAGACTCCTCTCCTGGCAGACCACAACAGCGAACATGGATACGTGAAGGTGCAATTCATGATAGCAACGGCTTATCATTGAGGCAAATGCCTGCTTCTGGCAGCATGGGGAGCGGAATTAGTACAGCTTAAATTTGCATTAAATCCTATGGCACATTAGTCGGTCACAGTCTGTTCCTTCCGAGGAACACTCCTGTGTGTTCGTTCGTTAATTGCAATTGCATTTCAGTCTTCAAGACCATTTATTGTGTTCATCATCATGGAAGACTTTGCAATAACTCTAGATATGTTGATTGGAGGACTTTATGCGTGACACTGCTAGGTGGGAACCCTTTCCAACGTGGCGGCGTGCAACCTAACAGAATGAAAGCAATGACTAAACTGCAAAAGCCACATAAAAAGCAAAAGAGAGGACGAGGCATCTTGATCTTGGTAGTTCTTTGTGAGTTTTGTCTTACCCTTGTATTCGGGATCTGGGTATTGACAGGTTGTAATGAGGATAACGAGGATGCAAGTGGTAAAAAAAACTGCACACCTTAGAGGATAAGAGCAACAAAAGCAACCACGCGAAAATCATAATAGATAGTCCTCACGAGGGAGCCTATATTCTCTTGTTCGATGACACATGGTAAAACGGTGCAAGTACAGCTGGTAGCCTCTTAGTCTTCAGTGATGTGGAACAGGATCAAACTTCTGGACAACAACCTCCTTAAAAAATGAGAAGGCAACGATGTTGCTCTGTTTCTAGATGGAGTTGATTCTGAAACAGCAACAATTTGCCAGAATACTAGTAACTATATACTCAAGACAATGGAAGATGGAGTACTAACAGAACTAACAAATAACCTTGGACCCAAATCTATTACCTGCTGAAAAAATTATCAATAGATATACCCCTGATACAGGTATAGATTGGTGATGTCATTGAAGCTATCATAGGGACCGTTAACGCGGCTTACTTTTGTAGGAAATGCTTACTCTTGTATTTGGTGTAGGGAACGCTTACATATAATGCTGTTGGGCATGTAGTTGTAGATCATCCTGGCTGATCCTGAAGCCGCTCACTGATCATTCCATTTTCATGTGCGGCGCTTCTTTCGATTTCCAGCCTGCTTTTCTTCATTGTGAATCCATTCCAGTTCTCCGGTTTTCACAAGCTTGTCTAAATTTGCCCTCCGGTTCATCTGCAAACCATCTGTTCGGATGTTGGTTTGAGATTGAGATCATATCAAAGTTTGATAAAAGTTGTAATCATGATGGGAATACAAAGACCTACTCCTAGCAGCAGATCAGACCTCAAATATGCTTTCATTTTCACGATGGATGAACATATCGATCCATCAGGATCAGCAGCAAAATATTTATACATAGAACTACCTCTGATTAGCTTCCTCCTTTGGCTAGAGGTGATCACTTCGAATTTGCAGCTTAGTGACTTGTCAACCCTAAGAACAGCTCCGTTGTTGTCCATTTCCCCACAGTAGTCAGGCGCTGAGAAGATCGTCACCAGCTTCTTTCTAGCAAAAAACCAATACCCGCTCTCAACGCATTGATGTGCGCGACAAACGAGGTCGATACCGAATCTGAGGTGAGGGAAGCGAGGTAGACGTAGACATCGGGATTGAATGGTTGAGGAAGAAGTTGGGTACTAGACTGCATTTGTGTAGTGCTTAAGCAAATGAGTAGCAAACTCTAACGCTAGGCGTGTATGTAGATCTGCGCCTCTCAAACAACAAATCAACATCACTTACATCCGCCAGAGTGGACTTGATATTCAAGTTCAACACTCAAAAACAGAGCGAACACTCGCACTCCAAAAACAGAGAGTTGTAGTAAATGTAGGTCTAAGTACTTTTTGCAGAAGCTATCGACGACTGATGCGCCAAAGCAGAACGATACTCCTCTCTCGTTTGAACCCCAGTAGGGCACCGCAGGCGAAGGATCCGACCAAAGAACGTCACACATGAGACCGTATTCCGGTATTTCGCATGGCCTATTTGGGAGTTTGGTCCGCATCACCTTACTTAAGGCGTTTCTGGGAGACGGAACATACTGCTCCAACGAAGCTTGTTTACTAGAGGAGGAAGAAGAGGAGGGACTGGTCTTGTCGAGGTCGATGGATGTGTTGGGGGAAAAAGTCGCGGAAAGGTTCTTTTTCTTTCCTGAAGTCGAAGAAGTAGAGGGCGATGTTGGATCGTCCAAGATCTGCTCTAGGCCAGTCTCCAGCACCAATCCACGCTCGTCTCGTAACCTTTCGACTAGTGCGCGTGCTTCCTCTATTGTTATCTCCTTCTTTCTTAGTCTACTTTTGATGGCATTCGCTATTCTCTGCTCACTCAGGTTTTCTCCCCGATTGACTAGACAGCCTGAGTAGCTGTCAGCAACTGTAGAGGATGAAGAGGAAGGGGCTGGAGAGACAGGAACAGCAACTGCTGAGGAGATGGGCGATGCAGCGCTAGAAGACGAAGAAGCTTCTGCACCACGTGCAGGTGCTGCAGTCGTCGCGGCTGCAGCAGATGATGTGGTTGCATCTTGAGGTGCTGCCTCTGAATCTTTCGTCGAGTCCGAGCTAGAAGCACTGGAAGAGGAAGACCCCTCATCCTTCTTCGGCAGCGCTGGATGTTTCACTGAAACCTGACCCGTCTTCTCGTTTCGATAAAAGGTGTGGCCAGGTAAGACTTCGGATGCCATCGCAATCCAGCCTTCAGGCAAGGGTAGGTCCTTAGCTTCGTCGTCAGAAGCAATAGGAGCGTCTTCATCTTTTGAGACACTTGCACTACTACTTGATGAACCTGAAGATTTGTCTTCAGCACTAGAGCCAGCAGTTGTATCTTTTTTTCCCTCTTCGCCTTCTGTTGATGCTAAAAGCTCGTTGATATGATCGACCAGCTGCTGTTTCGGTGAACGCTTTTTCTTTGTTCGCTTCTTACTTGATTTTCTCGAAGATGAAGATGCTCTGCCACCCTCTTTCGGTTCACCCTCTTTCCCTGACGGAGAAGCAGCACTAGGACTATCTCCTGGGCCTGTGCCGTTACTTGACACACTGTTCGATGCAGCAGAATTGTTTGATGCATTGCTACCTGCAGAGGCGCTGGAGCCGCTATCCGAACTAATCGGACTCGTAGGCCACACAGGAAGAAAAACCGGCTCGTCGTCTTCAGCGCGTGCTGACCTCAGCATGGCGCTCATCTCCGCAGCAGTCGCGGATTCGCAGACTAATTCGTCATTTTTCCTGCTCAGTTCTAGCAACTCCTCGTCATCCTCCTCTGAGTCTTCTGCCTCGCTATCGGGATTGTTCACACAGACGTCGTCGCGTTGCGTAAAGAACTCGGTCGAGAGACCACCTGTTGTGTGATGATGATGTTTTGAGTAATCGATGTTGAAACAAAGAATGATATCAATATACTTCACTTCATACACCTTATTCAGATACGAAGCGGAAGCTCTTACTGTATGTAAAAATAATATCCGAAAAATCACAGCCAAGAACATGTTGGGAGAAGTCTTCAATGTTGTTTTCCAATGTTTTCAAACACGTACTTACCATGCGCGCAGAATATCCTCCCTCCCACAGTGGCCGCGATCGGAAGCCAATTGAAGAACTGCGTAAATTCTTTCCACAACTTCACTGAATATTTCCTCTTGCATTCGTCATGAAAGCCGTACAATCTGCTGATGTGTGTGCACTCGTGGTTTCCGCGTAGGATAAAGAAATTCTCCGGATACTTGATCTTGTAGCAAAGCAAGAGACACATAGTCTCGAGACTCTGCTGGCCTCGGTCGACGTAGTCGCCTAAGAGCAGATAATTAGATTTCGGAGGAAAGCCATTTTGCTCAAAATGCTGGAGCAAATCCCCGTATTGGCCGTGGATATCGCCGATCACGTTGATTGGCGCTTCCAGCTCTAGGAACATTGGCTGGTCACTAACGATGTGATGCGCGTATTTGAGCAGTCGGATGATGTCGCGTTCTGGTCCTAAAGCGACGCTGTGGACCTGCATCTGGTACGGCCGACCGACCACTGCCAAGCACCGCTTCAACATGGAATCAACAAAGTCGCGGCATTTTTTTCCACGCTCGTAGACCTCCTTTGGAGCGCGAAAGGCGTTACCTTCCTTTGAAAGAAGCTCCTCCACCTTCTTGAATGTTATTGTTGTACTAGGCTTTGCTGCGTCTCCTGTTTCCGCGTTTTCTTCTCTAAGTGAGGATGACTCCTTCTCTACTTTCTTTTCTTCTGCAACACCATCATCATCCTCTTGCTCTTGCTTCTTCTGTTCTCCAGTCGAAGATGAAGAGGAGCTCGCTGAAGAAGTTGAGGAAACTTTTGCTTGTGGTGATGATTGTGCTTCCTTCTTTTTGCTACTAGTGCTCGTCCCTTCTTCAGTCGTAGCCGTGTCCTCATCACTTTGCTTTGGTGACGTTGAACTAGAATTGCTACCAGTACTCGTTGTAGAATCTGTTGACGATATGTCATTCTTAGTAGCTGCAACGTCATTGTGTCCGCTTACGCCGCTAGCACTACTCGAAGAACAAGACGCTGCTAGTACAGTAGGCGTATCCTTAATACTTGATGAAGCAGTAGCTGCGCTCGCATCTTCTGATGGCCTTTGCATCTCATTTTCTTTCTCACTATCCTTTGAAGACTCTCTTACTGAAGCTTCTACCACCTTCTCCTTGTCTGTAGTAGTTTTCACAGCTGCTGCACCAGACGCTGTGCCATCCGAGTCAGCTCCGACGACGCCGTCTAAATTTTGATAGCTCAAGTCGCTCTCACCGAAAACTGTGAGCTCGTCGCCCTCCGCGAGTGGTATTCTAGTCTCATCTAGCGCCTCTCGACGAAGAAATTGCTGCCTTCTTTTCCTCTCCGCACTTGTAGAACGCTTTCTCTTCTTAGCCGACCGGGCGTCAACCGCTAGGTCGTGGTTCCCGTCCCCGGTAGCAGTAGAACGAAGATCTTTGGCTTTACTAGACACCATTTTATCACTTGAAGCACAAGCAGTGCTAGTGTGATGTGGCTCTCTTATTAGTGCTTCTACTTCTTCGCCTTCTGGTAAATCGTCAAGAAGACCTTCTAGATCGTCAGGAAGTGGCTCTTGTTCTGCTGCTATTGGTATTGGTACAACGAGCGGAAATGGAGTGTTAATATTAGCGGCTGTGCTAGTAGACGAATAAAAGCCTTCAAAAACGGCTTGTCCTTGTGCAGGAGTCGAGGTATGATCTTCTCTACTAGCACCAGTAGCCGTTGTACTATGCTGAAAATCTAGTACGTCTTTAACCGCGTCGTGGTTTGCATCTCTTCCTTGGTCCTGAAAAGCTGCAGCTGCACCGCCATGTAGGCTGTCCAAAGACCTTGTTGCAGTTCGCTGATTGGCAGTTTCTGCTCTGCTAGGGGATGCAATTGCCAAAATTTCGAAAGCTACCTTGGGATTTGCACCGATTCCAATGAGAGATTTGTATTTATTTAATTAAAAATATTCATTCCAATTCCATCAGATAATTGATGTAAAAAGCTTTTGTGAGGACGACAGGTCTCGTTCTTGCTGAGACAAGGTGCAGGTAGGATGCAAGTACATAAGATGTTGAGTAATTATCGTCCTTCCATCCCTAATCTTTTCAACTCCCACCACCTCTGTTTTTGGAAGAGGAAAATCACAATATTAGAGTTTGAATGGTCACGAAAATCACACAGAAGATGAAGATATTTCTGCAGATCATGAAAGCCAGTGCTTCATTATTTAGTCTGCGAGAGCAGGTCCTGATCTTCATGATCGTGACTGAACACTTTTTTGGTACCAAGAAGAAGATCTACATGCACAATAAGACTGCAACTCAGAGGACGCTGCATGGTAAATTCCTAGGATCTCCCTGCCAACGTACCTACCTTCATCTTGTAGAACTAAAACGTTAACGTTTATGTACTAATACATAGATTCCTACGTGGTCAGGGTGGATCTTATATGCGACAGAATTAATTGGATCTTGGAGTTGGAGGTTCTTGACTGTCGTGTAGCAATTCCAGTATATCATATCGTCAATTTTGGGATCCATTCTGCACAAGCCCTTCTATTATTGTTCGACAGTTGCCCTAGATCTGGAATAGCTATCGGACTCTGTTAGATGTATTCCACTTACATGATCTGGAGTAGCCATCGGGCTCTCTGTTCTACTCCCTGCATGATCTGGAGTAGCTATCGGACTCTCTGTTCTAATCCCTGCATGATCTGGAATAGCTATCGGACTCTCTGTTCTAATCCCTGCATGATCTGGAGTAGCTATCGGACTCTCTGTTCTAATCCCTGCATGATCTGGAGTAGCTATCGGCCTCTCTGCTCTAATCCCGGTATGATCTGGAGTAGCCATCGGACTCTCTGTTCTAATCCCTGCATGATCTGGAGTAGCCATCGGACTCTCTGTTCTACTCCCTGCATGATCTGGAGTAGCTATCGGACTCTCTGTTCTAAATCCTGCATGATCTGGAGTAGCTATTTGGTTACTTTCCCCCTGCACTCCTTGCCTCATCTACAAGTAGTCTGGTCGACTAATTCGTGTATCCTTCACTACTAGAGGCACTAAAGAACTGACAATCACCACGACGAGAAACCAAAAGTAATCATATAATCAAGTACCGCCATCCCCTCCTCTTCGGTCTGCACCGGTCGCAGCCGCTTTCCTTCGGGACCGCCAAACGCGGTTTCTGGTTTGCGAGACGGGACCGGCATCCTTTGTCTGAGGAAGTCTTCAATACCTAATAGAATCTGGCCCCTTGATTACATTTCGCAAAAGCAACTTGCGTTATAACCAATGTCAGTATCGTGTTCTCTATAGCCGTTGACGTTAACGTTATTCAGCATTCATCTTTGGTATAACTCATTCTTTGTTCTTTGACCAAGGTCGTTAGTCTGTCACTGGTACTCACTAAGGATGTCTTACTTTGGAAAATTGGAGGAGAGGTGTTGTAATTTTGCTGTTCGTTCCTCGAGGCTGGCTTCTCTTTTTTTATCTAAAATTTCGCAGCTCTACTTCGAAAGAGTCTAACACCAGAATTCCTTTTTGATTTTGCTACAAGCTACACCGTTTGTGTTCTCTCGTCTTATGATTTTCGCTCTCCTAGAATTTGAACTCGGGCCAGCTTTGTTGGTGCGCTAGATAGCAACATGCCAATGCCATCCACGACGCCCTTTGAATCAATTCTGCAGCGTAGGATCCGTCTATTCTAGGCCATAACACGTTATGAATCAGGCAATAACAAGTTATTCGTCGCGTCTTCTAAAAGCATGGGAGCACTATTCTTTGAGCTTGGTGCGTCATGCATATGAAATCTAGGAGAGAGAGACTGGTTGCAATGAGATACACCAGCTGCATGAAAAACATGAAGTTCGCGTTGCCTGTGTTGCGGAATAGCCACACCGCACTCATCACGGGGTACATCGTCAATCCAAATAGCGCAAAGGCAAGCTCGAGGACCAGACGCGTCTGTGGATTCATAAACTTGTTCTTTGCTCCCCTAGTACTGGTGTTGTGGTTTCCGGTAGTTGTACTAGAAGCATGCACATCCTCGTGGTCTGAGAAAATGCTAGTATCATTCGACTTCGAAGAGGAAGAGGTGTCGCTGGTCCTTCCTACAACTTCGATACTATTCATCTTGTCTTTATCTTTTGTGTCTTCGTCATCTACAGCGACCTCAGATGGCGCAGGTATTGGCTCTCCACTTGGGCTGTATTCCTCTTCCCTAGGTTCATGTACATTTTCAGCTACTTCATTTATTTTTGGCGTCTTAGTCGTGGACCTACTTACTCTCGATATCTGTTCTACCAGAAGTTCTTGTACTTCGAAGAAAGTAAGGTCTTCCCGAAAACGAAGTGGGACGTAGGTTTTGTCGTTTTTTGCCAGGATGAAAACCCTTGTCCGCAATCGCCGCAAGTGCGGCACCGGAAAGACGTAGTCGGCAAAAACGCAGTAGAGCGCAACTAGAGCGCTGAAATCTACGACAGTCGGGTAGGGTCGAAAAAGTGCCACGAGTCCGAAGGAGGCTACGCAATTCGCCAACGGGCCAAACGTTGAAGAACGGTAATCCAGCGAGAAGACGATGAAACGGGGTAGTCAGGAGAACTGAGTGTATCATGAAACGATGTTCTTCAACAGAGTGGTGAAGGGAAATTGCTATCGACCTTTCTGATTCTGCCCAGGAGGAATCTAGAATAATCAGCCTCATTATGCTGAACCGAAAACCATTCGGCTGAGTGTATCATGAAACGATGTTCTTCAACACCACAGTCATTCATAAGGTCATGCCTAAGTAGCTGCTGATCTCGTCAGATCAAATTATATTCAAAACTCTCGTATTCATTCATTCATTCATTCATTGAAGAATCTTCCAATCATACGTAACATGTGCAGCGGTAGTACGTAGACCAGCACGTGAGCATGGAAAACCAGCAGAAAAAAGTTCTGGAACTGCAAGAATACTTCCTGAAACATATACCAGAAGACGCTCAGAGATGGCGATAAATCTTCCACTCGTAATAGAGCGAAAAACGACGAATGCAGAAAAGCCCAGCTGCCGCCGCACAGACGCGCTGAGAGGTGCAGCAAGAAAACAAAAACCAAAGCCGTTGTGATAGTGTAGAGAAAAAGCATGCGGAAGAAGAGAGCGTTTTCGTTCAGGAAGGGTCGGAACGAAGATGCTTGAGACCAGAGAGGTGCATACACGTGTGGTAGAGAGAAAATAAATGTGGTGTTCTTGTCTCCTATGTCGTCCTTGGTTTTTTCGTTGATCGTAGACTCCGCTGCACTAGAGTTTTTCTTGTCCTCGCCAGATTTCATCGCCCATTCCTTCTCAGCCACTACCTTTAAACGCTCTCCTGCAGTTTCAAGGGTAACAAGGTTCCTATCCCGCGCCACTGCCTCAACATGTTCGTTACGGGTAGACAAGGACGATATCAAAGTAGCACGATTTTTAGTAATGTTCTCGTTCTTGTTGTCGTCTCCTGACCAGACGGGCTCTTGTTTTCTACTTTTATTCCGTCTACTTTGCGCAGCTGCAGCAGCACTGAGTGCGGCTAGAGGGCACAACAGTATCACTGATGTGAATGGTATCAGGTATAGAGCGATGGCAAATGCGGCTGCTGATGCGACAAAGTTGCGACCGCGTAAAGCGAGAACTATTGGTAACAAAAGCGCCAAAACATGCACATTCCCAAGAGACAGCGCGTTATGCGATGCAGCAACCCAGGGATTGAAAAAATACACGAGTCCGACGGCGCTCGGGGATAGGAGATGACTTGGAATGCTGTCGGGATTTGAATATGTTTTCGAGCTGCAGCTCCTGGAAGTAGAACCCTCTTCAGGGTCCTCTGTTCTCTGTCTAGCCTTGGCCAGGTCACGTATGATAAAAGCGATCGCCAGGTCGACGAACAGCAATAGCGTCCAGTACGCCAGTCCCCCAACGAATGGTCGCAACAGCACGAAAGCGATCGGTGGCAAGTAGTTTGCATTCTGGTGGGGCAATGGTATTGGAGGTGGACCTTTTTGTAGAAGTGCTACTACATACTGATCGCTGGATCATTTTACTTTCTGTTACTTCCACGTCTTTGATGATCCGTCTTTACGTTATAATGAGTTAGTGGTACAACTACGTGTAATCTATCACTGTCTTCGGAGCATTGCCTTAAATACAGTCTTCGCATAGCACCTGCATCGATACCTCCAGCGCCAGTCGGCTCAGCACTACGGAAAAAGTCGTATAAAAAAGCTGTTTCCTGCAGTCTCAAATGGGAAGAGACCGGCGAAACCAGTTCTGGATCATCTTCCAATGCGCCCGGTCGTAGCAGTGAGAACCACAGGAGACGGACTGCTGCCCCAGCAAGCAGAAGGAGAGGAAAACAACACGGAGAAGAGGACATTTTCTTCCTTTCACGGAGTAGAATTCACGTTGATTGATTGATTGATTGATGAAATATTTACAATACTTGATTGATTGATGGATTAATTTAAAATACTTGAGAGTAGAATTGATGCGAAATATTCTGTAAATACTTGAGTGATTGATTGATTGATATACCTGACAAGAGGTTGATATGCCTGACTTAGAAACTAGAGGTGTCCTCGCTTCGAAGATGGCTAAGTTTGATGTAAGGGGGGACAGTTTTTAAGCCGATCTTCAAACTGTTTGGTCGATCAAAGCACTTGTTTGTCTTCCTCTTTTTCAGGACAACATTTCTCTAGTCACTTCCCTGAAACCACGACTCTTACCACTAATCTCAAGACCGATGATCGTTCCACGACTCTTAGCATTACTCTCAAGACCGATAATCGCTAACTGGAGTGAGAGAACACGAGGACCTGCTGTGAAAACCACAAACCGCGATCCTCTACTCTAACTAACAAACAAGTTTTGGTCAATCCTTCACAATAGAAAAAAACAAAGTACAATGTAATGTCTTTTGTGAAGATATGCAGTAAGCATCGCCTGTTTTTTTGTACTACATAATTCACTTGCAGACAACTTAAACGCTCTTACAATGCTGTCTTTAAGAAGTATTAGATCCTTGTTCTCATGATTCATGTGTACGGATCATAACCTAGTCCTGTACACGGTTCTCAGGAAGATGCGTACGGGTCATCGTTTAGTCCTCTACACGGTTCCTTGACTAAAATATCTACTTCTCATCCTGTTCTTCTTGATTGATGTCGCAACAGCAACTTCACCACTAGACTTCTGTCATCATCATGGTTCTTGTTGATGTTGTTGTTTGCATCAATTTTTTCTTTACTTATGATATTAGTCATTTTCATTTCGATTTCACCTCGTCCATAGTTTTTTCGCGACCTAATAGACCTACTCTTGTTCTTTTGTTGTACATTTTCAATACTTTTACTTTTAGTTTTGAATCTACTCCTCATGCTTCTCTACTTCGTTGTTAGCTAACTTGACTATGAGGGGGGTTGACGATCAATCTCAAAATATTAGAGAATGACGTCTGAGAGGCAGGTCGCTGAAACGCGCTACAACTAGGTTATAGGTAGCACTATGATGATCATTAAGAAGATAAAGATCATCCGACCAACATCCACGACAAAGAGCACAAAAAAAAATCATTCTACGAAATTCGAAAACCTTCCCTCTTTCACTTCCGTATTTTTACTCCTTCAATTTTACCTTCATGATCTTGACTTTGTTTCTCCAACAAGAACTACGTACTTACATGATCGCCGATAAGTAGTGGTAGTACGAGTATGCTGAAGAATGTCACTATTACTTAAGAACGATCTTGATCTTTGCACTTCTGACCTCTACTATCCCAAAACGACAAAAATAGTTAAGTACCAAAACCACGGCCACACATGCCAAGGCTGCTATACAACTCCATTTTCTTCTTCTTTTTCTTTAAAATAAACAACAAAGAATCTTCTGTGTATAAGTACTAGTATTTTTAGTACTAGTTCTAGTTCTTTTGTAACTCGTTTGCTACTTTTGGATACCACACCAGCATGAAGATGCTTCCATATCTCCACTTTCTTTCTTCACTTCTCATGAATACGAATACAACAGTACTCTAAGACGTAGTTGTAGATGCTGACAAGTTAAGTCAAACAATCATGTCAGCTAGGCTTCTTCTCCACCTAAAGCGATATACTCCCAAACCCAATATCAAAAGTTGATGTACCTACAAAACAGTACGTACAACTAATCCTAATGATCATGAAAATAAACACAAAAAAAATACAAGATGTAAAACTGTAAGCTTCATTATAGTTCAAATTATCTGCTTCTATAGTCATAGTTCAATAAATCATCTGGTGCTTCTATAGAAGTTCTTAGATGATTTTTGTCCTCGTCTTGAAATCGGATTTCAGAGAGATGAGTCCTTCTTCGAAATTGAATTCGTCGAAGTCCTTTTACTTGTTCTTAAGTACACAGTATTACAAATATAGTTTTTTAGTGTTTCTTCTCATGTTTCGGGGACATCTGGAAGATCAAAACGGACACGACCACTCCGAGCATGCCCAAGATCACGCGAGTCCAGTCGGTCAGCTGGAACTTCAGGGTGTCATCCAAGAAGATACGTTCTCCCAAGACAATCACGACCAACGCCATCGCGGTAGAGAGAGACTTCCATAGGGAAGACAAGACCTTGGAGATGTAGGTACTGATCCAGACAAAGGCAACGTTGATGAGCAATGCAGTCCAGAAGCCCATCGTGCCGATCCAGACGCTCGGGATCGGGCTCGAGGTGTAAGGGTGCATTTCGGCGAAGTCGAACAGGGTGCTGTCATCTTCGTAGATGACACGGTTGTTCTTCGCATCTTCGACGATCCTGACACCAACCGTGCTGCCCAAGTCGACGTTGTAGTGGATGATCGAGTCAACGTTCGGGTAGACCTTGTTGTCGGGGTGGCGACGCTTCTTAGCTTCTTCGACCGGCTTGTTCAAAGCGGTTTGCGGATGCTTTTCCAAGTCGACGATAGAGTGCATCTTACGCCAGTTGTTGCGGCCACCGGAGACGAGGGTGCTGAAGTAGTCGAAGTTGTTCTTCCACTCAGTCTCGTTCAAGTTGCACATTGCGAGCGTGCACCCACCGTTCAAGGCACCAGCTGCCTTACCCGGGTAAGACTGGAACTCGTACTCGAAGTCAGAGTTTTCGTACGCATTTTCGGCCAAGGCGATGACTTGGTCGAGGTCCTCGATCAACTTGCGGTCAGCGGCGTTGATTTCAGCCTTCTTCTCGGCGATCTTCTCAGCGGAGGAGCCTTCCACGGCGTTCAGAACGGCTTCGCGCTCCTCGACGCGAGCGAGGACCTTGGCTCTGTCCATCTGGGCCACCTGGGCATCGACCATGCGGTTGGTGGCTTCGACCGAGCGGGCCTGGAAGTCTGAGATCTGCTTCGTCAAGTAGCGGAAGAACTTGGTCTGTTCGTTGGAATCGAACTCGTCGTGCACAGTTCCGAAGGCGTCGTCAGCATGCTTCGCGGGAACGTCGAAGAACTTGCTGACGGACGTGGCAACCGATGCCTTCTTTTCCTCTTCCGTCAATTTGTCCCACTTCTCCTGCTTCTTTTTGGCGGCCTTCTTCTTCTGCTCCTTGCTAGCGGACTCGTCCTCCTTCTTGGGCTTGTTCAACTCGAACTTCGGCTTGCTCCACTCACCAGTAGAGATGATCTCGACAGCAGGTTGCCACTGGTTGCGCTCCAACAAGGCAGTCTCAGTAGTCTGAGCTCGTTCCTGACCTTCTTGGGGTTGAGCCTTAGCAGCAGTGGCGTTGTTCTCAGCAACAGCTTCAGCAGCTGCCGGAGCAGCCTCGGCAGCCGGAGCAGCAGCCACAGTCGTAGTTTGACGCAGCGGTGCCTTACCGATCTTGCATGTGGTCTTCTTAGCTCTGAACTCAGACTTGTCGTCGAATTGGAGTTGCGCGCCGCATCCGTGGAAGTGGAAGATGACACGCTCATTCTTGGTCTGGCTCCAGGTGCTCACTTCTCCGGCATCTACCCCCTTGCTGATGCGGCGGATGGAACGGGTGGTCTCACGCGTGACCGCAATGCGCAAGGCGCCCTCTGCTGGCGAGTAGTGGACGACCTTGCCGAAGGCCAGTTTGCGTTGCAGCTTATCGAAGCCCCAACGAGCGTTGTGCTTCTGGTCATCGAAGTGACCGACGAAACTGTCGTAGGAATCGAAGAAGTGCTTGTTCACCTTCACTTGCTGCTCAGTCAGCTGTTGCTCTTGTGCCCCTTCCTCAGCTCTGACAGCCTTGTGCGGTGCGTCCGGCTTGCGCTCGCGCATCTCCTTCAGGATTTCCTTCTTCAGGTCCAAGGCCTTCTTCTCCTTCAAAGCTTCTGCGGAGTCCTTTTTGTAGTCCGCGTCCTGCTCCTTCAGGGCGTCGATGCTCAAGTCGATGGGCTCCGGAATCAAAGTGAAGTACACAGCCGGCTTCAGGCTCTGGTCGACCGAGTCCATGCCGTGCACGAATTCGCCCAAGATGTTCTTCGACATCTTGAAGGATTCGACTTCGGGACTGTCGCGGATGGCCAGTTTGAGCGGCAGGAACTTGCTCCACCACTTGGAGCGAGAAGCAACCGGAGCAGCTGGAGCTTCGACAGCAGCTTGATCTTGTCCAACCTGTTGAGCTGGGGCAGCAACGTCGGCACCAGCAACAGGAGCATCTTGACCCTCAGCAGGAGCAGCGGGAGCTTCGACAGCAGCAGCTACTGTGTTCATCAAAGGGATTTGGACCTTCTCACCGATGACGAGAACAAAGTTGTCGATCAAAGAGGAGCTGTGCACCAGAGCACTCTGCAGAGAGAACGGCTGTCCCGTGTAGGCCTTGGTGTTCAAGATCTGGCTCTCCGAACCAGGGTACATGTTAGACATCTTGCGCAGCTGCGCGGCTGAGTGCTCGCCCATCTTGCCCATCTTCGGGGCCAAAGCGGGGTTCACGAACAGGTTGCGCTCTTCAAGAGAGCCCAAGTTTGCGGAGTCCTGGGCGTGCTGGACTTCGGTCATGTACGTGTTCTCGCCACGGCGCTTGCGCACCAGCATGTGCAACTTTTCGACGATCTCGTACATGTTGCTGCTCGTCTCGTCCACGTCTCCTCCGATGGTCTCGTTGAAGTACGTACCAGCTTGACGAAGGTCCGCAACGGAAACCCAGTATTTCATGTCCAATCTGATGTGAGACGTACATGTTCGTGTTTTTGGCTTCGATAAAAATATTGACTCTTGCTCTTCAAGAAAAATAAGTACCTCTTATCATCACCTGATGTAAGTTATTGCCATTCTTTCAATAGAACATCTACTCATTTCAATCAAGATCAACTGAATCTGAGTTCTTCACTATAACACAACTAAGACATAGTTGTATCTAAATATTAGAGTATAAGTATGTGTACCTGTTGGCGATGATCTTCTTGTTGAACTTTTCGGCAACAGGTTTCTTTGCCTCTTTGTCCTCATCAATCGCTTCAATGAAGGCTCCAGCATCTGGCACCTTCATCAATGTTGCGCTAGGACGGAACAGGCGAGCTCCGTTTTCCAGTTCCACCGGGAGTTGGTTTTCTCCAAGTCTTCGCAGGAAAAATTCGCTGAGTTCCTCCGGGATCTTCTCGGTGCGGAGCTCCTGAAGTCTCTCAGCGTTGGCGTTTCCAGCGTTCTCAGTCATCGTCACGGTCATCTCATCCAGCTTGCGGGTGATCTTGAACTTCATCGTGTTCATTTCCTCGTGAGTAAAGACGGGAAAGTGCGCTGGTTCCTCTGTGTTCGGTTTCGTGGGAGCCGTCCTTCCTTGACTCTCAGCGATCGCAGCTGCAACTTCCCAATCACGCTTCTGCTCATCCCGTCGTGCCTTCTTCTTTTCGACTTGCTTGTCGAGAATATCTTTCGCAAGTTTGATGGCGAATTCGGAAAGTTTTTGCACAGGAACCCCAGGGACCCCCTCAGCCACAGGGGGAATCTTAAACTCTCTAATAATACGATCAGCGTGAACTTTAGCGGCCATATTCGGTCCATTCTTTTCGCGCTCGGCAACTCTTTTCAAGTCACGGTCGACACGCTGCTTCAGCTGCGTTTCCTTTTCTTCATACTTCTTCTTGAGGGCCTCCCTGTCTTTTGTAGCCTTCTGGTTGCGCTTGTCCGCTTCGCTTTGTGCGTGATTTTGGTTTTGGTTCAAATAAGTACCTTTTGTAGCATTGATTTTATAATGCTTATCTTGAAGCTCTGCACGAAGCTGGTTGAAGCGTTCAAGAGCTTGATCACGAGCTGCGAGTGCCTTCTCAGCTGCTTCACCTGCCTGGTCGGCTTCGTCTTTAGCTTGCGTTACATCTGTGGGATCGGATGGGGGTTGCCTATCACGTAATCCTTTCTCGGCAGCTTCCGCTTTAGCGATGAAGTCAGTTGAAGCGGCCTCAGCGCGACGCCCAGCTTCCTTCACATCTTCGTCAGCCTGCGCGTGGGCCACTTCAGCCTCAGCCTCGATCCCAGCTTCGTTCTCGACGCGAGTTTTTTCGATCTGCTCCAAATCCCTACCTAGTCTACGCTCATGCGCTTCTAGCGCAGCTTCCTTCTCCTTCTGGTTCTTCTCCTTCTCGGCCTTCTCTTCACGCGGGATGCGCTCTCTTGCGGCTTTCACTTCGTGCAGTACCTGTAGGATTTCCGGAAAGGCGCGTGCGGTTTCTTCCTGCAACAGCGTGAAGGACGGACGCTTTCCGCCAAAGTGCGCTTCCGAGATCGTGGTGGGGCGAGTCAAGTACTCGGCTTCGTAGCCCAAGTCCTGAGCCAAGTGCCCAGAATTGTCGTAGCTGTAGAACGCAGCGCGGTAGCTCAACGGCCACATCTTGGTGGTCTGCTTGCCGCTGGTCCAGACCTGACTAGCCGGGGTGCCCTCCAGAGTGACGTCCACGATGAAGAAGACCAACGGGAACAGCGCAAAGGTGCAAATGACGGAAAATACGGTCTGCCACAAGTCGAACTGGAATTTCTGCAGGCAGAAGGGCAACGTTTTCGATTCCTTCATGATCTTCTCGCCCACGAGAGAACCGATGACGGCGCAGATCGAGGCCAACACAGAGAAGATGAGACCCAACATGCTGTTCTCGCGATCGAAGAGGCCTCCTGTTTCCTGCAACATCTGGAACTCGAAGACGGATGCGACGATCATGCCAATCATCAACCACTGCAGGCTCGTGTACTTAGCACCGGTAATGGTCATAGAGAACAACGCGGTCAAGGGAATACGCAATTGCGCCAAGACCTTCTTCGTTCCCTGAGCGAGGTACAAGTTCTGCACCTGCTGGAGGGCCTGGGCGATACCTGAGGAAGAGGAGGTGCACGAGGACGGTGACAAATAAGACGAAAAATTTAAGAGATATTGAAGAAGATACTCTTCAAGTATTGTTGTAATATTTTTAGAGATACTCTACCAGCATCAACCATTTCATTTGTACCACATTACGTATGTCATAAGCAAGTCTTTGTCACAAGCAACTCCTGGTCTGGTCTTCTAAGCAGCCAGGAGGGTCTGAACAAATATAGCAGTACCGAACCACATAGCCGGCATGATGTAGCGGGAGAGACGGGACCATTTGAACATGGCCTTGAAGCCTTCGCCGAATCCCATGGCGCACAGAGTCCAGATGAAAGCGATCAACAACGAAAAGATGTTCACCAAGATGACGAACATTTGCACATTGTAGTTGGCACCATTCAAAGAAGCCTTGTCAGCGAGACCCTTTCCAGCATCCAGAGTGATGAAAACCAGAATGACGATGAGCGGCAACCAACCAGGAACGGTGGACTCGGAAAGCTGTTTTTGATTGTGGTTTGGGGAAGGGATGTTGTACTAAGGGATGTATTTCGTGGGGGATGAACAAAGGGATTGTTCAATTGGGCCTAAAGGCATTGATTTGATGGGAAAAGAAATTATTCTATAATGGATAAAAATGCGAAAAATGATTGTTCATTAGTAGATATTCTAATTTTTGCTGTTGTGTCGGTGTCCTCTCAATCCTCGAATCACAAAGTACCTTCTTCTTAGCTTCTTCTTTCGCTTCCTCTTCCGGAGTAGCCTTGTCCAACGCATCGGTGATGGCGTGCGTGTCCTCTGCATCGACCGACAGGACGGACTGACGCCCTTCCGCGGCACCTCCGCGACGGGCACGAAGACCACCCTCTTCGGTGTCCGGGAAGATGTCCTCATCGTCGTAGTGTCCTCCGATCAGCGGATCAGCACTGTCCTCCACGACAGTATAGTCATCCTCGCGCACATAGTGCGGAGCATGAGCGTTCGGAGCGGTGTACGCGGACATTTTCTTTTGTGAAGTTTCAGTGAGGGGTTGAAGTTCAGTAGTTGTACTTCTCAGGAGTTGGAGAGAGTGGGTGATTTTTATCCAAAACAAGTTCTGTTGAACAACCTACTAGTTCTAGTCGTGCTTATCTTCTGATATAGAAATATGCAAGAACTAGTACTACTTTCTACTCAGTTGTATGGAGAAGTTCAAGTGGATGTTGATGTTGTCTTAACTAATCGCAAGACGAAAACTATTGTTCTTGTTGTTAAATAGACAATTACTCAACTAACAGTTAAGTGACAGCCTATCAAGCCTGTGAATGAAAGATGACGATGAAATATCGATGGATGATAGAGGAGAAACTCAGCGCAAGAACCGCAATCTAGAAATTGATAGCTTGGATCTACTGTCCGATTTGGATCTTCTCAAAGGTGGTCGACGAGATTTTTAGATCTTGTATCGTAGTGTGTAGAAATGAGGATCCGGATCTTCTTGTTTTAGATCGTCTTTGAGCTTCTGAACTCCGATTTTGGGTGATCCAATACGATGTTCTTATCGGTGCTAACGTTGAAAAAAGGTCGCAAATTCTTATACAAAAATTTGTCACGAATTCGGCGTGGTGCACTGCATGCAGTGGGGGAAACGTGGAAAAACTCCAACGTATAAGATAAGTTAGCTGCGTGGAAGAGGGCAGAGTCAAGATGATCGTGGAGAAGGATGCAACGAAGACCGTTGATGTTGAGGAACTAATCATAGATTTCTATTTCACTCTGTAGAACTAGAAAGGACGAGGACAGTCGCATTTCAATTTGTTGATTTGATCACTCAGCAAATTAAGTTTCTGATAAATGTCTGTCACTATCTTCATTAAGGGCTGCTCTCAAAACAGATACCAGGACAGAGAAGCCTGTCAAAGCGGGCATGCCTCAAATTTTGAACAGAACTGTTGTGAATCCGTGAGAATGACAACCCAATTTGCTTTAGAGCACTTATAGTATACCACTCTCTTGAAGGACTCGTAGTTTCAAGAGAACTACACTTCGTATTAGTACCAGGTGAAGTTCAATATTTTTTGAGGTAACTCACTTACATACAAAGATGATCGAAAGATTCAAAGCCTAGTAGGTGTCAGTCTTCTGCGTTTTTCATTTCATGTTCTGTCCAAGGACATGGGGGTCACGTCAGTCTTCTGCATTTTTCATTTCATTTTCTGTCCAGATATTTCCGAAGGCTTTTTTCCATATTACGACACAAAAATACAAATTCAGTGCGTTTATGCTCATAAATGCCATAAAGTAGAACTGTGTCCAGGCTTATATGAAAGATTTGTCTATCACTGAATTGAGTAGTGGTGGTGATGCTGTCAGTCTCACTCTTCTTACTTTTTTGATGATATAAGTTCTCGTTTTTGAAATCGAAACCAGCTACGTAAAAAACTTGCTCATGATTAATTACACGAAGGAGATAGAGATACTCTATCTCTCATCTCGTCTAAAAATTATGTGAAGGGAGTATATTGTTGCACGGGATAAGCCTACTAATGTGATCGAGGTGAGCCTGATTATGTGAAGGGAACTATAGTCTAACTCACTGTACACGGCTGTCATTGTGAAGGAAAAGGAGAAAGCAGCACTCGTCAACCACCTCCTACTCAATCTGTGTGGTCTACGCCATAAATCGTAGATTTCCCGGAACGATGAAAAGACCGTGCATTACCATGCATGTGTCGAAGAAAGGGCCTGGGTAATGAAAAAGGATCTACTGGTCTCAGTGAGACAGTGATGCTCTTTCAGAACAGGGTTAGGGTTATGATGCTCAGAACTTGATGCTCTTCGATTTCTTATGTCTCAGAACAGTGATGCTCTTCGGTTTCTTTCTCTAAAATTAAATCTCTAAAATCTATTTTTTGCGCCTTCTCTTAAATCCTCTTTTGGCACATGATGAAGTCCTTTGTTCCTCTCAACACGAAGATGTTCTTGAGACAGTCTATCCTCTTCGACGCCATAAACTATCCGCAGCGGAAAATACACGAAGAATAGGGCACGATAAAGTCTGCGAATACTGTGTCGTCCCGCACGCATCATCAGCTTGAAAAAAGCAAGCACGGCTCCAGAGAGATCGATGCGCTTCTTAGAGAATGCAAGGAGCAATCTCCAACCTGCACAACAAGAGTGTACTAGCAGAGTCGATTCTGTAGTTTGACAGTTAACTATTCAAAGACACCTCCAAGTTCCATCATGCACACTGAGCAGACACGTGCTTACACTGAGTCACCTTCCACAGGCCGTAAATATGCTCAAGTGGCACAACACCCGCATGTCGATTCTCGTTTGTGTGGCAAAAAGGATGCAAAGCGGAGCGCCAACATGATGCATCAGCGTTTCGTGATCGATTTTTCCAAATCGGGAATACACAGCCCAACTGTCGAACACTTCGTAACTGATCTCGAAACTGAATGTCGCAAGTGCTAAGAATGTGCTCTGGGTGAGCCAGGCTAGAGCGGAGCCAAGGACGACGATGGAATTATGTGCAACGATGTACCACAACTCTAGGTCTGTGCGTCCGTACTTTCTTCTGGGAGGACGGTGCCTCGTGAAAAAGAAACCGAATAAACAGCCAAGCAAATTGCATACCAGCAATATTGGGAGAAGTGTCGAGAAAATCGGAATAGGGCCAAAGGGGATATGATCGTCTTCTCGTCCTGTGCTCCCACTGCCAGGCGTCGTACTAGATGAGGACGTTGAAGACGATGTCGAGCCAAAAGAAGGTGCCTGCTGTCCACCGAACCCATCGCCAAATTTTGGAGTCAAAATGTCATGAAATCCAGCTTCCTCGACACCAATCTCCGGCAATGACGGGTAATACGGAAAAAAGACCCACAGCAACGAAGTCATGGCTCACTATCTTTCGACACAAGATTCACGTAGACATACTTCGAGCAAGACTGTCTTCTTTCGCACAGACGTATCGCTTGCATAGCATGAATATGAAATCAATCACGTCAAAGACTATGTTGAGTAGTGCGTTGATTTTCACATTGAGATTTCTTTCATACGTACCCGCGCTCGCAAGTATTGTATCCATTAGAGGTGGTTCTCATTCTCTCATCCCTAAAAAGACAGATCTTCGTCCACGCCAAAATCTACATCTGCTGCCATTATTCGACGCTCATAGTGCCGCGCCTCACGGTCACGTGAAACGCTTTCGCCGCAAGGGTCTCGCATGAAGAAAGCTCCTCGCTGTACATTCTCGAATGATGTGCTGCTGCTTCTTGAAAGAAACTAGGAAACATTTGGAACTCAGTTTCTTCCTTCTGCGCTTCTGCCCTGCACCGTCTGGGGCAATATTAAGTTGCATCTAGTGGAGTGCATCAGGTACATTAGGAGCAGCATTGAGTGGGCCCATGTTAAAGATTATGGCTCTTCATTTAAGTTAGCAGCGTCTTATGTTGTTGCCATTCAGATGCTTTTCTTACGGTACCAAATGATTCTGGCGCAAATGGACTTCTTCTAGTTGAGTTTTGATGTTGTGTTGATTATTATTATTCTTCATTATATGTGGACAGGGCCCTCGTACTAGGCTACTCCGGACAGGTACACTACTCGAGGAGCTAGCTGAGATGGAGCCGAAGCATCGGGCTCCCGAGTTCTACGGCCAATCAAGTCACAGAGTTAGTTTGATTATGTTCATTCATCTGTTGGAACATTGTAGTACGTTTGAATTGACCATGCACATTCAGCCTCACACAGCTACTCCCCGACCTTAGTTCACAGTTGATCCACGACTACGCCTTTACCTAATCTCCATTGAGTGCAGACGTGAAGCTCATATTAGTGATTATGTTCATTCTGTTGGAACATTGTAGTACATTGTAGCTCGAATCTTGCACGACTGGGGAGTGCACATTTTCGTGTTGGACGAGACGAGTCATGGGCTAATTAGTGAGTTGCATGCAGACCTTTTTTCCTTCTCTTCTTGATGTTGGACCATCTTCTTCTGCAGCGCTGCATCGTAATGCTCGATTGCCTTGGCGATATTCTTCTCAACGCGCCTTTCGGTTCTCCGTCTGATAGAAATACACGTTTCGCAGGTATCCTTCGTTTCGACGGAAGATAACAACTTGATTTCCACGATATTCTTGGCGTAGAAAGCGATGATCGCTTTTGATTTCCGGACCAACAGGGATGAAGCTGGCGTGTCTGCTTTTGCTCTTACGAGGCCAAATGATTCATCGATGCTCATGCCAGCTCCCGCCTTCTTCACTCCGCTTAGGTTAGGTTAGGTGTGGGCCCACTAGGTAAACCAGCAGACTTCACTCCGCTTTCGTCGAAACTACCATGTTCACTTTTGGTGTAAGGTGAAGCACCTGAAGTGGTTGAACCTGAACCCGTATGTCGTACTGCAGAACAGATGGACCCTGATCCTGAACCGGCTGTACCTGATCCCGAACAAGTGGAGCCCGAAGCTGATCCTGAACCGGCTGGACCCGATCCCGAACAAGTGGAGCCTGAAGCTGATCCTGAAGTACCTGCAGAGCATGCAGAACCACATAGAAGGTATGTTGAGGTATGTTGGTCTCAATGATCTGTGTCACCAATTGCCTTGAGCAGCAAACCATGATGAAGCGTGATCCTGAACGGGAGCGTAGTCTTGAAGAGGAGCTTCTTCGGTTTCCAAGATTCCTCGGACCTTTCTTGTAGTTGTTGTTAGACCGTTTCGCCCATTTCGTCTCCGCATGGTGGGCAGGTAATTGCGACGACTTGGATTTCCATCTCGTTGGCCACCTCCGAGCTGATCCACCTCCGTGCTGATCCACCCAGAGGATCAACAGCAGATCCTGAATACATAATATCAATATAGATTGATATGCTTTTTCCCAGAATTTTTATAGTCTGCAGGCACAGGTTGTCCAGAAGAGGCTGAGGCAGAAGAATACGCAGATTCCTGATCCTGAGTTTAACCTCGATTTGAGAAATAAAAGCTTCTTGATCAGGATAAGACTCTCATCTACCTCTCTTCATTCTCGGAGTCTGCTCTATCGTATGCGCAAAAAAGACCATTTTTCCTGTGAGGAAGGATATATCTTCCACCTGAGTTCCTTTTCCAATTGTTTAGCCAATTGCCTATTCGGGTCAACATCTTGACCAATGTGGGAGTGGCCCGGCAGTTCCACGGCCCTAGAATTTCCAGCATCTTTTGATTTGGTTTCACCATCACCTGCACCGTTCTCTGCCACGTCTTTTAATAGAGCAGCACGTGGAACGAGTGTAAATTCGTCAGCACAAGGCTTCATCTGCTCGTGTAGCGCTAGTGAGGAAGCTGGAGTGAGGACCAGGGTGTTTTCATGAGATTCCTCCTCGTCCTGAAGGCTCAACGTAGGACGTGGCAAGAGGAGAGCCCTCTTTGCTTACGTATCTATATTGAATGGGAAGAGTGCAAGCTAAATTCTATTCTGTGCACCCTTGATAGACATGTTGCATCTACCTGCAGGATGAATCGATGTGACAAGACGACACAGATGATGACCAGACTCGTTCTCTCCTCTTCTTCTGCTGAAAGGACCGACCGCCTTCGCTATGACGAGACCACGAAGCAGACGATGACCCAGGGTTCTCGAAGATGAAACCTCCTAGCAATACGACGACGAAGGTCCCCCAACGCTTTCAGTCCCTCTTGAAAAGTATCTTCAGACGCCCCACCTCGGCCACGGAGTGCATCTTGAAAGCTCGACCGTGAACGTGAAGGTGAAGGACGTTTTAGATTCCACTTCTCTTTTCAACAATTTTTTTTTTGTGAAAAGGGAATTAGATTCGACGGCTTTCTCTTCTGAGAAATGAACAAGTTCTTGATAAAAAAAAGTAGATACTAATGTAGTCAATTTGAATCAATAAGAGTATCCCCGGTAATTAAAATTCGATTCAATGACATATTACCGGACACATAAAGATAACAACTGGCTGATGCCACTCTCTTGTTTTGGTTGATGACTCAGTCAGTCAGCAAATCTTTCTTGTTATCTCTCAGTTTATCGTTTTTTTGAAGCTTCCACAACTCTTCGCAAGAGAAGCCAGAAATTTTCGTCAAATCCAAAAAACTGCCCATAGACATGATTCAAGAGGAGGTCCATTTTCTGTTTCGTCCTCCTGATCACCTGTAGAGGAGAACCATCATGAAATACAATCCAAGCAGAACGAAGATCCCAAGTAGGGTAAACTGACTCTATTCATCTTGATCTACTTTCGCTGTATGGATCGGGATCCAGAGAAGCAAATTACGTATATCAGGATCCCTAATATTTCGATTGAGTCGCTCTAGTGATTCTTACCATGTAAAATCGTGACAGGTTAGCTACAGTGAACTTCATAGTGACAGTCAAACTGCGAGTCTGACAGTCAGCGACGCTGATCACCATCCTGCTTCATGACATAAACACAGGAGCTTTATGTGATGGTCCGCTGCTAGCAGACTATTTTCTGTCCCACACCTCTATAAGCTGGTTCCGGATCCACTATTGTTTTGAGAAGTCATGTCCCACCTCTCGATCATTGCAGCTTTTTGTTCTAAGACAGTGAGACAGCGATTACAACGTTTTTAGAAAAAAACCAAGACAAAAGGTAGCCTTTTGGATCATGGTCAAATTCAGCATGAAGGGATTGCGGATAGACGAACTGATGCTTACGATATAGAATGTTAAACCAGAAAACAAAGCTAAAATAGACGAGCTTTTCTAAGAGATCTCAGAGAAGCCCCCGAAGCTCTACAAATTAATTACTTACATACAGTTAGATATGATCCAGGGCTTGGGGCTGCCGGCACCCCCCCCACGGGGGCGTCTGCCGGGGGTGGAAGGCCTCAAAAGGGGGCCAAGTGGGCGCCTTCGCTCCCTTCCAGGTGCTTGGCTCTCCCTAGGTCATTGGTTTGCTTGCACTTGCGACCGTGGCCGACCTCGGCGGCCTTTTACCCCGGAGACCTCCCGCGTGCGAGCGTCAGCAAAGGCCAGGAGGTCCCGGAGGAACCGGCTGAGAGGCTCAAGGGGAGACCCGCGCCAAGTTTGGACGCCTTCCCCCACTAAATTCCGCGCCGAAATGCGCGCGGACAAGCGCGCGCGCGCCACCACAGACCAGACCACAGGGGGGGTACCGCCCAGCCCTAAATCATATATAAGTTCTTCTTCCATGAGAAACAATCACCCACTATGCTGTGTTCACCCAACAGCAATGAGTGGCCCACTTTTACTTAGATCAATCCTCGATTCATACATTGATGAAGATAGAAGTTTTGAAGTATCAATCACAACAGGAAAACCGATGACATAGGCAAGACAGGTAATGAAAATGGTGAAGCCTTTTGTAATTCAATTTCATTCAGTGCTGTGCATGTCCATTTTAAGTAAAAATGTTCTTTTCGACGACGGCAGTATGATGCTTCTGCTGTTCATAGTAGTAATAGCAGTGGTAGTCAGCCTATTCACGATATAAAATGTCCAAAGTGCGGTCTAAGATTGCTGACTTCTCCTTCCTGTCTAATCTTGCTGAATTCTCCAGCGCAGTCGCGCACCACGATTCTAGTAGTGTTTTCCCAGAGTGTTCCCCCAGCGATTCGATACGTTCTGTCTGGATTCCAGAGTCCGGTGTCAAAGCTTTTAGCCAGTTCCAGAATCCTCTTTTCTTCCATGAGCACGGTTTTTATCAGCAGAGTACATGGAGGAGAGAGGATTCAAGATCTTGTAAAGAACGACGCCCTCAACGCAAGTAGACTTAGATCTTACAACGGATCTTACTAGTATAGCGAGGGATCTTAGCGGAGTTTGGATCTTACAAGGCATGATCGCATGATCCTAGTGCAACTGCTACAAGGGACGATCCTAGTACGACAAGAAATGTTGATCCTCCGCGAGATGATCTTAGTACTTACAAGGAATGACCTTGGAATGCTTCCTGTTGTGAACAAATTGGTCCCCAGGCATTTTGTTTGTGGCGCAAGATAGTGGCATCAGAGCAGCTGCTTTGTCTTGTCAATTTCTCCTACCTGTTTAATTTGCATGCAAGTTATCAAACTTTCTACTTCTTCTGATCACGTATATGTAGAATTCTTGTCATGCCATTTGTCTCTGCAATAACTCAACAAACTTTCCGAGTACTAGTAATCCATCTTCCATTACAGGTTTAGAGTTTTAAGATTTCGATATCCTTTGATAAGAGCAGTACTATTTCACCCACTCATGTAAATGCACCTTCTTCTTTCTTTTTTCGCATGTGTCTGTAGTACCTTATTCTTTTCTGTGATTCCCCATAATAATACATTCTCGACTTCCTACTCTTCTTCTAAGATTTTCTCATTCTGACTGTACTCCCTCTCCCCTACTTGTCTCTTCAAATCAAATAATCTTATTTAGTGGTGTATCTAGTACAGTTAAATGAAAGTAGAACAGTTACGTAATCGAGGTAATTACTCTATAATTCGGCTTTGATGGCAATTATTTATTCGCTTTTTCACAGGTCTTCAGCCAGTGATCAATACTCGGAATATCTTCTAGCAAACGGAGAAACGTCTCGGCCAGTGCTTTAGTTTCTCCTTCTTCCAGCGCTTCAGTTTCCCCCTCTTCGTCTTCGTGGTTCATAGAAATGATCGCCTCTAATTCGCGGCGTAAGGCTAATACCAGATCTGAAGTTGAATTAGAATTATCTTCTTCTTCAACGACTCCTCCAAAAGAGAAGGCTTGAGACATCTTCCATATCTGCCGGAACTCTTCGTCCGTTGTTCGCGGGGCGCAAAACCCAGCGATCATATGAACGAGCTGCTTCACTGTAGTCCGTGCAGAAGTAAAGCTTGTATGATCCGCATCAACTTCTCCAGCAGCACACAACAAGTTTCCTTCTGTTACTTGCTGGAGAAGTTGATCTTTTTCCTTCTGTTTCTTCATGGCCTCCATGTCCTTCTCAAGTTGCTGCACCACTCTCCGCCTCCGCAATTTCTGCTTCTCCCGAACAACTCTCTCTCTATCATGCTCTTGTTGGATTAACAACTTCTCGTTTAACGATGCGATGTCTCCTAGTGCATCAAGGAACCCCCGTGCCAGTGCTATAGTCTCCATGTCTTCCAAGGTACTAGTATTGCCGCGCCCGTAGACAGAAATGATCGCGTTCAATTTGCTGGACCAAGGAACGCTTTTTGGTTTTGCCGTCAGACATTTCTCTTGTATCATGCGTCGGACTCGTCTTTGTCCTACTGCTCGATCCGCCTTTTCTGCTTCGAGGTTTCCGTAGCGCTCTTTCACAAATCCATTGATCATGACCACGAGCTCCACCCTTTTCTTTTGCACAGCTTCTTCTATTTGGCGAAATAAACTCGCGTCGTGGAACTTTCCAGCGTCCGAGTCCATTCTTCGTTTGATGAGATCGATTGCCATCCGGAAATCGTGCAGCGCGCCGAATGCTTGCTTCAGGGCTTGAGGCGTCTCTCGAGCTAAAGAAACGGGAGTCGACCGAGATTGTAGCATCTTCTTCGCAGCGTCTTTCCCCAGCGATTCGATACCTTCTGTCAATTCAATAAAGCTTTTAGCCAGTTCCAGAGTTTCCTCTTCTTCCATGAGCACGCTGTTTCTTAATGCGTGCTCGTTATCAGCAGAGTACATGGAGGAGAGACGATTGCCCTTGTAGATAGAAATGATTGCCTCCAATTTGCGAATCAACAGAGAACGTGAATTTTCTGGCTCTCCTTCGGTGTCATCATCACCCGCGGAAGCTTTGGGCCATCGTCCCATTTGTTGTAGGAATTCGAGTCCTGCTTCTCCATTCGTGCTTCGGTTTTTGATGAAGATCTTGTACGATCTGATGTACCGCTCATCCACAAAGCGATTAATCGTGTCAAAGAGCTGCTTCTCTTCTTTCTCGATAACATCCTCTAGTTCTTGGTGGAACTCGAGTGCTTTCTCAGCGCCGAGGGCATCCTCCACCTGTTTTTTGATGGACTCGACCCGGCTTTGGAATTCGTCGTATTTTGCGACAGTTGGCCCCAGTGGGTCTGCGGACTCCTGGTTCTCTAGGAGGCCTTGCCATTCTAATTTTTCCATGAGTATCTGCACTTCCTCATGAAATTGCACAGCTTCATGCGAAAGTACAGTCGCCTTTTGGCACTTCCTGCTTTGTCCTGGACCATCCGAAATCCCACGCTTGACTCCACTTGCACCGTTCTTGGCTGTGACCTTCGGTGTCTGGTTCGACATCTCCCCTCCCCGAACCTTAACGCCTTCAACCGACGAGAGGCCGCATAGCTCTGAAAGAACCAAGGCTTTCGAAAGCGAACAAGAAAACGAATAAATTAACTTCATCGTGTTGTAGGTAGTACAGTAAGACCCAATAAGTTACTGTACAAGAAATTTGATTGGAAGAAAATATGTGGACGATTGATTGGTAAAAATTCGGAGGGAAGAGATCATAAATTCATTGCAATTGAGGAAAAGTTCAGTCGAAATCGAGAAAAGCGTACTCGAGGGTGGAGGTGGTTTCGAAAAATATCAAAAGATATTAATGCGTTGGTGTCTAATGATCCAAAAAAATCTGGTGGCGAATGGCGTTAGTTTTTGCAAAGATCCAAAAAAATCTAGTGGGGAGACCTATTTATCCTGTTGTAAAAGATGCGCTTCAGCAGAGAAGCAAATTCTTAGTTCTTGGTAGATCCCAAGGAGAAGCTCCTAGTCTTATCACATGTCGGAGCCAGACCGACTACATAAGTAACTACGTCTTCTATTCAAGTAGGGTCCTAGTTCATTCATTCACTCCTTCAGGGTCGCGGTTCGGGACCATCTTCATCCGTGAGACACTCGCCCAAGCGGACTACACTGACATTGAGAGTACTGTGATCAGGATCTCATGAACGATGGCTACAACAGGTTCCGAAGTGGATCTGCAAATTTTACCAGAACGGATCGTAGCAGTACTATTGCAAGGGATCTTAGCGCAATTTGCATCTTACAAGGCGTGATCTGAAAATCCTGGTGCAAGGCATGATCTTACAGCTGCAAGACATGATCTTACAAGGACTGATCCTAGTGCAAGTGATGATCCTACGAGAACAACACGCAATGTTTCACGTATTGATCATGAGATGATGCACAGCGAGGAAGACGGTGTCGTCAACACAATGGTCGGCCCTTCATTGTCCATAAGCGCTCGTCGCACTCAAGCCATCTATAACTACAGAAGTGAGAGTGGAGCCATCTAATAGAAGTGAGAGTGGAGCCATCATCTAATAGAAGTGATAGTGGAGCCATCTAATAGAAGTGATAGTGGACCCATCGTTTCGTAGCATTGTCATAGCGAAGCCATCAGATAGTAGTCACAGTGCAGATAGCCAGTAATTAGTGACAGTGCGGATACAGCTGACCACGATGTCACTGACAGCCAGAAACAGCATATTACACGTCGATACACCCAGGACAGCATTATACACGTTGATACAACTAGGACAGCATACACGTTGACACAACTCAACTAGGACAGGACACAAGTACGCTGAGCATCAGTGTCAGAGTCAGACAGATGACAGAATGAAAGGTATTATAACATAGCGCGTTGGTTGAAATCATTGCTCCCGCCGTTGTCTCCACTCTTTATCCTCGCTCCCGTCGTCTCCATAACACCACTCTTCCATCGAAATCGGCGCTCGCCAAAAACGCGTCGAGTCCAGAGGCAAGGTTAGAGCAGGTTGATAGATTCTTGCACTCTTTTCATTTCAGTCCTTGGAATTGAAAGAATTCCTTCCTACTCCTATCGGACTCTTTAGATCGTCCTTGGTTTCTATCCTAATCCTATGTCATGTCATGGTACCTCTTCTGTAGCTATTAGTGTCTACTTATGATCGAAAAATTCTGTAATTACAACATCATCACCCTGACTCATCTTCCAGAGAGAATATTACAAAGTCGACGAGAATATGCGAAATATAGTGTGAGCCGTAACAAGAACAGACACTGTTCGCTGGGACGTCGAAGTGATTTTGAAATCCGCCTTTGAGGTTTCGCGTTAGAATAGAGCAAAAGGAGAAGGAAGCTTTTGGGTTTCTCCATAGGACTTCTCTTCTACTATCACTATGATGTTCTCCGGCTGTCGTTACTGATCTTCTCTGCAGCACCTTAACCTTTTCTAGCTACTTCGTGGTTGAATGAACGGGTAGTCAAAGTCAGGATGGACACTATATCTGCAGTCTTAACTTTCCATTTCTTCAGTGGATTCTTCTACGGTTGCGCGCCCGCCAACCTTCACGATAAAGATATCCTTCCCGCATGACCCTGCGATTGCATAACCTTCTATCGCGTTCGACAAGGCTTAGCGACTATTGTGCCAATCTTCTATCAACCAACTAAACAGTCTCGGACTCAAACAATGAATGTGTTCCACAGCTTCTTCTAGTCCATTTCAATTGCTATTACCTCATGAAGAATGATCTTCAAAGTTAAATAAATAGTAACCGCTATTACCTCATGAAGAATCTTCAAAGTTATAAATAAGTAGTACATCGTTTTACTTTCGCCCTTCAAGAATTACAACTACTACCGCAAACGAAGAACTTCTAAATTTTGTTCACCAAATTGTAATTGATAGCCCTTTAATCATAAGCGAAATTCGCCACAGATGAGTCCTCTTCTTCGCTGCGGATGCATTTATTGACAGGTGCGTCCTCTAGTTGGTCTAGGCGAACATCCGTCAAAAAGGCATTGACCTCGTTGCGAGTCTCTTCATCTCCTGCTACCGGTGCTGTGTTAGTCTCTAGTCGTACTGGTTCTTCGGTGTCCGACCCTGCAGTCGTTTGATCTTGTTGCGCTACTTCAGACTTCTCTGGTTTTTCTTGTTGATCTATTCCCAGTGTCTTGCTTCTATTTTCAGTTAAATGACGCGGCTCCTCTGAGCTCAACGTATCTGCTGGCTTCTCAGTAGTGCAGTCGAGTTCTGGTGCTACATCTTCTTCCTCCTCCTCTGTTAATATCAGCGGCACAAAACAGTTCTTCAACGGTACAGGTCGCAAAGGCGCAACAGTCTGTACAGTCCGCCGCACACGTAATCGCTGCAACGTACTATTGTCATCTCAGACTTAGATGTTTTATCCTCCATGCATCTTTCATCTAGAAGAGATAGTACATCCTGGAGGGTGCCTTTTTCCCTTGAATAAGGAGACCATTTCATGTACTGTTTGATCCATCTTCAAAATTTCGAATTCGCTAAAATGCGAATCAATCTCTTCTCTGAACAATTATATGGACTATTAGGGGAAGCCTTAATCATCGTACAAAGCATCGACTAGGCTTACGTGACCATTCGCCAGAGAGACGACGAACAGAGCGCCGTTCCCTTTCCGCACCAGTGTCATCCACGTGACCGGCGCGCCGCGGCCACTGCCCACTATCGGTAAACGCATCGTGTTACGGATGACGAAGGAACTGGTTTGTGTGTTGAGGAGGTCCGATGGGTGTAGCTATTTTAACGTAAACTGTTGTGAACTGAATTCTACTTCCTGAGCAATTAAACGTTGGAGGTCAAAAAGATTAGACAACATCGATTTTCAAAATTGCCCAGCCTTCCCCCCTCTTAGTGGGGTCGCTATTTTGACAAGGAGCGACATCACACGATAGTGATCGGAAATGACGCACCTAGCCAATGTAGTTATTTCAACGTAAAGTGTTGTGAACTGAATTCTACTTCCTGAGCAATTAAACCTATTTCACCGTAAAGTGTTGTGAACTGAATTCTACTTCCTGATCAATTAAACGTTGGAGGTCAAAAACATTAGACAACATCGATTTTCAAAATTGCCCAGCCTTCCCCCCTCTTAGTGGGGTCGCTATTTTGACAAGGAGCGACATCACACGGTAGTGATCGGAAATGACGCACCTAGCCAATGTAGTTATTTCAACATAAAGTGTTGTGAACTGAATTCTACTTCCTGAGCAATTAAACCTATTTCACCGTAAAGTGTTGTGAACTGAATTCTACTTCCTGATCAATTAAACGTTGGAGGTCAAGAACATTAGACAACATCGATTTTTAAAATTGGCCAGCCTTCCATCCCCTCAGTGGGGTCGCTATTTTGATAAAGAGCGACATCACACGGTAGTGATCGGAAGTGACACACCTACCCAAAATGGAAAATCGAGCAGACCCTCCACCTCATGTTGGGAGCACATTTTTGCGACTTTTGGATACGTGACGGTGGACGTGCCGAGAGGCTGCACTTCTGCTAGAACTTCTTCAAGCACATAGCACTTTCGTAGCACTATATGCTGTTTCAAACGACTAAAATATATCATATAAGTACGTTTTCCGCTCCCCTCGTCCTCCTCCTTCGACAATGTCTAGCACTCTGAGACATCCATTTTTGGTCCCTGCGACCACTGCTTTGCGGCCGTCGTAGCAAAGACACCAAGTCTCATACTCTTCAGTCGCAATTTCATCAACTGCCTGCAAACAGCGCGCGTTCTTTGGACACGTCTCCGATCCGGGAGGTGCCCTTTCAGTTACAGGCGAACCAGCGGAAGATGCGTCGACTACCTGAGAAAAGAACTTGCACATACAAACTCTTAGTTCTTCTTGTATGTTTAGTACCTTTACGTTTATCTTCTCCAAACTTCGGGGAAGATCCTCCTGTAGAAGTCAAATTGCTGCACAGGTCGTTAGAAGCCAAAATGTTCTGTACATAATGAATTTCACAGGACACTCAACATCAAAACAACTCAACATCAAAACAAAGGAATATCAAACCTGCAATTTCTGCAACGACGTCGCATACATGAGGTAAGTGCTGTGTGCTGTTGCTGGGAGCAAAATCGCCGTGCCCATAATTAAAGGCCAGCAGTCATTGGTCAGCGACTCTGAACGGGACGAGGGACCCCACATAACCCCTTCTAAGCTTGTTTTCCCTCACTTTTCCCCTGTTGGTTCTTTCAAGGAGACCACTCTTCTTCGATTTCAGTGACCCCAATCTATATGGTGACCCCAATCTAAATGGGCTCTCCAACCTCTATGACTGACCATTGAAAGTCGAGCCTTAACATAACCATCGCTGGATCCCAATGGGCCAGTAGGCACTCAGCCCTTCCGCAATCCCAAATTAAAATCTGCCTATCTGTAGCGACGGACAACAGTCTCAAATGCTCGAATTCGGGAAAAGCGTCTCCGCGTTTCGGAAAACGCGTGTTAGAGAGATTTTTGTCATTGTCATCACGACTTCTACTGAGAGCCTCAGAAGTCCTCGTCATCTCACTAGATGTAGTTGACTACATTCATAAATCTATAAGTACAGATTGATAACACTTTTAATCCTAGAGATCTGGACCTAGAGTCCCTGCAGGAATCCGATTCCTGGAATAGTGACTCACTACATAACTTTATCTGCTTGATCCAGCATCCCACGTCCATCCAGAAATTGGACCTTAGTGATCGTACGTTCGTGGCCTGGAAAGCGGACTATGTCTGGCGAAACGACGAGCTCCGTAACCACCTTTTTCCTCCTCCGAAACCTAGTCTCCTTGGTCTTTAAAGCAATCACGGTAAATTTTAACACTCACAGGACTGTTATGGGAGTGCGAAGTGCAAGGAAAATGAGGCACAAGCGATTAGCCTTTGGATGACATTTAAAGAAACTAGTGTGTATCACTTGGATTATCATAGGTGTCACTGGAAGAATACTTCAAAAAATCTCCAACGGCTACTTCTTCTAGAAAATTCGAATCTATTTTTTGATAATTCTGTCCGAGTCTATTATAGCCACCACTGATATAACTTCCTTCCACATGATGATGATCCTGGCACTTTTGCTCCAGCAGATGTTTTACACGAAGAGAGTGCAGCTTCCTCATCCACATCTGGCAACCCATTGGCGTCTTCGAGGGATGATATCGAAGAAGAGGGCACTAAAGATGCCGCGTTGTCTTCAGAATCTTCATCGATAGCAGAATCTGCGGTTCCCTGAAGATCTGCATCGTCGTAATTTCCACCGCCTTCATTTGTTGCTCGTTCCCTCGTATCCTCATTGTCAGTCTTGATTAGAGCTACCATACACATAGTGGTATGCGAACCCAACATGGATCATTGTAGTTCAGCCTCACATTTATTCTAGCATCTTCTAAATCATGAAGTCTTAACTCTTCGTCGACCTCTCGTTCCACCGTATTAATCCGCGCCATGCAGAGCAAGCCACTTTTCCCACCAATGGCTAGGTAAAAGGTTCGAGCGAGATGCTTTTTACGATCCGCCGGAGCTGGTCGTGCGTGCCCCAATACGTCTGAAGAACAGGCCATTGCCAATATAGGTTCCGAATGAAAAACACCGTCGTAAAAGGGAACCTGGTTGTAGCAAGCTAGGGTCTTCATGGGTAAAAATCTAATAAACGAGATGAACAAAAAACACCAACATAAATCCGTTTTTATCAATATAATACCTAAAACCTATCTGTATAAGTACTTAATACCAGCTTCGTCCTTCCAACCTCTTGCGCTTCTGTTCTTCCACCTCTTGGGTCTTGCGCAGAAGGCACTATTCTACCAGCCATGAAATCCTCAGGTAAGTCTGTTGCGGGTTCCTTCTTCGTTACGACTCGACGTGATGAACTGCTACCAGACGAACTGCTAGAAGAAGCAGTCGGTGGAGGATGGTATGAAGGGAGAAAAAGCGGGCACAAAAGCAGGTCATCGAGGTGAGAATCATTCAAATGTAGACTTCAAAAAGGGTAAGTACTAAGTAAAGCGAAATAATTCGGAAGAAAAATATTATAGAAGTAGATGCAAAAAACAGGGGGACACTTAAATATATACTTACTTAAAGTGTTCCAGAGCCACAGAAAAAAACAGAGCAGCAGGATGCATTTGCAAACACGACCATTACAATCCTGCTTCGTTCAGTCATAAATAAACAGGTTGAGAAGGCGCAGAATAGATGCCTTGGTCTCCCCATTGCAGCAGCTCGCCAGACGCTCCACACGAACTCGTCCGACCCAAAATAGCACTAGTGCCTCCGCCAGCCGCCTCTGCTGCACCGCTTATTCTTAGAGCTGGGCAACGGGTGAAATCACGTCTTAAATACCAAGTAGTACTGAATAAATTGACTAAAGATCATGAACTACGAATTCTAAAACTGTACGAATATAAAGTTAAACTTGTATTATTTTCATCAGCCTTAAGCTCCTGTTGTACTGGTGATACTGGTGGCTAACAGCATCCTGTGACAGGTGTTCTGCTCTAGGACCAGACGACGACGACGATTTCTCCATGGAGGTTTGTTGACGTAGCTGTGGGTGATTGTGTTCAACATCTAAGTCGCCAGGCCCAGTCAAAGATGTTGAAGCTTCTTGAGCACTTCCACCACCTCCCGACAGCTCTACAGACCTACTGCTATTTCCACCATGATTTTCAATGTCAGACGCAGACGGCCTCCCGCTATTGAGCAGCTGCAGACTTCCTGAGGGACGAATACCATATGATGTTTCCAAAGTATCCAAGGCACCTCCAGCACCCATTGAGCTCGAATTTGTCACGTCCGACAACTGTACTTGTTGACCATCATGCTCAACATCAAAAGTACTTGAATTCGCGTCTTCGATCTGCCCTTCCTCTAGTTTGACGATTGCCTCGACAAGGTCACATAACGGCAATTGTCTTTAGATGAAGCAGAACGGTTCTTATAGGAGAGGGAAGAGCAAGGCGGGTGAGCTGGGGTTTTGACTATAAGAGAGTGAAGGGTTAGACGGTGATTAATTGAAGACTACAAGTTGTATTGCGAAGAACGACAAGAAGAAGTATGAGAAATATTGTTACTCGTGGAACAAGAAGTATGTCTATCATCCTTCACGAAGAGAGAGAGCAGGACGAATTGCTCTGTCAGTATGGCGATACGACAGCTCCTTCACAAAAACTTAAATAGCGTATGACGAGAGCATAGCCAGTAGATCTTAATAACAAGCTTCCCTAATCTATCTCAACGTCTAGCTGTAACGCAGCTCCGACTTCTGGCCGTTCGTCGGTTACTATATCCGAGTACACCACACGGACCTCCGGTGGAATGACCAAGTCGTCGTTCTGATGAGGAGCAACATCAGCGAATGCACTAGATTCAGCAAGTCCTTCTACGGCAGCTTCAGCTCCTGGCTCTAAATTGAAGCTCAGCACTCAATGGTCATCATGATGCTGAACGGAAGAGACCCCCTTCAAAGCTCTCCCCTTTCCCTTCGTTTACTTCCGCTGTTCTACTCTCAAGGGAAGGTCGCTTCTTCGATCTCAGTGACCAACCCCTATGACCATTGAAAGCTGAGCCTTAACTAAAGCAGATTCGAATGCTGATCCTAGCACCCCGGGTTCAACTGCAGGTTCTAGATCTAGATGAACACCAGCACGACCATCATGATGTTCTTCCTGCTCTCCAGGTGTCAATGTGCCATGTAGATACTCCGTTCCGGAGGATAGCTGAAGGATCTGCTCAAACGTTGGCAAAACTGATGAGCCGACTCCTTGTTCTACACCTCCTCCAACTTCTACAGGAGTAGATCCACCGCCAATTTCTATAGTTGTTCTGCTCAATTTGGCGAGCGGTTCTAGGGCTCCCGTGCCTGCTGCTGTCATCGCAGGACCAGGCACAGGTCCTACTTCCATGGTTGTATATTGGAGGTGGAACTACTTGAAAAGGTCGTTATTGTTGTTACACCACTTATTTCGTTTAAACTATGCTTTTGCGGTAGTAGTGGTCGTGTTTTATTTTCTACTCTTTTTATCGATCTTTTACCTACCTGCCGCTTCTGGAGGTCCATTTCTTTTCCATTCTCCCACACACAGGATTTCCCTCTCGCAATGCCATCGCTCCTCATACCGATTTAATGAAATAAATTCATGCCTCTGTTTTACAAGACTATCTTGTTCTTGCCCCAACATTTGAAATGCACTATTCATTTCTCAATCCCCATGCAGAGGAGCTGCAGCGTAGAAAACTATACAACTAATTTGAGTTTCAAACTACAGCTACCATGTCGCTTTAGTAGAGAAGCAGGACAACGTCGTAAGTGCCATTGCTTCTAATACTTTCGGGTGTCGTCATGCGCAGTTTTTTTCTCAAAAAATCAAAATTTTGTTGTAATTCAAAAGTCTGTCATCATCAGGATAGAAAATGATCCGCTAAAAGTTATGCAACAAGACTCTTTTTAAACCTCCCCCAAATTTCGCCCTTTCAATTCTGAAGTTGACACACAAGCACGAAGACCGTGCTTTTTATGTACTATGAAAGTTGTACATGATTGGAGAGAAGAGACTCTATCACCAAGGTACACGAGGACTGCCCAGATCTAGAGCCGAAAGAACCATCGTCCCATCTCTGTAGTACTACAGCAACACCATCCCGTCATCCTCAGCCCACTTTTGGTCAGTCCTTAGATCGAGATTTCCAGTCAGGCTCTCCAGAAAACCACACCGTTTAATCTCGAACGCTTCGTGTAAGGCATCATACATCTCCATCTCCAAGCACAACTGGGCCAACTCCTCTTCATCCCTAATCAAAAAGCAAAAGCAACACGACGAATTCAGGTTCTCAAAAGCAAGCTTGAAGAGACAAGGACGACCGTCGGAATCTGTTTTGTTGATGTGGAAAGATGATCATCCTTTGAAGAGGAAGAGACACCCCATCAACAAGAAAAGCAAAGGTAGTCAACAAAGCACAGTCTTAGTCATATTAGAGGTAGGTTTTTGGTGCTCGCTTACCCCGCTTTTTATGCCTTTCTCATCCTAAGGGAGAGAGGCATAAAAAGCGGTAAGAAAAGCACCTTTAACCTACCCTTAATCATAACATTTAAGTACTTTTCAAAGCATGCCATGAGCTAATGTCCATCTCCGCTCCGTCAAGAGCTGCTCGTGTCTCCACATGGGGGTCAAGATAGTAACAATAGGTGTCACTTGCTGCTATGAAATAGTGCGCTGAGGTTGCCGTATCACCACCTGTTGTGTGATGTGGAAGATGTTCCATTGTGTTCGAACTTTCGCACGCTTGGGAAAGATCATGAGAATCAAAATTGATGAAGCCTCGCTCTAGAAAATTTATCGCAAGAGTAGTACAGTACGTCGCAATGATGCAAATTGAGTGAGGACAGGAAAACGAACAAACCAGAAACAGAATACCATCAGTCTTAAAACTAAGAGCAATCAAATCTTAATCGTACATGCTAATCCCTGAAAACTCGGCAATTTGAAGACTTGCTTTATCGCCTCTGTGTATTCTGGGGATACGCTCTGATGCGGACCCAATTTCTTACATAGGAGTATGATGACGTTCTTGTTGCCGACTAACTTCGCACGAACTTCATCTGGGTCCAACAGCTCATCAAATACGCAAACTCTCGCATGATGTGCGAAGGACCCGGTTGTGGTGGGACCTCCTGTGGACGATGCTGTCAACGTACTTCCAGTCGCACCCCCTCCAGGTGCACTACTGGAGGATGATGTCCCACCGATTTCATCGAATATTTTTTCGATTGTCTTGGCCGCTGAAAATGGTCCGAACCAGGTTCCAGGCTTCCGGTTAAAACATGTAGCCCCAATCCTACAAAAATTGTGCACACTGAAAAACGCCTTTTCGTTGTCGACGAAGAGCTCTTTCACAAATTCCCTTTCCTGTGGTTCGTCGCGGGTGCCCTTAGAGGTTGATTGTTGCAGAAACAGGAATGAAGATGGACACTCTAGTTGTAAAAACGGAAGCATTGGTATTGATCATTATGATGATGATTGTTTACAGCGAGGAGCTATGGAACGTTTTATCGTTTTTCATCTAAGTACAACTATTCTAATTTTTTTCCAAGAAGCCATAACATCCCTTCTACCGGGACCGAAGACTATGAGTGCGTAACACTGCGCAAGCATCATCTGGAACGTGCGAATGTAACAGCCCCATCCCTGATCTGACGTGATATTGGCATTGCCTATACTACGAAAACCCTTTCGGTAAGTAAACAGAAATTTCGAATTCCACTCCTCCTCGAATGCCTTGTCGGTGACGGCGGGATAGCGCTTGCCTGAGGTGATTGATATTGATTCGGAATTGGAGAGAAGAACAAATCAATATCGGTACATGAGAAGGTAGAAAGATGGATGCTATAGTGACTTTGTTTTTGCTATCAAACAGTGGAAGAAAACGCAACTTGAGTATAATTTATACCAAAGAAAGGGTAAGTAGAATATCACTGAGAAGATTGATGAAGCAAAGTCTCCAAAATACCAAGCAAATGCACTGTCGTTGTTTGCTTTCCGATGATGGCTTTTGACCGCAAGACGTCCTCCAGCAAGTGCTGCAAAGCCCCGTAAGCCGGAAATTTCCATGCGAGATATTGCGTTATCCTCAACAGTCTGAAATAGAGCGCTTGCCGAATGCTCGTGCTGTCTTGCAGTATGACTCGGATTTTGCGTATGACCAGTTCCAGCGACTGCGATGCCAACGCGGCATCTTCTCCATTGACTCCCGTCATTTTGGCTAAAAACTCAGTCAGAAAGGGAAACGGATCGACGCCCCTTTGTGGAGGATCCCCTGACGCAGTAGTGTTGGCTGACCCACTTCCAATCCCACTTGGTCTACTTCCCGATCCACCAGTAGTCTCCACTGGAGTCAACAGTCCTGTTGGGCCAATTACGTGAAAAATCGAAGAGGAGGATGATGTTGTAGTTGTGCGTGGCGAGGGGACGAATGGGGTAGCACTGCCGCTGTTGGATCTGGAAACGGAACGATTGCCTTGTGGTGGTGACCCAAGAACAAGCGAACCAAGACCGCCACTGCAGACCGCACTTGTTGCTCTGCTAATGTGGTCGAAAAGATGCGCACTTGCTCCTCGTGGGGAAGCAGGACCGCCAGAGCTAGTTCTGGTATTAGACGAGGATGACAGTGACATTGCTACACAAAACAAGTGGATGCATAGCGAGCCAAGAAAAAAAAGCAAGTAGCTTTTCTCTTTACTACAAAATCAAATGTATTGTTCCCATTGCATATTCATCAAAAAGTCTAAGCCATAATATTCTCTTTGCTCGAACTCCCTCCGAAATATTGAAAGTGCTCGTTTGTTCCAGTTTGGGTGTGTCGTGCTATGCGGGAAGCTACCACGCGTTCTGGAGCAGGCACAGAAGCGCGTGGTCGCGGAGGAGCTGCATCATCTGTGAACAGCTGGACGCCAATGATATCGTCATGTGCGGACAATCGCAGGGATCGCTTCTTCTTTCGCTCTGTAGTTGCTGGTAGTCCTGATGTTGACGCAGTGGTAGTAAGTCCTGGGGGAGTAGTAGACTTAGAAAAACCACCTTCAAGGGAAGAAGATGTAATCGTAACAGGTGTAGTACCGCTATGAGCTGATCTTGTACGTGTATTAGGTGATGGTGTCGTTGCGTCTTGCTCGTCCACGATCTTCTCCGCGACGTAGACCTTTGAAAAACGGTTTTCACTACCTGGAATCGAAACACCTCTAGCTGCTTCTGGAGGCGAACTAGCCGATGTCCTAGTTGATAATCTTGCCTTCCTTCCACCTTGCGTCGAAGCCGCAGTGTGATTCCTCGAAGACACCGAAGAAGAAGCCGCCGTGGTCGCTAGTCCTTCTCCTTCTAGCGTCTGTAGCAGTTTGGCTACTTCTCTACTAGGCTTTCGTTCCGGTGGTCGGCCACCATTGCAGCTCTCGCCAGAATCGGAATCTTCGAGTAGAGCCTGAGCGAGCACGAGTTCTTCCCTCAAAACGCGCAAGGGATTCGATGTGCTTGAGATTATGTCTTGTGCTGAGGTAGCTGTCCCGACAGCAGGAGCTCTGTCGTGTTGAAGTGAATGTTGGTCTTCACGGGCCCGCAAGGCAGCTACAGTTGCATCCTGCTGGTCCCCTGTGGATATAGTTCCAGGTGGAGGTGCCATTTTTTAGTTATCGAGTTAAGAAAGTGGTCGTCAGAGTAAGAAGTATTGAGAAGGAGTGAGTGAGTGTGAGGTGAAGATAGGAAGGTTAAGAATGAATTATAGAGGTGATGTAGTAGTAATAGAAGTAGTGGTGGAAAAATAGTTTTTTTTGTAAATTTTACGTTCAAGAAATGATGAAGAATGAGCGGGTATTCATCATTAGTATAAAGGGAATGGAGGAGTAAAAACACAAAACGATGAAGTCATTAGATACACAAGGATAAGGAATCATCGAAGGCAGAGATTTCATATAAACTCGAAGGTTCCGAGCGACAAAACGACGACACGAACTTTTCACGCTTTTACCAAAATAACTTTACATCTGTCATCTACTTTGTACCGTCCACTATCATGGTTCTTTCTGAATTAGTTCTCTAAGGCTGAGGATGGATCCCAGGCGCATCATATCAAAGTCCAGGTACTACACAATAATTAGGACTTAACAAGCATTCCAGTGCAAAAAACAGCTTTTTTAAAAATTGTCCAATTCTAGTGGGGGTAGTTACATCAGGGGGCTCGCACACTTGGATCCCAGGGGGGTCCCGCTGCAAGAACAATTGAGACAGAGCAGATTCGGCAATGAGCTACAACTAGACATTTCACTATGCAATATCAAACCGAACATCAAATCTTGGTCGCCTTCTCTTTCTTGCTTTTCTTCGCAACGTTTAGTCCTACTTTCAAAAGTCGAGTACCACGCATCCAACAATCTCTCTCGTGTTCAGCTTTGTACAAACAAAAGCCGGCGCTGTCTCTCGGGAGAACATCTTGTTCGCAAGAGCCAACATGCATCGGGTTTCTCTCGGAGCTAGTATGCTATATTTTTTGGACAATAGCGCATAAATGCATTCTGGAATTCTGGCAGTAATCAATTTCTTTCTTTTTGAGCACTCTTGCAGTTCTTCCTCTCTTGCAGCTCTTCCTATGCGCATGAGGATACAAGAGGAGTAGTTCTCTACGTGAAAAAACACCCATAATCTTCACAGTTCAGGTTTGCAATTTGACATTCGAATGATCCGCTTAGTTGTAGTAGTAGTGGCAAAAAAAGCAAATTTACAGGTTCATCGAGAATCTAAGTAAGTTAAAGACGTTTCGTCTTTTGGCTGTGCACATCGTCCCAAAGCGTTCGAGTCAAAGGACGCTCGGTTTGTTACAGCACCGCCTCTGATCCAAACACCCTATTCCGCTCCCCCCGTCCGCGAACTAGCGTTGTTCAGCAGTCGTACGAGACTCTGTGGCGCATTATTCTTTAGTCCTCCAGCTTTTTTTTCGAAGACGAAGCAATACAACAACGTGTCCGCTGTCTGGTCGAATATCACCATAAAGGAGAAGGGATTAGAGGGTGCACTCATACTGCTCAAAGAATTTAGTAAGTAAGTTATTCCATCCAGAAGCTTATAAAAAAAAAGGAAACGTTCGAATTCTCTTGCTATTCCTGACCATAGTACAGCGTAGAACATCGTCTCCTATCGAGTTGCTTCAGTCGATTCATCAAATATGCGAGGAAGTCTGATTGTGTAGCTGTAGTCCATAAGTGCAGTGACGAGTGATATTGCAGCTGCAACCAGGCTGATAAAGACCGGATCCGCAATGTAGTATGCGCTTTGGTTGTTCGTAAAGGCGTCAAATTCCATGACGCATAGGAAGGTTAGAAAGCCACCCAGACCAGATATTACCGCAGCGCCGAGAGCCTGAGATGTGTTTGAAGATCCTGCTTTGTGGGAACAACGAGTCATGACCATCTTTTATAGAAGCACGCTGAGCAGAATTGTGCTACGCCATTGTACATCTCCGGTCTCTACGAACCATTTTGGCGATGCATAGCGAGGCAGCAGCTTACTTTTCTCTACCACAGGCTTTTCACAGAGAGCCGCACTATCAATTGTAGCGGCCCTCCGTCCTTTGCTGTGGGATGATCTCTGATGACTATTCCTCTACGACGCTAGTCACTGTCTATTGTCTTCGTTTAGGACCATCTGCTTTGGCTGGCGCCTACAAGCAGATCGAACCACCGGACTTGCAATTCAGAGTCCGGACACTTGACCACTGCACCACTTTCACACAGTTGAGGAGGCGTGTGAAAAAGAAACAGTATCTACAAGAAAAATCAGGGATCACTGTAAGTAAATGCAATCGTCCATAAAGTTCAAATTTTGTATTACTGAGTTCCTGTGGGGACGACGCGATCTGACTCCTCACTGATGTCAACGTAAAAAAAAATGAGTTAAAATATAACGTTGAAATAACTGAAAAACAAAGCAAGTTAAGATCGTGTAAAAATACCTGAAAAACAAAGCAGGCTCCATTCAATATGGCTACTGTCGCCATCTCTTGTGTCATCATAGCGAAAGCGTTTCTAGCAGCGGAGCAAAAATTGGTACTCCTTATCGCAACATCTATATAAGCCGTGGTTCCTATGAAGCTGACAAACCGCTCAAAACACAGCACGCAGCATATCATCACTTTCGCTATGGCGGCAAGAACTTGGAACGGTTAGAGAGGGAGAAACAGATGGAGGAGGAGCGGAAAGAAGTCCGAGAGTGAGGGCAGCCAGGAAGAAACATTCGCATTCGGAGCTAGGAGCATAGCAAAGACTCGCACTTCCTTGAGAACCATCCGATTGAAAACTCAACTTTACTCAATGTGAACTCAACGTTAAAGAAGACTGCCGAGAAACATCTCCATAATTATCAGCCGCCTTCGCCTGTTTCGACAGGTAACTCATGACTAAGCGGACTAGACGTAGTGAAGCGATGAGAAATGAGCCCATCGCTAGTGTGCCGAGATGGAAGAAGAGGCCAGCAAAATAGCCTTTCGCTACAGGTGCTGTTGGCCCTATCTTACCGCCATAGCTGTCCTTCTCGGAAAAGTACCTAATTTAGGATTGATCAAAGTCCACTTGGATTGTAAGGCCCCAGCACGTAAGCCATTTTCACGTTCGAAGTCGAACTTTTTCACGCGTCACTGTAAAAACATCCTCAAATTTTGGAACAAAAGGAAGAGGGGTGTGGGGAATAAAGAACCAGATAACATTTATTACCAAAGCACCACACTGTAGCTGACTACGAACTGGCCAAGCGCAGAGAAAAGTTCTGAAAGCCAGAACATCCCAAAGGTCCAGTATGCGACGTAGCGAAGCTGCTCATTTGTGTTGGATTAGAAAGTAGAAGGCGACGTCCTTTGATGTATTGAGTGTGAGCACGAGTACTTTTTAATCGTGATTTTGTCCTGTGTACTCTGGTTTCTTATTTCATACTAAAGTTTAGTCTAACTTAGTGTGTCATGAGAGCGAACTCTCTCCATGATGTTCTTTTTCACTAGATACTAGATATTCTTGAGTCTTTCATTGTGACAAAAATGTAAGCCAATTGCCATCTCCATAATACTCGAAAGTCCTAGAGAGTCCATGCACACGCACGCCTCCGATCGTTGCGGATTCTGAGGATACATCACCCGTTGATACTACCCACATGAAACCATATAGCCTGATGGAGGGTGCAGGATAAAGTTTGGAGGCAGTAGTCTACGTCTACCTTCTACAAGGGGAATAACAAAACAAGAACAAGAAAATGATCGAATCAAATCGATTCCCTACTGACTGTTCTTCATCTACATCTTCACAAATCAAACGTCATTATGTCATAACATCATTACATCTTTTCAGGTAAGGTCATGGAAAAAGTACTTACATGATCGCCAAGACGCCTACTTTTGTAACCATCTCGACTACTGGTAAGAGCAGCAGCGACGGCATCGAAAATATGGCCTCACAGGATCCCTGGACGCAAGCGATGCTGATGTCAAGGGTTTTTCTTTTGGCGGCGGCGATCATTAGAATGCTGCTATCACTAGTACAATGGTGACACGACGACAGCGTGAGCGTTGTATAGAGGGAAAAGACACTCTTGAGTGGAAAAACGACTTGTTCATCATGCATATCACGCACACACCGATCACCTGCCATAACACCAACAAGAAGAGCCCAGAAAAGCAGAGTAGACCGACACCAGCGAAATAGCAGGTCGCACCATCGCCTGCTGATTCGCCAATACCACCTGAGTCCGCTACAGAGAGAAAAAAGGCTCCAAGACCAGCAGTACCGGCAACGACGGCAACCAGACACAAATACACAACGAGGCCAGCAAAACGTCGGAGAAAATAGAGGTATGAGGGATTAGAGCGAGATAGTAGTCGTGTTAGGCTTCGGGCACAGGGGTTTTTTCCACTACTAGCCACGCAAACGAAAAAGGTCGATCTTAGCATCTGCCAACATTTTTGAGTCACAACTACGTGAAACTCAATTTCTTAAATGTAATCTTCACTACAGAACAATATTTACTTACTCTCTCTTAGCATCTGCCAACATCTGCCGTACCATACCCCAAGCCAAATGCTAGACCAGCAGAGAGAATTAATGCCGGATAACCCGCGCGGACCGTTCCGACTTTCATCATGGCCTGAGGAACCGCGCCATCCCCTATGCTTTGCATTACTTGCATCGCCAAGGCTTCAGCGGGTCTTAGAATATTATTATTCAGGCTACTTAGGTGCTCTAATTCCTTCCCCGACGTGATAAAGGCATGTAGGTGTGAGGATGCGTATGCGACTACCACTACATTTAAGTAGAAAATATAAGGAGTAGACCTAGATACCAGTGGCAGTACTAGTCTTTTCCAGGCAGTTGTCTAATCCATCTTCAATCAGATCAGTCAAATCAGCAATTTCAAATCATAACTTCGGTATGCAATATCGATGCATGAAGGTGTAGCTTTCGTAGGCTGCTGTCCTTAGACCTTCCTGATATTCATCCGGAAGAGCATCTCGGTTGTAGCTAACTTCCCTCACAAAGAAAACCCCTCCAAGATGCCTCTTAGGATGAATACGATTAAGGCTTAATGTCCTCTCGAAGTCGTACTTTATCGTCTCCGCGTAATCCCCATCCGAATTTACCGGATCACTATGGGTCACCTTCGATCCAGCATAGCAGAGGAAGCTGAGTTTGGTGAACATGATAGCAATCGCCAGATACAAGATAATTTAGAACGCGTCTACCTCTAGTAACCGTGGATCTAGATGGGTCAAGATCAGATACACTGGAAACAAACACTCAAGCCCTTACAAACAGTCAAGCCCTTCACCAACAACACCAGTAATTGGAATTTCACATCACTGACAGACTGCGATCAAAAAAAAATCTTACGTCTGCTCTCCCGACACCGGACATTCGGATACGCAGATTGGATGCTGCAAATCCAAAGATGAGGGTATTGGTGGGTCCGTTCCCGGGACTGGAATCCCACTCGCGCAATAGAAAAGGTATGGCCTATCTTCGTAGCCAGGGTCTACCTGGGTGCAGGGTGTGAGGTAGCGGTGGTCTTGATCGTAAGATGGTTTGTTGAGGTGCAGGTGGAGTTGATGGTGAATGAGTCTCTCTCACGATTTTCTTGAAGAAGATCATGAACATTTTTATAATTGTAGTTACATACGAGATATAACCGAGATCTGAAATTCCAAGGACCAGAAGAACAATTCGAAATCCATCACTCAGCTGTAGTACCCCACATAGTTTCCCTTTGTAGTTGAATCCATGCGAAAGTCTGCGGATGTCTCCGTTGTTAACGGCGTATTGCAGTATGTAGAATAGCCCTGCCGTGAACGTAAGAAAGACTAACAAACAGAACATGTCTGTGCATCGTCTAGGACGCATTCCCGCTGCATCTTCCTCCTCATTATTCTGGCCAGCGAGAAGCGCCTTCGCATCTTCCGTCGTGTAGTCGGTGCTCATCTTGTCGTGGAGTCTCGACGCGGTATCAACATCAAAGATGACAACCTGAATTAGAGTTGTCCTAGATGTCCAGCACTTCTCCTCGCGCCTGTTGTAGCCTGCACTAAATATGAATGTATCCCGATCCAGCCGCGCACTGATGATTCGAATCTATTCGGCCGCTTGCTGAAGATTTTCCTGACGATTGCGATGCTGCGCACTAAGAACGATTGCGATGCTGCGCACTACCGCTGCTCAGTCGATCAGGTAATCCACTAGGCACGAAGAGTGAACGGTCAGCCTTACCGATTCATGAATATGCGCGTTGCGGTCAGCTACATAATCATGCCACAATATTCTATCCTTCAGCTTTCTCCTTGCCAGCGCAACACGTCGTCGTGTTCTCTACGAACGAACATGGCATTTCTGGGTCGATATTTAAAAATCTCATGTATGAATGGTCTTTCTTGGCATAAGCATCTTCTGTTTGTTTCGAAAAGGACTGCTTCAACGCGTCGTTGATTGCATACGTATGTATGCTTGATTGCATGTCTCCTACACTTTTGCAAAACTTTCATTGTGTAGAGCCGCAAATGAAACGTTCTTGTCTCTCGTGTTCGCTCTCACGTAATATATAATGCCAATGCATCAACGACACGCTCACCTCTGGATGCCAACTACTTCACTCTTGTTTTTGTAATTTTTCACTGGTATCTTTTTTCTAGACTTCATTGATGGAGAGTCCCACTCATCAACCACGTTGTCCTGGTTTATTGTCGCCAAGCAGACTGAGAAGGGCTCCAGCATGGCTTCTCTTGATTTTTGATGTAGCAACCGAAAATGATACACGTCACGGCCATTGTTGCAACTGATTAATACAAGCTCCAGCTCGATTGACATTGAAGATGCAGGGTTCCAGCAGATTCCCTCGTATATGTTGTGGAGGTAAACAAAAAAAACTTGTCTAGCATGGCACGCTCCGCGCAAGGAACTGCTGTCGTATAATTGTTTTTAGATAGGAGAATTTCAGTTCATTTTTGATTGGGGCCACTCAAAAGGTCGTTGGGGGGTACTGACTCAAAGTCGTACTTGTTTCCCATGTTAAACCACTCAGAACATGAATTTGTGTCGCTAGACAAACAAGACATCTTCTTATCACGTATACTAGATACAAGAGAGATGTAGTTGTCAGTATGAGGAAACATCAGGTAGAGGACTTTAAATATGGTCAGTACTTAAAAACTCGATACGTACTCTCGAAGAGAGAAACCAATATTTTCAGCCTATACGTGTTGTACAATATGCGTCTTCGTACAGCTAAATTTATTCAACCTTGAGCGGTCTTATCAATAAAAATACTGAAGTTTCGACCATCATTCTTCGAGTAGAAAACAGTTCGGAAAGTTCGACTTAATTCATCATGATACCGCCACCTGTGGAAAATGACTGGAAGAACAAGCTCAGTTATAACCCGTACAACTGACTTTAATGATGATGCGCACATTCCACGATGTCGGTTTGACCTGTGAACGGCAGATTCCCAGTGAAGCGAGCCTTGCGCCAGTTCTCCGGTTCCCCCTTAGCTGAACCTTCCATCAGTCTATTCACCGGGTCGACGCGCATTTCGTAAGTGCCGAATTTTTCCCAGAAGATGGTAAGGAGACCATCTTCAGCCAGGGACCAGTGAGCGTGAGCGGGAAACTGGTGGCACTGGAAGTGGTTGTAGCCGTCGCCGGGGATTAGAGAGGGAAGCAAGGGAGACGTGGTGCTTGATATTACTTAAAAGAGTAAAGCTTAACTTTGAAGATTGGATTTTTGATGGTTCTCTTGTTCTCTTGTCATATCTACTACACCGTGTAAGGAACCTATCTAAAAAAAACAAAAAGTCACATTCTGCTCTTGTCATAACTTGAAAATGACCGGAAACTCCCCACCACTCCACTGAAACATCCACTCGGAGCCGGCGCCTTCGCCGAACAAAGCAGCCTCAACTGGCGAAATGGGACGCTTGAAAGCAGCTGTGCGCCAGTCCTTTTCCATACTCGCATTCGGCGTAGAGGTACACATACCCTTCATCGCTTTCGTCGCTGGGTCGAATTCAAGTTCATACTTAGAACAAGAACTTACAATAATATTGACGCTGCACCATGATGATGCTGCATGATGAAGAAGAAGATAACGATGATGATGAAGAAGAAGAAGAAGATGACGATCTTACAAATATGTAATACTTATCCTGAAGTGCATCTTTGACATTTCTTATTCCCTTTGAAAAAACGTCGCCAAGGATACGCATTTATTTGATGGATTTGTGGAATTGGCATAACGTATTGGCCGAACTTCGCGCCCCAATCGATGCGGACGATGCACTTCTTGTTGCCATGACCGTGGGCGTGGCCGTCGTGAGCATGTCCTTCGTGAGCATGACCTTCGTGGGCGTGCCCATTGCCCTCATTATGACCATGGCCGCCAACGTCCTGGACTACCATCTGCCACTTGGAAGCGGCTTGGAATTTGGGAGCAAAAAAGTGGCCTCCTGGTCGGAAACAGACTTCGAAGCTGCCACCAGACCAGGCAAAGTCATACCATCCGAAGACATTCTCCGAAGTCGGGGAGCACGAAGCGTGAGTACAAGATGCCATTTTTTTGTCTAGGAAGGACAGGGAGGAACAACAAGAAAAATAGAAGAACAAGTTGTGAGGAGAGTGGAGGCCAAGGCGGTCGACGTTATCTTCCGATGAAGATAGTTCTAGTTTTTGCTTTTCGGCGAGAGATGGAACAAGGGTTAGCTAGGTGGATATGAGACTATGCTCCTGTCTGTGGCTATTTTTGAAAACAGGAGATACGAGAAGAACTTGAGTTTGAGTCAGATTCTGAAAGTCGCGGTGGTAAGACACTGTGTTGACGACATTATACATACTAGGAATTTCGATCTCGTGGTCAGTTGATGTCATAATTTTACCGTCGTGAACAACAAGGGGAGCAAAAACTTTGTAGGAGGAATTCTGTTGCGAAGCAGATTTCAGAACTTCTTGGATACAGCATCGTGGGATTTGAAGCACATGTTAATTTCAGGCTATAGAGATTGCAGATGCAACACGGCAACACGTTCACTTGTTCATTTATTAGCGAACACATGATAGTAACTTTCATTCTCGTTCGCTACCCCTTACTTTGCTTGGGAAGATTTGAAGACTTCCTCGCATAGAATATTCCAAATGAACCATGATAGATTGCATGAAAGGCATTGCTGTCTACAGGAATAGACGTCCTCTGTTCATATGCAACAACATCACAATTCCATATGCAGCAGATGAAGTACAAGTATTTGAGTATGAACATCCATGTTGATAGAAGGGGTAATGAGAATATTGAGCAAGAATCAACGAAATAAGGAAGCTGAAGGAGAAGTTTAGAAGCAAGTTCGCATTATCAACCTCTAACTATCGCAAGAGTTTTTCCCTTCCTGGGCCTTCTTCTTCGACCTCGTATTCGATGTTCTTTGCCGGAGCTTTCCTCTTCGGCTTTCTTGCACCTAGTACATCTTCCATATCTCCTATGTCTGTACTTCTTCTACCCGCCTTTCTCTTTCCTGGTTTGCTTGAAGAAGATGCACCAGGTGTATTTCCACTTCTTGGGTTATCTAATGAAGCACCGTCTTCATCACTATCTCCGCCGTCCCTAGCAGTTGTTGTACGAGAAGTATCAAGATCTCCATCTACTTCGTCGTCTACTTGTTCATCATCTGATAGATCACTTAAATCTTCATCTGGTATGCCGAAATCGTCATCCTCGTCATCTTGATCATCTCCGAGATCCGCGACATATTCTAGGTCTCGTTCGTCAATTTTTTCATCTTCATCTTCCATTTCGAGCATTTGTTGGATCTCATCGTCGTCCACGGAGAGTTCTTCTTGGTCCAACATCTCCGCATCTTGATCTTTATTGGCTTCGGAATTGTGCTCACCCAGAGTTTTGTACAAATCGCCGTAAGTGCCGAGTCGGAGTCTGTCCAACAGCTCCTTCTCGATGGCGTTTTCGACCTTGGCGGCTTTTTCGGCTTTGGCTTCGCGAGTGGCCTCGCGACGCTCCGTTTTCTTCTTGATACCAACGGATGTGGTGAGCTTTGGCGCCAGAGCGGCCTTGCGCTGTCTTAATAAAACCTGTCGCAACTTCGTCAACCTCTGCTTGCATCGGTTTTTCTGTTTTGTTGGGAGATCAATAAGCATTGGTTAACAAAGACATGATTACTCTCTTGTTCATGATTATGTTGTTGTGTAGTACTTAAGTTTGCGTTAGTTTTCCTATTAGAGATGAAGAAGGATGTACCACCTAGTTGTCGATGGTGTAAGAAAAAAGTACCTTATGATCAGCCCAATGCATTAAGTGCTCGTCTATTTGCTTGAGAGCTTGCATGAAATTCTTCGAGAGTTCTATTTTCTCCCACAAGTTCTTCGGTGAATGTGCCCGCTCCACTGTCTTTATGTAGAGGTAGCATAAACCTTCTTTTTCCAGTACTGTCGCATACCTTTGTTGAAGAAGAGTTGTATGTTTGTTGAGTTTTGTAGTTGGTCATGAAAGTTGAAGTTCAACAAAGGAAGATATCCGAGAGGCGCGCGCTGAACGAAGGTTATCTAGAAAATACTAGCGCAAACTTGAATCTCATATCTCATATTGACATGTTCAACATCATCAACATCATGACCAAATAAAGTATCAATTAGTACTCTGAGTTCGCCAATGGACAGGACACTCGGTTGCAGAGACCGGTGACATTATACTCATTCCGGCAGAAGGTTTGCGGTGGCTGTTTCAGTTTCACCTTAAACGAACAGAACCCCTGGTTCAAAATATGCCAATTCGTCTCGTCGTTGATCATTTTGTTCGCTTTGTAGGATAAGGAGAGGAAGACGAAAATTAAGGTTTTTAGTAGGAGAGACTGAAATCTAATCCTGAACAGTAACTTTGTAGTTGTTACGTTGAGGAACTCAGTGATGTCGCTTTTTCTTCTCGTTCTTACGTGGTTGAGTAACTCAGTAATGTTCGTAAAAGATTATGCACTTCACTTCTATCCGTCATGTACCTTTAGTAGTCGTACTAACAATCACGACCATCCATCGTCCTGTAGAAAAAAATTGAAGAAGATGAAGATCTTTATAAATATGACGAGGTTCATGATAATCACGTCCACAGCTCGCAGTTACTCCTTATTCATAAATCAAGATCTCAATGCATCATCTCAATCTATCCACAGCCGAGATCTAAGTCCTTATTTTTGATCCCTTGAGACATACCTCCTTATTGGCCATGCAGCTGGTGATCATGGTAATACAACCTTCAGTTCTAGTGGGACCACTAAGATTAAAAATGTCAAGGATCGTGAAAGAGGATCTTGGAGAAGCCAGCGGTCGTCGAAAACGATCTTCCAACTGATCTGTCAAACGATTGGATCTTTTTTCCTGTTGTAACACGAGTAGGACTAAAGACAAGATCTTGGAATTGTGCTCTTGTGTTTAGTTCTTTCGAGGAAATGGTCCTCTGAATGCTATACCATTACCACTTTGTGCGCTGGCAAACAATTTTTCGATCCAGATCACGGCAACAGGTTTGTACCACAGGGGTTTGCACTACAGGGGTTTGTTTAAGTAGAAAACAGGAAATGGTTTGTAATTGTACAGAAGTGGGGCTTTTCTACACCTTAATCATCTCACTGCGTAATAAAAGCAGAAAGAAGAACTCGTTTTGAGATACTAGTAAAGGGGTACTTCTTGTCTTCTTGATGGTAACAACATTTTCATTTATGACCACGCAAGAGCTGCACTTACAACCGTGTCGTGGTCCTCTACAAAAATCATACTACAACTTGGAAAGCTTTTTCTATGGGAGGTCCATTAAATTTCTTCTAGTTCCAGGAAGGAACAAATACATAAGTCTTCACAGATTTTAGTTCTACAACCCTAGTTTTACATAAGTACAACCCTATTATTCTTGCGCGATTTTTCTGACTGCTTTTTCAACTTCAGCCGCTGGTGGAATCACGTCAGCCTCCAAGCCACCGACCGAAGCATCATCAGGAACGTAACTGGTGTAGCCCGCTGTCTTTTGCCGGCGGTAGCAAATATAGCAAATGGTGAGGGAAGAGGATTAGAGGATGGTGAAGTAGGGTTGAGTTCTTGTTCTTACGGGTATAGTGCTTGTCACCGTTCTTCAGTCGCCGACCGTTCTCCACAGACTCAGACTCTGTTGTGTAAAAGTAGTTACTATCTATAAATTTGAATCATCAGCATCAGCCGTAAGAGAACACTAGACTCAGTAGCGCCAGCAGTGCAAATGGACCTCGCAACGTGAGGAACGACAGTTCGCCGTCTTTCAGCAACCCTATTTTCTGCAGTGCTTTTGAGGAGAGATCCAGGTTGCCTCCACTTGCTTGACGGAACTTCTTATAGGTGTCCAAAGCATTCTGAGGTACGACGATGCGAGACACTGCGAGCATGCACAGACGGTTAAAACCAGTAGAGGAAGCGGCGCTTCGACTCATGGCACCAGGTTGGTTTGCGGATTTGTCGGCAGCTGCGTAGGATAGCATTACCTTGAACGTAGAGTGGTTGATGATAGTTGTACTTTGAGTGACAGTACTGCTGCTCTTAGGAGGTGGTGATGGAAAAACGTAGATCATATTAATCGCGAAGGTACTTCTACTAACTTCAATTTTAGCAACCTATAATACAGCCTCCTTCTCGAAATAGTATATTTTAGATACCTCCTTCTGTTTCTCCATCAATTCTGCTTTTAGGCACGTCAACACCCGACTGTTTCCCGGACTCAAATGGCTGCAAAACTTCTGGATCTCATTCGCACATCGTCTGCCTAGTTGCGGATGTAAGCGGATGTCCTGGGAACTCAACTTGGTCATTCTGGTTACCTCCGCAGAACATTTTTCAGTCTGTCTGGCTTCTGGCAAATCGATGAGACAGGTCATGTGCTGACGTGCCAAGGCTTGTCCCCAAAATCGACGCTGCCAAGCGGGCAAGGCGCTGGATCCTCCACTAGGAGCACCTGGAGGCACTACCAAACGAGTAATCTTACCGTCAGCAGGCATCAGCTGTCTTCTATCTTTCTTATTACCACCACCACTTGGATTCGTCTGTGAACCCTCCGGGCCAGCACCTCTTGCTCGTTTGTATGGTAGGTCGTTCTTTGTTAGAGGTTGAAACAATTGCTTCTTCATCTATTGCGTTTGGTTCCTTAGGGTCCCAAAGCCTTTCACGGTCTTCAGCTTACAAAAAAGGAAATAGAAATAATACCAATCACAAATGATATAAATGATAAACGACGTTTCATCTTCAATTAAATATCCTTAAACTTGAGGAGCGTCCCGATCCTCCTAATGCGGTGTTTCTCGGTCTAGAAGGAATACTATACCCTGCAGTCGCGCGACACTCCTTCTCCGCAACAGGGCCACAGACTTCCTTGAATCCAGGTCTGTAGGAAAAGGGATTGCGAACTTGTCGTTGCGCTTCGCGGAGCATGGTAGACTTGCAGATGCGATCGGATATTTCTTGATAGTTGTCAACGAGGGTTAGAGAGTGGAGGTGAATGGTAGTGATACGACTACGAAAACAACGCCGAACAACAAAGTGATTACCATATTTTCTTTGAAGGGCAACACGCTAGAGAGTGATTACCATATTAAATGGTACAATAAGTACACGAACGGTTCACCTCCGTTGTAGACATTCAATTCAGTGTGATGAAGGCGAATGCTAAAATTTCCTGGATCTCGTACTGTCGCGTCCTGATCTATCGCGCTTTCCCTTTAAATCAAGGGGCGCCGCGATAGCTCGATTCGAGCGGAAATCACCCAGGTCTTCTACTAGCCATATAGAAGAAGGACACCATTCACAAAAGACATCTCATTCTTTGACTTCTAGCCATATGGAAGAAGGACACCATTCATAAAAGACATCTCATTCTTTGACCGGAGACATCAGCGGAAAGGTCAACCTGAAAGGTCTTGCCAACCTTAGTCACTATTGGAGAAGTGCCACCCAATTTCTGCAACGCAGCGGTCCTTACTTCCGCAGCTTGGGTCGGTGATGTAGACGACCTCGCTGGATTGATTGGCGCTGTTGGACCGGTTGCTTGGATGCTTCTGCTTCTAATGCGCTTGTGGAGGAGGCTGTTAGAGCTATCAATCAGAAATTCGTTTGAAGTTGCACATCAAGATTGGGGAAATAGCAGCAGTCTGTGTCTACGCGAGTGGTTTGGTGTTGACAAGATGACCTCCCTCACATCCATTTTACTGTAGAACTCAACATATCTTCTATTAAGTAGCTTTTCCCAAACAAAAAACAGCCTGTGGTTGTCATCTTCAACATCATGAAATCCATAACTTCATCATCCCCAAAAGTCAACCTAAGCGCTATATCCTCGTCAACTTCGTCCCCTTCTTTGTCGTGGTAGCCCAGAGACTGGTCTTGTTCTAGCAGAGCCTGGTCATCGTCCACAGAGGACCTACTACCATCTAGAGACCGTACTAGAGGTGGAGCTTTTTGTTCTAGCGGGCTCAGCGGTAGGGTTCCTCCCTCGCACTTTCCGCTGCTTACGAAATGTGCTAAATCTGCCTGACACCGGTTCAAAACTTGTCTATTGAAATACATCGACCTTCCGCGCTTTGCACCCAACCTCTGAATCGCCTGAAGGCAATCTTGGGAATTAGAAATTTAGGAATTATATTATACTAGAGCAATTTATAGGGGTGCCAGACCCGGGATGGGATGGATCGGTGGATGGATCGGATGGACTTTCCACCATTTCAAGTAGGATCGGAAGAATCAGGGGGGTCCATCCGATCCATCCAAGTCCATCCTACATCCGTTCTATAAACTACTCTAATATATAACGACTAAAGTCAACTAAAAGTACATGTTTGAAGTTTCTTTTCCTTCTTTCACTTTCACAGCTTGAAGAAGAAATAGAAACTTCCTACTATAACAATCTCGGTATCTCTATAGTACATTGATTTTGATTACACATTATAGTTGTGCTACTACTTACCCGGTTTATTTGTCATGAAGGGAGAACCACGTCGTCGAGGGTCATAATATTGATAACCTCCGTGTCTTCGCGAATTCGATCTAAGCATTGGTAGAGTCGGTTCTCCTTGCTTGAAAGGAAGCACTTCGACCCAGGTTTCTCAAAGGCACTCTTACAGTACAATCGGATTTGTGGGTCGTTGCCGGGATCCGTCTCAATTTGGCTGCGGAATTCCAAAGCCTTGCACTGTGGAGTCAATAGGCTGAAATTCTTCTGGAGTTAGAGAAAGTAGAGGATACTCCGCGTGGTTGGTCTTCAGTCCTAGAGTTATCAGTGAGTAAGTTTTGAGTTGTACAACTAGGTTTCCCTGTTCGTGATGCCATGTTGATCGTAATTTTTAAGCAGTGGTAAGCAAGAAACAAGACCTCGTTGTCTTTTCAGAGGCATAGACAAGAACATGTACACGCTGAAAGCATCAAAACAATCACTTTATCAAACTACACCAGAACCCGTCTCATAATGTAAGCACGTGTGCACGCGACCGCTACCAGGCTTTACGTCTTTGCAAAACCGTAGGACGTCTTCCTCGCAGCTGGTGTGGAAGAAGGGGGCGACTCGGTAATCATCCGCACGCTGGCGAATCTTCATCTGGACAGCTTTGAAGCATCCGGGAGAGGATTTTGCTGAGAGTGTTTGGAGCGGAGAACTTTTTGCTTGCAACAGAGTGTCGTAGTGAGAGTGTTAGTTTGGATTTGAGAGGTGTAATCGAGACCACAATATGTTGACATCTGTGTCTCTCATCTTGGCGAAAAAATGAAATACTTGTGGTCTAAACACCAAACAATCATTGCCACGATACTATAGAGGAATCGATCAAAAAAAAGTACCTATCGTTTCCCTTTTGTCAATCAGACACAAAAAAGTACCTATCGTTTCCCTTTTGTCAATGAGACACTGGATGACTTGGCCAGTTCCTGGTAAGAGCTTCTGATCTGCTTCAGCTTTCTTACAGTGCTCCTTGATATCTGGTGCGCATTCCTTTTTCAGTACCGGATTCAATCTGAAGTCTCTGTTTTGTCTCTTTACGTGGCGTTGTAAGCATTGACGACACCGCCAGCTAGCTTCTTTGCGTTTCTTGACCAGGCACGCGATTCTTTTACCTTTAGCTTAGATAATGGTTATAAGTTGTTCCCCTTGATGTACGAGTGTTGACTACTTTATAGCTTACATTTGATGAAGAAGATTTGAAGTGTCTTGCTCATGAGAGGACGAGGAGAGCAATTCTGGTTGCAGTGGTAACGCTTGAAGGTAAGACTGATCCTTTTTCGATACGTATACGTTGTAAATAATTAGTAAAATTTATACTACATCGACAGATCGAAAAATTTTCACTTGCGAGTGGAGGTTTCTCTTTCTTCCAGACCAGCACCTACATTATTTTATGGTTATGTCCTTGCTCGTCTTAATCTTCATCCGGCACCGAACAGAGTTTCTGCGCGTCGCTCTCACAGCAGCTTTGTAGTGTCGGATGCCCTGCTAGTCTTCCTGCCAACGCCGATTGCAACGCCATCTCCTCTTTGGCACACTCCTCGCTTAGGGACGATAGATTGTCAACAAGGCAGTCGTGTATTGCTCCACTGCCTGGTGTAATAGTCGCACACTTCTGCTTGATGTCCTCTGCACAGGCCAGCTTGATCACACGACCGGCGCCAACATTCCTAGCCATCTGGGTGGCTAAAGCAACCACCTCTTCCGCACATTTGATATTCCCGTCCAAGGCGCCTCCTTGTTGCCGGGCTTGCGTTTGGTCGGGTTAGAGACATATTACATGATAAGCCACCTACCAGATAAGAATGAAAACAGGTAAGCGCAAGTACCTGGAGGGAAAGCTACAGTACCATTAACAACCTGGCAAAATCATCATGATGAATTCATTTATCGATACTTTAACTTTTTCGAGACAGGAACAATATGTCGCCAGGTCGTGCTGGTATATTTTTACGAAAGTAAAAGTATCCGAATGAGTAAAAATATTCTAGATATTTCGTAATTACCACCAACGAAATCCACAGCTGCAGTTGTATATATAAAGTCAGACGAGAACAATTGCAGGAATTCTTTCATCATAAATCGTGTCCTTGTTCTGTATCAGGCATTGCAGCACTTTCCCTTCGGGCTTAGCTAATGCAACTTCCGTTTTGCAATACTTGTGCATCTCGTGATCGCAAGCATTAGTTACGCCGAATTTCAGTCTGTAGTCTTGTCCTGTCCTCAGTTCATTATTTCGCATTGCTACAGAGCAAGAAGTGTGAAGACTAGTCGGTGGGACCTTGCGCAAGCAGGTGAGGGATCGGTCGTTTGTACCTGAGTAGGGTGTTGCGGATTCATGTGGTTTTGCCAGGTTTTTATAAGATAGTTTTCTTTTTTTATCCCATTGGTCTAATAGAGGGGACATGAAGAAACGTGAAACTCAAGTATGCTTCGCTTTATCAATCACAATCACACGTATAGCCATGCGGTCTCTTTATGATCCACTACTTTTTTCTACCTCCACCCCGTTCCTTTCAGTAGCTGCTAGATGTGACAAAGAGCTAGAAGTCTAATTCTACTACAAGATCAAGATAGAAAATCAAATAAGTATAAGTACCATCATCCGGACAGAAACGGTCCATATCCAAGAGGCACATCCTCGACAAATACGGGTTGAAACTCTTTGGATCGATTTGGGCTACTGTCGAGACCATGAACTCTTGCTTCTGGCATTCCACGCCCAATTCATCAATATGCTCTTGTAGACACTGATGTACCAGGAAAGGACGGATTAGAGTGTGAAGATGTTGTAAATGCTGACTATATTGTTGCACGGGATAAGCCGAAGTTTGTAGAGGTATTGTTGCACGGGGTAAGCCTAGAATTGTAGAGGTAAAAACTAACCGGCTGTTTTAATATTTAGTGCTTTGAGCGTCGCTGGACCTAAACCTTCGCCGTTAATGAATACCCTTGAGGTGAGGATGATCCCTGGTTCGTGAGAGAGCTTCTCCATTATATGGTTCATGATTCTTTCCTCCCGGACAAGAATTGCACCAGCTAGAAGCACTATCCATCTTGCCAAAAACTCTATACTCATGTGAAACTCTCCAACCAGTCGCATTGCTCGTCCACATGCATCCTCTATATGTGAAACTCTCCAACCATAATTTCAAGAAAGGGCAGAAGAGTTGCCGATCCGCTTTACACGCTTGTTTAGTGACCGTGTCACTGGCCCAGTCTAGTTGAAAAGTCTCCATGGCAGTTCGGAAAACGTCGACGCAATCCTGTGACTGTATCTCGAAATATCGCTGTCGGAGGCAGTGCATGGTTTGTCCAGTGGATTAGAACTGCACTAGGTAAAAAGATGAAGTGCTGTCCAGCTTAAAAAATGAAGGCAAAGCTTCAGTGGGAGAGAAGGTAAGAGGGGGAGGAAGACGAAGAGGTCGATGAGTGAAAATGCGATTGAAATTTGTTGTGAATGGTTCATCTTCATGTTCATGTAGAGTCTCCAATTGTTACTCTGCTCTTGTTACTCTGCTCTTGTTCCTCTTGATCGTTAGTTACTACTGTACACCGCAAACTGCTACAAGAAGACTGTTGTTAATGTGCACGACGGAATGAACTTGTTGTGACGTCGCCATGACCTACTTGATATTCTCTCAAAAAATTTACAAAAGAACCTGCGTCTATTCTTCTATCTAGAAAACCGTAACTTGCCAGGTTCGAAGCCTCGGTTTGTTTAAATGCTGCACTGCACAGGATGTCGATGTCACCCTTACACTTGGTACCGATCTCTGGGTTCAGCCGGACATCAGCCAGCTGCGATCGCAAGGTGGTACGCACTTGAGCTCTGCAAGCGTCGGATAAGGGTATTAGAGAAAAAAACAGGCATCTTCTCTCTTGTATCTCTAGTTCACTTCAAGGTTGAAGAAGTTGAAGATCTCTCGAATTTTCCAAAAGGATTTCGACTTTGTCCATCAAATATTTAGATCTGGCACAGCCATAGCATCATCTCAAACTGTGGTTTGAATCCGCGCTTGGGCTTGTAAGCCAGAGACGTTGCCCGACCTTCCTTAGACGCTACACTCCCCTCATCGTCACCTGCATGAGCCGCAGTCGTTGATACCGGAGATGTTTCAGCAAGGCTCCGACCTCCACGATGTGGGGACATCCAAGTCTTTTTCGGAGTGAATATATCAACTTCGTTGTTCGAGCCGTGTCGTGCAGCACTGAAAATTGTCATAAACCCGTCCCACAAGTTTCTCGTTTGGTTTGTACTCAAAGCCGAAGATTGTCCACTCGTCCGCATTTGGCTTTTGGAAAACCATCCTAGGTTAGGTGAAGTCGAATTTCCCATCTTTAGAGCTAATATCGGGATCGCGTAAGTGTCACTTATTCATAACTAATAAATGTTGGATGAGGGCTTCTTTTTCAAGTAGAACAGCAGCCAGGGATGATCATGCTGAGGATGCTCCAGCGGTAGCCTTAACATCTTGATCGCGTGAAATTCCGCCGCCTGAGCCCGTACATCCCGGTTCATCATCATCTGCAAACACTGCAACTTGTTACTTTCTGTTAGAAGCAAGAATATCTCGTGTTGAACAAAAATTCCTCTCAATTTGGTGTACAAGCATACAACGTTCTACAACTACAACTGCACAGCAGGGCAATAGCCTATAAACAAGAGCGCCATGATCTACAAAAACGCCGGATACGATTTTAAAGGAACTGTGTCACACCTTCTAGCATAACCAAAAGGAGCATCGTCTTTTGAGGTCCTCGGAGCATCTAGCCGCTAACAAAGGATGCATGTCTAAGCTGCGATCACCTTGGGAAGCACTTGGTGTCTGCTGCGCATTCGGTGTTGCTGTAAGTGTACTACTACCAGTGATATCTTGCGTCCGACGTGACGCACCAGCACCAGGGTTCTCATTGTAACGAGTCTTCTCGAAGTTTTTGTGGAAGATATCGTCTTGACTGTTGTAGTTTTTGTTGATGTCGTCTTTATCAGCATTGTTGTTGTTTTCGTCGATGTTGTTTTCACCCTTGTTGTAGTTTTTGTTGATGTCGTTTTCATCACCATTGTTGTAGTTTTCGTCTTCATAATCAAAATCATTATAGTCTTCGTATAGTTCTTTGATGTCGTCTTCACCGTCGTGATCATCGATGCTATCTTTGTCATGGCTGAGCGACCTCAAGTTGTTTCTGAAAAAACCACTAGAGGCAGTGCGCATATCGGCGTGAAAGAGCGCAGCGCGGCATTCATCACCAACTTTTGAGTTACTTAGAAAATGTTGGAACGAGAAGAAGCACGTCTAAATTGATTGATTGTTTTAAAACAACCGCCAAAAAGCAAGCCTCTCTTGGACCACTTGTTGCTAACACACTCTGTTACGACGTTTCACCGCGTCACCGCGTCATACGGTATAAACATAACTTTGGGAGTTTCCGCAGGCACTCACGCTGCAACGGCCAAGCTACCCACTTGTATGGCTGACCTTCGTCTTCGCGAGTTGTATTTGCTGAAAGACGCGACTGTCCTAGTACGCTAGCAGCAGTGGACGGAGAGGACCGTGTTAGAAGAGCAGGGGATGGAAATTTTGAGAAGAGCAGGAGATGGCTAAGAACGCATTGGAGAATACGCGTTGGAGAAGAGGTAGTCTGTTACTAACTTCTGGAGAAATCCTGGGTGGAGCCGATAAAGGAATCCCTTCTTATTTCTAAGAAGTTCTCAATTTCATTTTGATTTTGTTCATGATGAAAACTATGTACTTATATTGAAAAACTAAGCCCTCCTGATCTGCCATAAAGCTGAAGCAGGACTCGATGCTTGTGCTTGATCAGCCACTAATTTGTTCTTCACCTCCACACCACTAACGCTGCCAGTTGCCCCCATACTATCACTGGTCGCACTAGCGGCTTCGACTCCTGTGGCGGGCGAAGCGCCTGTTGAAGTGGCTGAAGAAGTTCCCGTTGAAGTGGCTGAAGAAGCTCCCGTTGAAGATGCCGGAGCAGAAGCTCCCGTTGAAGTGGCTGAAGTAGCACCAGCAGATGAAGCGCTCGATGCTGTAGAAACAGGACCAGCACTCCCTTCCACAAAACTGCTTGCAGCCGCATCACTTCCCTGTGATGTTGTCGGTTTTTCCTGTGATAAAGATGTTGTCGGATTCGTACCCTGCTGAGATAGTACAGCTGATCCCGCTGATGACTCTCCACTTTCTGCTTCCAACCGTCTCTGATGGAAATTCATTGCGTTGTGTTGCATGATGCGTTCTGCGCTGCATTCGTTTGCCAAAGGTTGGGAACATTTTTGCCGAACGTCGTGGCACAGTTCTTGATTCCGATGGTGCATAACGCGATACTCGTACAACGCCTGCTTGCATGCATTCGGCAACTGGTGGGCGCCAGATGAAGCATCTGATGGAGAAGGGAAAAGGATGATTATATATGTACCAGGGAGGGAGGCCCCCCCCTGTGGATGGATCTGGGGTGGACCACGCCAGAGGGGTCCAGCCTTGCCACCTTTGCCAGGTCTGTCGGGGGGCTGCCGGGCGGGAAGGCCTCAAGGCGCCCACTCCTGACCCCTTCCCGCTTCTTGCCTGTACCCTACAGACCTGGCAAAGGTGGCAAAGGCTGGGCCTGCTTGCATGCATTCGGCAACTGGTGGGGAGGACATGAAAGGATGGAAGAGGACATGAAAAGAAGTGCGTAAAAGAGTGGACATGTTCATGTTAAAGTTTTGAAGTTTTCAAGCTGGATAGACTTTCGTAACAAGTACAGCAGTGGTGTGAGTTTCCTAAAGAAGTAGAACAATGGCCTACTTAGACCTAGGACTATACATTAGGCATGCGAAATTTTCTCATATCATCTAGATTATATCCTAAGCATTTAAGCCAATTTTTCTCAAATTTCTACCCCGCCCAGTGTTCTCGTTCAGCCTTAGCCTGCTTTCATCCGGTTTTCGAAATGCCTCTTGGAGGCACTGCCAACGTGTCACTCCGGAATCGCTACAGCCTTTGTATGCTGAACACGCACCCGCGATCTCCGGAAGATAGCCGAGTGGATTCGCAGCCAGCTGAGTAAACCAGCTTCGTACTTCTAACATGCAGTTTTTTGAGTTTAGAGGGTACTTGTACTAGGGTACGATCCTAGTCTTCTCCGAGCAGCTTCGTCACTAAGTAAAATCGTTTTCCTGTTCACTTCATTATGCTTCTCATTATCCTCGCATCCTCAATCAAACCCATAAAAATGACACGATGTGCAATCTGTACTAAATTAACTCACTTAGACTTAAACCTGTACTAGAGTAATTCACAAAACATCTACGTCTACCTATTCGAAAAACTGAAATACAAATAACCGAGTAAAGAACTATCCTCGAATTTACTTGCTTATTCTAAGATTTCGAGTACCAATCCTCAATGTATTACAGACCTTGTGTATTGTGCCACAGCTATAATGAGGTTACCTGTTAATGAGGTCAATCCTTGAAATCTATCCTTTCCAACACATACAAATCTGTCCTTTAAATCTGTCCTCCTCATTGACAATGTACTACAACCCACCCATCCTTAACGACAAGCTGAGCCGTTTTCGGTGTAAGCTATCCCGGATCATACGATTGCGGAGACAAATGGCGCGCCTTGGAAATACCGTCAACATTCGCTGCGACTCCAAATGCAACGACACGGGTGAGGCACTACCATGCTGTAAAGCATTGCTCTTGATTAGAAGGAGACAATAGAGAGACGAGAGACCGTAGATAGAACAGAGAAAGTAGATAGACGAGAGACCGTAGATGAAGCAGAGAAAATAGGTGGAAGAGACACCGTAGATAGAAGAAAAACCGCAGATAGAAGGATGAAGCGGACGACAGTTTTAGAATATGAAGTAAAATAGGACAGTGCTAAAGAGAATCAGAAGGAGGTTCTTAGACATATAGGATATATAACAGCATGATGAAAATTTGGAGGACCACAACACTAGCCCAATCAGAGGCTTCAAGTAATCTATTATGAATTGGTGATACTTCTAGCACAAGTTTTTTTCTTGTACTTCTAGTCACTGAAAGGTATAACTACAGTACTAACTACCCTGTTCTTGAAGTTTGAGGAGCAGGCTCGTCTCCAGCGAGAAGAGGGATCTTGTTGAGCAACGCCGTCAGCTCCGTCCTATTATGATCATGATCTGACTATATTCACCACGTTCAGTCACTATTCCGGAGTCCTCTAATAATAACTATCATAACTGTGTCCCTTGTCCAGCTGTAGCAGTCCACGCTCCGGACGTCACTGCGTCTTCTACTAGAGGCATAACGCCTTGTCCTTGTCCCTTTGACGTGATCCTTTTCCGGCTTTATATCTTGTTCCAGCAATAGGAATAGCAAGGTAAATCTGTTCCAGCAATGTAAATCTATTCCAGCAACGTAAATCTTCCAAGAACGAGCTAGAATCCAAGGAGCTGCGAGCAGGAGGTTCTTGGGTTTTAATACCAGCTTATCGAAATCTCCTCCACCTGCTCTAGAAAATTATAAGTCATCTAGCGCTATGATCAATCTTCTACTTCCATAAGGAAAAGGATCACCATTATCTTGTGTGCAAGGATCGTGATGCTAGATTATACCAGCGAGCCTTAACTGTAGAGCAATGAGCTGTGAGCAGTGTCTCCTCAAATCTCGCTTGCATGGCCCCTCAAGACTGATGTCTGCATAGCTTTTAGTAGACAATATTTGCGAATCGAGAGGAGCCTCGACAGCAAGATTAGAGGCCAAGAAACTAATAGTGATGGATGCGTCAGGTAATTCTACGATATAGGATAGTGATCTAGACGTAGAATTACCTGACGCATCCATCACTATCCTCCTGAATTATAGTGAGCTACTTAATAGAAGTGGAGCTTGCTTTGAATTATAGTGAGCCTACTTAACAGAAGTGGAGCTTGCTTGTTTCGTCAATGACTGCGATTGGCTCTTATCTTTCGAGGCTGGCCCTGCTGTACCAGTAGGAGCATCTACGCCGGTAGGCGCAATGGTTGATCTATCTGCAGTTGTGGGGGCAATGGTTGATCTATCTGCAGTTGTACTTGGTGCCAGCGTCGCCACGGTCTCAGTCGGCACCGGTGTCGCCACGGTCTCAGTCGGCGCCGGTGTCGCAACGGCCTCAGTCGGCGCAAGTGTCGCAACGGTCTCAGTCGGCGCAAGTGTCGCGGAAGTCGCGGTGTCTGCAGTGAGTGGCGCGACCGTCGCTTCTGTGGTAGGCGTTGGCGTCACGGTTGCACCTTCACCAGCTGAAGCGGCTGGTGACGACAGTGTCGTATCTGCAGAAGGCTTACTGTCTGCAGAAGGCGTACTGGTGATCGCTGCTGTGTTTGTTACTCCAGATGCGGCTTCTACACCAGCAGGCACAGGAGTTGGCGTCGTCGTGCGTGCATCTGCGCCACTTGGCGTCGCACTTGCATCGCCACCAGTCGGGGTCGTCGTAGCCGTGTCATCAGCCCTCGGCTCTATCGTCGTTGTAACTGTGTCATGAACACCTCCAGTTCTTGTATCCTGTAGGCCTGTCCCAGTCTCAGCATCGGCGAGAACCAAGAAATCCAGAGACAAGCAAAAGGAGTAGAACCACACGGCTAGGCCTCCACCTAGGCATATCAACCGCATTTTTCGGTGAAGAACCTGCTCTTCTTGATACTTACGAAGCAAATCAACTATCTACGACTACAGCTTACTAAACAAATCAACTTCGCCTACAGGCCCTCCTTAATATGTACGTGGTATGATGCTGAAATGCCCTCTTTAAACGGGCGTGATGATGATGATGATGATGATGATGATTGTGCCTAGTCTAGGGGTGTTTTAATAACATCAGGGACATCGGACCATCAGGAACATGCTCTGGTCACTGCTCACGCTTAATGGAAGGATCTTATCAGGAAAAAACGAAGCCTACCCAGATCCATCGATACCCAGGTACATGCAGTTAGTTGTGCCTTAGTTAGATAACAATGTAATGTGACTACTCTACTATTCCACTTGAAGTTCGATAAGATGGATCGATATTTTCATAGCTGTGGTAACTAGTATCTTCAGTAAGTGTAATTAGCATCTTCAGAGGCAATTATTGCGTTCGTATCTACTAATGAAGAAAGGAAAATAAAAACATAGCACGGCGTTGATGATGATGGTCACGGATGTAGGCACATAGAAGAAGAAAAAGAAGAAGAAGAAGAAGAAGAAGAAGGAACTGCCTACTTACACGCCTATGGTAGAAGAAGGAGAAGGTACTTCATCTATTCCTATTGTGTATCGTACCACGTCTCCTAGACAAAACCTCCTATCAGATTTCTCTCCTCACACATTGTGCCCCTCATCACACAACTCGACAGTAAATTCCCTCCACTGCGTAGCCTGATTCTCGCGTTTCACAGACAGCGCTCCTTCTCATACTGAAAACTAATTCTGGTCACAACATCTTGTCATACTGATAACTATAATTCTTGTCACTGTGAAAGTGTTGGTAGCATAGTGCTGGTAATGGTCGTAGTAGTACTCGTTGACCCGCCATTCATGGGGTTGTACAGTCTGAAAGTGCAACGGGGGATCCCTCCACAACAATATCCCTCCACAACCTTGCTAACAATATCCTATATATAACTAATCCCTGACAGGTGTCGTAATTTCGAGAGTAGATGAGATTTTTGGTACCATTCTGGCGGAGTTCAGTGTTGAATTGAAGACTTCATTTCCTCTGGATCAGCACTGAAGCCTTGCAATGTATGAATGCCAAATATAGCCTCTTGTTGAAGAGAGTCGTTATTTCAGTATTTGTTCTCTGGTATGTGGGAACCGTCGATGATACTTTTTGCATTTAGGGTGTGGGAAATTGCGCTGTTGTGGGTCAATGACGCGCTCTTGGAAGGCTGAGAAGGCGTTGACGTTGTGTAATCATCCATGTATAAGTACTACCACCAGAATGTGTAAACCACCAGAAAACGCCAGGTGATATCATCAAACAGTCTTGGCCTTTACTCCTACAGTAGCTCCTCCCTCTTTAGAATTAGAAGTCTCCTCTACTACTTTGTGTTGCTTATTGAGTCCAACGCCGCATTCGTTCTGCATTTTTCGTAATAAAACCTCGACTTCTGCATCTGACAATCCAGCTTTTATCCTCTCCAGGAACTGACCCAGCAACAGCGTATCTCTATTCGACGCTCCTCGCACGTAGACGCGGCGATTCATCCCTACCGCACTCTCGAGGGGCAGACAACGACCGAGCTTCGAGAAAATCAATGGCAAGGTGTTTCTTCTTCTGCCACAGCTCCGTTCATCCTCGTCTCTATTTCGTTTCAGGAAGGAGGAAATAGGGAAGTTTTGCACTACATAGCCGGGATCCAGGCGCCCATAGAGCGTCTCTCCACTGCTCCAAGTTTTCCCAGTGTCATCGACGCAAGATAACTGTGATTTGGATAAGTGTCCTACTCTACAACTGAAAGCGAATGGAGGCTAGCTGAAGGAGTACATTGATCAACAACAGTTTAGTCGGCATATGGCATCTACTTACAGGTATATATAGTTGTACCCGAACCGCCTCCACGCCTAGCACCGCTTCTACATGGCAAAGGAGCAAATCTCCGATGTCGATGTTCGGTTTATTTCGCCGAGTCGCTCCGTTGAACGCCGTCTCCGGGAGCTCGGCTAATGCTGGCGCATTTACATCCACTCTCAGCACCTCGCCTCTTTTGTGCACCACTACACCCACTAATTCGTCGCCCACACGAGGAGAGTACACGTTGGAGAAGACTTCGTGCTGCTGCAGCAGAAGTCTCTTTTGCTCTACTAGTGTTGTTGTGAGCGTTGTCTCAGCTCCGGAACATGATGTTGGTGAAATTGTAGGCGACAACAAGCTTGCGATAGAGTCAGAATCCTTAGCGTCCATTGCAATGCAGCGAGTTGCAAGACCCTCACCAGGGAGAATCACACGAGGAAGAACGGCCCTCGTTCCAGAAGATGAAGAAGAAGGTGTCGTGCTCATGTTGTTGATGTCGTTGTCGTTTCAGGTGTCGTAAAGTAGAGTTGTATGAGTTTAATATTGATGTCGCCCCAGACTCGTAGGAAGCTCAAGAAAAATAGTGAAAAAGGTAAAAAAATCAATGAGACAAAGACTTTGTAATCCGGATCGACGCATCCGTGGTGTATCCACCTGTTCGCAAAAGCCAATGAAGAAATGTTCGCAGAAGCCAATAATGATCCTGGGTGTATACAAGCCGAGTCGATCATGTAGAAAAGACAACTCGGTGATCTTCATCTTCTTGCTGATCCTCGTCCTGATCTCCTTGTTATAGAAATCTTGAGTTCGAAGTAAGTAGATCTCCTTGTTGCCCTTACAGAATGGTCGCTCCTCCTTCATAACCTTACCTAGAAAAAGATCTTGATCTTCTTTTTTTGTTTGTTGAACCCGTAAAGATCCTAGTCAATGGACTGACATCAAGACTAGCAGGGATCTTCACGGCTGAACCTTCATGGAGGATCCTTGTTTAGCCTTGCTGATTCGTATTTGAACAACTTTGGAACTTTGGAATCGTTCCCTAGCATGCTTTTGGTCGTCTTCATTCCTACTTAGGCTTATTTTGTCCCACTGTACTAAGTCACTAAATGTGAAGAATTCTAGCACCTTCGTCGCGTTGATCATGTTGATGGTCTATTCGATGTTATAACTCAGTTCATTAGATATTTACTGAGTCCATGCCTGCATGGTCAATCATTTGTTTCGTCTTTACCCAATCGAATCACATCTAAGCCTAACCACTGGGCTGTGGCAACACGATATCTGGTAGCATACCTGTTTCCAGTTCACGGTCTTCTGCGGCGATGATTTGGCCGGCTTTATCTTAGATGGAATAGAGAGGTCTGAAGACCGTACTCGTCAGGTGACAGCAGGAGTGAGTCTTTCTAATGCAAAAAACAAAAAGCATGAAGAGTAAGAGTTTCAGTCTTCCAAGCCTTAATTTTTTTTAGCAGAAGGGATCAGCTTCTCCCAGTGCGAACGTGGTAGAATCTGCCTAGGACTCAAATGATCCCCGTATTCGCGAGTTGCATCCGCAAACCACTGCGATAAGAACTCGATGTTCGGGAAATACCTGAAAGAATTTAATCTAAGAGACAACAACACACACGACAAGTCGTGAAACGGAAAACTTCGAACCAAAAGCTAGAAAATGCCTAGGTAAGAACCTTGTCCTCTTGCTCAAGTTAGCCGATCCCGCATGCCAGGCCCTTAGATCCCGTATCACTGCATCTCCTTTTCTGACTTTAGAGGTCTCGATATCAATTTTCATGTCCTTATTATAAGTGAAAGAGTGCCTGCCTAAATTGATAGACGACCACCTTGCACAGCCACAGCTAGTACCCGAAATATGCAGCAGCTGTTAAGTAGTCTGAAGAAAGTGTTCAATTTAAATACTGAGTCCTTCTACTATCCTCTTCTTGTGGACAACACAGATTGTTCTCGATCTTGATTTGTGTCAGTCCTAATCAACGGGCAGACATACTTCACGCCGCCCAGCAGCTTTCTCTTCTCTTCACCTACTTTCACGGATTCAAAAAGCATGCGATGGGAACCAGGGAAAATCCGCAGACTGCCCATCTCACAATCTATATCATGCACTGCAAAATTCACCGCTAAAGCAGGTGCGCGAGCGCTGTCGTACATCTCATGTTTAGAGGAAATTTTCACGGATACGAAGCTTCGTTACCATTCTGAGTGATTCATTGCATGTTGTTGTTCGACGTCCCACCTAATCAAAATCAAAAATCAGTGATTCCTTACTTCCGTTGAACTATGTATCTCAGGCCAAACATGTAACTTTCAGGCCGAAGGTGCACGACGAGCACTGTCGTACATTTCGTGTTTAGAAGACGAGTGGTCTACTAACTTTTAGTAGTTTTGCGGATACAAGAACATGTACGGACCTCACATAACTTCCCTCGGCAGATCGGAATGCAACCACTGATGTGTGTCAGTCCTATCCAGGACCAAGTCGCCACCTCCGCCTACAACCATGTAATCCCCTAATAAGTCCACTAACTGGTGAATTTTCTCAGTATTCAAAAGCTCCACCCACTCAGGCTCGTGAACTAGATGGTGCGTTTTCTGCGCAGACCCCAAAGAATAACGCCGGTTTCCACGATTTCCTAGACCCGAGATGAAGGGAGAAGGAACAAGAGGTATAAACTGGAAAAACCATAAATGGAAGAAGACAGGACACAAACAACATACAACATACAACCTACCAATTTCAAACTCAATCTATAGTGTTGCACGGGATAAGCCTACTAAACTAATGCGATCAACAAGGTGAAAACTAACCGGTTGTTTTACTTAGTGCTTTGAGCGCCGCAGGGCCTAAACCTTCACCAAAGGGTGAAAGCCAATCAAGATTTGCAGCACACCTCGAAAAGGAAACAAAGGGGAATCTATAGATGCATAGTAGTTCTAACCACATAAGATGTGGATCTTTCGAGAGCATGTCGTCCGAAACCGTTGCGCATTTGCTTCGCACGCGATCGGCAAGATCTGCAGAGATTGCATTGCGCAAAACGTAAAAACCGTCCCGAGCCATTGCAGTCAGGAATTCATCCTTTTCTTGACCGAGTAAACCGCCAGCCGCAATCAAGTAGAGGAGATCATCCGGGTGCTGTAGTTCATTTTTGTCCTGGAAGGGAAAACGACTTGGATCTTGCTAACTTTTTTTCTTGTCCAACAGTTGGAAATGACATATACGCACGATTGCTTCAAGTCGGTGTGGAAATGAACTATACAGCACCCAAAGAAAAACCTTAAGCCAAATCGTCAGACGATCCTGCTTCCGAACTCGTTGGACTTGGAGGTGCGCCACGACCGAAGAAAACGGTTTCTTGTAATGTCGGCACTCGCGTCTCACACGTCTTACAGGTGCAGCGCCGGCCACTCACTGTGCCCGGCGCAGAAGCAAGCTGCTCCGGAGGCAAGTCCTCTAGATGGTTGGAATGGAGGTTAGAGGTAAAGAGGCAGATCGTCTAGGTGGCTGGAATACAGGTTAGAAGCACACCTTAAAAAGGCGAATTAGAGAATCATACTCTGACATTGGTCACCCTTAGACCACCGAGATGGCGTCCCTACCCCTACTTGCTGCCCTGAGACTGGAACCAGTCGATGCTACAACTACTCACCAAGCGAAAGAACTCGTATGCCTCATTTCACCCAAATTAGCTCCATATTTATAAGATGAACATGGAAAACTACTCACCACGACCATTCTTAAGTAGAAAGCACGCAAAGCGAAGATCCGCGAGTTGTGATTGCGAATGGACAAAGCTCCACGTCTTGCAACCTGGCTCCGACAAACACGCATGCTGACACTCGAGACCCGTCCGTAGGTTGGGAACTGAGACTGAAATTCGTGCTTGGCCCAATTCTCCTGGAGCAATTTCACCACCCTGCTCGTCTCTAGGAGGCAGCAACATGCCGAACCAATAACACGAATCGTTGTCCTGCTTGTCCACCACGTCGCCACAGCAGTACTCCCTGGACAACAAAGCCATCCATTGGAATTTCTCATCTGCACAGTGCTGTTCCCGTTGGCCATCGTGGTTGCAGATAGGGTCGATGTGCTCTGGTGCCACTAGTGCACGACATCGAACAACATCTGCCAGCAAGAAGACAACTGTGTAGAAAGACATCTGCGTTCCCTTCATCTTTATGTTTATACGTATAACTTGTAGTTTTCGTTCCTATCTAGCAGGAGAACCTTCTTTGCGTCTTCGTGAGCATGGTACAAAGTTTGTACTGTGAAGAAGTTGTCACATACTTATTCTCTCGCTGCTCTTGCGTAGCCATGTCTTGCGAACAAACCTCACCAAAAGAGACCGCTATCCAGATACAGAGGACGACGGAAAGACAGAAAAACACGCCGATCTTCACGCGATGTTCACCTGCAGGCTGCTTTCCTATGCAATCATGAGTTTTTGCTACTGTTTCTCATTCTGCGCTAAAGTAAATCCTGCTGCCTCTCTACGTCTTAATGACTTCTCAGTTTTTCACTTCGATTTACCTCTACCCTGACCAAAGCGCAAAACATTTCGAGGATTTTGTTCATTTGCTCTGGCCCCTGAATGTTCCATGATGCTCCCTCTTCATTAACACGTGCCCGACGCATCTGATCGTTCGCAAAAACCTCAAACAACTCATTCCTACTCGCATTCGAAGTACTTCTAGCTGTCTCCTCCTCATCTCCTTCGAGTTCTTGTCCTCTTGAAGGAGAACCTGCTTCTCCGCCACCACCTAGTGCTTCAGGATGAGCAGGAGGATAGTCGATTTTCGATGAGGAAGAAGAGGTAGAAGACCCTTCTTGTGATATTGTCGTAGAAAAAAATCGTCCTTGAGCACTTCCCTGCGAAGATGAACTACCTTCCTCTTGTCGTCCCACTGCCCCCACACAACCACCTCGTCCATGAGCAACTTGCGTTCCCATTTCCGTCAAAAACAGCAAGCCTTTTCCGTCTCTGAACTTTTCCGGTAGAACGATCCTCGCAAACCGCCCACCAGCCACTTGTCCTAGCCATTTCTGCACGTCCTCCTCGGACCAGAGTTCGATCGGCTTGGCTTTCCCAGTTTCCTTACATACATTGATCTCTTGTTGTTAGAAGAGGGTTGCACTAGAGGCTAGGGATAGGAGGGCTGTACTAGATGCTAGGGATAGGAGGGTTGTACTAGAGGCTAGGGAGTAAGAGTAGATGGATCTTCTTCTAGAGGTTCTGCGGTAATTATATAGTTTATTTCAAAGCCTCCTCCACAACATTGTAGTAATCTGGATATCGAATTCTGTGGTACATCGATCACATTTGAAGATCATAGAGAGAAAAATCCAGTTACATCTACTACTTTGACTCTCGTATTATTCAGCAATTTGTAGTACTTACTTCTAACGCTAACCTGTAAACAATTATATTCGCCTTAATGGTAGAACAGTTCCAGTGGCAAGTCTAGGACGCAGGATGGAGAAGCACGCCCAACCATATCGCAGACGTGGGACAGAGTATTCCTACTATGGATGGCGTCCCGAGCACAAGGAGAGACGGTAGCTATGATTGTCATCCGAGTTGATGTTGGAAAGGTCTCCTTCTGTGAAGATGGTTGTTCTTGATCTTGTTTATGTTGAGGTAAACTACCTACTGCTGCTACGTCCTCAGGAGGTGCTTCCTGTGAAGTAATCGCTTTGCTTGTGGTCCCCACGAAGCAATCCTGCAGCAAATGTGTCAACCGCGAGTCTCTGAACGGTATTTTTCGTCTATGATTCTCTGCAGAAGCAGAAGCCAGCATTCGCAAACAGGTTTTCAACGTCATCAGACTACTATTGATCAAATTAGAACTCACCCAAATCCATCTCGATATCCATCTTGGAGCTGTTCTCCCCTTGTGGAACAGTTACAGGATGCTTCACTGCTTCCGAAGGTGGACTAGGGTAGGCCTTAATCAACGCTGACTGCCGATGTTGGGCTGCTGTCATTGCCTGGGTCTCGAAGTTGCGTTCACTACCGGCTAGGTCTATCACACGAATCAGCCTTCCTCCAATCCGGAACATAAAGAAAGCATGACTGCGACTGGAGCACACGTTTCGTTCGGTTGCTTCCGAAAGGCGTAATGCTAAGGCGTGGTCGATTGTTGTTCGAGCGTCTTCAACATCAGAGGCAGACTGCCCCGCTGAAGATGTATTGTTCTCACCCCCGGCTGGTGAAGAGCCGTCTTTCGCTTTCACGTCGGCTCCCATGCCCATCGCACATCGAACCCACTTAGCTTTCACATGCACCGTCCTACTCGCATCCTCCAAGATTTTCACTTGTTTTCTCCCATCCAGTAAGTCAAATGCGACTTTGTGCAGTAGTTCGAAACATTGAATCTCTACTACTTGTACTTCTTCGCAGGAGGAGCTAGTAATAATGGTATCGCTTTGATTTTGCAAGTCCTGCAAGATTTCGTCCACGATCTCCCGCATTGTGAACGTCTTGCCAGTCCCTGTTTGTCCATAGCAGAGGATTGTGTGAGAGCCTTGTGCCGGTCCACAGGTGGAATCGGAGATTGGAGATGATGTTCCTGTAGGTGTACTGGAAGACAGCAAACCACTACTAGCACTGTTGTAGTTTGAGAAATCCATCACCCCTCTCAAACGATCCCCACCTGTCAGAATCGCATCAGCTGTGTGATGAGACAGTTGCAGTTGTAATCGCCGTCCATTATAAGCAACTCTGCCTTCGTGAACTAACAAGGTAGAAAGCTCAGGTCTAGAAACGACATCCCATTCGGCAGCGTGAATTTCGTCGGGGAGTAGGGGTCTTTTGCGCAATAAAAGTCGAATGTTGTTGTTCTTGCTGGACTTGGGCACCTTGGCGAAGGTACTACTACTGCTTGTAGGGGTTGAAGAACCTGAAGAACTTGTACTTGAACCTACTTCTTCTTGATCACGCTTACTCTTGTTATCGCCATTCATACTTACGTTATCAGCCTTGCTAGCTCCATCACACTGTTGTTCAACATGAGACGTGACACCACGCAAATCGCTATCATATATTTGGCCGAAGAAGCCAACAGCAGGACCGATTTCAGCCAGGTTCTCTGCTACATGGGACAAAACGCCGACATCTCCACCAAAATATCTGTACAGTTGAGACGACATCGTACTAGTACTGGTACCATCGACACCGTTGTTCGTTGTGTCTGTGATGTTAGAGGGTCGTTCTTTCTCGTTTTCATTTCAAGAATGGAAGCATATTTACTAGAAGAAATTCGTTGCAGATTATTGGGACGCTGTGAAGGAGTCGCTTGCATCGTGTTATATCAACGTGAAATCTTGCATTCACCATGGATTTCCAGAATGAATCTAGCAGGAAAACATCCAGTGAAGCATCCAAAATCTTTTTCCTTAATCAAGCTGTTCTTCAAAGTCAACCGAACGACTGCCCGAATCCTTTCCACATCTGCCTGCAAGGCGATAAGACGCCTACGATGAAGTTTGTAGCTCTCTCGCTTGGAAAACACCGCACGTCCGTCTATCTTAGCGTCCGCCCACAATGCTTCCTGTCGGTCCGAAATCACGTGCTGCGTGTCGGGTAGGAGAGAGCTGCTTGAAGGGAGAGAGCTGCTTGAAGATGGTGCTGCGGCGGACGAGGACTGTGCGTTTGAGCAGGAACTTCCACCCCCTGGCGGCATCATAATGTCCAGCGCAGAGCGGCGACTAACACTCGCTTGGAGCAGCGCTGCTCCATCGCTGGGCGGCGATGAAATACTGCTACTGGTCATGTTGTTGGTATATTTCTTTTGTTGTTCTTATTCAAAAATTACCTACTTGTCATCAGCAGCTTGAAAAAAACAAATAAAAGCAATCGCTTTTTCCCATCTTGATCGCTTTTTATATTTTTTTCAAAAAGAAACGGCTCTTTTTATGATGACTCTGCTTGATAACGTAATAGGCCCTCTTTCTGCTCTCCTTTCACAACGAGACACAACAGCAAAAAAGGTATTTTCATCTTTGTTTAGAATTTTCACCCAACGTCGAAGGTTCTTCTTTTCTCAAATGGCGTCTCTGCATGAAGAAAAAGAGGTACTTTCAGCCGCATGAGCATAACCTCCTTTGAAAGTCATTAAATGTGAGAGGTCACGGTGGGAGGGAAATGTCTTAGGGCTTGGGTAATGCGAGTCATTCAATGGGAGGGAATGTCTGGAAGTAGACGTCTGTGCCTCTTCTGCCATAACATGCGCATGAACGAGGCAGTTAATACCATGGGAGGCAATATTCAGGGTCGGGTTGGTATGATGTCCTTGATGCGCCAACGTAAATTACTAGCAAAATTCAGGTGTGACTTCACATACCGCCATGATGATTATCTTGGATTTTCGAAAAAAACTATGCCGCAATGGTGAAAGATGTCCGATTTCGACTACGGTAAAAATGAGTACAACAACGTTAAAGACTCGCCCCAACAAACCAGAACTTGCGACAACATTTTCCTCAGAGTTCTTCCCTTCTCCCAGAGCCTGTTGATACACCTCCTTCACTGGTACTGCTGCGTACATGGAGGATCCTCGAGTCTCCTGCTGGCAATCCGCATTTGATTTTCTCAGTCGTCGCAACATGTTGAGGCAGCAAGGCGTTGTGTCCGCATAAACCTGCGATGTGAACCTTAATGTTTGACTGACAGTTCTTTGGCTCCTCAACGTACTCCACTCGAACGGGGTTGGAGGAACAGGATACGAAATCAGGCAAGCGGTAAGCGGAGGTGCGTGAGACAACCTGTCGTGGAGAAGATTTTTGAAGAATGATTAAGGGTATCTTGGATGAAGACATGATTAAGGTAGTTGGTTGGGGGTCTTCTAGCAAGAAAGAGAGAGACAGATCTGGAAAGACAAAGATAAAAACTTTTGACCGATTTTTCAATTTTCGGAAAATTGAAGGGTTGATAGAGCGTGTTCTAGAATTCCTAAACTTGCAAAATTACATGAAGATGAGAGAACACAACAATAGGCATAAACCCTAGTTCACAAAGCCAAGATAAAAAAAGTAGTTGTACCCGTTCCACTGATCCTTGTTTTCCGTACAGCACTAAGAGCGATTGAAAATCTGGTAGCTCTTTCTGCACGATGCCCCTCTTCCAGGTGCCATCGACGTTGATTTCTACCGTCGTGCCCTTGGGACACGCTGGTCTTGTCCACTCTGGGGAACAGTATAGGGTGACAAATGTCGTGTGTGGCTTCCGCTGTTGCTCATCCGTGTATTTCATCACCTTTATCTCAGGATACGTCGAAATACCTGCATATTTAAGCAGCGTGCCGAGTTCTGCGTCGACGAGCACAGACACAATGCGAGGAGCTGCAAGATTGTCGACGCCCTGCAGTTTTGAATGTGGTGAACGTGAAAATCGACAAAATCTGCTGAATATATTGTTCGACAGTGATAGGTTAGGCCCACCAGCTATGCTCCAAGTGATTCTGGAAAGTAAAAGTTGATTTGAGTATGATGTCATCGCAAATAACCGTGATGTTGTTGTACCTATCACAGTCGTACTACTTCTTTTATAAACGTCAATACCTCCATAGCATCAGCCATCGGTCTTTCGTCGTTGGTGACGATCACCGATGCAGCCCCAGCATTCTGAGCCGTAACTGCTTTCTCGTGGAACCAACAATGACCTCTCTGCACCACGATAATCGTATTCTTAAACGGCACAGGCTTCTATGGATTAGAGGTGAAGAACTACTTCCTAAGTGGTAAATGTAACTTGTTCATCAGAGCAGGTGGATACTTCATGATGATCAACTTCAATCGCACAAGCGAGTTCATTTGTAGAAGCTTGAGCTAGCATACTAAAAGGTAAAGATTCAAACAACGATACTAAATGTTAGAGATGCTCCACCCATTCCGCTTTTCGCGTGGATAAGACCGATGAACTGATACTGTGACATCTACTACGATACTAAACAACAACAACCTCTTCTACTACCGCAAGTGCTTGCCCATAATGAACGGCTTGCATCCATATGCGTTATCCGGATCGTGCCACAGTTTTCCCTGGAAACCCTCTACATACAAGGGATTGAACGTTCCACCAAAACCACGCAGATCAAGGTCGTCCAGATCGATGTCATTCCCAGCAGAACCTCCCACAGTCTTTGCGTCCGGAGCTCCTGTCTTTCCACCGGAGGAGGAGGGATTAGATTCAGAATGATCTGAAACACAAAAATTACATTAAAATCATATTTGGTTACATTTTAAAATTAAATCCAGAGTCTCTCAACAAAGGTCCGTCACATACATAAACTCCAAAACCAAGAAAGGAACTAAGACAACTTACAAAAATGAAACACGTCAAATTGCTTTAAAGCTCATCAAGTCTGCGACTTCGCCTAGCCATGGCGCACTGATGGTGAAAACCTGAAAATGGGAGCTGCAGGATGCCCCCTCCACAGTCGCAAGTAGTGCTGTCCCTGTCGTGCTCAGGTGACTAGGACTCAGTTGCCCGTGTCCCAGTCGACTTCCGTGGATTTCGAGCTCCTTTGTCAGGTGAAATTGCGACATTCCCGCACTAAGACAAAACTCAGTGGTCCACCAGCTTCTTGTAAAAAACTCGCTGTCCTGGAGTCCGACCACGTGCTTGTACTGCTGAGGCTGATACCGGGAACAGAACTTGTCGGACATAAAAGGCCAAAGTAAGTCCTGGACGAGAGGTGGGTGAAATTTTTAGTTGATTGACTCGTCAATTTGAGCTTCTTAATAGTGCTTATTATGTCGTAATGTAGTAGCGTTGTGCCATCTAGTTTCATTTTGTGAAGTACACTTTACTCGTCAGTCATCAATCATGCAACGACAACGACAATATGTCTGAGAAGCAAATGCTAATCCTAAAAAATCCTAATGTTTTCAAAACTGTGAAAATAATACTTCCGGACTCGCCTTTCCGTTATAGCTGCAACATGCTGGTGACGCCAACCTTGTGGGTGATAGCGCCACTGCCAATCGCCGCACGCCTCCTTCGTACAACCGCCGTATCCCACTTTCCGTCGGTCTGAGACATTCACACGTAATTTTACGGTCATCTGTGAACTCCAGTTGGACCGCGATCTTGCTGAAAAATTTCGTTTTACTCGGTTCCTTTGAGTAGACAGCGGGTTTCTCGAGAGCAGTCGAAGGGGGCATGTAGAGGCCTGTGACAGGGTCGAAAACAGGGGTCGAAGAGAGGGTAGGACGCGAAGGTGAACCTCCGGTCTTACTCGAAGTAGCCACAGCAGGTGGCGAGGACCTCTGCCCAGCTGCTACATCACTTTCAACCTCTTCTTCTTGATCTCCAGTTTGTCTTCTGGCTGCATTTGTTTCTGAGGAACCCGATTGTTTCGCAACTACTTCATCTTTTCTTCTTATTTCTACTCCGGTTCTTCTTATTTCTGCTGGTGTCGTAGAAGATGAAACTGTTCCCGATGCCCCAATTTTTCCGATGTTGTCTAAAGGCCCTGATCTATCGTCGAAGTCTTCCGGCAACAAAGCGCGAATCAACTCCACCCGGGCTTTCATACTCAGCGCCTTCTCAGATGAGGATGCAGATAGGAGGGGTGCCGAATCCCGAGAAAGGGAGATGCTACGCGCGTACACACCTCGGTCGCGGTCGGTATTAAGCGGAGTGCTGGTACTACGATGCGCACTATCTTCACTAAGCAACCTGGGTCGCAATAAAGCGCTATTATCTACAAAACATATCTCCTCGCTGTCACCAGAAGCACCAGTGCTGTCACCTGTAAGTTGTTGTAATAAGGTACAGTTGGGACTAACAAATATCTTGAAAAAAAGACTATCAATTTTCTTCAAGACACGTCCAAGACCAAGAAAGCTGTCATCTAAGAAAGGTACCTACTTATTCAAATAACTATTTCTTCATCTGACATGAATCTGAAAAGTACCTTCCATAAGGTCTACTTAAGCATTCAAGCTATTTCTACTTCATGTGAGACATGAATCTGAAAAGTACCTCCTTCCATTTCCCCTTTCGGAGGCAAAGGCACGCACTCATGAGTGAGCATGTTAAGTTTTGCTTTTGCCAACGTCTCGAGCCTATCCAAGTCATCCCCTGGTGGGGGAGGCACTTCACACTCAAACAGCTTGCGCCCAGGTCCCATCAACAAGCCTAATCGTTCACCAGCTGCGTTTGGTGCTTGTTGTTGTACTTGTGATGACATTGATGTCCTCTCTATATTCTGTATTTTAGTACCTCCTTGTCTATTTGCTGTTGCCACAGAAGTAGTTGCTGTTGTCATAGTAGAAGCAGTTGTATCCTCTGCTCTCGATGTACTAGCAGCAACTGTACTATTATCTACTTGATGTATTCTTCCAGCAGCAGATTGGCCTTCTTGTCCTCCTCCTGTTCCTGCACCAGGAGATGATCCAGCAGCACTCCCACGACTCCCACTATTTAGAACATCGTAGACATCTCCTCCACCTTGTTCCTGCCCTGCAGCATCTACAACAAGCTGTTCAACATCTTGACCTCCTACTCCTGCTCCTACGTCCTCCAAATCTTCTTCCTCCTCCTCTTCCTCATCGTCTTCGAAATCACCGTAGACATTAGAGGTAGGCTTTTGGTGCTCGCTTACCCCGCTTGTTATGCCTTTCTCCCTTAGGAGAGGCATAAAAAGCGGTAAGAAAAGCACCTTTAACCTACCCTTAAAGACAGTGTCCCTCTCCACATCCGGATCTGTGATGGCTGGTCGTAATTTCTGCTCCAAAATTTCATCTAAAGGTGCTGGAGTCATCTCCACAACGAAGATCTGAGAGGCTCTTCGCTCTCTACGCATGCCGGCGCCAGCACTAGAAACCAGCTTAGACGGCGGTCCATTCATAGACGCGATGCCTGCTGAGGCCGATACCAAAGTAGTGGTGGTGCAACTACTTTGGAAAAATAGGGCGACCAAGTAGCTGATAAAGAGAGAATGGAGAAGGGTAAAACAAGTTGATGTGCTGCCAGCAGTTGTATTTTTGGTAGAGAATGAGGGCAGCTTGATGCTGGAGGAGTAGGGTTTAGAAGATCTTCTTGAGGGATGTTGCGCTGCTGCACCAGCTGCATGTTGTTCGTCTGCGGAGGATAGCGACATCTTCATCTTTATCCTGCTGAACGGCCAAGAGGACGTCAAATTCCTGATTTTTGTGGACGCAGACGAAAGCGGTCTGGACCTTGATCTCCGGTTAGAAGACGAGGACGAAGAGGTAACACTCTGCATTTTTTTCGTCTCTCAGCATCAAAGTTGGACAACTAGCGAGAGATAAAGGCTCCTCTTACGGTAAGTCATGGTCTACAACGAGAGGGAGTCATGTCTCCTACAACCACATATTATATCATGACAATAAGCATCATTCAAATCAAGAGGGGATTGAGCAGAGAGAGGATAGATAACAAAAGAGAGCCTAAGGAATCTAGCGCTCGTCCGGGCTACTCGGGGAAGCGGTAAACGAAATAATCACAAGGAAGACAGTACTGTTTTCAACAAAGTAGGCGAGGGAATCTTTCATGAACAGCTTCTCTTCAAGAGATGCGGCCATACTGGAAGCACAGTTTATCTTATTCTCGTCTGAAGTTGCGTGGGAGGTCCGATCATTTGACTGTTCCGAAGACTTCCCCTGCCCTTGCAGGATATCGATATTGGATTTGCATTCCTTCACCTCGGGTGGAACACAACAAGTGCAGTTTTACTTTTATTCCACTGGAATAGCATCGGAATAAGGGATTTGATTGGACATAACCATGACTATTGCTTCCTGCTCATCTTCTAGAAGTTGTCAACTATTCTTGCCGTTACGCACACAGAATCCAAATTCGTCTTCCACAGGAGCAGCTCTTTAAAAACTGGAGGGGAATGAGATCTTGTTTCGACATCCTCAGATGACATAACAGTGTGTTTAGAACTCACATGAAGAACGATTGTTTAGGCAGCCTTCGTGCGAGTGCGCACGCATCCACGCACCGGAGAACGCACTTATGGGACAACAACCGGCAACGGCATGTCGTTCCATTACAACTTCCATGATACTAGTATGAAAACGGAGCTACGATGATGTAACAGAATCAATGTTTTTAAATTTCAGCTCTGGAGGGTGCCTTGGTATGGTTTTTTTCAGGAATCGTCGTTCTGCAAACTTCTTGCTTCGGCATGATGTTGAAGCAGACAATAATTCAGAGTACTTCTCATATCCATGTGTAGAGGTCAATCTCCACCATGCCTACACCGTTTAATAATCCGTGTAGTTCCTACAATTCAAGTCCTACCTTATCAAGCTCCTGCTTCTCATAGTCCTGTCCCATTTTTACAGGTCATCGCCCATGTCGAAGAGCAAGTTTGCGGCAAGCTCTTCGTTTTTCTCAGCAGCCATGTAAGCTTGCACAACAGCGGCTCTTGGAAATCCTAATTGCTCAAGTCGCTCCACCGCAGCCCTGTCTTCCTCTGACAGTTGGACTTGGATAGTACCTGTTGTAGTCGTCGTGTGTGGAGGTAGTAGGGAACATTACTACTACTACTGGGAACATCAACATTGACAATTTCTTAAGGATAAGATGGAGAAAGAAGAAATAAATGATGGTAATGACCCTCTCGTCTCTAAGAGAAAAAGAACATCAAATGTTCAAGGACATCAATCGTAAAAAATGCATCTAATAATGTATAAAATAATACCACCACCATCTCCTGCAGCTCCAGGCATTGCTCCTCCACCTGGCATACCTCCCATGCCTCCCATAGGGTCGTCGTCTCCTTCCATGCCACCCATTTGGCCACTGAGAATTTGCATCAAAGCCTCAGGATTTTGCTGTAGGAGTGCTAACAATTCCGGGTTCGTCTGTCCCAATTGGCCTAGGACTTGCTGCAACATGGCTGGGTTCTGCGCTATGGCCTGTTGAAGCTGCGCCATATCTGGTCCGCCACCGGGTGCGGCACCGCCTGCAATTTATAAGGTGGAGAGTGGTCGTTTTGGTACTATGGGTTTGTTTGTTTTGTGGAGGGCGAGAGGATATAAGGCAAATTCTATGTTTCGTTGAATGCAAGTTCATGTTGAGGTCCAGTACAACGGAGAGGTTCATCCATTAGAAACATCGCAAGAAGAAAAAAGCGCACTACCTGCCGCTGGCGGAGCTCCTCCTGCTGCTCCTGCTGGTGGAGCGGCACCACCTCCCATAGCGGGAAAAGCCATACCCGAAAATCCTTCTCCGCCTGTTGCTGCCGGTGCTGCCGGAGCGCCTCCAGCTGCGGGTGCTGCTGCGCCACCTGCTGCAGGTGCGCCGCCTGCTGCTGGAGCTGCTTGTGCCGCCGCGCTCTCCTCAAGGCCAGCTGGAATTCCATTCATCAAGTACTCGACAGCTCTGTCCGGATTACCGAAAGCAGCTCTCAAAGCAGCAATGCACTGATCCCGTGGAAAGCCCATCTCGGTTAGTCGCGTAATAGCCTCCTCTGCTTCTCGGTTGTTGGATGCCTTTTATTTTGTGGGAAGAGTATTTTGGGCGAAGAATGGGTTCTCAGATGAAACAAAATCTTGGGAGGTAGTAACTTTCATGAGAGAGAAAGGATGATAAATCAGTACTGGCACTGCCGCCAACGGTTCTGCTGGTGGTGCAGCGGCGCCTCCATCTGATGCGGTCGCAGCCGGGGCAGCCGGTGCGGGATCCGCGGCTGGTGCTGGGGCAGCAGCTTTTTTTGCCGGAATAACCACTAAGAAGTCTCCTTCCTTCAAATTGCTATCAGTAACAGTCTTCTCGTTCTGGAGAATACGACCTGATGTGAAGGGGAATGACCATTTTTGCATTCCTTCACTTGGGCATAGATAAGACAGAGACTGAGTATACTTACTTTGAAGCTCCACCGACCCCGACCCAATCGAATTTGACGTTGCCCGTGATTATATCAATTCTGATAAGAGAAAAGGAAACAAGAACAACGACATTGTGAATAAACACCAAATCTTACCCGCACAGATAAGCTTCTGTCCATCGGCTTCAAATTCAGGTTTCGCCTTCTCCACTTTCTGCTTTACTTGTAAGATAGTATCGGTTGGCTCGATTTCTACCTCGAAGTTGGCGGCACCTGAAAGGTTAATTATGTGGAATTCTACAATGATTGGAAATTTTGCATATTTTTTGCTATTAACTGGTGAAAGAGAGGGGTTCTTGGCAAATGAATCAACATCGATTTTTCATCCATGCAGTAGCAAAAAATGTGGTATTCAGCATCAAAAGCTACATGTCTATCATCAAGTTAAAAATCGTTTCTTACCACCTCCACCGCCTTTGTTCAACGTCTTCACCGTGATCTTCATTTTCCTTGTTCCCACCTTACGATTCTCTCGAATTCAATATCCTATCAATTATGTAGAAGTAGAACTTTTCTATCACTCATAATCATGTGGGGGATAGCAGTCGCCTGTGATATGAGTGTTGCAACATGGTCAACATCATCTCCAAGAATGAAGAGTTAGTTTAAATGCTTCTGATTGAAAGATGATTGCACATGGATTGCATCGCTAGAACTGGCAACAGGGATAAGAGTGCTGATGATTATTCTGCTTCTTTCAGTGCCCCTTTCAGAATTGAATAATAGTCTCCTCGTCGTGCATTTCGTTCATTCTTAATTCTGAATTCCCATGTCATATCAAGATTGGATCCTCAAGCAAAGAATTCGATTCAAATCTGACGCGTCTAGAAGTTCGTTGATGTGACCCAGCAGAAAAGGTCCCTTCGAACACACTTTACACCGCGAAGTTGTTTCCACGTGGCATAAGAAAAATCGATTTGAATTTACTACGGAACGAGTTTCGATATGAAAGGGCACGTCAGAAGGCGTCCCATAATGACTCGAAGAACAGGGTCTTTGCCATCAACATTCTTACTGTGAAAAAATCAAAATAAATGGTAGTTGACATCAGTACTATTTCACAAGCACGAGGACTGCATTCTGGTTCTTAACGATCAAACAAATTTCTGCTGGAGAGCCGGGCTCTCATCAATAGACGTTCGACGGTGCAACCTTAACACAAGCTACCCAAGACGTACTTGGTACTCCGCGCGCCCTTGCATCAGTTCTCTTTCTAACTAGGCGCTCTCAGAACTCGTTCAAGCTGAGCCGGCAACAAACTGCACATTTCTCGGACAAGTTAGAGGTTGCCGAATTGCATTCTTCAGAACATCCTTGACCTATTTTCTTCTTGAAAAGGAGCCAAGGAGGGTAGTGAGGGATGTAATTCGGAAATCCTTAAACAAGGGCTTCCTCCGCTTCGAGACCCAAGTCTTGCTTTTTTTCGACCTTATCTAGCCACCGGCTAATCCCATTGTACTCGTCAATAACGGATTTGAGCATTTCGACATGCGCTTTCTTGTCCATGCCGACGAACTTGGAACCTGCCGGGTTTTTTCGGAGTAGATTTTTGGATGTAGCTGCTGGAAGGAGAGTAGGGTGCTGTATTCAGCTTTCCGTTTGATTTCAAGTTATTTTCATTGACTTTCGTGACTTCTAGGCTTACGCAGCTTTCCGTTTGATTTCGAGTTGTTTTCAGTGACTCCTTAGAAAATCGCAGCGGAGGAGGAATCGAACCCCTGGGCATCTCTGCCCCCCGCGGGTTGAAGCCGCGTCCGAGCACCAGCCCGGCTCACCACTGCAGACGGTTCTCTTGTTCTAGAAGAGGGCTCTCTGAGGATACTACAGAAGAATGAAGACCCGAAATATGCATTACGGGGGTAGAGAGATGAAAGTCCCCTGAGAACCTCTTCTACTTCAGAAATAGACACCGAAGTACCCATTCTTGCCGCATTGATTTTCGCATGTGCATATGCGCGTCCATCCGCAGGCTCCAGCTTATGCACATCCCCTCTTTCGTCAGTGTCGTAGGTATCGGTGAACATCTTGAAGAAGTTTCGAGATGCCACGATATGCGAGTTCACCTTCTGCCCACTCTTTAAGTCCTTTTTCTTGTGAAAATTGGCCTCTGCCAGGTCTGCCAGGTCGTGATAGATCTCCCCACATTCGTAGCTGATTTGCCGCCAGTAGTCTGGTAAGGTGGTGCAGTGGAGGTGGAGGTGGCGAGGAAGAAGTCAGATTCTAGTAAACTTGAATAAGCTACAACATAAAGAACGCAACGGGGGAAAAAAATAAACTAAAGGGTTGTTTCGGGGTCGCTAAAGGAGCAAAAAGTACTTCTGAAATGATGTTTGCTGAGTTGGTCCAATAGCGGACTCAGCATCTTGTGCCGCCGAACGTACATCGCGCTCTTGCGTCCAGCATCGGTTTCCCAACTGCTTAGGTGACGGCAGATTAGACACGCGGGTTTAGTTCATCTCAGGACTTGAGCACCTAGGGGGTAGAAATTCGCATGAGGAGGTAGAAAGCATCGTTTCGTTCCTCAGCCATAAGTACAGATTCGATATCTCCTGTAGGACCTTCAGATGGTCCGTGCACCATCCGTCCAACTTGTAAAAGTCCAAAGCTTGCGTGAAAAAGTGATTACTCACTTTGAAGAGCTCCTTAGACTCCTCGTACCGCGGACCAGCTGCAAGAGCGACGTTAGTTGTGATTTTGTAGCCCGTTTCACGTACCTTGAAGAACTCCCGATCCATGGCGTTCATCTTGTGTTCAATGCGCTTATGCAGTTTCGGAAAAAAGACCGCGACTTGAAGAAAATGCGCTTTTGCGTCAGCCGCTTTGGCATCAGCAGAGGAGGAAAGGCGAAGAACGGCGGTTCGCTGTTGTGAGTGAAGGCTAATGAAGTTGGGTTAATAAGTTAGGACTTAGGGACAGATGCCGACGGTGGCTATTATATACACAATGAATTAAGTACAACTTTCAGATGACTGAGAAATGAAGACATAAACAGTAAAGAACCCTGTGGTTCATTTTCAAGCTCCCAGTTAGAAAGTAACTGTAACTACTTTCTCCTGATTCAAAGTCATTCTCAAGCTCCCAGTAGTACCAACTGTCTAACATTCTCCGCCTCTTGCTCAGCTATCAAGTCCTGTGCTTCCGCTTCAGAGAGCAGCTTCTCCGCTGCCCTGCGACCGTCGTTCACTTCAGCATCAGCGACACTCACAGTAGCCGGGAACTTTTCATCGAACAGCAGTGTCGCGTCGTCTAGAGTCCTCGGATACGCATTCCCGTAAGGCCAATGCATCTTATCAAACTCCAAACGCTCTCCTGTCGGTTGGGACCCTTTAGTCGCTGTTGCGGCCTTGCTGCTAGGAGAGGAACCTCCTTGGATGACGGGGGGTGCATCTTGGTTAGAAGAGGTAGAGGAAGATACTGGATACTTACAGTACCTCAGTATCTATTTTAGAATCAACGGAAAAACCTTTCCTGGCGTCTTTTTCTCATATGGAGAGAAAAAAAAAGCAGAATGTTTACACTGACTTGATGCTTCATCCACTGTTTTAACATCATGCACTACTTTCGATGATGTTGCGGTAAGCTTCCTCATCATACCTTCCTCCCCCGCTCCGCTTATATGTACTAACGCCTCTTCATGCTCCTTCGCGAAATCTTCCCAGGCCTTGATGATTTCCTTTTCTTCGGTTAGCTCAGCACACGTTTTCGAAAACTGCAGCCGACCAGAATAGACAGAGCCCAAATTCTTGCGGATCTCGGCTATGGGAGTTAGAGCCCTAGAGGTAAGAGTAGTAGAAGTAGAAAAGTGATGCATACTAGGAGAAAATCTCGGATGTAGTGGTTGTAGGATTTGTAAGTCATGCTTTCCCATCAAGGTTCCTGTAAGTCTAAATCGTTCATCACAATTCTCGACCTACCACGGCTACTTATCCGTAACATTTCATCTGGATCATGCAAGGTGTCTCGTACTTTGGTCACCCCATCCAAGGAAACCTCAGTGTCCGTTAAAAGCACTAGAGCTGCAAAAAGCACGTATTCCGCTGTCCAGAACATGCACTTTGCGCTGAAGTATTCGGCCAGACCAATACAGTTTCTGGCCCAGTCCCTCACATCGAATGGATCCTCGATTTCTTTTTCTTCTTCTTGCACACCTTCAGCCTTGTTAGTGGGACTTTGACTTTGTTCTGCTTTGTCATCTTTAGCATTTGTTCCATCATCTTTCGACGTACCAGAAGATGCTCCCGCCTTCTTCTTTTTCTTGCGCGTGTTGTATTGCAGCTGACGAGAGAGGGTTTCGCAGCAATACTTTGCCGACAAACCGCTGTTTTGCATCGCGCCGTAGGCTTGGGCAAGATAGAACTGGGTCAAAGTGTAGTAATTATCGCAATGTTCTTCACTATTCCCAGGCATCTTAGCGGGCTTGCGATGGTAGAGAACCTGAAGATCTGTCATATGTAAAGAGAACAACAGGGGATGGGATGTGTAAAGATGTTGATAGGGGATGTAGTAAAGATAACACTTTAATTTTTTGTGTGGGAAAGGATGCATGCAATAGCAGGCGAGTATAGCTGTTATCTTCTTCAAGATGATTATGTATGAGCTGTCGCGTACTTTAGGTAGAAGCAAACCTGTCTTCAGCTTCACATCGAAAATAGAAATCTTGATCTTCTTTTTCTCACCTGCGCCCTCCTCAGAAAGTCCAGCGCTTTAGAGCAATTTCCCCGCTGTACCCATATCATGCCCAATTGATTCAATGTTTCCTGCAGTCTCGGCAATATCGCCGTACGGTTCTCCAAGCCAATGTATTCGTACAATGCCCGCACCAGTCTCGCTTCTCCCGCCGGCACTTCTTCGCAGAAATAGTAGTTCTTTCCCAGCAAACGGTACAAATCTGCGATGTTTTCGCGTAACCGTTGTCGTAGGGGATTTGAGCGGCCACCAGGTGCATTCACGATCATACTATTACCCGTTGGAATTGGGCCAGAAGATGTAGACGTGCTACCAGAACTTCCACCTTGTTGCTCCAAAACCATGGCCTCTAAGGCGTTCTGATCGTTTAAGAGTCCTGCAACACCCGTTGACCCACCTGACGCACCACCACTACCACCCCGCTCTTCTAGTGTTTCCGCGACTTTCGTTAGAGTCTGCTAGATTGCATCTCGGCCCCCTCGTCTTGACCCCTTGCACCTTGTATTTCATGAGAATACAAGGGAAAAGGGTACCAAGATACCGAGAAAGATGGACACTTACAAATATAAAAGCAAACCTTAATTTCAGTGCTTTTTTCGTGAATACGTGACTCTCTAACTTCTCCAAGACCTCTTCCAGGACTTTTCTTCCCGCGTACTTCGATTTATAAGGGTCATCTTCCGGGTCCTCGGTGGTCCAGAGGCCTTCATACTTGTCCATCGCCGCTGGTAACTCCTCGGCAAGGATTAGAGCTCGTCTCATCACAAGAGTGGAGAGACCAAATAATCTATTGAACTAGTGATGTGATGTTGTACTACTTGAGAAAACTGTCCAGAGCCTTAAGAGAACCCATTCCGGGTTGTCTTTTACATCTCCAAGCAGAGCAGACGCTGGCACGGTCTTCCCAAGTGTCTCCTCGTCGTTTTTTACGGTCCTTCCCACGGCAGCGTCTTCCGAAACCTCCTCAATACGTGGTGTGCCGTCTTCTAGCACCGGAGACGAAGGAGACGTTAAATTCGTCATGCTTTTTTCTGTCTTGTGCACGATGATAAACTTAACAAAAACTTAGTGCGTCTTAGAGTGTTCTGTGTTCTAGCGCCAACTTCATCTAGCACGCGGGCTTGCTGCTCAAACTGTACAACCATAGCATGCTCATATTACTCACAAGTCGTAGTACAAGGTGGCCGTTTTAGAGACTTTCCTTTTTTTCTGCACTGGTGCTTATCTGAATGGTACTGCGTCTCGAATGTCGATTGAGTAATCACAGACATGATGTTGATATACCCAGCACACGTCGCGTCACACTTTGAGAACATTCATCTCACACATTAAAGAACAGCAGCTAGCTGTAGCCACCACTAATTGTGAATCGCGCCATTTCGAGACTTAAGTCCTCGTTCACATCATCACCTAGTGTTCTGCACATCATATACAGTATGCACATTCTTCCACGAATCCTCATCATGGAATCTTCAATATTAGAGCAAAAGCTCTCATACATTGTTTATCTCGCAACGCATAAGCTCTATTATAGATTTCCTCGATGTTTCGGTCCCTCAGTGCTGCAGGAAAAGCATACCATTGGAAGTTTGCTAGCCTCTCAGCCGCCGTCCCCTTCTTTGCGCCAGGATCTATTAGAGTCCGCGTTTATTCATCTCGACCCCTTTGTTACCCTTGTCTCACTTCATGGGAATCAATAATACAGCAAGGGCACAAAAAAGTACCAAGAAAATCATGCGAGCAGGTACCATAAATCTAGGCCGCCTGTTGACTCGCGTGTAAGCCACTGAGTAACTGTCTTTCCGATCATTGCAGGCTTTAATGGAGATACAGCCTTGTAGGGATCACTCACATGGCCACCATAAGGCCGCATCTTTTAGACCTCACATATATTCATCTTTAAGCGCAGCATCTTTCACGTGCTTTCTTTCCTTTAAAAGAAAAGGGGACTACCAAAGAAGATGCTTGCTCCTTCAGATGAACATATTAGGAGCATTATGCTTCTTCAGATGAACTGTTGTGAGCCTTAAAGCTTCGTAGCACCCCAACAGCCGGTCGGCCGCACACCCCAAGTGGATTTCAGCAAAGGACGAGAGGGACCGACGAGCACCATCTTTTCGATCTAATATTTTTATTCATCTATTTCATTCATTCATTCGAACCAGGTAGCAACTCATCAAAGCTGCCTGGGTCCGTACCGACCCGATTTATTTTTTTTACTAGAAAAATGTTGGAATTATAAGAAGAAGTACTACTACATAAGACCTCATACGACGTCACATCAGTCAGAGTAGGACACGATCTCATACGACGAACTGCTCGGTCAAACTTCTCTAGTCGTGATTCATTTTCTCAAATTCTACAAGATAGTCTTTAGGATGTGACCAAAAATAGATCGACCTCAATTGTCGTCTGTGAGGTTCCTTTCTACTCTGTCTCTCAGAATCTAGTACTCTGTGTGGGTCTGATCGCTCGCGAACTGTCACGATGTTATTTGGGGCAACACAAGTGATGGCTGGAGTCACATTTTCAGGTGTTTTTAGTCTGCATTTAGCTTATCTATCTTGCGAAGATCGTTTGCCATCATGTGTGTTGTGACCACCGCAATCAAATTAGCATCTTTAGCGTTTTTCTTTGTCTCATGTTTGTTTCTCATACTGTGGTCCTAGCTTTTAGGCATGTAATAGTTCTTGCGCTCGCCATACTTTGGGGACGAGTGGTCTATGCTGTAGCTCTTTAAAACGATGAAAGGCTAGATTGCGCTATCATCTCAAGGTAGCTCGTCAAGTAGATTCTCTAGCCCTACGGATCATGATGTACCTACCCATGCCAGTTATCTAAGCTAATCAATGGCAGTGTCACAACGAGGTCCACAATACAACTAGTGACCTTTTGCTTACCCATCTTGTTCTTAACGCTGCACGCTACTTCCTATAGAGAGTATCTATTCGTATTGTAAATTTTGTCATACATCATAAGAATGTTGAGGCAGTTATTTTTTCTGTGTCGGAGTTTCTCTATCTCTTTCTTCGGTCTGTTTCCGAGTTATTTGTCAAGTTCTATATTAAGGAATCATCAACATATACTGTGAAAATAAGAAATTAGTCCGTATAACCCTGCTCGCTTAACTCAGGTTGAGAGGCACCTTTTGATATATTTTCAAGGAACGAGCAATCCGCTTCTTTAGATGCGAACCACCGCACGGATTGAACAGACGGGATGGTAAGAAAGTTGTGCAGACCTCGTCCTGGGCCACCCAGCATCCGCCTTCTATCACCTATTTTCACACCAAAAATTTCTCCCCCACGACCTGGCAACTGCATATTTAAAGTTCGATGTCCAACTTCTAGCAATAAAGTGGTGGGGTCCTCGTCACTCCTCGTCGTTAAAGCATACGCATCATCTTCAATTCTTGAAAAAAATTCGTCTTCGTGTCCACCTTCATCAACTTCACCTTCGTTCATCTCTCGCAAGATGCGATCATCGATCGAAGCAGACTCTTGAAAAAGGGCTGCCTCACCCAGAAGGGTTTTGGAACTGATGTCCTCACCATCCAAGAACAGTTGGAGGTCTTCTGCTACTTTCGAGAGAAGTTCTTCTTGGCTGTTCCTGCTCCGCCTTCGACCTGTTATTGATGAAGCTGCGACAAGCGATGAAACCACGACCCTGCTGGACGAGGTACCTCTACTTGCCCCTTAGACTTTAGTCTTCCCGAGGAGCTCATCCTCACTTTTACTGCTTTCAATGCCTTCAAAAGCAGCAGAAGTGAGGATGAAAGCAGCATCTTCGACTCCAAGAGGGTCTTCTTCCACTCCAAGAAAGGTAAACACGAAAAACTTTGCTCTAGTCCCGCGTGGAAAGAAGAATACTGGAATGAGTACTGGCATTAGCTGCAAGAGGCACACTTTCTGCAGAAGTGGCATCACCTCCTGCAGACGTAGCTTCATGGAATCTACCTTGTTCTACAGAAGTGGCATCACATCCTCCTGTAGACGTAGCTTCATGGAATCTACTGGCCAGAGCAACGTAGAGGGGTTTTCCACAAGCAGCGAAGCACGGACGACCTCTCTCGATATGCAGAAGAGGGGGAGCCACAAACTTGCCAATCTTGTCAGCAAGAGCTGCACGGTTGAATACCCCTTGTTCAACTACGTAGTTTTGCTCCGTCCCCTCAACGTTAAGTGGATCCGAGTCTTGCTCACCGTCCGCTCTCACGGGTGCAGCAGCATAGACGGGTGCAGCAGCACTCCCGGATGCGGCAGCACACACCACGGGTGCAGCAGCACCAACGAGTGCGAGCTGCATGATATTGCCGAGTACAACCACTCTTATTCTTCTAGTGGTGGAAAAATATTCCTCGAAAACAAGCTTGCAAGATGTAATTACTCTCGAAGAAGTCAAATGCTTTGAGATACTTATCACCGCACCTCTTCTCGTTGTAGGTGCCTCGATTGCAATTAGTTACGATGAATCAATACAGTGAATACGATGTGACGTAGGTGCCTCGACAATGATTATGAATCAACGTCTAGTGGTCAACAACACTGTGGAGGAGTTATTCACTACAAAGAAGCTCTGGCGCTAAGCCACTTCCTATTTCTAAGCAACTTGATAGTCACATTGAAGTGCAAGCTCTGTGTTGTCGGCGTTGTAGCAATGTACGTAGAGTCAAGAAAAAAATCAAGAGAAATCAAAATGCTTGATTTTTGGTCCTTGCTGGGCAGTCTTGATCACATAAGTGCTTAGACAATGTCATAGGATTTTCGCTGTACTATGGTCTTTTTCGTTAGGTCTTCCTTTCGCACGACATCAGGCTCCCTTTTTCGGAATGGATCGTTTCATTCATTTTTGATGTGTAAACAAGTCCTGGCGCTGCAGTCGAAACAGAAATTAATGTTAGAAAGGAAATATTGATGCTAGGGCGCAGGCCCTTCTGCCTTTGCTGACTCCAGCGACTCACTTTCATCTTGAATTTCGTTACTTTTTTGTATAATTTCGTGATTGCCTAAAATGATGCTTCGAAACTTCGCGATTACAGAAGGCGAAGCACAGCTAGTGTTGAAGATTTCCTCATCTGTTTCCTTTTCAGCCTCACCTTGGAGTATCTCGGTGCTCAAGTCAAGATAGAATTGCCGCTGTTCGTCAACCTGTGCACGTCTTGCAGGACGAAAGTGGTCTCGACCTGGCGGATAAACGACCATAGCTGTCTGTCCACCAGTCAGAGTCTCTTTACAACCTCCCCACTTGATTAGCCATGGTCGAGGAAAAACAAAGACACCGAAGAGAGCTGCACTGTCGTCATACATGAGGGCCAGTACAAATTCGGCATCGTCAAGCAAACCCAATGGAAGAACAACTCGACGACCGTTCACAACACGTACGCGTTTGAAATTCAGGTTCGGACACTTTTTACTCTCTTTTGTGACCAAGCAGGAATGCACCCGACATCTACGGCCTGCAATGACGAAAAGACTGCCTTCTGCTAGCGGCAAAGAAGACTCTTCATTGCCAGAAAAGCCAGATGGAACTAACACCTTCTCCCAGAGTTGCAAATAGAGTTTTTGACATCTAACGGCCCCCGCGCTTCCCGGCAAATCGGTTAGCCAAGACCGCTGAGACTTCGCTGGAAGGCGTTTTAGAGTTTCACGCAGCGCTTCTTGAAAAGCAATGTGTTCCTGTTCCTCTTTGATGCACGAGAGATCCGGCATCGAGATGCAACACCGCACTCGTCCGGAAGGCGGCCGCACCTGTCGCACCTTAACAGACGCCAAATCGAAGATTTTGACTCGCTGGGCTTCTGGATTGGCTACGAGTATGGCGACGTCCGCAGTAATATCATTATGAGCAAAAGCCAGTGACGTTGTTCTCGATTCTGTGCTATGAATGCTGCGCACCTGTAACGCCCACCAGTTTCTCCCAGTACTGCTGCTCGAATGCTGCTCTTCCGTCACGTCCGAACTTCCGTTTTTCTCTCGCAGCAGTAAGCTCCCTTGCAACTGTCGCGGAAGCCTCTTTGTCTCGTAACCACACTCAGCTAGAAGTCTCTGTGCCCAGGTGATAGCAACGTCAGCACGCGCATTCTTACCATAATTTCTGCTCAAGCTTCGGTTGGGATCGGCCAGTATCCTTGCTAGTGCAGTTGCACCTATGGCCTCATGCTGAGTTCTCGGCAGGTCGAGGGCCTCCAAGTAAGAAACCCAGCCGTCCTTTGCATAGACAGTGTGCGGGGATTTTGGAAGGCCCGAAGGGCACTCTGGAGATCGCAGCCACTCTTGGAGATGCCTTGCCCGCGCGAAGCCCATGCCTCGGACAATCCGCTTGAATTCTGCTAAGGACACAAAAGCACGCCGCAATGCACTTGCACCCGGCATCACTTACTTACTCTTCATGTTTTTCGGTCAGGGAGAATAAATCTATAAATTGGTCATATCATTCTTCATTATCTTGTTCTTCTATTGGTTTGTTAATACCAGCAGGCAACGCAGGATTCTGGACCAGTTCAATTTGACTCATTCGTCGCCTCTTTTTCATGTTCTTCTTGTGCGCACTCTGTGCCGTATGGCAAATGGTGTGCGAACACGTCATCACATGTGCTTCAGCGTGAAAGGGCTCTAAAATAATCGTATTGCTGCCCATTCATGCCCATACATTTCTTCAACCTTGTTGCTCATCAGATTCAGAAGTTTAGTGTATATTATTGCCTTTGGGCTTATCCCTTTCGTGATCGTGTCTTACATTCTTAACGTCATAATTGGCAAGGATGATTTTTCGAAACTTTGCTAGGGCTGCGGAACTTGCGGTAGTGTCTTTGTCATTCTGGCTAAGCAATATATCTGTGCTATACACACTCTGTAACCATTTTAGGTCAATGAAGAATTCCCGCTGCTCGTCCGCCTGCTGCCGCTTCGAACGTACAGGAGCCACCACGTCGTGTTCCACCGGAGGGTAGAGAGTCATTCCTGTCTGTCCTCCAGCGAAGTTCTGTGCACAAACCGCCCATTTCACGAGATAACAACGAGGAAACACGAAGAGACCTGCAAGCACTCCATCTGCAGTGCTCAAGAGAGCAAACAAGAAGTCGAAGTCCTCGACATTGCCCAAAGGAATCAGAACAGACCGGCCGTTGACCATGCGAGTTCGCTTAAAGCTGATTCGAGGGTAATTCCGAAAATTCGGAACCATTGTTGACCAACGAAGCACGCATTTGCGGCCTTCAATCGTGAAGTCGTAGGTATTGTTGAAAAACTGCGCGCAAGGTTCGTCTGCAAAGCCTGCGGGAACAATCACTTTCTCCGCAAGCTGCTTACACAGCCCCTGCCACCGCTTCGTAGCCACGCTTCCCGGCAGCTCGGCCAACCACTCACTTCGGGACCTGGGCCGCAGCAGTCCAAGGACCTCCTGCAACTCTCTCAGAAGCTCCGACCGACCTTCGGTTCCACGGATGCATCGAAGATACGGCAGAGAGAAGCAGTGCAACACGCGAGGACCAGATCGTGCCTTCCGAAGCTTCACCGATCCCAAGTGCAGCACCCGTGCCTGCTCTTCTAGATGATTCACCACCACCATTCCAATATCCGTCGACATACGCTTCTGCGAAGCGAGCACCGTTCGCGTCTTCCCCTCGTATGTGTTACAACGAACTTGCAACGCCCTCCACAAAGGTTTTTCATCGTCCTCTTCATCAACTCTAGCGGTGTCGTCATTCTTCACCGCGTCGTTGCTTGGCTCCTGGGCTCTGACTAGTAACGTTCCCTGCGACCGCCGTGGCAACCTCCGCGTCTCGCACCCGAACTCAGCGAGCAGCCCTTCGACCCACGCAATCGCAGCGTCTGCACGTCTCAACTTCCAATCTTGATGACTAGTTGAAGATGCAGAATGCTGCAATTCCCTCTTGCCGACCATCGCGCTCAATGTCTCTGCCGGGATCGCCTCGTGCTGTGCGCGGGGCTTTCCTATCGCTTCCAGATGCGAAATCCATCCTTGCCCTTTATACGCGAGATGCGGATACTTCGGGAACAAGACTGGACGTTCTCCAGAGCGCAGCCATGCCTTCAGGTCTTTTGCTTTTGTAAAACCTAAACCTCGCACGACGCGCTTGAACTCCGCGAGAGGAGGAAAGACCCGCTTTTCCAAAGGCGCTGACATTCCATTTTTGTGTACACGGAAAACGCTACACAAGTCCAAAAATGTCCTACATGTATCAGTCTTTGCACGAATATTTCGCAGTCGGAAGACGAAGACTGCAAATAAATAACATGGCCCAAGCGGTCCGTACCAGCGAGGACACTTCATCAGCCTAATCAGAAACGGTTTGGGAACCTCTAAAAGTCACCACATAGGTGTACCGACGTCGGCCACACACGGTTCGATAATTCAGAGTCAGGAACACATGGTCCTGTGCGAAGCAAGTACGGTCACATAAGTCAAGCTTCTTACCCCTGCCACTTGTTAGGGTCTGCCTCATTTGCGCTCGTGATAGCAAAATAAAATGTGTCTCCACCCTTCTATCCAAACTCACCCAAAATGATACTTTGAAATCTTTTAATAATTTCTGTTGAAGCTGCGCATTTTACTTGTCCTACTGTCGTTCCTACATCTTGTCTCCCATCTTGTACCTTATCATGCTCGCAAGTACGTCCTCGTGCGCTCAAGTCGATGTAAAACTGTTTTTGCTCCTCTGCTTGTTCACGTTTAGACTGCCAACGAAAGTTTACGTCACAGCCGGGTGGATACAGCGTCATGCTGGTTTGCCCACCAGCGAAGCTCTGAGCACACACACCCCACTTCATCAGATAGCTTCTTGGAAACACGAACAGCCCAACGAGGATCGTTTGCTCATCGCAGAGACCGGCAAACAAAAAGTCAAAATCATCTACATTTCCTAGGGGAAGAAAGAGCGGCTCGCCGTTCAGCCTTCGGGTTCGTTTGAAGCCGATTCGAGGGCTGCAGCCGAAATTCGGACTAATTGGTCCCGAATGCATGACGCACTTGCGACCCGCGATGTCAAAATCGTACGCACTTAAAAAGCTCCTGTAGGGACGGCATTCGAACCCAGCTGGCAGAGCGATCTTTTCGATGAGTTGAGTTAAAATTAGATCCACCGCTTCATCATGCTACCCCAGAAGAGTGCCTTCTCGTTCCATTTTAAAACTGAGGTCTTCCTCTTTCAATACATTCTCTAGAGAGCACGATGACGAGTCTATCCTTAAATAAAGCCTCTGCCACCGCACGGCCGATGTGCTTCCCGGAAGCTCCGCTACCCATGTGCCATGAGGCTTAGGCTCGAGGCGTGCCAGTACACTCTTTAACTCCGCAGCAAACTGTGATCGACCATCTTCTTCGATCATGTTTTGCATAGGCGGTAGCGTGAAGCAGTACCGCGTTCGCGATGCTGTCGATGCTGTTCGCACTTGTATGGAGTCGAGATGCAGGACTCGTGCCTCTTCCGCAACGTGATTCACAACAAGAATGCCCAAATTCGTCGACATTCGCAGATTCTGGGACACGTCTACCGTTCGCGCTTTCATCCCGTAGGTGCTGCATCGCACTTGCAGGGCCAGCCAGCCGCACTCTTGAGCACCATGCTCAACTCCCTTTCCACGCTCGCTCCCGTCAAGCTGGGTCTCTTCCAGGACCTTTTGTCTCACCAACAGGCTTCCCTGAAGCCGCGGCGGGAGCCGTAGCGTCTCGTAGCCAAGATCCCCCAGAAGTCGCTCTGCCCATGCAATCGCGACTTCAGCTAGCTTAACCTTCGCAGACCTTTTGCTCCACAAGTCCTGCTCGTGGGCCTCTCTCAGTGCACTGCTCAGTGCTTCGGGGCTGAGCCTAATACGGCGACTGCGCGGCTCGCGTCCCATCGATTCCAGGTAAGAAGTCCACCCGTCATTCCTGTACACATAGTGGGGATACTTCGGAATAAGGGCCGGGCGCCCTGGGGAACTTAGCCATTTTTTCAGATCGATTGCTCGTGCAAACCCGAGCCCGCGCACAACGCGCTTGAACTCGGAAAGAGAAAGATATGCCCTCTTCGGGGCAATAGCCGACATGGTCTCTTTTGGAGGTTGATTATGATATAAGACCAACAAGAACAAAAAGGGATCCAACGTCAAAAACTCAGGTAAGTAGATGACTCATCCCTTTTCCCGAGTACAAAGTTTTTACTCTCAAAACTTTTTCTTCACATGACCGGTCAGCACAAGCCACGCGACAGCCTGATTTGTATTTTCAGCCCGTTTTTTGTTTTCCAGCATTGCATTTTCTCGGTCATCAAGAGGGGCCCACACACTGACTACATGCCAGGACATCGCCTACGCACGGCCACCCACTGCCATCCAGTGGTATTATGAAAGAAACATTTACCCTACCTTTCTTGATGTGTTTTCTGGCTCGTTATTTGATGAGAATCCAAGAGAGAGAGAGAATACTCTCACAGTGCGCGTGTGTTTGTACAAGTGAAGCCCGGTCCTGAGGCTTTCATCTTTGTGCAATGAATCTTAACAATTGAAATCCCCTCGGTTTTGTAAGCAAATCGTTCATTTTTGTGCGTGAATACGAGTGTTTGAAATCGAATCAGGCTGTGGCATCTATCCTTGTTTACTACGAGGAGGATAGATACTCGTCCATGATATCTCCATTGTGATAAATATACGTGGTACTTCCAAACAACCTGAAATATCTTTTACGTAGATGATTCCTGTAGAAATTTCATCTACGGACGAAAAAACCACAGATGATAGATCGAATCCAGCACTGACCTTTCTACACTCGGCATGATGTTTCCACCCATCCTTCAATATAGATGACCCCTCGTCATGTTCCCACCCGCACCTCCAGCATTACCAGCTGCGCCATACTGCTGTTGCTGCGAATGCGACGAAGAAGATCCGTGTTGACCACCCTGGCCAGGAAAGTTTGTTAGTTGCATGAAATTTCCATCCGAAGCAGATGCAGAAGCAGAACCATGAACAAGCCCTTGCTGTTGCTGTACTCGAGTCCGGCATAACCGTACCGGTTCTTGCTTCATCCTCTTCTTGAATCAGCAGAAACGAGTCTTCAGATGCGCTGTCCTGAGACTAACATCCGTACTGAAACAAAAGTTGGTCCGTGCCTAAGTGTTTCAGTGTAGTGGCTCGTGATTCAACCACATCCCTCTTCTTCTGGGGCCACCATTTGTGGATCAAAATCATGCTCTCTGAATAGATTGTGGTTCCTAGAGTTACAACCGATTCTCTGGCATTACCTCTTCACACCACAACCCCACTCCAACGCGGCAGGAAGCGGTAATCAGGCAGCCACAACAAGAGCCACGGCCACCCGAAGTAGTCTCATATTTAATTGCTGTCCTCGAATACACCAGCGTAAGTAGTAGGAGGAGGAGCGCTGCATTCGCCATAAGATCCTAGGATAATTCTTCCAAACTTCTCGATATTGTCCTGTGATTTTGAGTTTGCTGTTCTAGTGTCTGTCTTGCTACTAGTGGTCGTATCACCTTCTGGTGTGCTTTCACCAGCACTAGTGTGACTCAAGTCTATGTAGAATTTGCGCTGTTCCTCCGCTGCGGCAGACTTAGTGTATCTAATGGCGGCTGGACTCTTGTTGCCAGGGGGGTGCAACGTCATCCCCGTTTGCCCGCCAGCAAAGTTTTGTGCACATATCCCCCACTTGATAAGGTAAAATCGCGGAAACGCAAGAAATCCAGCCAGGTTCTCTGTATCATCATCGTAGATCAGAGCGATGAGGAAATCGAAATCTTCCACATATCCAAAGGGGAGTAAAATCTGCCGACCGTTCACGATCCGCGTACGCTTGAACGGAAGCTGCGTGTCTCGCTCGCTATGCAACGCGCGTTTACACGAGTGTGCTGCGCATTTTCGACCAGCAATGAGAAAACTGCGAGCGTCAGTGAGTCGCGACGACTCCGTGGAAACTTCAAAGCCGCACGGCAGGACCACCTCATCAAGGAACTGCGAAAAGAGCTTCTGATATCGCACCGCTGCTGCGTTCCCTCGAAGTTCGAGCAACCATTCTCGCTGCGACTTCACGGGAAGGCGGACTAGCATGTCCTGAAGCGCGGCTGAGAACGTGGAACGCCCGGCTTCTTCGGCAACACAAAAAAGGCGCGGCATAGAAAATCGTAGCCATTTCTTGTAGCCGCAGGTTACTTCACTCAATTTGACCGAGTCCAGATGCAATGCACACGCCTGATGTCCCTCTGGATGCACAACGACTAAGCCTAGCTCAGCAAACGCATGATTTCGCGCAACACAGACTCCGGTTCTTGTCTTTAGCGCAGAGCCGTGAACACTGCGTACTTGCAGGGCCCACCACTTGCCCTCGAACCAGGAACCGGAAACTGGCTTGTCAGAGTTTTGTTCCGTCAGATCGGCTTTCTCAGATCCAAGTGCCTGCTTCTGTCTCAGAAGTAGACTACCCTGCAACTCTCGCGGAAGTCTCTTCGTCTCGTAGCCAAGGTCACTGAGGAAATTCTCAACCCAAGCAATAGCGACATCCGCACGCGTAATCTTTCCATATCTGCTGCTCAGGTTCCTATCGGGGTCACTCAGTAATGCCTTTATCGCTTCTGGATCGATTGTCTCACGCTGAGTCCGCGGTAAACCAAGCGCTTCCACGTAAGAAACCCAGCCGTCTTTTCTGTACACAGTTTGCGGCGTCTTCGGAACTTCTAGTGGCCGCTCCGATGACTTAAGCCAGGCTTTTAATTGTCCTGCGCGGTCAAATCCCAACTCGCGAACGAGCCGTTTAAACTCCGCTAACGGCACGAAGGCCCGTTTGAGACGTGCTGGGGAAGTCATAGATTTTTCTTTACTTCCATCGTACAGCTACGTAAAGTCAGAACATCAATAGATCATGTGATAATCACCTTGTCACTTTTCACCAGCTGCATTTAGATCCAAAGCGAAACGCTTCTCTTACAGCCACTCACGGGAAAGAAAATCATAATATCTCGTCTCAGAGATAGAGATAGTACTGAACGGACGGGTCAATGGAAGAACGCCACCAGGGCACTTGAACACATTCGCATCAGAAATCCTATTTCAGAAGTCCCTTTCTTCCACTCAATATTCTAATACTTCTCCACCTCTTATTTCGAAGCTACTTGACCCACATTTACTAGCTCATGCTCCTCGTTCTTCACTTCGCTAATTTCCTCTCTGAGATTGGCTTCATCCATCTGAAGGGCGCTGTCGTAGTTCCCCAGGAGAATGGTCCGAAACCTTTGAAGCGCTGACAAGGTTGCCCTTTCCTGGGCCTCACTCATGTTCTTATCGTCAGTAATATTTTCTCGTGGCATTTCAATGTAAAACTGATGTTGTTCCTTTACCTGCTCATATTTTGATCGCCGGTGACGTGCAACACATGGATGACCTGGTGGATACAGAGTCATGCCAGATTGCCCACCAGAAAAGTTTTTCGCCGAAATTCCCCACTTAGTGAGATACTGATAAGGAAACAGAAAGAATCCTACCAGTCTCTGCCCTTGGGCGTTCTCATCGTCAACACCATCATACAAAAGAGCAATCAAGAAGTCCACGTCTTCGAGATTACCGAAGGGAATCGAGACGCGTCGGCCCTTGACCACTCGGGTGCGGATGAAAGTGAGACGAGGAGAATCACCCGAACGTGGATATAGCGGACATGAGTGAATTGCGCATTTCCGACCTGCAATCGTGACGTCATACGTATCTAGAAGGTGCAGATTACGTTCTCCGTCCAGTCCGGATGGCACGACAACTTGATTCGCAAGTTGCGTGTACAGCCGCTGCCACCGCCGAGCTGATTCGCTGCACGGTAAAAACTCGGTTAACCATTCACTGCTCGGCCTAGATGGGCACCGCGCCAAAACGTCCTGCACCTCAGATACAAACGTGGAACGAGATTCATCGTGTCTTCCAACAGAATGCAGCGTTGGAACCGAGAAGCACTGCCGAGTTTGCAAGCCTTCCCACGCAGCCCGCAGGTCGACGCCATCTAGATGCACCATTCTCGCTTTCTCAGCATTGGAATCTGCGACTAGAACTGCAATATCCGCGGTCTTGTGATTCCGTGATACCAGCACCGTCCGAGATTTCGAATGAGCGTTGCAACTGCAGCGGACTTGGACTGCCCACCAGCCGTGCTCTTCGCCACCGGCTTGCCCCGTGCTATCGGTCGACCGCATTTCCCTCACGAGCAAGCTGCCCTGCAAGCGTTGCGGGAGTCTCCGCGTCTCGTAACCGAACGCTGACAGTAATTCCTCTGCCCAGACAACTGCTGCTTCCGCGCGCTGCATCTTACCAAATCTAGTCCTCAAAAGTCCGAGATCGTGATTGCCAAGCGCAGCGCTGAGCTCTTCAGGAGTTAGTGTGTGGTGCGCAGCACGCGGCCGGCCCAAAGCTTCGAGAAAAGTGACCCATCCCTGCGATCTGTAGATGCGTTCGGGATACTTCGGAACATGAACAGGTCGTTGCTGTGAACGTAGCCATGCCCGAAGTTGGATCGCTTTTGTGAAGCCCTTCTCCCGAACGATCCGCTTAAACTCCGAAAGGGGCACAAAGTCTCGTGCTTTCGCAGAGATGGCTGACATGTTCCTTGTCTTTATTGTTCGTTACACCAGTTTGTAGTTACTCTGGTATCTTCTAGTATGAGTTTCAGAAGGAGACTTGCAGGTATCTTGAATGGCACTACCTTTTCTTTTCTGCGACGTCTTTGAGACCCCCCGCTCAGCCTCTTCAGATTCCCACAAACAAGTACTCATCTCTTCAAGCCAATTGCTACTTCTTCCACGAAGCGCCAAGCCGGTATACGTTTCAAGTTCTATCGACACATTGTTGGACTAGTACTTAAAAGAAATTTTGACGAGTCAAAAAGGAGCGTGTAAAGCGACGCACTTCACTGTTTCATCACTCCACTCTCTAATTGCCCACTTTGAGAATTGAGTAGCGCTAATATATGTGAGACGCTGAGTTTCGCCCACCACACGTGAATTACGCCTGTCTATGCACATGATGCATGCGTCACTTAGTCGGCCTGTTTGTCGATGATTCTGACACTAGGTGTATTCGATATTGAGGCTTTCTTGAAATTTCGCAAACAATGACACCAGTGGGGGTGGTAATACACTGGAAATGGCAATCAACTACTCTTTCGATACCCTCGAATTCAAGTCTTGTTCTCGATGACACTGCTAGCAGAGGGTGGAGCATCGTTTTCACCATGAGATTCTACTATAATGCTTCGAAACTTGTCGATCATGACTAAGCTCGTCGTCACAGTGTCTGCCGTGTGAGTCAAATCTATATAGAATTTGCGCTGTTCCTCTGCTCCAGCACATTTCGCGTGCCGATAAGCAGCTGGATTGTTGTGACCAGGTGGGTAGAGAGTCATAGCAGTTTGTCCGCCTGAAAGCTGCTCCCCGCAGATTCCCCATTTGACGAGATAGCATCGAGGAAAAACAAACACGCCCGCAAGCCTGGTGTCCTCTTCGCACACAAGAGCGATAAAAAAACCAAAATCCTCTACAAACCCGAAGGGAAGAAAAACAGGCCGACCATTCACGATCCGTGTTCGCCGTAGCGTAAGCTGCGTGCCCCTGCCACCCTTCGACCAAAGCAGACAAGAGAGCATTACGCATTTTCGACCTGCAACAACACAGCCGCGGCGAGCACAAGGATGCGGCAGCAGTTCCTCAAATTCGAGACCACATGGCAGAATCACCCTATCACGCAACTGCGATAGAAGCTTTTGATATCGAACGGCGACCACGTTTCCCGGGAGTTGCGTTAGCCATTCCCGTTGTGTCCTTACGGGAAGACGGCGCAGCGCATCCTGAAAAGCAAGTAGAAAATAGGCACGGCCAGCTCCTTCGGCGACGCAGGGAAGAGACGGCATCGAGAATCGCAGCCAATTTCTGCAGTCGGAACGAACCACGCTGAGTTTCACAGAGTCTAAATGCAAGGCGCAAGCGAGCCCTTTTTCTGGATTAGTAACCACGATGCCGAGGTCGGCAGATACGCCACTCCGTGCTACGCGCACTCCTGGCCTCTTTCTCCACGTCTGGCCGTGGACACTGCGCACTTGCAGCGCCCACCACTTCGGCTCGGCCTTGTCGCTGGCAAAAGCATCAGTTTCGTCGTCTCCAGGAACTGCTCGCTTCTCCCTTGCTAGTAGGCTGCCTTGCAATTGCCGCGGCAGTCTCTTTGTTTCGTAGCCGAGCTCAGTTAGAAGCCCTTCTACCCATTCAATAGCAACATCGGCGCGCATTACTTTTCCGTACCTGCTACTCAGAGTCCTGTCGGGGTCGCTCAATGCTGCTCTAACTTCTTCTGGATCTACGGTCTCGTGCTGCGCCGCGCCCGAGGCAAACCAAGCGCTTCTACATAAGAAACCCAGCCGTCTTTTTTGTAGACACTTTGCGGGGTTTTCGGAACTCCTATCTTGCGTTCCGGGGATTTCAGCCAGGCTTTCAATTGCCCGGCTCGGTTGAACCCCAATCCTCGGACTGTGCGTTTGAACTCCGCAAGGGGCATGAAGGCCCGCTTGACGGCACGGCCCGACATCGGCCTTTCTAGTATTTATTCAAAAACACATCCTGCTAGTATCATAGTGTCGGCACCAACAGCCACCCATATTCGTTTTATGATCAAAGAGAGTAGTAAGCATGACGTTTCAAGACCCAGCATTTGCCTCCTTGAACTTGATTGGCTTTTTTGCGTTTGGTATTGCAATGTCAGTACTAGTCGCTAGTCCCCATCTATTCCCTAAGCGATGCGTACTGCACAGAATCACGAGACGCGAACACTTTTGGAAAAGTTAGCTCCATAGCGTAATGCTGTCCCCTCGACTCATTTTCGAAAGCCATACCTTGTTATTGGTAGCTCTGTGCCTCATTACCCTTCCCGGCAAAACATTCGCATACTTTTGTCTTCATCACTACATAGACCAATTTCCGGGGCTTTGTCGGATATGTCGCTGTAATCTGCGAGTATCAGACTTCGAAATTTTTCAAGCACAGCAGGAGGGGGACTTCCATTTCCGTTATTGCCTAATATGCTCAAGTCGATGTAAAACTGTTTCTGCTCTTGTGCTTGCTCCCGCCTCGAAGGTCGGTGGGTGCTAGCGTTCCATCCGGAGGGATACAACGACATACTGGTTTGGCCACCAGAAAAATTGTGGGCACAAACGCCCCACTTAATAAGATAGTTTCTTGGAAATACAAAAAGCCCCACTAGAGTTGTATTTTCATTGTATAATGTAGCTATCAAAAAGTCGAGGTCCTCCACATTCCCTAGCGGCAAAAATAGCGCTTCCCCGTTGAGTCTGCGGGTTCGCTTGAAACCAATCCGCGGACAATTTCCGTACTTTGGCGAAATCGTTCCGGAGTGCATCACACATTTACGCCCTGCAACAAGAAAGTCGTACGTGTTGAAAAAACTCAAGCACGCACTGTCTTCGAAACCAGATGGCAGAACTACTTTCTCAATCAGCTGTGTGTGCAAACTTTGCCATTGCAGAGCTGCGGCGCTTCCAGGCAACTGCGCCAACCATGAACTTCTCGACATGGGCCGAAGCCGCGCCAAAACATCCTGTATATCTTTCAGAAACGCCATGCGTCCGTTCTCGGTAGTGACACTCTCGAGCGATCGTAGGGTAAAGCAGTACCGGGTACGCGACGCTGATGATGTCAGCCGCGTCTTGATGGACCCTAAATGCAACGCTCGCGCCTCTTCCGCTACGTGATTTACTACCAGAACCCCGACGTTGTTAGACATGTGGTTTTGTGACAATACCACAGTGCGCGAAGCCTTGGAGTACGTGCTACACCGCACTTGCAATGCCCGCCAGCCTTGAGCCTGGTCCTCATCTGCGACGGCTTTGTCCTCCGGACCGCTCCCGTCAACAAGCGGAGCTGCACTCGGTAAACGCTGTCTCACAAGCAGGCTCCCTTGAAGACGCTGTGGTAACCGTTGCGTCTCAAAACCGAGGTCGGCAAAGAGCCGCTCTGTCCACTGAATCGCGACTTCTGCGAGCTTTACTTTAGCAGACCTCGCACTCCACAGGTCCTGTTCGCGGGCTTCGGTCAGCGCACTGCTCAGTGCATCCGGGCTGAGTCTCACTCGGCGAATGCGCGGCTCGCGCCCCATCGAGTCCAAGTAAGAAATCCAACCATGTGTTTTGTACGCGTAATGAGGATACTTCGGAAGAAGTGCCGGACGCTGAGGCGAACTCAGCCATGCCCTGAGCTCGCTTACTCGTGTTAGTCCGAGCCCGCGCACAACGCGTTTGAACTCGGAGAGAGGGAGAAAAGCTCTCTTCGGGGCAATAGCAGACATGGTCTTTTTTAAGGTTGATTTTCTTATGATTTGAGATATACAACAACATAAAAAAACGTCAACAGCTCGAGTAGATGATTCATCCCTTTTCGCGAGTACAAAAACTATACTCTCAAAACTTTTCTTCACATGACCAGTCAGCATAAGCCACGCGACAGCCCGATTTGTATTTTCAGCCCGTTTTTTGTTTTATAAAGCATTGCATTTTCTCGGTCATCAAGAGTGACCCACACACTGACTACATGCCAGGACATCGCCTACGCACGGCTACCCACTACCATCCACTGGTGTTGAAAGAACCATTTACTCTACCTTTCTCTATGTGTTTTTTGTTTCGTTATTTAAGAATCCAAGAAAGTGGGAGAATACTCTCACAGCGCGCGTTTGTTTGTGCAATGAATCTTAACAAGTGAAGCCCGGTCCTGACGCTTTCATCTTTGTGCAATGAATCTTAACAATTAAAATCCCCTCGGTTTTGTAACCAAATCGTTCATTTTTGTGCGTGAATACGAGTGTTTGAAATCGAATTAGGCTGTGGCGTTTATCCTTGTTTACTACGAGGAGGATAGATACTCGACCATGATATCTCCATTGTGATAAATATACGTGGTACTTCCAAACAACCTGAAATATCTTTTACGTACTTAGATGATTCCTGTAGAAATTTCATCTACGGACAATAAAACCACAGGTGATAGATCGAATCCAGCACTGACCTTTCTGCACTCGGCATGATGTTCCCACCCATCCTTCAATATAGATGACCCCTCGTCATGTTCCCACCCGCACCTCCAGCATTACCAGCTGCGCCATACTGCTGTTGCTGCGAATGCGACGAAGAAGATCCGTGTTGACCACCCTGGCCAGGAAAGTTTGTTAGTTGCATGAAATTTCCATCCGAAGCAGATGCAGAAGCAGAACCATGAACAAGCCCTTGCTGTTGCTGTACTCGAGTCCGGCATAACCGTACCGGTTCTTGCTTCATCCTCTTCTTGAATCAGCAGAAACGAGTCTTCAGATGCTCTGTCGTGAGACTAACATCCGTACTGAAACAAAAGTTGGTCGGTGTCCAAGTTTTTCAGTGTAGTGGCTCGTGATTCCACAACATCCCTGTTCTTCTGGAGACACCATTTGTGAATCAAAATCATCCTCTCTCAATAGGTTGTGGCTCCTAGAGTTACAACCAATTCTCTGGCGTTACCTCTTCACAACACAACCCCTCTCCAACGCGGCAAGAAGCGGTAATCAGGCAGCCGCAACAAAAGCCACGGCCACCAGAAGTAGTCTCGTATTTAATTACCGTCCTCGATTACATCAGCGGAAGCAGAAGGAGGAGGAGCACTGCATTCGCCATAAGATCCTAGAATGATTCTTCCAAACTTCTCGATATTATCCATCGATTTTGCATTTGCTGTTCCTGTGTCTGTCTTGCCACTAGTAGCGGCTTTATCACTTTCTGGCATGCCTTCGCCAGCACTAGTGTGACGCAAGTCTATGTAAAATTTGCGTTGTTCCTCTGCTTGCTCGCGTTTTGAGCTCCATTGAAACGCTAGCTTCTTCATTTCTGGTGGATACAAAGTCATCGCCGTTTGTCCACCGGAAAAATTTTCCGCACAAATGCCCCACTTAACCAGATAGCACCTAGGGAATACAAACACGCCTACGAGGATCGTCTTATCATCATAAATCGGCGCCACCAGAAACTCCATATCCTCGAAATTGCCGAGCGGGACCTGCACTACCTGGCCTTTGACGACACGAATTCGTTTAAAGGTGATTCGCGGACAGACTCGGGTGCGAGGATACAAGAGTGACGAATACATGACACACTTGCGGCCAGCGATCGTGAAATCGTGCGTACTCAAGAAGCTCAAGTTCCGCTCTTCATAGAACCCAGCGGGCTTGACCAACTTGTCCATCAGCTGCGAGTATAGTGTTAGTCGCCGTAAAGCTGTTGCGCATCCTGGTAGTGCGGTGAGCCACGCGCTTTCTGATTTCGGGCTGAGCTGTCTCAAAACTTCTTCGAGTCCCTCTTGAAACGCACAGCGACCTTCTTTGCAGCTAACGCTTGCCAGCGAAGGCACTTTGACACATCCAACTCGTCCCGAAATTCCTCGGAGCTCGACAGAACCCAAAAACAGCGCTTGAGCCCGTTTCGCGACTGGATTTACGACGACGACACCAACCTCACTCATCAAAAAGTTTCTCGGAATGAGAACCGACTTTGCATCCGTACTGCCACTGCTGCAGCATCGTACTTGCAACGCGCGCCATCCGATTTCATCGGCGTCGCCCCTTCCGGAGTCAACACAGACCCCGTTCGCCTTGCTTCCGCTATCAAAAGCTTGCCTGCGTCGCACAAGCAAGCTTCCCTGAAGCCGCTGCGGAAGTCGCTTTGTTTCATAACCCAACTCGCCCAGCAACTGATCTAGCCACACAACAGCGGCTTCTGCAAGTCTGATCTTACCATGCAAGCCCCCCGGCAAGCCCTGGTCCCTGTCGCTAAGAGCCTCGGAGAGATCCTTCGGGTCGATCGTATGATGCCTGGCTCGTGGTTTTCCGAGCGCCTCCAAGTGCGACACCCAACCCTGGCTTTTGTACACTGTATGAGGTGACTTCGGCACCTCCCTTGGACAGTCCGACGAGCGTAGCCATGCTCTAAGGCCTTTTGCATGAGTGAATCCCAGTCCGCGAACGAGCTGCTTGAATTCTACGAGTGCCATAAAGGCGCGCTTCCTTCGACCTGCGGGAGCGGGCATGGTTTTTCTTTCTGTTATAGAGAGACGCTCCTCTGCAGTAACATGCAAAATCAATTGTATGAGGATAGATCTGCTTCTGTGATCGTCTCGAATCAGAAAAACCCAAGAAAGCACACGTGTCCTCGATACTCTGAAAGGCACAAATTCGTCACATTGTTTGTGTATGCACATTCTGAGACGTTCCAGCTACACCGTGATGAACTTGAACACGGCAAAATGAGAACGCAGAGATCCGAACGCAGTGTCAGGGGGCTCCTACAACAGATCATTTGGTTTATCAAAAAAAAGAAGCGACAAAAAACGAAACCGAAAAGAATTCCGAATATCACTTCAAAGCAGATGCGTCTCTTTCTTTTTTCAAAATAGCATTCACAAAATTGACAAACGAAAAGCACTCGGACAGTGCCACAGTGAACAGAAGCACTCTAATATCCAATCCTTAATTTTCTAGGAAAAGGCGACTAAATCTTTCAACCACTGATGACTGTACAGATGAGACATCTGCGTCGTTTTTCCCGACGCCCGACCGCTGAGTTTTTTCCGCTGTCAGATCTATGTAGAACTTCTGCTGCTCCGCTGCCTGTACACGCTTTGACGCATATCTAATCCTCGCGCCCGGCGGGTAAAGCGTCATGCATGTTTTACCCCCAACAAAGTTCTCAGCAAAAACGCCCCATTTGATGAGATACCGGCGTGGAAAAATGAAGAGTCCGACAAGCTTCGCTGTCTTGTCACCAAGCAATGCGAAGACAAAATCAAGGTCATCTGCATTCCCCATTGGAATGACGAGGGGACGGCCGTGAACCGTACGTACGCGTCTCAGACTTATCGTGAGCCCCCGCGCACTCTCCGGCGCGAGCGTACAAGTATGCGCTAAGCATGCGCGACCGGCGAGCGTAAAATCATGAGCGTCTAGCAAGCGCGTTGGCAGTTCATGCTGCAAACCGGAAGGATTGATGATCTGTTCCATCAGCTGCAGCTGCAGCTTGGAGCGCCGCACTGAAGCTGCTGCTGCGGGTCGATCCATCAGCCACGCCGCGTACGACTGAGGCTTAAGTCGCGCCAGCAGTTTCTCCACATCCGCCAAAAAATTAGCGCGGCCTTCGGATCCGCGGATTGACGGCAATCCGGAAAGCCAGAAATAGGAGCGACCCCGTAAGCATTTCCGGACGTGATAGGAGTCCACGTGCAATGCCAGCGCCTTCTCGTGCATCGGGTTCACAACGAGGACTCCGACATCTGGGCATACTCGAGTCCGCGACAACACGACGGTGGTTCCAGCGTTGGGGCGCTTGTCGTAGGCACACCGAACTTGCAAAACGCGCCACTCTTGGTCTTGCTCTCCCTCTCCGCACGACAGCAACCCAAGCCCCTGGTGATGCACTTGCTTGGCGGGTCCTGCATTCACTCGTCGTCGCACGATTAAGCTTCCCTGTGCCAAGCGCGGAAGCCGCTTACTCTCGTATCCTTCTTCCTCCAATAAGTTCTCCACCCACGCAATGGCCACATCCGCTTGTTCAAACTTGAAATACTTGCGACACGTTAGACCAGATCCCGTCAGGGTCTCCTTCAGGGCGCCAGGTGTCAGTGCCTGGTGCTCTGCACGCGGTCTCCCGAGCGCTTCCAGGTGAGTCACCCAGCCCTGCCTCCTGTAGACCTTATGCGGACACCTCGGCACTGAAGGCGGACGTGTCGGAGAACGACACCAAGCTTTCAGCTCATTTGCTCGCGTGAAACCCAGTTGCCGCACTATGCGCTTAAACTCGTCCAAGGGAAGAAAATCACGCCTCTTGGAGATAGCAGACATCATGGTGCTTCTCTCCTTCTTGCATGAAGACCTTTTTGCATGAAGACCGCCTCTACATCAGGACCCTATGAAGTAGGACCCTATGACGCTTCATAGTCTATTTTGTGCACAAATCAATTTCGCTACACGACCACAGAGTCCTACACCTACAGACGCTTTCATCCGGTGCCGCTACTTATCCACCATTTTGCGCTAGTCTCTTCGTCTCACCTTCCTCGCACTTTGCAAAAAATTATAGCACAAGCATTCACGGTTTGCCGCCACAGTAGGAGATAGAATAAAGAGGGATAGCAAATCAAGACCTTGCGCTACGATCATGTATTTCAATCATCTCCCTGGTGTATGCTTCATTGATTTTACTCGCAATACCTCGTCGATCACGCTATTGACTTTCCCATCTTCCAATTTTTCTCTGACGCGTTCTCACTCGACGGTCTACAAGGCACCACTTTTCGCTCGAGATCTTCAAGGTTCATAACATTCAGCAACGCGCATAAGATTCAGGTGTAGTCGGCGCAATGCGTTTATTCTCCTTCTTTCAATTTTGTGTAATCCGCGAGTATGATTTCCTGGAATTTCGTAATCAAGGAAGCTCTGTTGGATGCTGACAAACATGAGGGGCATGTGGAGAGCTTACTCAACATACTCATCTCTGGCTCAACAACATTCTCATTCCTCGCCATGTCAAAATAAAAACGAGACTGCTCCATTTTCGTCTGCTGTTGACGTTTCACTGTCCAACCGCTGTTTCTACTAAAGGAAGATGGCTGTTGAGCTCCTGGCAAATACAAACTCATCACTGTCTGACCGGCACAGGATTGATGCGTAACGACTCCACGCTTCGCAAGGTATGCATATGGAAAAACGAAGAGACCTGTGAGGCCCCCCTCTTTATTGTACATGAGAGCAATCACGAAGTCTATGCCTTCGCCTTCCCCCAGCGGAAACGAAACCCTGTGTCCGTCGACCACCCGCATACGCTTCACGTTGAGCGCTGGCACCCTTCGCCCCTTCTGAGACACACAACACGAGTGAACCACGCACTTGCGGCCTTCAATGACCAAGTCGTATGAGTCTGCAAATCTCAAGGACTCCTCGACATGGAATCCACTTGGAGCAACCAAAGTCTCCATGAACTCCAAATACAACTTTTGCCGCCGGACGGCTTGCTCATTTCCCGGCAGCTCAGCTAACCACGCGAGTCGCGACTTTGAGCTTAGTAGTCTAAGTGTGTCGCGAAGCTCATTATGAAAGCTCAAACGCCCTGCGTCCCCGATGACAGATGGCAGCGCAGTAGGCAAAGAAAAGCAGAGCCGCCGGGGCCTCCCGAATCCAGAGCTTGCAGTCCGCAACTTCCTCGAAGACAAAAGCAGCGCACGAGCCTGCATTGCCGCGGGATTCACAACTAAGAATCCCATGCCCGCACACGATTCCTGATTCGTCGTCACTACTACCGTCCTCGTATTTGACGTCAATGAGCTGCGACTCCGTATCTGCAGCGCCCACCACTTGTCACGAGATTCGCCATCATTCTCACTATCGGGCAGTGTCTCTCTCACGAGTAAACTACCGTGCAACCGCCGCGGCAGCCTCTGAGTTTCGTAGCCAAACTCAGCGAGAAGGCCCTCGACCCACGCAATTGCAGAATCAGCACGTCTAAAGTTGCGAAAGCGACGGCTCAGGGAGTCGTCCTCCGAAACACTCGTTGACGCCGCTCCTGCATTTGCATCGAGGCTAGAAATTTCCTGGTGCCTCGCACGTGACCTTCCCATCGCCTCCAAGTAAGACACCCATCCTTGCAAACGGTAGGCATTATGCGGATTCTTCGGAACCCGTTGGGGGCATTCGGCCGAACGCAACCAGCTCTTGAGCTCAGTTGCTCTAGTGAAACCGCGTCCTCGGACAATTCGCTTGAACTCCTCCAGAGGGAGAAGAGCCGCCCCCTTCCGTGCCGCCGATGTAGTCATGGTCGTGCTCGTGGTCCTTTCCTTTATAATATCCCTTAATTACTCCAACAAGACGAGATTAACCAAAATGTCAGTTACGTCAGAAGTTAGAAATCCTCTTTCAGACAAATCAAATTTTTCTCCAGTTTTCGATTTGCGATTTTGCGCCATTCTGAGTCCGCTTTTTAACAGCCATTGCCGTCGCGTAAATTGCGTGGCGCCTACTGCACTGGCAAGCGTATTTGGTGTTCAAGTTTCTTTCGCGTGAAAAGTTGAAATCATGATACAAGCGGTAGCGGGTTCAAAGAGAATCTACTTTGTCATTATCTATCTGTCTCGGTAGCTGAAAATCCAAGAAAGTGAGGAAATTCTCTCACAGAACGCGTTTGCCTGTGTAATGCATCTTAACAACTGAAACCTAGTCCTAGGACCTTCTTTTTCATCGTGCAATGAATCTTAAACAATTGAAATCCTCTTGATTTGGTAATGAATCGTTCATAAAGACTGGATATGAAAAAACTAAAACGTCATACGACGAACTCTGTCAAATTTCCCTATGTATTGATTCATTTTCTTAAATTCTACAAGATAATCTTTAGGATGTGACCAAAAATGGAACCACATCAATTGTCGTCTGTGAGGTTCATTTCTACTCTGTCTCTCAAAGTCTAGTTCTCTCTCTGTGGGTCTGCTCGCTCGTAAAGTGTTTCGATGTTTGGAGCAAGGGATTGAGCACGAACAGTATAAGTGAAAAAACGAGAATGGAGTCGCATTTTCAGGTGTCAGTCAGCATTTTGCGTATCTAACTATCTGTATCTTGCGAAGATTGTTTGTCATCATGTAATAGTTACGCTCGCCATACTTTGGAAGCACGAGGCTTGTCTAATGTCTTATAGTTAAAAATAAAAAAACCAGCGAAAAGTATGATCTTTCCTCCCTTGCATCCTTGCTAGGCAATTTTCGTTAGATACTTAACAAGTACTCCTATTTTATCCAGTAAGGGATAACTTATGATCTCAGCTCCAGACGATCCATCACATGCGGGTCGCCCTTTCGCACGACAAGCTCTCTCTTCCGAAATTCCATCTTTCATCATGGAGCGTTTCATTCCTTTTTGCTGTGTAAACAAATCCTGGCGCTGCAGTCGAGGCAGAATAATGTCGAAAAGGAAATATTGACGCTAGGGCGCAGGCCCTTCTGCTTTTGCTGACTCCAGCGATTCATTTTCATCTTGAATTTCGATTTCGTTGCTTGTCTGTATAATTTCGTGGTTACCTAAAATGATACTTCGAAACTTCGCGATTACAGAAGGCGAAGCACAGCTAGCGTTGAAGATTTCCTCATCTGTTTCCTTTTCAGCCTCACCTTGGAGTGGCGTGGTGCTCAAGTCAAGATAGAAGTGCCGCTGTTCGTCAACCTGTGCTCTCCTTGACCGCCAAAACTTCACGTCCATGGCTGGCGGATACAGTGTCATGCCTGTTTGTCCACCTGCGAGATTCTCTGCGCAAATTCCCCACTTCACCAGGTAGCATTGAGGGAATACGAAAAGACCCACAAGTGTTACGTCGTCGTCATACAGAAGGGCAAACACAAAGTCAGCATCTTCGATGATGCCGAATGGTATTACAATGCGACGACCATTTACAACACGCAAGCGCCTGAAATTCAAGTTGAGCCATTTTCTGCTGTGGTCCGAAAGCAAGCACGAATGTGCCCTGCACTTCCGACCTGCAATGGTAAAAGCACGACCGTCGGTCAGCAAGGAGCAATTATCATCTTCACTAAATCCGCTTGGTGCTATGAGTTTCTCCATGAGTTGCAAATAAACTTTTTGACATCGGACAGCTGTTTTGTTGCCTGGCAACTCCGCTAACCAAGTCCTGTGAGGCTTGCACGCAAGGCGGGCGAGCGTTTCCTGCAAGGTGGTTCGCATGCGACTACGTTCTGCCCCCTCGTTGATGCAGGGAAGGTCCGGCATTGAGAAAGCATGCCGCACACGCCCGGATCCCAAACGGATCTGACGCACCTCGACAGAGCTCAAATGCACCACACGTGCGCGTTGCTCCGGTGGATTCACTACAACAATACCAACTTCTGACGATATATCGCTTTCCGATAAAGCTACTGTTGTCATTTTGGAATTTGCACCATAGGTACTGCGCACCTGCAGTGCCCACCAGCTGTCCTCAGCGGACCCAGTCGAACCCAGTGTCGCATGATTTGATCCCTCGTCTATTTCATTACCGCACCGTCTTCGTCGCCTCACCAGTAGGCTGCCGTGCAACTGCCGCGGGAGCCGCTTCGTCTCGTATCCAAACTCACCCAGGAGTTCCTCGACCCATGCAATCGCGGCTGTGGCGCGCACGCATCTCCCGTACATACCACCCCCGCTCCGCTCTGGAACATTCAATTCGGCTTTCAGTGTTTCTACACCTATAGCCTCATGCTGCGCCCGTGGTACTCCCAGGGCTTCTAAGTGCGATATCCAACCATCTCGCCGGTAAACGGTCTCAGGACACTTCGGAACTGTCGCAGGACAATCTGCCGAACGAAGCCACTCTTTAAGCTGCTTCGCTTGTCGGAATCCCAACCCGCGAACAATGCGCTTAAATTCCTCTAAGGGCATGAAAGCCCGTCTAAAACTCCCACGCGCAAACATCGAACTCTTTGCTTTTCAAACGTATACATCACATGATCTTAGCGTCTTCATCACTACCGTCACGCCGCCCCCTTGATTCATTTTACGGTTATAAATAACCGTTCTTATTCTTTTGGCAAGATCCTGTAACTTCCGAACAGGTTGTCACTTTTTGCAAGTTTGCGATCATTCAGTTTCTGCCTCGCACTGGATATCTCCTCATACCTTCCAGGCAATATGGCTCCCATTGCCTGGAACTGGATACTTATCTCCTCATACTGAAATGGTAGTTCTCCCCCCGAAATCAACCGCCACGAACACTTTTCAAGGACTTTGATGCTCAATAGTATCTTACTGTCCCATCGACTCATTTTCGAGAGCGATACATTATTGTTCTTGCTAGCTCAGTGACTCATTACCCTTTGTTCCGGTCAAACCTTCGCTTTCGCTTTCGTCATTACCTACCTCAACATCTGTGGTTTTGTCGGTCTTATCGTTGTAATCTGCAAGTATCAGACTTCGAAACTTTTCGAGCACAGTAGAAGGGGGATTTGCATTTTCGTCATTGCCTAACATGCTCAAGTCGATGTAAAACTGCTTTTGCTCCCGTGCTTGCTCCCGCTTCGCCTGTCGATGCATACTCGGGATCCATCCGGACGGATATAAGGTCATACTAGTTTGCCCACCAGAGAAGTCCTGGGCACATATGCCCCACTTGACAAGATAGCATTTCGGAAAAACGAACAGTCCGACCAGAGTTATTTGCTCATCGTACAAAGCAGCAAACAAGAAATCTAGCTCCTCCACATGGCCTAGGCGAAGAAGTGTCGCCTGTCCATTGAGTTTGCGAGTTCGTTTGAACCCGATCCGTGAGTTATTTCCATCCTTCGGCGAGATCGTCCCAGAGTGCATTATGCATTTGCGTCCTGCGATGAGAAAATCGTACGTGCTGACAAAACTCAAACATCGTAAATCTTGAAAACCGGATGGCAGAACGACCCTTTCCATAAGTTGAGTGTACAACTTTTGCCACTGCATAGCTGCCGGGCTCCCAGGTAACTGTTCCAACCACGAACTTCTCGACAAGGGCTCGACGCGCGCTAAAACGCCTTGCAACTCTTCGAGAAATCCCATGCGGCCCTCCTCGGTACTGATACTCCTGAGCGATCGTATCGTGAAGCAGTACCGAACACGCGCCACTGACGTCGCTTTCCGCAGCTTCACAGAGTCCAGGTGAAGCACACGAGCCTCTTTCGCAACGTGATTTACGACTAGAATGCCAACGTTGTTACACACTTGGTTCTGCGATAGCCCAACCGTTCGCGCGTTCACCGAAGAATAGGTGCTACAGCGCACTTGCAGTGCTCGCCATCCCCGTTCCGGATCTTCCTCTTCTCCCGGTTGCCGTTCGTTGCACCCGCTTTGCTGCGTCTTTCGCCTCAACAGTAAGCTCCCCTGGAGACGCGGTGGCAGTCTTTGCGTCTCATAACCAAGCTCTCCAAGTAGTCGCTCTGCCCACGCAATGGCGACCTCAGCTAGCTTGACCTTAGCCGACCTCTTGTCCCACAAGTCCTGTTCACGGGCCTCTCTCAGTGCGCTACAAAGTGCTTCCGGGCTAAGCTTCGTTCGGCGACTGCGCGGTTCGTGACCTATCGAGTCTAGGTAAGAAATCCAACCGTCATTCCTGTACGAGTATTGCGGGTACTTCGGCATGCAAGCCGGCCTCTGAGAGGAAGTCAGCCACGTCCTCAACTCGCTTGCTCGCGTGAACCCGAGCCCCCGCACAGCGCGTTTGAACTCGGAAAGAGAAAGATATGCCCTCTTCGGGGCAATAGCAGACATGCTCCTTTTTTGAGATTGATTATGATTTGAGGTTTACAACCACATAAAAAAACGTCAAAAGCTCGAGTAGATGACTCATTCCTTTTCGCGAGTACAAAGTTTTTACTCTCAAAACTTTTTCTTCACATGACCTGTCAGCATAAGCCACGCGACCGACCGACTTGTATTTTCTGCCCGTTTTTTTTTGTATTTCACCATGCATTACATTTTCTCTGCTAAAGCAAGAGCTTCTCACACACGACTGACTACATGCCAGGACATCGCCTACGCACGGCTACCCACTGCCATCCAGTGGTGTTGAAAAACCTATTTCTTCTACCTTTCTTGATGTGTTTTCTGGCTCGTTATTTGAGAATCCAAGAAAGAGAGAGAATACTCTCACAGTGCGCGTGTGTTTGTGCAATGAATGAATCTTAACAATTGAAAACCAGTCCTAGGACTTTCATTTTTGTGCAATGGATCTTAACAATTGAAATCCCCTTGGTTTTGTAACCAATGAATCGTTCATTTTTGTGCGTGAATACAAGTGTTTGAAATCGAATTAGGTTTAGGCTGTGGCGTCTATCCTTGTTTACTATGAGGAGGATATATACTCGTCCATATTACCTCCCGTCTGATAAATATACTTATACGTGGTACTTTCAAACAACCTGAAACATTTTTTACGTAGATGACTTTGACCCCTGGCGAGCAGCTTGATTTACGGATTAAAAAACCACAGGTGATAGATAACATCCTTTATTCCTACTTCACAAACGTAGGAAGGACCGACTCCAGCACTGACCTTTCCGGACTAGGCATGATGTTTCCTCCCATCCTTCCATATGGATGACCCCTCGTCATGTTCCCACCCGCACCTGCAGCACTACCAGCTGCACCATATTGCTGTTGCTGCGAATGAGAAGAAGAAGCCAGTTGTTGACCCCCTTGGCCTGGAAAGTTTGTTAGCTGCATGAAATTTCCATCCGATGCAGATGCGGATGAAGAGCCATGACCAAACCCTTGTCCCTGCTGTTGTTGCTGCTGTGCAGATGAAGCTGCTGCTATGGCTTGGTGTGGTCCTGTCATCAACGATGCCGCAGCAGCATGCCATTCTGGGGAGTTTGCTATTTCGAGGTCTGACAAAATTTTCTTGTGAATCTCTTTGGTCAGGTCTCGAATGAACATGCGCAGAGCTCCTGGCGCCATACGCCTGGCGAAAGCCGATTCGTCCGCTACCACGTCTTTAATGGCCCCTTCTAACCTTAGGGGTTGAAAGTTGGCATCTCTAGCTCGCATATCTGTTGCTTTTCTACTTGGAGAAGATATAGAGACGCGCATAGAGATGTCAACTCCCAAGCCTTAATAACAGGGATTTGATGTGCGGCTGCCGACATCGAACCATCAATTTCGCGATCCAGTCGATGTCGTGCAAATGACCAGCATACTTCAATAACTCGGATCGAGACAAAAGTAAACCTTAGAGCGTGCTAGAATTCATCCCGGTCCCTTCATCTCGACCCCTTTACCGTTGCATTTTGTGGGAATACAGAGGAAATAGGTGTCAAGATGCTGAATGAGATGAATAAAAGCCGACCATAAAAATCGAAGATCCAGAAACTGCGCTTTGTCCCAGGTGGAATCGTATAGTTCTCGGAGAAGCCTGTGCTGGTGACATCAATTGAGGGACAGACCATCACGTGGAAAATGAGGAAATGCGGTGTGTCCTCCAAGCTACAACGCGGAATGCCATTCAAAGCATGCAGAAAACGATCGACTTGGCGCAATTTGTAGCCTAAGAGCATCTGCCACGAAGCAGAGTTTGCATTGGGAGCACCGCGAGCCTGCGTCCAGACAGCCTGGGGATTAGAAGTGGAAACGCGCATACCTGGTCAAAACAACTCAGAGCATCTTCTATCAGTAACCTGCATCTCTATGCTTCTTCCTTCACGACGAAACAATCAACAAGAACTCTGAAGCTGAATACCTTTGTAATGGAAATAAGCTCTCGTCCACCATAAGATACATTTCCGGCGCCAGCTTCTGTGCGATTCTCAATGGCACTTCGGGTCCAGCGTGTGGCGTAAACGTCCATCTTGGCGCTGATGAATGGCTCTGGTCTACCACACTGTTGTTTGCGATAATTAAAGCTTGCCCAAATTCATCTCAAAGAAAGCAGTCGTGTCATCTCTGACTCTGATGAGTCAGTAGTTTGCCCCTTCATGATACATAGTGGTGAAGCCCACCCTAACTAGAAAAAAGAAAACTCAAGAAAGGCACTTCTCATGATGAATGAAGACAAGCCTTAAGGTAAACCTCAGTTCGTGGCCGACCGGATGCAAATACAGGCGATCCGGCTTACCTTCTCGCGAGCGCCACAACGATAGTCTCTGTTTAAAGCTCGGCATTCATTGGCCACTGACTCTGAACGGAAGAGACCCCCTTCAAAGCTCTCCTCTTTCCCTTCGTTTTCCCCTGTTCTCTCAAGGGGTCGCCTCTTCGATCTCAGTGACTCCAATCTAAATGATGACCATTGAAAGTTGAGCCTTAATCTGTGCAAGTCGTTTCTTCTCATTCTCGATCTTCAAGGCGTCTACCTCTGTCCGCAACTCCGCTACAGACTTCAGCGCCAATTCGATGTCTTCATCGGTGACTTGCGGCGCCGCTGTTGTATTTTGCTGAGAAGAGATATTCGCGCCGCCTACGACCCGACCAAGTTCTCTCTGCCACATCTCGAGTTCCATGCTGCTGTTATTTAGATCCACACCACCACCATTTCCAACTTGACCTTGATTATTTTGCTGAATGACACTAGTGTTGTGCGCCACCGCTGCTCGCTTTTGATCAACGACCATCTCCGCTTGAGCGATTTGCTCACGAAGTTGGGCTGCATAAGCGGCCACACTGCGGATTTCCTCTCGTCGTCGCTCTTCGCGTGCACGCTCCGCCTCTAGCTTTTGCTCTTCGGCAGCTTGCTCGCGACGTTGCTTCTCTAGGAACTTCACTTTAGCTTCTAAAGTCTCTCTTTCGCGCTCTAGAGCTGTCGATTCCGTCTGGACGCGCTGCTTCTCAGTGGCAGAAGATTAGATCAGAAGGGCATCTCGAGATTGGCATCATCGCATTGCCATCGCTGAAATGGTCGACGAGTAACGACAATTAAAGATATTGATTATCTTGCTATGTACTTGTAGTTGTTGAATCTTCACTCAATGCTGAAAATGCTAAATAACACTACCAATTCATTGACTTCAATATTTCATCAGAAGTTGCCATAATACAAAGGCGCAATCGCTCCTTTGTAGTGCTCTGCAGCTTTCTCCGCGGCGCTCTGCTCTATCGCAGACAACGCTAGTCGCCGCAACGTTTGCTTGTCTTCTTCTGTCACGTTCGTGCCCAATAGGATCTGGACAGCGGGGAAAGACGCACTAGACTGTTGCCACTCATTCAAATCTGCAACGATACTCACAGGCGGATAAAGCGGCAGGAGACCTGGAAGAGGAACAGGAAGAAGATGCGTGTCTTAGATCATTACCATCGTACAAGTGCCAATTATAATTAGAATAGATGAACAGGGACCACCGACTTCTTATATTCTTCTTCGGGAGAAACGAACATGGAAGGACTCAAGATGAGTCCGTATACGTCTGTGGTACCAAACCACCAAACCTACAACACAAAAAAGGCGTCTATCTTCTACGAGGTGAAGCTACAACAATCTAATAAAAACAGATATTCCAATACCAGCCGCTCTCTTCTTCTTGTCGACGTCAGGGTCTCCATCTAGAGGAAGCTTGTACTTCAATATGCAATCTGTCGTTTTCTGTAGAACGTCTCCAAGGTTCAAGTTTTGTTTGAATTCTTCAAACGACATGGCCCACAGAGGAAAACGAGGTGTGCCACGACTAGCACTGCTCCCTCCGACCTGCTCATTATTCGGCGTCTTCTGGGGGCTATGTTCACTCGCTGTCGTCCCTTCTGGTATGTAGAAACTAGCACTAGAGCGTCCGGCGCCAAGTCGATCGCCGGATAAAGATCGGGCCCTGTCGTGGTCTTCTAGAGCACTAACTTGTTCTGGATTTCCACCTCCATTTTCTAGGACGCCAGAAATATTGCTGTTGTTCAAGCCCATCCGTGCCCGTTCTTCTGGCGGTATTATGTTGAGCGGTCGTCGAGCCAATGCGTCCTTCAGGCCAGCTGGGACCTTGATCACGATTTGTTTCGACAGTTCATCGTCTTCCTCGATGGACATAGCCGTCCCCGGACCGCCTGCTCGCAATTCGGCTGACAACTGTTCAGCGGCAGGTCTCATACCGAACCGGCCTCTCGAGTTAGAGATCAGGTTCAGGCGGTGAGGAAATAGAAGCAGGCTTTAGGATTAGCTTTAGGTGTTCCCTTCAAATAAATTTTTACTGTTTTTACTACTTTTCATCTGAGTGGAACCACTACTCATACATCGCTCTAGAAGCTGCATAAAAAATTATAACCTCGTCTCAACAAAAAGCTTGTCATGTCTACAACAATTCAATTGCCATAATCATTCCCCCGGCAGCCTCCATATCGTCACTGTAGACTGATTCCCTTCTTGGACTCCGCATCATGCGACTGTCACGCTCCGCCATTGAGTTGTGTCTTGAAAAACTCTCCCACGAAGAAGAAAACTGGGATATTCTACTATTTCCGTGGATACTGCTTGCTCGAGAAGGATCGAAGGCGCCAGAGGTTGCTCTCCCTGCGAGTCCTCGAGTAGCGCCTAGAGTTAGCGCTAAAAGAATGAATAGAAGTACAACAGTACTAAAATAACCTGTAGTTCTTGAAGTAATTGTAGCGCTAAAAGAAATCGATCTTCGTACCCGTTTTCCCCCGATGAGAAACGGACAACATCAGATTGATACTGGCAAAGTTGGATTTTCTGAAGAACCACAAGCACAAGCCTTAAGAAAGTACTATTGCCAGCATGTTGTTGTGCACCATTTGCACCAGCACGGGAGCCTCTGCCTGATGCACGCCGTTTAGCATCGGGTGAGCCACCGAAAGACGGCGTATCACATTCCTCTTCTCCTACGGAAGAAATATCGTCCATCAGATCACCACCTTCCGTCTGGATCACGCTTTTCCGACGTATCTCAGCATTCTCCTGCAGTTGTCCGGGCGTCTGGATCACGCTTTTCCGACGTATCTCAGCATTCTCCTGCAGTTGTCCGGGGGCCAACTGTTGTGTCCGTGTAGAGGGAGTGGAGATCAAGGTCGTGTAGATGTAGTAAGTAGTTGTGGAAGGAACACACAACTGACTTCATAATTTCTGAATGGATGATGGAGGTATGCTGATTTAGCCAGCATCCGACAATCAGTTTCGATAATTGATCGGGACCAAAAACTTTATGATGATTCTCGAGAAAATCTTCCACGACTCCGGATTCGTTCTAGATCACCTGCCACAAGGAGATACATCTTGCCTCCACCCGCGATAGGACAAGGGCAAAACGCTTCTACTTCTTCTATAACTGTAACTGGCAACAAGAATAATAGCATGTAAGGAAAAAATAGAAATACCCTCATTCCTGATCCACTGCCTCCTCTAGCTACGGAGCCTAGTACGCTAGAGGCTCTGGAGACGATGCGTGCATTATTCATGCTCTCGAACTCTTGATCGAATTGACCACTTAGGTTCCGCTGTGCTAGTGTTAGAGCTAGGGTCTTGGCGTTTCTCTTTCCCGTTTTATCTGCCTTTCTGCCTGCTTAGGAGAGGCAAAACAAACGGCAACAGGAAGAGGAACAGCTTTAATCTAAGAAAGTACCCTTAATAGTGGGTCCATGTCTTCGATCAAGTCTGCCATCGATTTCACTTGTCCTGTGATGTCTCGTCCCGCAACAACGCTCGGTCGCTCGTCTCAAGTTAGAACTGTCAGGCTAGTCTTTTGCTTCACATGTGATCCGTTCTCACGTTTACCATGTTGAAAACGCTGGTGCCAAAAGAATGTAGTAGCCGAAGGGAGGGTACTTACTTAGATTGAATGTACTGTTGCTCCGTTACAATTTCTCCCAAACTAAATGCACAAGCGGAGAATTGAATGAACATGATTTAAATTCCTCATAACGGCCGACGTCGTTTCGAGCTGCCTTCCATACTTCGCGCTGGACTCGGACTAATGTTCATATTTGAGTTGGAACTAGAATGATGTCGCGCAAAGTCTGCGCGCGCTCGAGCATGGCCTGACTGGTGCGACGCTGCGCCACCGCTATTCTTCTTAGAAGACCAACGCACAAGAACTATTTGACGAGGGTGACTAATACTACTTTTTGTCTTTGAGAAAAACAATGCTATTGTTCCACCAGGAGCTTTTTTCGTTTTTCCTCTTGAAAACATGAAGAAGTTCCCATCGTCTTCTTGTTTTTCAACACACTCTCTGATCAAAAAGTTTCTTGATCACGACGATGATGCATCTTCTAACAAATTCATCACGACATACAATCACAATCTAGTATCTTCTGTTAACGTAGAAGCCTTAATATTTCCTTCCCCACGAGAGACGCTGGTTCGAAAGGTCTCATTGAAACTGCCCTGTCGGAAATCAGCCGTTCCGGTTGCCTGATGGATACTGGAAAGCTCAGAAGCATTCACCTGACTATTCTTGCTCCTTTTTAGAGAAAAATAGAGGGGAATGGAGGAGAGGTGAATATCATCAATTTTTCTAAGCTCTGGGGTTCAGGAAATTCTGCGCTGAGGGTGAAATGGAAAATTATACTATGGTTTTGGTGAACAAATGTTGAAGATTTCCTAGTACTAGCATGGTTACGGCCACACGACTCTATTTGGTCTATGTAAAGTGCGATACTAGGTGCGGGTATTTCCAACTTGGTCATAACATTTGTCCCTGTAGTCCTACGCGAGCTTTGAGGCCCTCAAAAAAACTATCCTCTTGGTCAGGTGGTTCCCCAATCTTCGGAATGCGCTCCTCTACACTATCACCGAAAATAGAGCCGTCCGAATGTCGGTCTTTATTTCCGGCATCTGAAGATCATGGTGAAGACGAGTTCAATATCTTTACTTCGTGTATATACACAACCCGGACACGAAAGAGTGTAGACCAAAAGATGTGGGAATAAGTGGCGGCTGAGATTAAGATCTTCAGCAAATTCAAAATTATCAAATTCACAGTTGTTCGAACCAAGAAAATCTTCTTCTAGATGTATCTAACAGGTGCTATTGACACTAAACACTGAATATTGTTAGTTGATTTTGGTAACCAATCATGGAGAAGGAAAAAACTGTTCTATAATCAATGTTTTCAGGTACAGATATGGTACTACCTCCCGCTCCGCCCTCTGCATTGACTCCTGTCTGATCGGAAAAAACATCGTCGTTGTCATCACTTATTACACTGATTCTCCTTTGTTCTCGTTTCAAACCCGCTCCAGATCCGCTCCGCCTTCTAGCTTTAGAGCACACGACTATCATTCAACATAAGAAAATTGTTCTGTGGAAATGACACGATGAGAAAGGCTTCCACGTGTCATGCCATGTTGCTGTTGACCTGGTCTATCTAAATACCCCCAGAGGTGAAGCGCAGGACCAGAGATATTTTCAGCTTCGTTCTCACCAGCCAAAATAAAATAGTCTGCTTGAAAGATAAAATCATCGTCCTCGTCTGCCCATAATGATACCATCTAAACCGGCGTTGGAGCCACCTCTTCCGCCTGAGGCTCGCCTCTCCTGACCCCCTCCTTGCGCCTCTTCCTCTTCCTCGTCGTCCTCATCCTAACTTAGAACTGCAAGACAGACAGAGTAGGCATTATCTACCTATAGATTTTCTCTCCTTTGTATTTGCTCAATGAGCAGAGGTGCCCTGTATTGGACTTACCTCATCCTCTAAACGGTGAAAATGGACATTTCTTTGATAGTTTCTCAATGAGAACTACTACCACCGAGCCTTAACTCCAGAGGGTCGAAGAAAGCGGCTAAATTTCCAATCGAGTCGCGACGTATTTTACTTGGTTTTACTGGCGACCGTGCCTTTCCAAGAAAAGCATCTCCGATCGCTGGAAATTCCTCGCTGTTCTCCTCATCCCACATATACTGCTGGTGCTGAAATAATTCATTATATTCATTGCCGACCTCAGTTGTTCACGGGTACTTTAATTCAAAATTTCAACACGAAGTACGAGGTCAGTTGTTCAAGGATAAAATTTATCATAAAACGACGTGGAGGCTTCTTCTACGTCATAATAAGGAGACATCTCTTCAATCTCATTCTTTTCGATACTAGCACTGCCCTAGTAATCTACCAACAAAGCGCTCCTGTCATCGAAATAGAAACAGAAAAAGCTCTGTCAACAAAAATTCTATCTCATAGCAGCTGTTGTAGAAATAGTCGTAGAACTTAAGTGTCTGTCGAAAAAATAGTATTAAGTGTCTATCTCTATGCATTGATTGCTGGAGGGACTAACCCAGGATGAAAATGAGGGAAAAATTAACCGGCTACTATATTCTTTTTGTAGTTATGAAACGAAAATCTGTTATCATTATCAAGTTTCTGAAGAAGAAAAGCATGATAATGATAACAGATTTTCTTTTCGTAGTAGTATTAATGGTAGTACTGCCACATGCTGACTGCTAGGGGACTCTGGAGGCAACGGCTCAATGTCGAAATGCTCTTCTGTAATCGTATCGCCATCGTGATTGAAGTGTTTCACTTTGGCGAACGCAAAACTGACATGCAGAGACTTCTTACTCCCTGTTCTGGGTTGGTCACCTCCTCCTTGATTAGAGGAGCTCAAAAAATTTCGTTCCTTGTTTTCATTTTCCAAGATCGATGAATCCTAAAAAGGACACAAACGGAGAAAAAGAACCTCCTGTAGGAGTGAATCACTTATATCAAGCCTTAACTTGATGTGCTGGCGGTAGTGCAGGATCTTGGTTCTTCTGCTCCGTTAGCGAAGCATTCGCAGCGTTATTTGCACCATGTTGAGGTGGTCGTGAAGTGGACGAAGACGAGCCGCCTGCTGTGCCACCAACTTGACCAGCACTGCCGTTATCCATGTTTTTTGATCAGTCTAGGTCAAGATCTACCAATGGTCTTGTTCTACCTTGAAGAAACTAGTATTTCATTCTAACCTGAAGAAACTACTAGTGTTGTCGCACATGATAGACTCAAACTGAGCGCCTGTGCTGGCTCCAACCTTTACTACGTCTATGGGGTTAAAGTCATGAATTCCACGATATCTATAGAATAGAGTCACTTTACTTAAACCACTACACGAGATGAGATCACCGATGGCGATAACGAGTGGACTAGCGGTAGCACTAGTAGTGAACCTATTTTTCGAGAGGTACGATGCAGTCATGTCTTCTCAGAAGTTCTTAGCAAGCTCTCTAGTACATGTTAAGTCCTTTTTATGCCCTCGTCGCAAATACATGACGTAGATCAAATCGTTTCCATTTCGACAAGCGACCGAATCTTCACACCTCTCTTGGGAGGTTCTCACGAACAAATACGCTTTTCTCCTTTCACAAGTAAGTAGGCTCCGCGATAACCCCGAATCCGAAAACCATCGACTTTTAGAAGACCCGGCTGCAGCCTCTTCATCATACGCCTCTGGTGGGCATCTTCGGTTGGGGCTACCACGTCGCATCCTTGACCCCATCCTTGATCATCATAAGACTCTGAATTCGCTTTCATTCAGATTCTTGACGGCAGGGTGTCTGAGACGTAATCCCGGAACACGATCCACGATAAGGCCGCCCGCTCTTACCTGGCAGACATTTTAAGCGACTACGATATATTTATTTCTTAGCAGCTGTTGCGTTGCAGCAATTTAAATATCATCAGCAGCTGTTGCGTTGCAGCAATCTAAATATCATCAGCAGCTGTTGCGTTGCAGCAATTTAAATAAGTCTAATCAGCAGCTGTTGCGTTGCAGCAATTGAAATATCATCAGCAGCTGTTGCGTTGCAGCAACTTAAATATCATCAGCAGCTGTTGCTTTCCAATTAATAAGTCACAACAAGGCACGTTAGCACTCTGCAAAAGAGCCTTGCTAGTTTGTAATAGTACTCAATATAATGCAAAAACGCACCTTAAGCAGTTTGTTACTTAGTACAACTCTGCAACGTGTACTTCCCTGAGGTGGCCTCTCATGCAAGTAGCGCCTCAACTCACACGCAGAAAGAACTTGTGTGCCTCTATCATCAACATGCTATACCTACTTAGTTGCCTCGTCTTCCATAATTAACATTGATTGCCTAGGCTGCTAAAAATCAGAAAAACTAGCTGGCTAATATTTTTTTATGCGCTTTGAGCGTCGCTGGAGTATTAGAGCAAGAACTCGTTTTCGTTATAATATGTGATATAACTCCATTCTTGTATGCAACCTGTTTGTTGTTCTGCGGGCTATCTTATGTTATCTTAACAGTTCCACGACATATCGAATGCGGACCTGTTCGTGGGGCCTGTACACCACATACTCGCTGTATGTGACGGGAGGCGAGAGACCGGCTCTCGGTGCTACGTGGTCCCGTATAATATTCCCACCGGCACCACTCCCTCTTCCATCAGTGTGGGAATCCTCAGTCTGGTCGTTTCCGGCGTGGAAGAAAGGGATTCTAACGCGCTCACCCCCACCCTCTTTGGAAAAATCCAAGGACAGAATGTGCGATTCGTGAACCACCGTTAGATCTGTTTCCTTCAAAGTCACGTACACGACTTTTGAGTTGCTTATCTGCATGATCTCATATTCCACCGGGTCATTTTTATCCTTCACAATTTTCCGACAAACTCTGCCAGAACAAAGCAGCTCATGGACCTCCCCTTTTTTGTCCTCGCCACTTCCACTGGCCGCGCCTGTAGTAATTGACCGGGGCCAAGTGACCGCCGTCCCAACGCTAATAGGATTATGTCTATGTTGTCCCCCCAATCCAACTCCAGCCTGATCCTCCCAATCCAACTCTTTGCGGCCGACGCCATGCACGCACTCGACCGACGCGCATCCCGTTTCGAACGGCTTGGAGGGGTCCAATCTCTGCGCCCACGCCATGGACCTCACCTTTTCCGTCGTCGAGTCTCCAGCCACAGCGGCGGCTTCCGCGGCGGCACCATTATACACCTTCACGGGGGAATCGCCCACACAGACCTCAGTAAGAAACAAGTACTGCCTTGTTGCCTTCTCGGAGTTCCAATACCGCCTCCACGCGTTCGCTTGCGACGCCAGCTTGTCAACAATCTTCTCGGTAGAAGCTGCAGTCATCTTCGACGACAAAGGACTTCCAGTCGTGCTAGCTTTCATCTCCTCTTGTTCGTAGAGAGCGTCTGTAATTTGAGATATTGCATCGTCCATCGACGCGAAAGACTCTTCGCCGACTTCTTGGCCAACGCGTGGCGCATGCGCAGGTGGACCGTCGTATTCCTCGAAAAAGGACGATGAAGCAGGGTCCTCTACTTCCTCCATCGCGACGTCCTCCACCTCTCCCGCCGAGCCATTGTTGTTCTTTGATGTTGTACTGTTTTCTTTTACAGAGGACGACCGCAACTTTGTGCTGTTTTCTTCCCACAACACTTTTGCACCGTGCATTGCCTGACTGTAGTTGAGGCCTTTCTCTGCCATATCTGCGAAATAGACACCTTTTCCGAAAGCGTATCCAGACGCGGGAGCTTCCGCAGGTGCCACCTACAAAAAATCATATGTAACTAGATGATGTAATGTCTCAAGAGCAGTTCGTTATGTTATTGATTCAAATAATTTTCGCTGAATTGTAACCCTCTTCAATACAAACTTCAGATCATCATATCTTGGACGAGAGTCAGAGAAGTATGTCTGAGGGTACAAACGCAAACTGCAACCTAGCAGACTAACAAGAACGACGACAAAACGAACATCAAATATCCATTATTAGTCGAGGACTCGATTCCGATCGACTAACGGACAAATTTGAAGGTAAATTCGAATGCCTAAGTTAGGGGCTACCTTGAGATTCTGCGCCAGAATCGAAAGCACGTTCGGCATCGACGTTCCGTGCCAGAGTAAGCGCCGTTCCCCTTGAAATGAACGGAATGCAGCGTCGCCAGGCATAGACTTTGTCTGCGTAACCTTGTAGATGCGACAATGCAGCTTCTTGTCGCCACTGAAGGTTTGCGCGGCCGTGCCCCTCAGATACTGCATAACCATTTTGTATTCTGCTGAATTTTTGTCGACCTCCGAGTCCGGTTCCTCTGCTGGTACTCCAAGAAAACTAGTGTTGCGGATGTACGCTTGTACACTGTTTCGCAGGTCGTCGACGCTCACTTGTTCACAATTCTTTACTGGAGTGATGTCCGTCAATTTCACCGGCAAAAGGTCGTCCACGATGTGTTCCAGAGGGTGTTTGTGGTCTGTCGTAGAAGCTCTCTCGCTGTGTAGAGCGCTGAACAAGATTTTAAGAGCGCAGGTAAAATCGTCGAGCTCAGACAGCGTTTCCGCCTCTTCGCCCAGCATTTTCGTACTCAGCGGAAGGATCGGCTCGTCCGCCCGAAACCGTTTCTTAGGAATCAAGCGGTAGTACTCGGAGCTCCAATCCATCAGTTCCGATTTGTACCTCTGGATCAACTTCTGGTCCATCGCGCTCCATCCTTTAGCTTTTTCTTGTTTCAGGCTGTGAAGGATCGCGGCGACCATTTTCAGTATCTCTCTTGCAACTTTTAGGACTCGAGCAGAGACCTGCGAGATCGGCATGTCTTCTAAGCGAATCTGGAGCTTCTTCGACAGCTGGTACTGGTACAAGTCAAAACTCGTGAGACTTCGAAAAAAATGATGCACCCCGGGCGACAGCGAGTAGGAGTACTTGTTCTTGTACTTCTGATGAATCTGATGCGTGACTACACTGGACCGAGAACAAGCGGCCTTCAGTTCTCCATTACGCTGCTCGCCTACTCTGCTCGAGTGCTTGCGTACGGACATAAATTCGAACGGACGGAGAAGACCCAAGGACCGCTTCGAAGCTCTTGGGTCTGAATCATACTCTTCGTGGTTTCCCGATCCAGTCAGTTCCAAAAGATGATACTTTTTCCAGTTAGGTGTAAAACCTAAGGGCGGCTTGCCGAACGGGTTGTACTCCGCGAAATTGTAGCCAATTTTGGACTTGGCAATCTTCAAAAACTCTTTTATCGCCGCCTCCTTGTCAGCGCAGGGTGTGCGCTGAAACATGCCTTCGTCGCCGACCCGGCCCCAACGGGTGAACAAGACGTACAGGTCCTTCCGCTTCTCGTGGACAAGTTGCATCTGGTAAAAGTTGTTCTCGCCATAATCTCCCATTGCTACGTCCACTTTCACGCCAAGCAAATCGTAGTAAATAACTTTCTTCACAACCCCCGTAGGAGCCCCCGTAGCATTCATCTCAGCAGCAGGCCCACCAGCACCCGTAGAAGTAGTAAATGAAGAAACTGAATATGAAACCGCACGATCGTATTCGGATTGCAATTCTTCTGCATCCAGATGTAGAGAGTCCAGACTCAACATTTGTTTCGATTGCGAATCCGCCACCTCTCTCGCTTTCGCCAACTCCAGAAGCTCCTTGATGCGTGCGATAGGCACGTCCACTGGTTCGCAGAATACCTCCACGTCATTCCAGTCTGTCTGGCCTTCACCCAAGTCGTATTTCTTGTTCGGCTTTCGGCAAATCATCTTCTTTTCCTCTTCCGGCTGATCCTCGAGCAGAACCAGTTGCTTCCACTCAAAAGCGCCTTTCTCGTATGCTGGCTTTTGCTCCTTCATCTGCGGCCTATTTTTGAGGTCGGGGGCGTTGGTGCCAACAACATCATGAGACGCTATCTCATCTGGCTCCTTGGACATTCTGGTGGACGCACGTCCTCGCAAAAACTCCAGAAGATCCTCTGGAAGCAACGCGGACAGTTCCTGCAACCTGCTGATTTCGAAAAGCGGTTTTTTGCCTCCCAGGTCGATGCAGTGCCAGGCGATTTGCAAAGATTCTAAAACCTCCTGCGTTAACATGGCAGGGGGAGCAGCCTTTTTTACGACCTTTTTAGTCACGACTGGTGCGTTCTGGTTCTTTCCCTCCAGTCTCGCCCAAATCGCACGCAGAATCATCACCTGGTTCTGTGCCACGGCAAGCGCGAGCAGGTTGCAGCTGCTGCGAAACGCCTTTCCGGAGATTGCCGGCACGATGTGGCTTCCAGCCAAAAAAAGCGCATCGAAAGTGCGTTTCAACGGAACACTCACCTCTTTCCCTAGTACAGACAAGGGCCAACCATGATTACTGAAAGCTGAATTTACGTTCGCAACGCTTGAAGAGGGCAACCACTTTTGGCAGATCGCGAGACAGCTGGGATTCTTCTCCGGGTCCTGAAAGCTTGCAAAGAATGGTGCTTCTGCGACATAGCGAGAATACTCAATTCGCGTACCGAGTGCATGGACATTGACATAACTCGTCACTGCTTGCAGCCGCACTGATTTTAACCTCTGCTGGCTCAAAGAAGGAGAGTTCTTTCCAGAAAAGGATGCCTGATCAGAACTGCGCAAACCAGAGGCTGTTATGTGTTTCTGCAAAACATCCGCAGTGATACAACTGATGAAGAATTCCGCGAGCGTGAACATCTTTGCCTGGAGCGAGTAAGCTGCCCACTGCGCAGATTGCGAGAGACACGCTGGCGGAAACGCTGCTCCTCGTCGCGGCTTCTGATCATGATCATTTTTATGATCATCATGAAGATAGAGAGGAGTGACCGTGTTGCTGATGAACTGCAAAAAGGATGTCTGGATATCATCGTCACGTGAGAAGCCAACGGAAAAAAGCCGCGGTAATACCACGCTTTCGAGAAAACCCTCAAAGTCGCTCAAATCGATAAGCCGAGTCTCTGACACAAACCAATGCAAAAGAACATGCTTCACATGCAAGGAGCCCTGCTGACCATGATCTGGATCATACACGAGCGCTGACAGAATACTATCGCTCGTCCTCCCGACCGAAAGTGCTAGAAGAGGTGCGCTATCATCTTCCGAACTTGTTGCGCATTTCATCTGTGTGGTCAGCACCAACTGAAACATATCGCGCACAATTTCCTGGGCATCCGCTGCTGACGCGTTGTCCTTTGAAGCCTTGATGCTGGTGCCGCCCTTAACATGAACGAGGCTCTGGGTGATCGCCTGCAGACACCTGGTGCCTGCTACGACTCGAAGTACAGCCGGAGAGAAGATTTCGCGCACAACAGAGGGCGGAAAGCGAAATTGACGCAGAATTTGCGCAAGCAACGAACGATGTTGCGCCGTTCCGCGCGTAAGCAAATCAGCGAAAACGAAGGCGAACCGGTCGTCCATATTGGCCAATCGCACCTGTTCTAGCTGTTGTCCTTCGCCCAATTTCGTGGCGAGCTGACCCAGGACCAGCTGAATGCTCGCGCAACTGAGCGAAGGACAAAAATCTCCACTGCTTCCATCCTTCGAAGCACTCGAGTCTTCTCGTCTACCGTCCTCTTGCGCGGCGGTTACCGAGTCCGAGCGGCCCCTTAAAAGTCCCATGACGAATGTTTCCACCAAGAAAGGATAGCTCCGTTGGATCTCCGCTGCACTCGTCTTCTCCAGTAGGAAGTCAAACAACGCTTTGTGCGCTAGTCCACTCTTGTTTACCAGTGTGTCGAGAGCAGTCATTCCTAGACCATTGCGACCGTTCGGATCGCAACCGCCGGTCATCATGCGTTCGGCGATCTCCACGCCGAAATCTACGCCTGCTGAGTCCAAGCCGAAGTGCGAATCACCACTGTACGTTGCGAGCACATGCAAACCCGTGCAACCAAGCACGCGATAAGATCCATCCATCAGTACCTTGACCTTCTTCTTCATCTTCTCCTCAACGAAAGGGGACGAATAGTACACGAGGTTTTTGATGGTCTCGACAGCTGCATCCAGCTCTACAGTGGTGCCGCATTCACTGCACTCCACAAAGTCATAGGCAAGTTCTGTCGCGGGCGGCAGATGTGCGCGCAGAAATGGAGCTCTGGAAGATGATCTTCCCTTGCCGTTCCCTTGATTGCTCTCTGAAGACCGCTTCATTTTCTCAATTCGCCAAACCCTGTCCTTTGTCTTGGAAACCGTGTCTGTGGAAATGTTCAGGAGTCTGTCCACATTCCCGTGATCCAAGTAGTGAATGTCTACAAACTTCGGCAGCCGCTGCTGTAGCAGCTTCCGCGAGTGAGAATACGAGCTTGGCTTTGAGGTCTTGGCTGCAAATGGTTCATGATCCTCTGCCGTGATCATTTCGTTTGCAAGACGAGGAGCAGCGCAGAGGACTCTGCTTTCTCTCACCAATCTCGAACTGGTAGTAACATCTTCGCCAGGATCTACTCTGAAGAATTTTCTCTCGTAGAAGTCGAAATTTTTTTTCGCGTAGGATGTGCGCCACGGGCCAACTGCATCTCGCGCAAGGGCGCCTGCGACTCCCTTGAGGCGTTTCGCCTCCTCTTCTGCGTCGAGCAACTGTAAGAACTGATCCAGGACAACTTCGGATGAGACGTCAAAGGCCCGTCTTCTCCGCATCACTGCACCGCTGCACACGCTGAAGCAAACCGGACACGTCGCGGAGATGCTCAGGACGCGCGACTTTTCATCGTCCGACGCGCAACTTTTCATCGTTATCCCGCTCAAGTTCGGCGGCACGGGCGCCACCAGTGCTCGCCAGCCACCGCAAATGTCAAGTCCGAAATCAAGAGTGGCACTTGTGTCCGCCCACGTCGGCGCCTTCGGGGTCAACGAGCACGTCAATTTCAGCAGCTGCTGACTAAGAGCGTCCTGCACAGCTGCGGATATCGGCACGCCTGCTTCCACCATGAGATGTGCAATGCCAAACCAGCGATTCTCCAATACAGCCCTGAAGAGAGTTTTCGCGGATAAATACTTCGCCGCCATCGATTCGTGATCAGATGAAGCTTGATCAGAAGCAGCAGCACTCTTCAAGATATAATCAGAGGTCATCTGCTTGTCTTCTTCTTCACTCAGAAGATTTTTGCTAGTTGTAGTATTACTACTAGCCAGCATGGACTGCGATGACTCAGACGTGGTCGCGGCAGAAGAAACCGCCGTGAAACTACAGTTATCCACGTTGTCGCGCGGCCCCGCCATCGGCATTCCTTCGCGCAGAAACTCGTTTCGCACTGTTGCGCCCTCTTGTATCAGCAAAGTCGCCGTGGTCTCGTCTTTCTGCAGAATTGCGTAGTTAAGCGCAGTCGCACCGTACACGTCCCGCTGGTTGACGCGCGCACCGCGCTTGAGCAGCATGGCTGCCGCTGTACTGCCGCCGCTTAGTGCGGCGTACATGAGCGGTGTGCGCCCAACCGAGTTCGTCGCATGAATGTCCGCCTTCTTGGAGATCAGACCGGAAAGCGCCTCCATCGGGTTCGCCGCCTTTGTGAAGGAGACAAGCAGAGGCGAATCTCCCAAACTGTTTCCCGCATTCACCAGCTTCTCGAGGAATGCGTCCACTGCCACGACCCCCGACCCCGAGTGAAGATTCGGAATTCTCCTACTAGTGGAAGCGGTGCTGGCGGAGAGCGGACTACGATCAATCTTCAGGGACGATCCCTCAGTAGCTCTTTGATGATCGGTTGTTCGACGCCGTTTTGCAGGAGGCAGGCTTTGGCTTGTTGCATTGGCTTCTTCTATATGTTGAAGTTGAAGATGCTCAAACATGATGGGGTCTGATGATCTTTCCGACAGGTCCGACATGTACTTGGCACACTTTGACAATAGCAGATATTCAACCTCGAACTGATCCTCCTCTGCAGCGTGCATGACAGCCAGATGGAGCGGGGTATTTCCGCGCCCGTTTGGAGCGGAAAGGAGTTTTTGTAGGGCCAGAGAATTGTCCTCGGCAATCTTCGCAGAAGATGAGCTTGTGCTCGAATTTTGTTCGCCGATCGCTTCGAGCAGGATTTTCACAGCGTGCGCGTGTCGATTCCGTGACGACAAGTGCAACAAAGAGTTCTGCGTCGTCGAATGCACAAAGCAAGGGTCCGCGCGGTGTTCCAGCAAAAGCTGGATGAGCGGAATGTTGCGAGCGCCGACAGCGTACGACAGCGGCGTTTCGCCACTCAAAACGTGTGGCATGTTAATCAGTGGAACCGCCAACTTCAGCTCGGTTTGTTGAGTATCCAACATGCCACTTCTCTCGACGCCACGTAATGAGGAAATAAGCCACGGAGACAAGCCCCTCTCCGCTCGAAACTTGATGTGGTTTAGCAGCGCTTTCAGGCGTCCGAGCGTCGTATCGCAAGAGTCGTTGTCAATTACATTCCGAACGGCTTCGAAGAGCGGGGCTCGTGTGGCTGTCTCTGGATTCACGTGTAGAGTGACGCTCGCGTGCCCATCTGCTGAAGTTGATGCTCCTCCCCTAGCATGCTCATGCTGCCCAGACGACCACGCAGCTGCCGAAGTGAGGGCGGCCAAGTCAAAGGGATCTGGAAGCTGTTGCTGAATAAGCGCATGTACCGCTCTCGCGCTATCTCCTCTCGTCTCTCTCTCGTTACCACAACCCTCCAGAAGGGTTGTGGTGCTGCTGCTCCTGAACCTCCTTGTGCCGTATCGCAATTTTTCCGCCTCTTGGCGGACAGCAGCTGCCTTTGTGACGAACGCATCCTCCTGCATGAGGGCTTCGAACGCGTGGATCGCCATCACTAAAGGATGTTCATTGCTCTCATCTTCCCCCGCTTCTGATGTCGACCATGGTCCCTGTATCTGCGGATGAAAAAGGAGCGAAGCAGCCGTCTCCATCCCGTCTGCTGTGGGTAGATTGAAAAACATCCATTCCTCTCGGTCTCCTCGCTCGTTGGTGGAGGTCTGCTCACCATAGGTCTCATCATCTGTCAACATCTTCATTTCGACGTCGTCCTCTGCTGCTCCGCTGTTGACCGAACCCGAGAGAAATTTCGCTTTGTAATCAGCGATGCACAGGTCCAAATGATGTTTCCACAATGTTGGCAAGAATCTTTTCCTGTTCTCAGGTTTCAACATCTCATGCAGCACCAGCGGCTGCGTTCGCCGATACGGGATTAGAGGTGCCGCGATTTCTGCTTGCAGACATGTCAGAAAAGGCTGATACGTAAGAATTCCCCCACCTTGGCTGCTGCTCTTTAGGTGTGCACGAAACGCGAGATGCCAGAGAGTTTCTCCGCTCAATGGATGTTCGTATTCCCGCAGATACTTGAGCAATAATTCCATTTGTCTACTTGGCAGGTTCGCTCCTGCTGCTCCTGCACAAGTTGCACTGTTTCGTACTTGGCGAAGGAGAGTGCCTATTTTGTTAACAATCGTCTTGGGAGTGGTCACCGGAGAAGTGCCAACTCCCGCACCTGGATTTCTCACTTCAGGCGTGTAGTGCGACTCGAGCATGTACTTAGTAACAGCACTCTCTCCCGTCTGCACGTCTGGGCGAAACACCCCTTCGCATAGGAATGCGCGCTCGAAGAACATTTCCTCCGCTTCTTCTTCGTTGTTGACGTTGAGCTTGACGAAGTCGGGTGCAGTCTCATCAACCTCGACATCTTCGTTCACCAAGTTCGACAACTGCGTTGTTGTGGAACTGGAAGCTGTTCTTAGGATAGCACGCAACAGTGTTCGTGCCCAAACCGTGTTCAGATCAACGTGCTTCCCATCTTCTACCAGAAAATGGAAACAGCTAGTACACCCAGGTACATGTTTGGATCGATCTGCGGAAGAGCGGGCTGCTATCAACAACGAGTTTAACACCTGTCGACCAGACGAATCGCTCTGCAGGAACGGCGCGAGTGCCTCGTTCAAAGAATTTCCGTGGCGAAGAAGCTGACCGAATATGTGATACTTGGTGTGCGTGCGGTGATCCATCTTATACAAGGTTTTTGAGACGGTCCTTTCGTTACGTAGAGGGTCAAAAAGCAAATCAGCTGGTTCGCAAACATATTGATCGAATTCCGGGGAGACGCGGGCATCGCAAAGAAGGTGCTCAAGTCCATCGCTGCTCTCGCATGCTGCACAACAAAAGCGAGAGGAATGATTGCGCGGCTGATAACAGCATGTTGCCGTTTTGCAATATTTGAGACCGTCTTTGTCTTTGTTCTTTTCTCGCCCGTTGATCTTGTGCCGCAAAAGATGTTGAACCGCGGCAGCGCGCTCTGCCCAATACAGATTCCCGGGGGCGACCAGCTTCTCGAAATTCAGACCAACGAGCAGCGCATGCGCTGCGGTGTGTCCGTAGACCAGCGAAGGCATTCTAGATTCATTCTCCCGGTCGCTGTCTTTCTTAGCGCTGTCATCAATATTGGCCAAAATCATAGTGGGCGGGATGCGGTCCTGCAAATCGCGAAGCACTTTAGATGCCCCCGGGGCTTTTCCGAGTAAATAAGCACCACCCAGGCAACGAGACGGGAAATCGAACAGCGGCGCACCCCCCGATGGCCGCAATGTGGCGTAGTCGCTCGCCTTCGACCACGCACTTCCCAACGGAACGCGCCCCTTGACCAAAATGACGGCAGACAGGGCCAGGGAGCAAGACGCGGGGACAGGTTTTTTATCCGCATCCACAGCCAACGCAGTAGACATAGACTTCGAACGGCTACTTCCAGTCCAAGTCCATAGTCCCGATGGATCATCCAGGAACCACGGCGAGCCTTCAGCAGGTTTTTTAGCGGCGCTACTAAGCGTTTCCTTCCACTCGAAGGCGCACAGTTCTGTGTAGCTGAAGTTGCGAAAAGTATCTTTGAGACCTTCCGACAGTAGTTTTATTTTCGTGCCTGTTGCTGAAAAATCTTCTGACTTGTTCTGGTGGTCCGTGTCATATTGCTTCGCACCTTTCTCACATGCCTCCGAAAGCACAGTCGCAAAGTTTTGCGCTTTCCCGCAAAGCTCCGCAAAGTCCTCGTCCCTCAGACGAGCGAGAACCCATCCATTGCTTTTTGATGCCCTCCGCTTAGTCCCGATGTAGTCGTAAAACACCACGTAGCGAAAAGCGTGCTGTGGAGGAGCGCTACCGATTTGCCCAAGCGAATAATTCGACGTACTTTCTTGGTGGGCTTCTTCCTGGCCTAAGACAACTTTCGGAAACCCTGGAAGATTGAATTGGGCTTGCAAATTGTTCTTCTCGTTGCCTACGCAAGCCAGATGGACGAGGCCCATGGACTGAACAGCGAGACGAGGGTAGTCCTCTTGTTGCTCGGATCGTCGAGTTTTTGTATTTCTATTTGATTGGTCTCGATCTATTTTCGCCTTTTGATGTTCTTCTGTGGAGGAACTTGCTGTCGCACGAGAAGCAGAAGTTGTCCACCCCTGTCCTTCTGCTACGAAAAATGGTGTCTCATAGGCACTCATAAGAGTGACGCTGTGTAGGAACTGAATTCCTTGCGTTGTTGATTTCTCCAAGACGACGTCCGTACACGGCGAGCCAGTGTCGAAATCCATACACGGCAAGCCATGAAACCTGAGAGACGTGTCCGAATCGCTTCTGCCTGCCACCCCGACTGCGCCGCCGCCGTGATGATGATGATGTTTACAAGACTTGTAATCGTCCTCCGAACGGAAAAAAACGGGAGTCGCGAAAGGTTGCGACCCGGCGTTCACTTTCTCTTTCCAGATGTCAAGCCCAGCTTTAAAGGCTAGATACTCAAATACTGCGTAAATCCGCTCGCCCTCGTAAGTCACTTTCGTTTCGTTGTAGTGGGGAGTGGGCATGTCTTCGACGCGCCCTTTCTTCTTCGGACCATACCCTTGTGTGCTGCTTACCTTCTTCGAAACCATCCTCGGGGTGCCATCTGCATTCAGCAGAAGAGGCTTCGTCGTTTTCGTCACCGATACAGGTACGCCGTGCGGATATATGCGCGCAAAGCAATCAAGAATGCTCCACGCCACGCTCGCAGGAGCGACCAGGGAGTGTTGGAACCGGCACAATTGCGAGTTATACGCGCGGCGGGACACCAAGAGCGAGTGCACCTCTTTTTTCGCTTTGCCTTCAGCTTCTTCTACTCGTGATGTTGAAGCAAGATAAGTGTGGGCAGCCGCAAGAGGGGAGTCTGAGCACTCCGGGTCTTGCGAAGAGAAGGCCTGCGACAGCATGGAGCGTCCAAAGAAGCGCTCCAGAGGTTCTACCAGGGCTTGCACCTCCTTGAGACTCGGGAACGCCATAGGCTGTTTCCTCTGAAAATACGACTTGAAAATCTCCCGCAGATGCTTGATCAAACGCAGAGAATCCAGCTCACTCCACGCGGACGTGTCGAGACATAGTCCACGTCCACTTACCTCAATATGATCCATCTTGGCAAGACCAAGGGCTGCTGTGGTGCTTCCATTGTGATAATCTACCATCTCCATCTTGGCATGCCCGAGCAATCCTCGCACCACCGCAGTCGGAAACCTCTCGAGAAGGGCTACGAATGCAAACACGTTCCTTCGGTCCGTGGCGTTGCCGCCTTTGTTCTTTTTGCAGCTCCAAAGGACGTTCTTTACGCTCTCCTGGCTGACAGTCGCGCCATGCTCGGCGAGCAAGTCCAAGAGGGTGGAGCCAAGAGACATCTTGTTATAATTTCGTCGACCTTGAGCCGCTGTTTCATCTTCTTCGGAGGTGTTCTTGTACCAAAAACTGTTGTCCGCTCGCTGCTCCTGCATCAGCAGCAGGTCGAGGCAAGTTGCACCCTTGGAATCCTTCAGATCCACGACGGCTGGATCGAGTGTGAGTAGGAGCTCGACCAGCGGCAGCCACTTCATATTCGGCGTTGTGCAGGCCAAATGGATCAGGCTGCGCCCGTCACTATCCACTGACTTCAGCGCTCTCTGTTTCAGTAGCGCTTGTTTCTTGTGAAAATCCCACCCGAAAGTAGTTTCATGCTCTGTTCCAGTAGCAGACAATAATTGCAATTCCTCGATCTTCGGAATCACAGAAAATTTTTCGACACCAGGGCCCACAGCAAGACCATGACCAGCAGGTCTAGGAGAACTAGTTGTAGAAGCATCCATCATCTTCTGCTGCCTACTCCCAGAGCACGGTGACGAGGTGAGCTTTTGACTCTGCCTTGAGACGAGCTCGTTGACGCTGAGCCGGATCTCGTGCACCAACTGCTCCACCATGTATTTGAGCACCGCGAACTGGCCTTTGAGCCAAGCAACCATCAACGGGGAGCACTTCCAGGCGTTTTGCGCCGAGGCTAGGGATGGGTCCAGGGCGATCAGGTACTCGACGATATCCAAGTATCCGTATCCGCAGGCGTAGTGTAAGATGTTGTTGCCCGACGAGTCAGCAAGGTGCAGTGGATTTTGCTTGGGAGCCTTGTACTTCAGCCCCTTGCCCGGAACGGCAGAGAGCGAGTCGAGAAAGGCCCGGCTTGCGTTCTTGTTTGCGGTCTGCTGCTGGTGCGCTTCTCCTTGGCGCCTCAACGCTGAGGCAGGCCCAGGAGATGCGACTTCACCCACGCCGTTGCCTGCATCGGCATCAAGTTTCTTTTTCGCAGCAAGAATTAGTTCGCCTTTACTATTTGTGAGCGACGAAGAGGAGCCGTTGCTAGCAGCTGCAGCTGGGCTAATGCCCTGATCGGCGACAAGATCGTCTTCCATCCCCACCTGCTTCGGTGTGCTTGCGGTCGTAAAACCAACCACGGGCACGAGCTCGTTCGAGTCCTCGATCAACATCTTCAGAATCTCCAGCCTTCCGTTCTTGGCTGCGTAGTGCAACGCGGTCTTCTTTTGTTTGTCGCCCACATTCAGTTTCAGCTGGAACTTTTTATTTACGACCAGCGGAGGACCGTGGCCAAAACTCGGTAACCCTTTGTTCGCCTTGAGCAGAATTTGGACACACTCCTTTGCGTTGTTGCGCACGGCCAAAGCCAACGGCGTCATGTGTTCGCGGTCCTTGATATTCACGTCGCATACGCCAGATTCCACCAGCACTAGGAGACACTTCGCCTGGTTGTAAGCGCAGGCCCAATGCGCGGCCGTGCGACCCCAGTGCTCAAGCTTTCCAGCACGCTTCGCCAAGCGCAACTTCTGCTTGGGAATATCTTGTTTGAAGTTAACCGCCTTCTCAAGGAGTTTTGTAGATGGTAAACCGCTCCTCCGAACTTGACCGCTGCTCGCGGGGGCAGCGAGCGTAGGAAACGACGACTTGGCCACACTGTTCGCCGGCTCAACACTTTCGACTTTCATCTCCTCGGCCGCTGTCATTTCCACATCTCCCTCGTGGTCCTTGGAGGACAACTCGCCCTTCGAGGGCGACGAAGGTGCCGGCGATACTGCCTCTTGCTTTTGCTGATCTGCTCCGACCGGCGCGGCCCCCACTGGTACAGGCGGCTTGCGCGCCCCAACCAAATACTCCAGCATGCAGCGGAGGTTTGCTTCCGTGCCGATCATACAGGAGACCATCAGCGCATTCATTCCCCAGTCGTCCTTCTCCAGATACAAAAACTCCGGAATCTCTGCTGGCGTTTTGCTTCCAAGATTCGCGCAAACGATTTCCTCAACGATTTCGTGCGTGAATCTGTTGGCCACCGCGTAGTGAAGTGCGGTGCGTCCGTCCTGGTCTGCCTCTTCGCTGACCAACTTTCCTAGGCCGCCAGAGCTCTGCAGGCGATTGCCTTCGTGCACCAGCTGGTCGAAGATTTTCTTCTCATTGATCAGCGCGCAGTGGAAGGCTGGCAGCTGAAAATTCTCACTGTCCGACTTCTTAATCCACCGGCCGCTGATGCGCTCCTGGTTCAGAGCTTTCAAGCGCTCGCGCTCCTTTGCTTCTGCCGCAGCAGCAGCCCTCTCTTCAGGCGTGGCAGGATCGGCGGCTTCGCTGTTGTTCGCAAGGTTTTCGTTTCCAGAGCAGTTATCGTTCTGAGTGTTCATTGCCTTTTTAGCTGCACCGGAGGAGAAGCCAGTCGCTGTTGCCTTTTCGTATTTTTTCCCATTTATCTTCGCGGACGATGGGTCTTCGAACGTCTCCCGATTTTCCACTGCGGGCAGCGTCCCAGTGTGCGTCAGCGCGTCTACGTGCAGAACGGAGAATCCGTACCCGCGGTTCTGGTACGCGCGGGCGACCAGCCACTGCGCCAGATCTCGATGGCCCCAGACCACCGCCTCTCGGCACAGTTTGAAAAATTCCCCGTCCACCATGCCACGGCGATTCGGCACTGCCTTTTCCATCCGCGAGGACATGCTTTGCAGAAACTCTATGCTGGCATTTTGCTGCACCGCATACTTCGCCATCCTCTCAATCGACCCACGGTTCTCTTCGAACCGCGTGCCCGAGTAGAGAGGCAAATCCTGCAAAAAAGCCTGGTTCCCCTCACGCCCACCGCGCGACAGGCCCACCTGCGCGATCGTAGCGCCATAGGCGAGGTCAGACACGCTTCCTGTGTGCGTTTTTTTCAGGGTGGGTTTTGCTGGCAGTGGCAGCTTTCTAGAATCATTTCGCGCCTCCTCAATCTCGCAGCATAAAGCACAAAAAAGTGGCATGTCGCATTGCTGGATGGCGCGATGGAAGAGTGTGAAAGCTGAGTCCACGCCGTGCGTGCGAAACACGCAACTCCCTGTTAGGCCGCGTCCTTGAGCCAGAAGGCGCTGAGACGTGATTTCATGTTGTCCCGCAGTAGTTGCTGAAAGGACGCCTGGTGCACCTTTCTTCAATTCCTCTGTTCCCCCTGCTGGCGCGAACTCTCGTTCCTTCGTGGTAGCAGCCGTCTCCCGCATGGCCTCGATACTCGTCTTCCCTCCATGGGTTGTGCCCGTGCTGGTCTCGTGAGGGAGGACCCGCTCTCTTAAAAGTGTCTCCGTCGATGAGTGCCACAGGATGGCGTACCCGTCAAAAAAGTTGGGCTCCGGGTCAAGGCCGACCAAATGCCGCTTGTTGGAAGCACGAATCGTGCCCGCGGACATATTGCTTGAAGAAAAGACTCCTGACATTCTCAAATCTGTCGCATAGACTATTGTCGGCGTGTGCTTTTGTATTTTGGGCTTCGACGCTTTAAGGCCTTTGCCCTCCTTTGCCTTCATGGCGGCTTTTGGCTTCATGGCTGCAGCACTCTTCCTAACCCCCTTTCCCGTGGCCCCTTTCAGGCTTGTGCCGCTTTTGCTTTTCTTGTTCCTCTTCAGCACAGCCAGCTTTTTTTGCATTACCCTAGTCTTCGCAGCCAGGTGGGCCGCGGCATCCTCCCCGCCGCTTTCTTCCGCCTCGTCACTGTCTCCGCCCTCCCCACCGTCTTCCTGCTCAGCATCGTTTTCCTGCTCAGCATCGTTTTCCTGCTTATCCGGGTCGCCACCATCTGCAGCAACATCGCCCATTCCTTCTGCATCGAACTCTTCCTCATCGCTAGACGGGATCACCTTCGAGGACGCCGGTTTTTTCCTGCTCATCTTCATCTTGGTTGCTGTCTTTTTCTAGTACAGCCACCCAATGGCAGCTTTTTCAAATAGGAAAGAAACTTACGCAACACGCTGTAAAACTACGGTACAAAATCTCGTGTAGGCAGATGCCGTTCTTATTTTTACTCAGACAAAGAATGAATTTCACAGCTTCGCTATTCAGTGTGTTTTAAATTCATTGGTCATTATCGCTCAAAAGAAGCCAAGTGTGAGATCAGAATGAATACTTTTTGTGCATTTTTCTATGGTGGCAATTGTACCTAATCGAACCAAAACTGAAGGTGGCGCCACTGTTTAGATCGAGGAAGAGCACCTTGCGCAAGTAGACAGAGGCCAGGCTATACCCAGCAGGGGTGCTAGTCGAAGCTTATCACGCACTCGCTCAGATACTACACACACGCATAGCACTCCTATGACAGATATCAAAGCACCAAGACAGAAGTCGCGGCATCTCACGTCTATACCCCATAACAAACTTTCGTGTCTCTCCCCTCACATCGAGTTAGAGAGGTCAGTGACAAATCGGTGCGCCTCGCAACAGAACATCCTTGCCAGCTCGTCACTTTGTATCACCACAGAGTGCAACTGCTGGTCGCCTCGCTCTCTCACCACAGACTATGGCTGTTTCATAAAATAAAGCTGTTGTTCTCGAGGATGTCTCTTAGAACTCGCGAACTCAAACTTTTAACGGCAGGGTCTCTCTGAAATGTAATCCCGGAACACGATCCACAATTTAGGCGACTACGTGTCATGATGTCGCGTTTTATTTCCCAGAAGCTGTTGCGTTGCAGCAATCTAAATATCATCAGTAGCTGTTGCGTTGCAGTAATTTATAAGAAGTATGCGCAATGAGCCAGAACAAAAAGGAATCCGTGTTATTCATACGAGCTGATTGCTAGTACTCAATATGCAATGCACCTTGTAGCCCGAGCAGCTGATGTCTGTTTGTTAGTACACAACAAAGCCACAACAAGGCACGTTAGCACTCTGCAAAAGAGCCTTGCTAGATTGTTATAGTACTCAATATGCAAAAATGCGCCTTAGGTAGCTTGTTAGTACAAATCTGCAACGTGTACTGCCGTGAGGTGGACTTTCATGCATGTAGAGCCTAACCTCAGACTCAGAAAGGACAAAGATTCCTGTGTGCCTCTATTATCAGCATGCGATAGGATATCTACTGAGTTTCCCCATATTCCATAACTAACATTGATTGCACTAGGTAGCGCACAGCAGGCGCATGAAGGCCCGCCTTTATTCGCAAGTTATAACTACAAGGCATAATAAGGTCGCTCTGCATCTAAACATCCGCGTACATGTTCTATCTCTTTGGCGTTTCAAGTTCTTTCTTACACTGGGAGTCTCTTTCTTCTGTTTGTGGTTGCAACAAAAAAACTGAGAAAAGTCGCGCTAAATATCACTCGATTTAAGCTGATCACCTGAGTAAGCTTCTTAATCACTAAACGACCTGTTGATATTTTTGCAGCTACTAGCTAGAGATACTTCACGAAAAATAGATGCTTGCTCTAGTAGCTAAACTAGTAGTCATTTAGGCAATACGCAATATTCTGCTGTAGTTACTTTTTTGGGATGCGCTTGCACTGTAGGCAAGAGGTGCGCAGTATTCTGCTTTAGTTATTTTTTTGGGCTGCACCTTAGGCAAATAAGTACTATTCTGCTTTTGTTGCTCTTTTGTGTTGCACTGTAGGCAAATAAGTAGTAGTGTTTTGCTTTAGTTCTATCTTGGGTTGCACTTTAGGCAAATAGATAATGTTCTGCTTTAATTCTTTTTTGGGTTGCACTGTAGGCAATCGGTATGCTGCTTTAGTTATGTCTTTTGTAGTAAGTAAGCGGCGCGTCAGCCTTTGTAGCTTGGTGTTGTCGAAGAAAGCCGAAAATGACCTAAGAGACTCGACCACGATTAAGTTCGGCTAAGATTATCGATGGAAAGATGCAAAAACTTGTTAGGGGAAAGACGTGAAAGGAAGTCCGAGAATTCGTACTTCCTGTTCCTTATCTTTTCTCTGTTGATGGTGATGATGATAATGATGGTGATGATGATGATGGTGATGATGATGATAATGATGGTGATGATGATGGTGATTATGGTGATGATGATGATGATGATGATGATGGTGACGGTGGTGGTGGTGATGATGGCGATGATAGTGATGATGATGGTGATCAAAATGGTGGCAATTGAAACTACCTAATCGCAGCGAAAGTGGCGTCGCTGTTCAGATCAAGAAAGAGCGGCTTGCACAAGACAGAGACAAGAGTAAGCTCTCTACGTGTCTCTCCCCTCACGTCGAGATGACAGAGAGATCATTTACAGCTCTAGTGTATGTGCCTCGCAACAGATCTTCTTTGCCCATCTTCTTGGTCTTCTCTCACAACTACAGATTCTCTTTGCTAGTGGTATGGTTCTCTTACAACAGATTATGACTGCTAGTCGTATTGTTCTCTTACAACAGAATATGACTGCTAGTCGTATTGTTCTCTCACAACCACAGATCATCCTTGGTCATGGTCGTGAGTTGCCCTCGTCAGTACTCACAACAGATTATTCTCATGTTTAGTCAATGTAATTTTGTGTCACAACAGCCTGGAGCTGCTAGTAGTCTTCTCATGTCTTTACAGTAGATAATTGCAAACTCACAGATAATCGACAATCTGTGAGATGTCTCATTCTCGGGTTTCTTGATGACCGAGCATCTTTCTTGGGTCTATTCTGCTCTCTTCTCGATACCTTGGCTTCATTCGACGTCTCGCGATGTACTACCGGATCATAGTAGTCGAAAAAAGAACTCTTCCAAGAAACACAAAGAAATGATGGAAGAGAAGATGTCCTGCGTCTCTTGTGGTCAAATATAGTAGTAGTAGTAAAAAACCCATTCCAGGGGTACGTCATGCATGAGTTTGGGTTGGGGTTAGTCGTCAAGTTTCTTACACAGAGGGAAGTGGGGGTGGGTCGCGCCTTTTTTACACATACGAAGATCGTCTCAGAATACATGGGTCGCTGAGGGGGATGGGTTTCTTTCAGATTCAGATCAACAACTTCTGTCAAGTAAAAGTTTTCAACCTTAGATACTAGTCAAGAAATCTATATTTACATTCATACACGACATGAATCAAGGTTAATCCGAGTCCTACTCGAATCAAGGGCATGACCTCTTCTGTCAGTTTTTTCCTTCGTGAACAAGTAAAAGGGATACGATAGGAATTGCTTTGCCCTTCGCAGGGAAAGCCTGTAGCCTCTATCATCGTTACTCCTATAAGCAGAACTCACTTTGCCCTAGTCTAGAAACGGCGGCGCGCGTTTCCAATAGAGAGAACTCACTATGCCCTAGAACGGCTTTGCGCGTACAACGATCTGGCAATCTAGCAGAACCGACTGTTTTACATTTTCACCCTCACCACTAAGATCAAGCAACGAAGTAGTCAATCGATCATTCAAGTGGCCTTTCCCTGGACTTCTTCTGATTCCGAATGCGAAAGATGGCTCCCTCCTACTAGAAGACATTACTGCCAACTGGTGCTGCGATTCTATACTCCATCATTATGAAGAATGTAAGATACGATTTCTGAGTATGAATAAGGAGACGTAAGAACAACATTTACACTGTGACTGGAACTGTTCTTTTTGAATGCTATAATGGGAGTCTTGAATGCCTACTTGATTATTACAAATATTTGATGTGTATTAGTGGTGATTGACTTGGCGGGTCGTTAGGTTAGGTCGTGTACTACAGATAAAGCAGATAACAAACGACTACGACGAAAATTTTGATGAGAGATTTGGAGAACCTTCAACATCTCTAATTTACAACTAATAGCATAAAAAAATTTCAAATTTCCGAAGTAGTCGGGGTAACTTCTCCCATTATATTTATAGAGAAGAACGCGCCGTCTCAAACTAAGTACTAGTGCGAAGAATGATCTGGTGAGGTTGTGCTGTGGTCGAGGGAAAGCTAAAAAACATTATACTGCGAACGGTAACGTAGCGTGAGCTAGCGTACACGACAAGGGTAAAAAAACACTACTCCGAAGTTCTTGTCATCACATGGTTGTGGGGGTAAAGGGACTCATGATAGACATTGTTACTGTACTAAGTCTTCCGCACTACATGTAGCGCACTCAAACTAATACTTATTGAGGTGGAAAGTTAAAGTCCTCTTTTGGGCGTCCTCGACGAGAAGCCGCTCGTTTCACGAAGATCTTCTCAAGTTTCAGAGGAATTGATAAGAATGGATCATCGGAACCCAGACGAAAGCGTCGTATCCGTGATCGAGAAGACCAGCTGCCTTTGATTCAGTCCTGCCTTTTCTCGTACTGATTTTCCCAAGCGTAATCGTCGTCATGTTGGTGTTGTGGTGGTCCCAAATATCAGTAGCAGACAGCTTGCAGCTTTCCTCGGGGTTCAAGCGTTCAGCAAGTTTCTCTCTTAAGCTCTCTCTCCGCTTCAAACATAGTCAAGGTTCGGCGTGATTCCGTAGTAGGCGGCAAGTTCATTCGGCGTGAAGTTCGGATCTTAGAAAGGGCGACACAAGAAAAGGCAGAAAAACCTGTTTAGACAACAACAACAAAAACCACACTGTTTTAGTATAGTCAAAATTGCTCTTCAGTAAGCTAAGGTTTTCTAACAAGAGACAGATGAAGTGAAGTCATGACGGGCCAACAAATCGATGAAAGGGGAACAACCATTAGTGCTTTGTTTATTTTGGGTATAAAGAGTGAACCTGTAAAGTAATAAGTATCGCCATAAGTATCGTTGTACTTGGAAAATCGTTTCAAAATGCCTTTCTGTGGTTCCGCAGAAGCTGCTTTCGCCAAAATCTCCTCTGCTGTGAGACCAATGACACTTCGGCTTTTGCGAGAGGAGGACATCTTGGATTAGAATTTTTTGAATCAGTGGAAATCGGGAGGATGCTAATCGTCCACCTCCGTACTAATAGAACGGGTGGAGCCAAGCTAACTAGGAAGAAAGAAAAGGTAAGGATAGGTAAAAGATGCCTCCACCTCCGTACTACTAGAAGTAAAAAGATACTAAAATCTATTAACGTACTGTTCCTTGTACGTTAATAGATTTTAGTATCTTTTTACTTCTATTAGTACGGAGGTGGAGGATTAGCTTCCTCGTTGTTTTATGTATTTGCCCCTTTCTCGCTGTGCCTTAAGATGACCGTTTTCGCGAGCCGCATGCTTTGCCTTTATCAAAGGACGCTGACGCCGAAGACTCTTCAGTAGAGCCATCCATGTGATCCAAGCTGGTGGTATTGTCGTAGGAACTCACTTCTTCTTCGTCCTCGTAGATGGATTGACTAGTTAATCCTGGTCCACGATCTTCTTCGTTGAGGGGTTTTCTACTATATGATGAGGATGTTGCAGAGGGTACTTGAGCAAAAGGCGAGCATGGATTTGACAGAGATGCCTCCTCGACAAAATTCGCACACGCAGCTGAACTCCGCACCTCTCTTGTTTAGAGGGACCAACAACCCATCTTTTGGACCACCTCTTAGCTCATTTCACGTAGGAACTGGCTAAAACGTGGCGTAAGAGATGGGTTATCCTTAAGTTGTCGTGTTAGGCATTTTTCCGTACCCAGTACTTCCATTCGCAGATACCGAGACAGAAGATGTACTAACCGTTGTCTGCACTGTTGTAGTTACCGTCGTCATCTGCACAGTAACCCCAGGTAAGCTCGTCTCTTCCGAAGTACTTGGAGCCACGGTACTATCCGAGTCTGGCGAGGGGTCCTTGTGATTCATTATAGAGAGTGAAATAGAACGTAAAACAGGACAGAGTAGGTTCAAGTTGTTGTAAAATTGAGCAAGATGCATGGTTCATGCATGCTGTGATGACAAAAATGAGGAGGAGAAGCGGTGTGCTGCTTTAGAAGGAATTCAGCGGTTGTGCTAAAATCAAGCTGTCCATGAGGAATCTGACGAACACGGGTACTGTAGTTCTTGGAAAAGAACAACAAGTACATGTACGAGAATAAAGAAGATCTAGGTGAAATTATACTTTGATGACTTTCTGAGCAGCTCCACTATTCCGTTTCTTTGGGCCAGAGGCGTCGTGGATTGCGAAGTTAGCACCCCTTGCATACACTGGCAATGCCGAATCTTCGTCGGTGCTCGCCTCATCGTCGGAGTCACTTTCTGGGACTAGCATCCTTTTGATTAGAAATGCTCGACCAAGAAGCTGGGTTCTCCTGATACTTTCTTCCTCTACTCAATTTCTAGTACTGCCTTGTGGTCTCAGAAATAAATTTGTGACCTTTTACTGAAAAAATAAACCTTCTATAAATATTTTTCGAAACAGCTACTTCTAATACGTTCTTGTCAAAATTCAATTTGTTTCGAACTAAAATAAAAAGTGCTTAACTTCTTTCCACCTGCTGGCGTTTTTAAGGGTAGCACCCTCCTCGTTTTCATGACATCTGTGGGAGACTCCACCCCTTCATCTTCTTCTTTGGCATTGCCGTCTTCTACAACTGATGCTGCTGGCCTGGAATTCGAACTATTGTCTTCATCCTCCTCCAGCTGCTCGTCATTTGCTTTAGAAATGTAGTAATATGGATTCAAGAATAGATACGTATAGAACTGTGGTCGTGGAAGAGAGGTGCGCGTGGTCGTGGGATCCTGCACACGACAAGTACTACAGACTACAAGAACTAGTACCTATTCAACTACTACAAATTCATTCAATCTGCATTTCAATTCAATCTACTTTGAAAGAAGATTATTGCTACATCAACAAATCGCATTTATAGCACTGTGCCCTCCTCATAACATTCGTCTCTTCGCGTGTCCCAGTCGAATCTTCCTCATCTGTATCCTCTAAAACATGGTATTCCTTGGAATGGACTTCGGCACTAAAGCTTATCGTCGACGACCGGCCGCAACCTCTGGAACCACGCGATGAGGAATCATTAGAGACATAATTGTCGAAAAAGACGAGACTGTATGAGACGACTGAGTAGAGTGAATGTAGAGGTAGAGCTCCTCTGGGGTGAAATCTAGTAATACTAACCATTTCACTACTAACAGAGATCATCATCCACCTACTCTACACAATAAATCCCAATACTGGAAGATTCATTACAGAGCACACAAAGAAATAAATGCTAAGTGCAAAAGCATTTCATTCTCATCCAAACAAACAGAGCTACTACCTACCATCGAAATTGGAATTGCAAACAGGCTCCATAACCTTTGGAGATGTTCGTACTTCACCGCCAAGGCCATCTATAGGGCTGTTTGATCCACATCTGCTGTTGGTCACTACATTCGCACCCTCATCCCCAGATTCTTCCTCCGCGGAGCTAAGATTAGAAGAGGATAGCAACAGATCTATCCCCAGGTTGAGACAAAACTCGATTGTGTTTTTTTTCTTCCCGAAGTTATATCTGCTTTGAAGCCATAATCAATGCGAGTGGATCTCTTTCTGCTTCGGCACGCTGTCTGGCAGCAGTCGCTTCTGCCTCTCGTTTCTGGTCGCTGTCCGCTGCGGTGCCACCACAGCATAGTGCGAAAAATCGCAACATTCTTATTTAATATTACGTCGTCCACCCGTGAGGCCAACTTCTTTTAGGAGAAAGGGCATCGAAAAGTGATTCTCCTTTCTTGAGGGTCTACTTGCATCATTGATCATTTGAAAATGAGTTTTTTTAATATGCTAGAAAACTTTTTAATTGCTCTTGCAGTAGTGCCTTCTTCTACATCTTGTGCGATTCAGTCGATCAAATACAAATTACTGGTCTTGCAGTAGCGTTTCAAAAATTACAAACCAAAAACGGAAAAGCGTGCATGTCTGCTCACAAAGAAAAAATTGGTAATATTGCGCATTTCAAGCTGCAGTCTCACAAGTTTTGCCTAATTTGAATCCCTTTGTGGAGGCCCTCTTCGTAGTTTCTATTTCATCTATTCTTTTTCCTACAACATCACAGACAAATTTTCGGGCAAGGGGAAAACCAATGGCCATACACCTGGTGGCAATAAGGGAGCAGGTCGAGAGGGAAACGTTGGGTGAGGTTACCTAGTTAAATGTATTAGGTTAACTAAAAATGTACAAAGCCTAGCATCGTCTGTAGAACAAAAAACTGCCACACCGCCACGACGCCTTAGTGCAACGCCACCGATTTCATAACTCGTCTTCACTTCTTAAAATGCCTGCTCACGTTTAGAACAAAAATCTGCGTCACTTTTCATCGAAGACACCACTCGTGTTCAATTGTTCTATTGCCATATCTCATGAGGTCCATCGTTTTCGGGAAAACCAGCCATTATGTTTTGAGTGTTTGGCGAGCGACATTGCGATGATAAAAACTTGCTTTAAAATTGGAGACGACACACATGCAATACTCTCTCGTTGGACTCTCAACTTTGTTGATTTTTGGAAGTTGGAAAGCCTGCCTTTGAGAGATGATAACAAGCTTGTTGAAACTGTCTCGTCATCGTTCTTTTCTGTTGTGTGGAGAGAAGACGTGTCCGCAGTTCCCCCAGTAACACATCTTGAGAGAGTTTTTGATTGCGTTATTTTCCATTACTACTGTTTCATCCCAAAACTCACGATACAACCAGATTTTATGTTGCCCTTGTGCATGTGAATCTAATATTCGGCAATGTGGTCGTCTTTTATATGCTGAGGACAGACTTTAACCGAAGATGCACCGACTTCTCCTACATGTAATTCAAATGCTCAAGACAGACTTTCACCGATACAAAAGAGGGTGCAGACACCTGACCATTCTTTCAGTTACGATAGGAACACAGAAAGCGAAAGGAATAAGGAAAGCTTGTTCGGAAAATAGCACTATCATAACAAGAAGGCAAGCATAGTGACTGATCAATTATACCTTTTGTACAGCCCATAGAGGTGTAAGTCAGTCTCTGAGATTCTTTACGGTATGTTGCAAAGAAAGTCAGTACATTGACGGAGCCGCAGATAGACAAGCAGCTATAATGTTGATAACAATACGTTGTTCTTCACATTAGTAATAATACGTTGTTCTTCTTCTTCTTGTTCTTGGCATGATTGGTATTTTCAATACGTTGCTGGTATAATTCGATGCGTTGTTGATGGATCAACATAGTCTTGATTTAGCGTAAAAATATGATGTTTAATCCGTATCCAAATGAGAGGTATGCGTAGTCGTGCCTCTATATCTGCTACAGGTCGTCTGCTTGCAGTCCAAATACAATGAGGTAGACCGTGGAAGACCAAAGGACTTAATATCTTCTCAAAACGAACAAAATCTATCAGAGCCTAGAACTCAGAACTTGCACAGTAGAATATGCTGTTGTCGGAGTACGAGTGTAGCAAGCTATACAAGAGGAGGCGTCATTTTTTTATTTTTGTTTCTATCTTCTTCTCAGTCCAAATACAAATATTTTCTACATAGTTGTGAAAATCCGATGGATAATATTCGTTTCGTAGTCTTCAGATGGTGGGTTCAGGTTGTATTGCTTCATAGTACAAATACAATACAAATGTTGAAAGAGAATGAGAAAGTAGCTAGTCCCGTGTATAAGAAGTGCCTCGTCCTCTGTCTTCATCCTTTAAATAGTGATCGTCTGTCTGACAGAAAAAATTTACCTGTAGTAACTACCCCTTCATTCGGTTTCTTAGAAATATGAAGGAACGAGGTACTATGATCGATTGTGTCTCGGGGTGTACTTGACGTGCTATGATTGTCTCTCGGTAGTTCTACAACTGGTGGACTTGACTAGAACTGGTGTGCTTGACGTCTATGCAGGTGGTCTGCAATGTGGAAGTCTTCTAGACTCTAGCTAACACTATGCTCCGGTAGCTCTACTCCTCTGGGCAATGCGCTAAGATAGTGTAGAGCCGCCAATGACGACTCACCCTATCAATCAGCTCCCCACTTTGATTTAGAGCTTAGACCTTAATTCATCTTGCGGGCCATCTTTGCCGCTCTTCCCAATTCAAGTAGTAGTAGTAGTAGTACTTTGCCCATTCGGGGGGTAAGTTCAGCAAGAGGAAGGGGGAAAAGGGTTTTTTCTCTTAGGGGTCTTTGTGAAAGTCCTTCTCAAGATGAATTATGAGCCTTAATTGATACCTCTTCCATCAGCGTTCAGGCTGACCTGGAGGGTTCAATGTTACGGACCTTACATTATTGATTACCACATCAGTCCCATCCCCCTGCTGCGTTTTCCCGTCCTCCTTCGCAGCCATCCGCTCTCCCGCATCCCTCACTAGCTTCGCCATTTCCGCTTGCACCGGATCTGCTTTTGCGGCCTGAACAATGGTTTAGATTTTAATGGTAAGGAATGTAGTTAATATGAGTATGAATATTATCATGTTGGTGGAAATAAATAAATCTACTGTAGATATAAAAACGTTTTGTGGCTCCTATTCATGATGTCAGGTCCCACTGTGCGTCTAATCTACTACGTTTCTGTACGCATAAATCGTACACCATAATAAATTCACGAAAAATCTAAATATCGAAGAGCTACACCAGTCTCAAAAATATGAATCCTACCGCCTGATTTGCTTGCAGCAAGTGTGAGTGTGCGTGTCCCGCCGTAGGCTTCTGCTCAGATGCTGCCGAGTCAGACTCTCCCTCTGCTTCGGCTTCCGCTGCCGCCTCCTGCTCTTCTTCATACGCTTTTTAGCGCTCACCCTAATCCATCTTCAAGTCCATCCTGAGACGGTTTCCCCCTTGAAAACGTCTCTACGATGCTTCCGAAGATGGATTAGGGGAAGCCATAAGCTCTGGCCTTCGCCTCTGCCTCGCGCTTTTCCTTTTCACGCTCGTCCGCCTTGGCCTCGTTGGCCTCGTCGTCATTCGCCTCGTCTGGTTCTGTCTTCGACGTGAGCTTATCCTTCTGAATAGTGATATATCATGAAGACCATAAACATAAAACTACATGGAAACATAGAACATGAAAAAAGGTTTTGTGCCTACTGGGTTCCAATCGGTCTTACTAAGCTCTCTAGGATCATTTTTTAGTACACATATACCATACTAGTAGACCACTCACAAGTATTATCATCATTAGAAGAGGCAGAGTCCACTCACAAGTAGCAGGTCAGAACAATCCCAAATAAATTTACAAATATTAATCGTAATCCTACCATAGACCTCGCGAGGCTGCCTGCGAAGCTGCGTGCGCGACTTGCGCGACTGCGTGCGCCCTTCGTCAGTTTCGACTCCTTCTTGCTCTTGTCCCCTGCCATATTCTTGTTCCCTGGTTTCTGCTTGACCTTCTTGGCATCTGGTTTTCTTGATTCAGTGGACGTTCCTGTCTTAGTGGACCTTCCTTTCTCAGTGGACGTTCCTGTCTTAGTGGACGTTCCTTTCTTAGTGGACGTTCCTGTCTTAGTGGACGTTCCTGTCTTAGTGGACGTTCCTGTCTTAGTGGACGTTCCTTTCTTAGTGGACGTTCCTTTCTTAGTGGACGTTCCTTTTTTATAGGGCCCCATCCTGTCCTCCACCTTCTTGGCCAAGAACTCACGAGCATCTGTCCCGTAGAGACTCGAGAACGCCGTAGTCAAAAGAACGGACCGCCTGCGCCGCGTCCGGCAGCATGCCAAGATTAGAGACCAGAGATCAGATCCATCTACCCATCTACACATATTGCAATTACATCTATGCATCTACGGAAATATTACGTCTCTGCCGCTTGCATAGCTTTTCATTCGCTAATACAGACTAAGTTGTTGTATGCTTCATACGTCTTATTTATCCTGTCAGACAGATGTAGATGCTTTTTGGTGGGAAACGTGTTGCTTGGAAATAAAATCCGACATCACAATTAGAAATTTCACCCCAATTCTTAATGATAGAGCCTGCTTTCCTTCCCACTGCCTGTCTATTTGCCGGTGCCTACCTATTTGCTGCTCCCTGCCTGCTGTAGAGGAATGGGAGCCTCTGTTCTGCCGACATATATTGTTGTTGGTTATCAACATCGGTTGTCAGTGACCATGGTGGTTGTGAAGTCCAAATGTCAAAAGTGTCATGGTTACTCTAAGAGGACTTCATACCATAAGTGCCTTCTCTTTCTACTTCCCCTCTGCATAGTTGTACCCTGTACCTAGCAGCATTCGTGATCAGGCGTTTTGGGCGATCGTGAAGTCTATTCACTCGTTACGCGGCTGAGTAGAATAATGATCAAAGAACTGTTCTATTATAGTTATTCTTATAGTAGAGGAGAGGAATTCATTTGTCAAAGAGGGGTCAATGCAGTTGGGGGAGAGGTGAATGCGGCTTTGACAGGAGATTACCGGCTTCGACTACTGAAGAATCAGGTAGCTACCATGCTGGACAGACGAGACCGCAGGTCTGATCGACACTCACATAGATCAAGATCTTTCCGTAAAATTACAACTAAACAGGTCAAAGATTTTAACCGATGCAGCGTCTACACAGAGGGTTCAAACGCGAGAACGAGACTATGCATTGATGACAAAGATTGTCAGCACACCGACATCAATTAAGAACACCTAGGAGAACAGCACTCTTTTCTTCAAGAAAGCGATCCACGATGGAAAAGAAAATGGGAAGAGACAATTTTGAAAAACGCAGGAGACGCTTATGCTTGCACTTTGCGTGACCGTTGCTCCCCTGACAAACTGAGCAACAGAGGGAGCAGGAGTCTGTTAGCTAGTGAGTCTTCCTCGAAAAAAAAAAGACTTCCATAATGCATCCAGGCGTGCGAGTCTTCTCCAGTTGTTGAGGTTGTGAGAGTAACTTTTATACACAAAAAGAAATATCGGCCTGCAAGCGGTTCTGAACCTCACTGCTAGTATCGATTCCAGTTATATTTTCATACACAAAAAACCTTTGTAAGGAATCTTTTCGAATTTCAAATATGGAGTCTGCAAAAAATCAGTCCTAATTTCATGCTAAAAAACGCGGCTTCTGCTTCACCACTTCCAATTAACCTTGAATAAGGGCATCGCCCACGACCTCGTCGGTTCTTGTGGCTGTGTGAGCAACGTTAGATCCATTGTTCCGTGGTCGGGCTGTGATAAAAATGGATAAAAAGCTGGTACCTAGAACATGATAAGCAGCATTTTCCTTTTAATTAATTTGTAGAGTCTTTTCAATCTGATCTCCTATCTCCAAGAAGTAGAAAAAGGTAGTAGAATGAGTCTATAGTTCTACTCTACACATATTAGACCTAAGAGGTCGAATTCAGTACCTCGTCTTTCCTCCAACCACATGCTTCTTCGCTTCTGGCTTCTTTTCCGCCAAATCCAGATAGGACGTTGGAATATCGGACACGGCGAGGCCGGAAACTTAGAGATATAACTTCTAACACTACCAACTTGATGATGCTTTGAATCTACTCGGTAAGACGCCTAAAATTTCCCTAACAATTTCTACCCTTAAACCCAACTCTACATCGTTCTACACGTCGAGTTGCCAAATAAATCATACATTCTCGACAAGGTTCCATCCTTCCTTGATTTTGATTCTTCCAATAGGACTTATGAGCAAATGAGTTAAGAATTGAGGTTAAGTTCTTCGAATGTGGATGCGGGCCGAAAGAAGCATATCCGTAAATGCGCATGCAATATAACACAACAATTCTTTTTTGCCATAAGTACAAGACGAGAAGTCAGGCACGCAGTATTTTTGGGTGCAAGCGGTGCAAGACGGCGTCTGTCCATTCATACATGGCATCATACAATGGTTGCGTGTACACTCGCCAAGGGTACCAAAACAAGTAGCACAATCCGAGGAGTAGTTTTCTATGAAAGGGGGTCGTCGTGGTCGGTGGGGAGTGCCATTGAGATTGATGGGACTGAGTCATGAAGTTAGGGAATATTAGGGGATACAAGAAATGGCTGGATCCTCAGATGGGAATCTAATCCTAATGAAAAGAAGCATATAATCGTATAGGGCGCCGCGTATTGATCCTTTGTTACTAGTAAAAATCATAATCTCAGTTTTTTCCACGCAGTCAGCAACGCAGTCGCCAGCACCCCAACATTTTTTTCCACACGTTGTCATGTATGCCGACATTAGCGGAACCATATGCAGTTAACAAAGAAGAGTCGCCCAAAGAGGCTACTAGCATAAATCATGAAGGAAATCTTTACTATCTTGTTAATATCGGTTCGAACTTTTGTTAGCCCAGCTTCTACAGTAAGTCGTCCTTTCGTCTGATCTTCAGAGCTGTATGCTAAAAATAGGACGTAAAATAATCAAGTTCTAGTCTTCACATTAGCACACTCGATCAACTCCAGTATTGAGACTATAATCAATCTTCACCTACAACATGACCCTTAGCTTGAAGTCTGACTTTCCTGTGCCGTTGCTCCAAATATCCAAGTCAGCGGCTGAACAGCTAGAAGCTTTTGCATGACCCGCACCAACGTACTTCCCAAGCTTTTGCATGAAACCTGCCATGTACTTGTACGCAGCTCGTTGATCGAAGGTCTCCTGCGCCGTTGCAACAGCCACGCAAAGGCTGGAAAAACGGACAAGCATCTTCATCCTTTTGACGTGTTAGCTAGTTAGGGTTTGATTGAGAGGACACTTATCTTTAGGGATTTCAAATTCAATAGCGGAGAAAGAAAAAGCGAGTTTAAACTTATATATAAGTAGTAAGAAGGTGAGCCTAGGACTTTTTAAGATCAGTATTTCCATGGAGTGAAATGGTAGTGAGGACTTCCATCAAGTCGCTGAGGCGGCGAGCGGCAAACTTCGTGGATTGGTAGCTTCTAAGTGTCAGTATGTGGTTGTGGGTTGTTTTGAGAAAAAGAAGTCATAAAAGAACTTGAAGAAGCGACTATACTAGACCTAGTTACAGATGCGAAAAACGAGACGACGAAGGCAATATAACGATGACAGTGTAAGTAAGAAGATCTCATAGTAAAAGTAAGTAAGAGGGATAGATTACTCAAATTAGTTAGTGTATGCGCGCTTGTAGAACCACACTGCTGCCGCCAAAGGTCTCATCAAGAGGAAGGAACGAAAGATGAGTGCTCGCACGTTTAGAAGTAAGGCTAGCGCCCATGGCTCTGGGGTTCATGCTCACCCATGGGTACATCCTCTAAACGCCGTGTGGAATAGATAACTAAAGCCTTAAGATTTTAACTATATCTTCGAGTTTATTCCGCTGCCCACGCCTACCTTTGCTCGTATCGGCTTGCGTTTCCTCTTTAACCCTTTTGGGCATCTAATAATATGTAACTTATAAGTAATTTTGACTTCTACAACTTTTTCGAAGAGATACTCACACCTCATAAATATGTGTGTCTCTATGATGCTACCTCTACATCTCTCGTTTGCTCTCATCTGCTCTCTTCTGGTCTCTCTGCTCAACCCGCGCTGCTTTTCCCTGAAACTCTTTACTTAACAATATGCACAGCTGCCTAAGAACAGAGGATGAGAGTTGACTATAGTTCTTCTTCTTTTTACTTAATAATATGTAACTTATGGGTAATTTTGACTTCTACAACTTTTTCGAAAACTCTCTAACTCTCATCCTCCGTTCTTCGCAAAAATCCCGTGTCCTCGCGTAAACTGAGTGTGCCTAACAAAAATTACAGTTGCGTAGAAATATGAGTTTTAGTAGCGTGAATCCACGGAAGAGAAACCATTCTCTTGCCACAGAAGAAAAGCTATCCTTTTCAGCGAATTCGTCTCTGTGCTTTTGAAATTGATATTTTTCAGCGTCCCCAGCACAGCACATATTCAACAGTATAATCCTCAAGCACCTCTATGTTCCTCTATGTTCCTCGAGTCTGGCCCTCTTCAGCTCTAAGCCATCTGAGAAGTCCTTCTGGCGCCTTTTTCTTTCTGCTCTTTTTTCTGCAGCTAAATCCTCGCTAGCTCCGTTAGGCGCCATCAATTCCTTCTCGAGCCGATTGTTAGAGTGAGAAAACTATTTTCAAGTACCTTTGCGACAGAGGAAGTGAGTGCTATACCCTTTGCTTCTATTTTCATATCGGATGGAACTAGGAGGCTTAAGAATCTACGTCTACCAACATCTATGGGATGATAAACATCAATATCCCACTTCAAGTTCATTCATCTTTCTTGCGCAACAAGAAGAATTCAACGTCGAAGCCATAAGATTTTCGTAGACTACTTCGATTTCATCTTCTTTTGCCTGCTGCATGGCTAAACCAAGGTCCTTTCCAATTCCGGATTTTGCCTTTGCGATGTCTTTTCGACTTAGGTTTTCGGCTTCTTTTAGTGCTTCCAACAATTCAGCTCTTCAGCTCATCTTCTCAGATATATTCAAATTATAGTCATTCAAATTACAAGAACGGAGACAAATTTAATACTCTGTGAAGAAGATGATGAATTAACATGAGCCATAATTCTTTCGCTTCCAAAAGATCCTTCGACAGTCCACTGGTGCCTGAATTCGCATGTGAATCCCAAAGAACAAACGAGTCCACCGGTAAAATACGCTTTTGCTGTTCACACGACAAAAGCCATGAGACGTCGATGATTCTTACGCGAGAGTTTGCACGCAATTCTGGCCAGGGATTAGATGCCGTGGAGGTCGTTGTCATCTCGTTGACGATGGTAAGTATTGAAAGATGATGGTAAATATGTTTCTTACTGCTCAGCGGATTTTCACCATTACTTCATCTACTAGGGAATAAAGCACAAAGACGAACTTATAATCTTAGTCATTCACCTGTCTTAAACAAGTCCCTCAAGAATTCCGGATCATCGTCTGCTACTCCGATGTATGTAACCGTTCTCATCGTCCTGGCGGTTGTCTCTGAATCGTCCACAATCGACGCTTCCAACTCGTGCATGAGGAAGGAGATTAAGTCAATGTTCTTCTTCTGTTCGAATTCGAGCACTGCACAAGGTGACACTTTGAAGGCACGCCCACGAAAAATCTTGCTGCCATTAGAATGCGCAAGGGAGGGACGGAGGGAGGGACGAAGGGAGGGAGAGAAAAAAGAAGAGAGAGGGCGGAAAAGTGAAGAGATGAGGAAGAGAGACAAAGAGGTAAAAAGAGAGCAAAGTAATATTTCCTGTTCCTTTTCGGCAGTTGTACAACATCAGTACTCTCGTTCACACTTGTTTTCACAATATTAATTAGGGCAGTTCAAAACTAAAAGGTTCATGGCCTTAATCTGTGACTTCAACATGGACAGATTCGGCACCTGTCGCTCAGGCGATTCTGATCGCGGACGATTACTGCCCGTCCACAGCCGAACCTTATTCTCGGTCACAACTCGCAACTCCATCGCATCTGCTGCATAAGCAGTTAGCCAAGACATATCATTGAAAGTGTCAGTTGACGAAAGAGCTTCGAGCTCCTGGTCTAACGCTTCTACACTGCGGAGAGGAGGTTCTCGATCAGAAGGATGAGATGTTGAACTAGTTGTAGTTGTACTACTGGCATTTTGCGGCTGCTGCTGCTGTTGTTGATGTTGCTCTCCTGCTCGTAGTTGAGGTTCCTGACGATTCTTCTTCTTCTTGCAGACTAGTGCTTCCGGCAATGGGTGGAACATGCGATATCTTTCGAAGTCGAGGTATTTAGCAGCAAGATACACGTCGCAGAGCCAGGCGTAACTCACGATCGGCAGCCCTCTTTGGAGTCCCTCAAACGCCTTTTGGGCTATTGCTTCTTGGGCTGTCGATGCTCCACGCCCATTCGGGTTCACAATCAGAGGCCTCAGCTCTTCTGCCGTTGGAGGATGTTTATGTGCTTGCTCATCATGAGCACCACCAGACTGTTTCAATATCGATGGGTTTGCCATATTGAATGCGGCTCCGGCAACGCGTCCTAGGACAGCTTGCGTAGGAGGCAAGTTCTTGCCTGAGTGCAGTCCGCCGCCTCCCTGCGTCATCGCAGTGGACCCAAACTGAGTTCCCTGAGTGCCTATTCCTTGTGTGCCTAAAAAACTAGAAGAAGCAGCTGCAGCTATTTGGCTATCCGTAGCGTAGCTATTAGAATCAACTACTCCGCATTTTTATCCATCTTCTTTTAGAACATCTTTTGGAATGAGCTCCATATCTTTCTACTAACTTGAACATCTAAAGAACCAAAAGATGAATTTTTCCAACTTACTTGTTATAAGGATGGGATAATTTCATGAACCAACCCGTAATACTAGCAGCTGCCGCTTGGTCAAAGAGTAGTTGTGTGGAACCATTAGGATTATTCATTTGACCTTCTATGTACCGCTCCCCCAGTGCATACCCAAGTTCCATCTTTCTTTTCCGTTCCTCGACCCTCGGTTTCAGTACCGATTTCAGGAAAGTTCCGTTGTTCCGCGTATTGGTGCTCAATGCGAGCTCGCTGCTTTCAATAAAACGTTTCTCGTCCCGGAAGGACTCCGCTAGGAACTGCGGGATGCGCATACGAGTATTGCGACATCGTTCATACAACATCCGACCGCCTACTACGTGCGTAATTTCTTTCCAGTTGTCACTACACTGTGCACCCATTATTTGGGCCATCTGCTTTAGCTGTCTCAAATCCGGGTCGCGTCCTCCGAAATCCATACTTTGGTCGTAAAACCCAAGAAAACAGCAAACCACGGGCTTCCGAGGCATAGCGGGTGGTCGACTATGTGTTGACGAAGTTTTGTTGCCACTCGAAGACGAAGACGATCCACCTACAACGGATGAGTCCACCCCAGTCGTCTGAGGCCGTCCAAGTGATGCGCTAGCACAACTAGTCGAGTTCCTAGAAGAAGTCGTCCTAGACCTGGTGTTATCCTTGCAGCCTCCGTTGAGGATCTCTCTCGGACAGTCAGTCCTGATGGGGTGCCAATGTGGGTACCATTTTTCCGGGTGCGGTAATGGCCCCAAAAGTTTCCCCGCATGTAAGCTGGCATTTACCCAGAGGAAGGACACGACTCTGTCTTTCCGAAGATGCACCTTATCCACGTTCGGTAATGCTTTTGAAGGTGCTGTGCCATTTTCGAGGACGAAGTAGGAGATTTTATCTTGCACATCGATTATTCGCTTTCCACAGGCCACCGTGGCGCAGCCTTCTCTCACCAATAACGCCGTAATATTCTTCAATCGTACCCGGTCGTGGGAGTACACAGCGACAATCTTACCTTTACATTAGAGGATAGTGTTGTAACAGAAATCCACCTTCCAGAACATCCCTGTACTCTCTTTCGTTCCGCCTAGGGGAACGTTCCACCTAGGAAAACTCGTAAAGATGAATTTCTGATAGCCGTAATTGAAAATTCCATTTTTGTTCTCATCCTCCGGTGGCACAATGAAGTTGTTTGGGTCGTCAATCTTCACTGGAGAAGCCTTTTTCTTCATCACAACAGATGTTTCTTGTTGGTGAGGTGATACTTGGGGCGGCTTTTCGACTAGCGTACTGTTGAATGCAGTAGCCCCTGTTGATCCTCCTTCTGTTCCGTTTGGCGCTAGAACTAGCATGTTCTCACCTCCTGGCGCAGCACTGTTTATCCCGGTAGAACCTGCACTACTACTACTACTACTAGAGTTGTTCATCAAGACGTTAATATTTGTGCTAGTTGTCGATGTCACTGCACCAAAGGGTTGCCTAGAGGTATTCCCCCTTGAAAGAGCTCCTCCTTCCCCTGGTAGAAGCTCTGCCACCTCATCGTCATCCGCGAAGGCAGTTCCCTTCTCTCCTCGGATCATGTCGAAGACGATATTTTCAGCGAGTTGCTCCGGCATGTAATCGCGCAAACCAAAGCAGCTTTCGATCCAGACACTGGAAACGATCTTTTTCTCCCCGAACTTTGCATGTGAAAGTCGGACAATACCAGTCGTTGCGGACAAACTTCCCATCGCAGCCTGGACAACGCTTTGCAAACCGGAATGGGCCACCGCAGCAACGACTTCTAACGACCTACGTTGTCCAAGAGGGTCGTTTCTAGTGAAGGCATTATTACTCGACGTAGCTGCAAATTGGGATGATCCCGATGCTCCTGTTCTTGTAGCACCTATAATATTGTTTCCGTTCACAAGAAAACCAGGAAGAGACGAGCCACTTCCAAGAAGATTCCTTCCATTTACATTTACTCCCCCAGAAGCAGAAACAGACCCACCTCCCGAAGCTCCCAAACAAGGATGTGCACCAATCGAAGCTCCAGCTGCCATCGGCTCAATCACAACGTGAGTAATGCATGGGTCCTCGGGATCTATAGCAGTGAGCCCACCTCCATGCCAAATCAAATACTGCATCCGCTGCTGATCTTTGACAGACGGCAGAAAATGAAGTAAAAAAACAAAACCTTCGAAATAGCGACCCCGCCAGGCAATTTGGGCACAATCCGGACCCTGTACGTGGAACTGGGCACCAACAATAGGAAGACAACGTTTGGCAGCGATACACCTCTCGAGCCAGAGAACAGTCGCGGTGCCAGCGTTCAGAGCCCTCTGTGATGTTTTGTTGAGATCATTTCGTTGCTCTTAACAAAACGCTTCGTTGCTTGGAGACATCTCCTGGAGATGGAAGAAGTGCACAGGTTTCAGGTAATTAAATTTCGTATAAAATGGATGCAATGAACAAATGATCTAGATCAATGATTAAAAATCTAGATGATCGTTCACAATCGAAATCAACAACTAATCTTCACAAGTACCGCTTGGCCGTATACTGGATTCGCTGTGTCTCGGCAGATCACTATGTCCGCTACCGCTACTTTCTCCGTCATCTCACAGCCACTCAATCGCATCTTCCCTGCGTCTATGGTGTCGTATTCGCTAAAAACCCAGAGACCTTGTAATGCTGACAGTTGGTGGTCCTCCGCATCTGGACTCGTTTCATCCGGGATCGTCCAAAACAATATGTGCGGCAATTGTCTGTCGAAGGGCTCAAAGAAATTCCGCAACCTCGCAGGTCGCTTGATAACACCACTAGAGAACTCGATAAAACGACTCCGCTTTGTTCCCAAACGCTCAAGAGACGATTTCGTCCTCATGTCGCGAGTACTGGTATTATGATCGTTACCTCCTCCATGATCACCTCCGGTCAAAACCTGGGAACTGTCAGGACTAGACGAGGCCGAGTGACTCTGATCCTCTTCATCGGAGCTCTCGTCTGAGTCAGCGGCTGAGTGACCGTCAGCATCTACTTCTATCTCGAGATGCAAGTCAGCTGCGTCCGACGATAAGACTTGGTGCCACCATACGAGTGGCATCGAACTTGTTGATGGTCCAGAAGTATGCGGTCCAGACGTATGTGTATCTGGCACATAGGAGCTGCTACTACTCGGAACCGCATACCGCTCAAACCAGGCTATTTGCGATACTAGCGATCGTTCCCTTTCTTCTGGGTCCAGCACATAGAACTCTAGAAAGTTTGCTCCTATAGGTCGACGCGCAACGGCACCTAAACTTGCCTCATACTCAGCCAGAGGATCTTCTGGTTCACCAGACCCTAGATTCTTCATCGCATTCGTCTTCGCACCACCAGGTCTTGTCGAATTAGAATCCACAAGTACAACATCCGTCTCCCCTTGAGCTGCAGCAGCTTTTGCATTACTCTGTTGCATCTTGTTTAGCTTCTGGATATGCTTGGTGGAATCGGAAGCTGGTCCAAAGTGCGCCTCCCAAAACTCGCGGTTTAAGAAATGTCTGGATGCAACTGTAATGACACGTGTCCACAGCGTCTGGATGGGAGGTTAGAGGGCTTCCCCATTCATACTTGGAAACTGTCTACCCCTTTGATCATGGGAAGACATCAAAAAGCGTCGAAAAATCAATTCAGGGCAAAAAACACATAAAAAAATTACCAATCTAATTCGAAGTAAACTTTTTCATCCAGCAACAGCCTTAATATGATCTTCGCTGCAGAAAGATGCCTCTTCTCAAGCCACACTGATAGGCACTAGACCACTTCGGATCCACCACATCTGCGATCACAATGGTACTCGCACGCCTTTCAAACGGCCGTTTCAAATGCTGTTTTCTCCTGTGTCCACGTCCATGCTCTCCTCCATGATCAGCGTTGTCGGTCGATGCTTGCTCTGCTTCGCCTTCAGCGGTGATTCGACCAGGTAGAATCCCTAAAAATTCGCTCATAGCCTGCATGCGGTCCAGCTGGACGGCATGCGTCAGTGTGCCCACTCGTATTCTTGCTTCATTGCTAAAGAGCTTGTAGAAGATACTGCACGGTCGAAATGCAGTCTCCAGAAGTCGCGCGCCGGCTTCCTTATCCCCTGTCGCTATTTGAACGTCTCTGCAACGCACAAGCAAACCGTGTGGGTTAAACCCGCCTCCTAGGTAACTTGTCTTGGAGCTACCCGTAGTTAATCCATCCCGTGAACAACGCATCCCGTTAAAATACTCGCCCCAGAAGTACTCCCTTCAACCTCAGTACAATCCCTTCAACCTCAGTACAATCCCTTCAACCTCAGTACAATCCCTTCAACCTCAGTACAATCCCTTCAACCTCAGTTCCAGTCACTGCCAGCGATCTACTTCAACGGGATTCACGTGGAGATGGAATCTTCTTTTGAGCCATAGTTGTTGGAGTCGGTAGCTTGCGCAGTAATGCACGGACGCTCTCCATCGTGGAAAGATCCTCCGCTCCTTCAGCGCCTTTTCCAGCAGGTCCGTTTTCTTTATTTCCCAAAGCAGTTGCTACACCTCCTCGTTTGGTGGGACTATTGCTGTTCATTGTAGCAACTAACTGAGCGACCAAAACGCTCTGCTCCGTGCTCGGGTCCAGATCTGCAGGTGGTAACCAAGGGCATGGTGGTACTGCGCTACGCAAAAGAGTTGGCGTGTTCAAAACTTGCGCCAGAAAGGGGAGACCAATACGTACAACTGATAGAACAGAAGATGCTGACTCACTAGAGGATGATCCTTGTTCGGCCTCCATCATTGCTTGTCCAGACACCCATTCTGGAAACTCCTCGAATTCACTCGATGCAAAATTCGAAAATACAACAAGCACCTTTGCCACGCCGACAGAACTGCCTCTTGATTCTACTGGAACTTTTTTAGCCTTCGTTGACGAGGAACTGGCATTCCCACCTTTCTTGTGGAGGGCACTTTGAGAAGTGTAATTGAGAAAAATTGAAGTGTCTTCAGCTTCGTGAACCAATTGTTCAGCCGCAAGTTGTGGCTCCACTCCCGCATTGTGAATCTGTTGGTATCCCACACGCCTGAAAAGGTGTTTGGGCAGACCGATTCGTGCTGCGAAATCAATGTCCGGATGAAAGCATATCGGTACTGGAAAGTCCCATCCCCCACCAGGGACTAAGGACGCCCGGTTGGAGGCGGCAGAAGCCGCTACTACCGCCATTTTTCTTTGGTCCGGTATAGATGGAACTACAATTTATATTGGTAATTGTGGCGGTTCACCTTACAGCTTTACTAGATAGGAAGGGTGTTGCAGCCATTGGAAGAGATGAGTGCTGCAACAAGCTATCTAGGGGAGCGATCATCGATGTGAAGCGATCTGTCGGACATAACATGGCTGTAAAATCACTTGAATGCCAGAAGTTCTTATCTTCATAGAAATGGTTTGATATCAAAGTGATCTCCTTTTTTTTTTTGGATTGGATCTCCTTGTATCTGATGTTGCGATGAGCCTCCTTGTATCTCCTGTACCTTGCCATGCTTTGCGGATATATTTACTCATAAAAACCCTTGTATGCATGATTTTTGTATAAGAGAACACTTATAAGTACTACCATGCAAACATGCAAACGAAAGCGTAGTGGAACGACAGCTGTCTGAAGCATCTGTTTCGTGATTGAGTTCTGTTTCTCCGTGAAAAGCGGCGAAATACACCTCACACGGCAGCAAGGAAGCGATGAGTTCGACGCAATACATTCGACAAACATAGCATCGCGTTTTTCAGCTGCATAGGACTCCCACCAAACTACTTGTAGTTGTAGGAAAGCATATAGAACAGACAAATCGGTAGAAGACTTAACTGGCCATTCTGGAAACTACGCAAGATCATCAAATATTACAGTACTCAAAAAGTGTCAGTCATCTGATTCAAGCAGCTGTCGTCTGAAACTCCTCATCAATGGATTCCCATAATGCTTCTACAACTCTCTATGTTTCTATTTCGCAGAACAAAAAGTTCCATAGGTAGATACAAGAACTTCTACGCAATTCATGTATCTATGTCGAAATCGAATGTCAAGTCTTAAGATATCTAGAACAATGTAGACAAAGTCATCAAAACTTTATTCAAAACTGCAACTACTAGAGAGAGTAATGCACAATACCAACTCTAGGTGCATTCACTAAATCTGCGGCAGCGTACCAAGAATAACAAGTGGCCGTGGGTGCAACAGCGGGGACCCCAAGTGGGACGGAGGGGGGTAAACAAAATTTTTTCGGGATAAGAGGCGTTCTCAGATCGGGAATCCGGTACACAAAGGGTGACATTGATACATCATCGTGATAGAAGAGCTGAAGAAACTTTCTAGATAGGCGCCAACAGAGGTTCGCGTAGCGTAGGAGAAGCTTCTTGAGTTGTGCTTGTTCCGGCATACGCGGAGGATCTAGTAGCTGACGAAGAAGCGTCCACATCTGCCGGAGTAGCCGCTTCCGTTTGTCTTTCCACGACTCGTCCTTGCGTCGTCAAGAGACTAGTCGAAGGTGCATGCACATCAGTACTACGTGCATGAGTTGTAGGAGTAGTCGTCATCATCTCCACTTGGGGGCCCCTGGTGGTGTTCGTCATCTCTACTTGTGTTGGGGCCTGCTCAACTTGTTGCACTACCGGTTGTACTGGAACTTGCTGAGCATGGTCCTGTAGTCTTGCTTCCGCCTGTTGCCGTCTGCGCCGTCTCGCAGCTGCGGCTACACGCGCCATATTTCCGCGAGGACCGTAGTTGGACGATGCTGCTTCACGGACACTTCTCGCTGCTTGCTCAGCGGCCAAAACGGCGATAAGTGATCCGAAAACGCAGCAGCCAGCTCGAGCACACCCTACCGCAGCTAGGGCATAGCGCGCGATTGCAGCTGTCCTCAGATGGTGAGCAGCTGTGAGGAGAGATTGAGAATCACACCCGCAAAAACCTGAGCTAAGACCGTCAAGCATCATCGCTTCAGTAGGCAGACGGGGTTCTAATGTAGGCATATTATGCGCATGAAGACCACTAGCATCTGGCGCAGCTCCACTAGCAGCCCCACCTTCTGCCAAAGCTGCTATCACCTCGTCAGTCGAAGGCATAGTTAGAGGTACGAAGAACCCATCTCCGAGAACATCTACTTTCAATTGCTTCAAAGTAGAAACCGTCTAAAGGAGGGCGGAAGAGATGGGTCGACTGCAACCTTAACATAGGCTCCAAAGCCGGGTCGCACCAAGCGAGGGCTAGCGCCCAGTTACAGATAGGCACGCGATGCCATAGACCGCTTCCATGCGGCAGCACGACCTGCGTGGTTCCTCCAGGGAAAGGTTAAAGGTGTAAAAAAACTCTCATCTCTATGATGTTCTTCCGATGGAACTACTCCGATCGAACTACTCTCTCTTCTCTATGCTACAGAAAAAGGTGGACCTCTTGCAAAATCAAGCCAGCGAGGAGCCTTAACAATTACCTGATGAGACAGTCCCTCCACCTCCTGAACCCACCTCGAGATGCGATCTACAGGCCTCTATAGTTGCAAAAGCTTCACCGCCAGGCAAGGCTTCACAACAGCAAATGAAGGAAACAAGGCTGCACATGAGGCCTCCGCATAACCATGTCATACTGAGGGCATAGTGTTCATCACTGCCGGGTCTCAGGCCGCACCATTAGAGCTATCCGCGGTTCATCTTTCAGCTGCATCCTTGAAAAATTTGGCAGAGTACTCCCTTGTGATACTCTCCGCCCATACGTTTCAAGCATGCAGGCAAGAGTGAATTAGCTACAGCCTTAACACCAAGCGCAGCCACATACTCGGCCATACGTGTCGACACAACAAGCGGCACTTGGACTTGGTCTAGGTCTGTTGCCCATATCACTATCGTCCTCATCAGCTCCTCGAAATTCGCTAGGGTGATACAAAAGCAAATTTTGCCCAAGCCGCCCAAAGCAGCAGCAAGTGTTGACGCACAAATGCCATTCCGGTCGACCGTTGTGTGCTGTGTGATAAGCTAAGCAGTTTGACTTTAGTTGCCGGCAGTTGGATCCACAACGGAGCCACAGTGTGGAGGAAGAAGCTTCCTGTGGGACACAGCCACGCCCACACCACCTCCAGAAATGCAAAAAGGCGTCTAACTTCTCACGCAAACTGCGTCGCATGCGGCGACGTAACTGACGATTACGCAAAGCTCTCATCCCAGCATTGTCTTCACTATTGTAGTGCTGTCGTTGCTGTAGTGTGCCAGTCCTAGCATCACCATTCTCTTCTCCATCGACTCCTGCTATGTTTCTCGTACGTCTCGTCGTACCTGATGACCTTCTTCCTCGCCCGCCTCGTCTTCTCTGGCCCTCTCCTGCACCACCAGCAGTATCACTGTCGTCAGTACTCTCCAGCTGCAGAACAAGTTCATGTAGTCGTTGGATATCTCTCCTCTGAGATCCCCTTCCATCACCTCCTCCTGTACTACCTGGACTACGGTTTTCTGCAGTGTTAGCATCTGACGTTCTTGCATCACTACCACCCTCACCACCCCAACCGCCGCTGTAGAAAACTACTATGCCGCCACTTTCTCCGACTTCGCTAGACAACTCTGCGACATCCGTAAAGCTACGCAAAATCGCGCTACTCTCCACTCTGCAGCTAGGACAACGAACTCTGAACAATGAGTCTTCATCTCTGAGCCCACTCGTTGGCGACGCATTATCTGTTGTCGATGACGTTGCTGTTGGTGGTAACGCTGCTGTTGGTGGTAGCGCTGCTGCTGGTGGTAGCGCTGCTGTCGGTGAAACCGGTGTAACCTCTCCACCAGGTGCTATACTCAGAGGCTGAGGACCATCAGAACCCAGCAAACCACGACCTCGTCCGCTTCGTCGGACGACTCTCCTTGCACGACGCAACAACCGGTCACGACGAGAGCGTGATAGCAAAGCCGGCCCAGCTTGACTTCGTAAGTACGACTCGTAGCACTCACGATGCAAGGGGTGTCGTAAACACGGAAAAAAACGGACATCTTGCTCTTCTTCTTGCTCTTCTTCTGTGGACCCCTCCTGGCCTTGCAATCGTTCTTCGCTTGCCCTATTAATGGAGGGAGAAGAACCATGATCCGTAGTAGACGGACCTCCACAACAGAAATAATGTGGTGCACTGCTAGAAGATGATGCTCCACCAGTCGAAGAAGAAGTAGCTCCTCCTTGTGCCACAGGAAATGAAGGAGGTCCTCGTGGCCTCGCAGGTCTTCCGTCTTCTCTTGCTCCTTCCCTACACTCCCGATCCAGGTCTATTGGAACCCCAGCCTCTTCATCCACATGAAGGACATCAGGCCGATCCGCGCGTACGCCAGGTATGTAGCGAAGAATCACGGGATTCAGGATGATGCTACCTGCGTATGCAATAGGCGAAACCGGCGACACAGGAACCCCCGGCGACTCTCCTCCTGGTTTTTCTTATCGGTGGTTTTTGATGATTATGGGTTTTTCACGTGTGTGTGTGTAAGGAATTCACTAGTAGTGACTAGTTATTTGCACTCGCATGTACAACAACCGTCTGTCGCAGTTACGTCGATGAAAGTCTTTTTCAAGTGTGAAGAAAAACCCCTTCAACATCCTGTCTTAACTATTACACCCGCCGAAGGACGAACTCCCTGCAGGCAGCGGTTCCAAGCATATAGCGCAAATATCGGGTTCTGGACTAGCACTGTCTTCTATGTCCAAGTCCTCGTCTACGTCGTTTTCCTCTGCACTCTCGTCAAGCAGAGGGTCATTTTGGTTCTGCTCTCCGTAGTTTCTGTTATTCCCATCATCCTGCAGACCTTCGCTCTCCCCGTCTTCAGACTCGGACGAGGATGAAGAGGAGCCAGAAGAGGAAGAAGAGGAGTCCACTACACGTGCCGCCGTTCGGGAGTCAGATGCAGAAGGTGCTGTTGCTGCTGTTGAATAACGTAAACCAACACTGGCAGCGTTCACAACTACGGTGCCGATTGCAGCCCTCTCCTGCTTGACGTCCACAGGCATAAAAGGCAAAAACGCGTTGAATAGAAGTGGCAGTAACGCCAACAATCGACGAACGAAGACCATTTAAGTTGCCGTGCAGGTAAATGCATCTAATGAATTTCACTCAAACATCATATCAAGTACAAAAAGGCATATAAAAAGCCTGCTTTTTATTAGAGATGATGGTAAAAATGATCTTGTTCTTCGTTGTAATTATCATAGACCAGACTATGCAGATTCTCAATCTCCATTTCCGAAAGGAGCAGCAGCTCACCACACATTTGTGTAGAAGGCACCGCGACGCCCATTGAAAAATTTCATTTGAAACTCTTTTCAGATATTTGAAGCAAAGGAGAGCACATTTTTTATTGAATTTCTTCAGGTCGAATGGCGTATAATTCGCTTCTGACACTTCCACCTTTGGCCGAAGTCTCCTGTTGAATCCACCAAGACGAAAATATCTTCGTGCGTTCCACACGAAACGTGCGCCCCGGTGCTGGCATTCATAGCGCGCCAGTAACTAATATTCGATATCATAGTGGCTGTAGTTGTATAATCATTCCCAACAGCTGCACCATCTTCCCCTTTCCCGCCACCAGATGAAGTAGTGGAGCTGCAATCCTTAAGAACTATATTTCCTTCCCAGTGTTGTGAGCCTGCAAACTTTTCCTGCAGAAACCTACAGAAGCCCTGAATTTCCTCCGTACCCCTTTTCGTCGCTTGCATCTTTACGATTTCAATCTCGCCGTCTTCAGTGAATAGTTGCGCGAAGCGTGCGGCCGCGGAGTCAGTCTCCTCACGAGTCTTGAGTGTTGTCATCCCGTCCATGCAAAGCATCATTTCGTTCAGATGATTTTGAACTTCGAGGAAGTCTTCCGCTGTAGTTTTCGTTTTTGTTGACGCGGCCATCTCGGAGATATTGTTCAAGAACTTCTGACACTGGCTCTAATAAGTTGCTTACTAGGTACACAGATTATGTCATAATACATGTGCATCTCTGCGCCATGAGCCAGAAATTCATCAGCTTGTGATCCTTTTCATTTGTTCTCCATTGTCATGTCTGTGCACTCGGAGAGCGGTTGGTTGGAACACAGCAAATCAGGCGCATGCCAATAATTACTAGCAGCGATATACCACTGAAGCAGAAACCGCCGAGAAGAAGAGCCGAGAGCAGGAGCCTGAATAGAAGACACCGAAGCAAATGAGAAACTCAGAGGTCGTGGTAAGAGGATTCGGGGGTTCTTAGAAGCAAGGTCTTTAGAGCGACAACTTGAGGTTTTTTCGAAGGTGAAGTAAGTGATCTCGACCTCCTGATGGCCCATCGGGTTAATCAAGATGATTCTGATTCTTCTCCAAAATATCATTTGGTACTTCACCTTCTATTTAGTCGCAGTAAGGGCCAGGTCCTGGCATTTTCTCAGCAAACAGAGAGAGGTAGAGGTTGGTGTACGTATTTGTTGGGGCACGGAATTTCATCGTTCTTTGTTTACGATCTACCGGATAACAAAGTCATTTCGTTAGCACGACGACACTTGTTGACATTCTCATGCCTTTTCTACGTTCTTCGCTAAATTATTTTCCAAATGGATAAATACAATGGTCCGAGAAATATGACTGCCACATGGAGGCAGCTCCCACATGGTCTTTTTTCATGCGGTAGTGATTTTTTCAAATAGAAATCCAGGTGGTCTTCTTCGGAGTAACTTCTCGTTTTTGCACATATCTGGATCTCTGATTAGAGGACTGCCTCGTGTAGTCTGTTTTTTATTCGTAATGTAAGAAGTTTCTAGCTTTTTCAATGATGAAGGGTGAGACAAACAATATCCTATGCTATGCCGGCGTCGTGCGCTTCGTAAGGGATCGCATGAGCATCACTATCCGTATTTCAAAGATTTTGATTTTCCATTTCATATCTTCATGACAATCACAAATAAAGTGATGCACACCTCCTCCCTTATGGTCTTTCTAACATGACGAAAACATCGATAGCAGAGTTCTTTTTGAAATCTTACGTGCGCCTACCTCCAGAACCAGATAATCAAATAACAAGCAACTACTCTCTTATTAGTACTGAGTACTTCTTTAGCCTTTATCACTAGTACTAATTCTTGAGTCTACTTTATCACTTTGTCTTAGCCTTTATCATACTCAAGTACTCTTTACATTTGTTGGCTTCGAATTCAAAATATAAAATGAGGAGAGCCACGCCACAAAGGAATCCAGAATCCAGATTCCAGACACCAGGAAGCAGGGTCTTTTCATTCCACACTAGAAAACTGGAATCAACCCTGTTCATTTAGATTTAGGTACACCAACAACAAAGATGTATTATTTTTCAGAAATCCGATGACATCTGCTAGATTCAAGTCCGCAGCTAGTTAGAGATAGTATAATGTACACGATCACAGTAATATTTCTCAAATTCTTAAATTATCGCACTGGGACATCACGAGACGACGGCCATTTCTTAGTTGGAGGATTGCATCCTTTCCCGCAATCCATCTGAAAAGCAGGGTCGAAATCATAGCAGCTACTCCTAATCTTTCTTACTAATAGTTGACTCTGAGCTGAAGCTCCAGTTCTACGCATGAGGTAAGGTGTTCCTGGCGATCCTCATTAGATAGCTAGATGTCTAGTTTGAGCTGCAGCGCCAACATTGCTGTAGGATGGGATAGGAGTGGGCTCACTTGTGAAGGAGTGAGCGTATAGGCAAGATGCGCCATCAAGTTTCTGACTGTCAAACCGAGGTATGCGCGAGCTGCACACCATGGCCGTTGTGTCCAATGCTGAGCTTTCACTTTCTTAGATTCCGTAGTGCGTTCTTAAGAGCAGCCCACAGACGTTACGCCTCTGCGTCCTGATAAAGCAGTAGCTCACCTCATTGTTCGCACACAGCACGACTTCACACAAGCGCGTCTAAGTTAAATGCTATCACTTTGAGTTTTTAGTCAGTTCTAGGGTGGAGATAAAATAAAAAAAGACGACTCGTCACCAAGGGGGAAGGCACATATAGTTTGAGGTATACTTTTAGGACACGATTTGTTTCATTGTGAGTCCTAAAGATACTGAGATAAATGGGAAACAAAGATGAAACGGGCATATAGGATATCGTATTATTAGGCTCTTAGGATATGTCACAATTAGACGGTTCTTGTGCCAGAGCCAAAAAAAAATAGTGTGGTGGAAGGCAGATGTTTAGTTGTTGCAATTACGAGCGTTTAGTATTTTCAGAGTAACAGTGAGTGCGGCTTATAGCTTACGAGCGAGACCTGAGCAAAAGCCCAAGAGGAAAAATTACAGGGAGCGGAGTGGTAGCGCGCCTACCGAATTTATTTGAGCAGCGGAAAATAATGGACGAAGTACAACATAGATACTAAGGATAGGACCACATGATCTTCTTCTTCTTCAGTCAAGTGTTCTTACTGAGGAAATTTAAATTTTACTGCTATCATCACCTTGTTCGACTAGAACTATTACTTTTTTCTAGCCCATCATTGAAAGCATGAGGCTAAATCAAGTGTTTCTCGGAACATTCGCCAAGAAGAACAGGTTAAGCCTATCCAAATCGTCACACTCAAACTACACTGCTTATCGATGTATATTTCAACAAACATCATGATGCTCTTTTTTGTAATTGAGGACACCAACTACGACTAGTACTTTTTTATCGACAGACCACTTCCACGGCCTGTGTACTAGTGGGTCCCCCCTCCCATTACAACGAACCATGAAAAAAAAATATCAATGAGCAAAAACCATGGTGGCCTGGCTGAGTTACAAATTCATCTTCGCCTTTAATCTCATAAAACACGTTTTTTTCTTTTTTCAGATTCTTACCTTTCCTCGTATTCACCCTTAATCTTTTTTTTCCATGAAATCCTTCTTCTGGTTCTGTTAGTCCCAATTACAACCATTAATTATCCCACCTCCCACCCTACTTTTATACCAGAGCAATTTATAAGGTTTCACGGCTCGCATGGCATGGAGTGCATGGATCACATGGAGTAGCATGGAGCTAAAGGGGGAGCTTCTTGCGCCCCTTAAAGCTCTGCGCTCCATGCACTCCATGCGCCATGCGTGCTATAAACTACTCTGTTATACTAGCATTGTCGATTAAACCAAACCATCCTAGACCCAATAACAAGCCCTAAGCCTAATGTCCAGAAAACGTAACACCAGACGAAACTACACCTGCCCCTGGTAGGCGCACGTGCATTGGGCTCCCCGCTTCCGAAGTTCGACTATGCGTATCGCCAGATTGGTTTTCAAAACGGCCGTATCTTAGAGCGGGTTTCCGATGAAGTACATCTGGATTGAACTGCAGAGAGATCTAAGAAACAGAGACTCGTCTGGCTTCAAAATGTTGATGCTGCAAAGACGAAACTCATTCCATTATTTATACTGCCCGTTCTACGTCAAAGTGAATGGAGCACACCTTGTTCCAAAACAGCACACCTTCTCCAAAACCATAACATCATGTAGTCATGCGCTCCGCGGCCCTTACCACGTCGCCAGCTGTTGTATCCCGATCGGTACAAGTGCACGCTAGACCAATCTGGACCATCCAGGAACATCTGCTTTCGAATTCGTTCCATTTTGACCAGTGCCTGAAAGTACTCGCCTCCCTGACCCGCGGCCTTTCCACGACGCCATCGGCGGTATTCGGGAGTTAGAAGAGAGAGAGAGACGTAGAAAGTCGGACCTTTCGTTATGTAGAAGGAAAAGATGAAACTCACCTGCTCGTCTGAAAATTTAAATATCTAGACCATTCATTTGCATCTTAACTTCAAATACGCATCCGGCACGGCTCCGTTTCCAATCAGTTCGCCCGTGAAGTCACGCATCCTCGCAACGTCATCCGCTGTAACCGATAATCGCGGAGAAGAAGCCGGACTGCCTCCGCTACCGCTACGACCTGACGGTGTAAACACTTTCGGAGTATGGGCTTGAGAAGTACTAGTTGTGTTTGCTTCTGCTCGTCGAATCGCTTCCAGCTTTCTCTCCAGACGTCTCGTTTCTCGCATTGCCTTTGCCTCAGCAGCGTCGAGACCGCTGCAGCCAGTATCAGACGTGACAATATTGGACGAAAAGTAAGCTCCTCCAATGCTTCCCTGTGCAACTGCTGGACCAGTGATAGCTTGACTCAATCCGACGTTTGAGGAACCTAGTGAACCGATCTCCCCAACGTCCTTTGCCGGAGATGATGACGACACCGCAGCTGGTTCCACTAGATTGCCAGGACTAGTGGTTGATTTGAGCATTCCTCGAGAACGCCGCAACTTGCTCTGCTCTTCCTCGCCACAGCCCGTTGAGGTGGTGAAACTAGTACCACCTTCGCTCGTAGCATGATCGTCTTCGTCGATGACCGCTGCTGTGAGTTCTTCCTGCAAAACCTCCTCCCAATCGGTCCAGACGTTCAGACGGGCTTTCTGGGCAAGATCTTCGACGGATGATGTGGCGGAGGCGGTTGTTGCTTTGCAGGCGAGGTCCTTAGAGGGGGAACATTATTCAGAAGATGAACAATTCAGCTTTACAGTGTTGAGATCACCGTCGTGGTTGTCGTACTTCTAAAACAGTGTAAGAAGTACGGACAACCAAATTACTCTTCAAGCCTTAATAACTTTATTCCCAGCAACACAGTCTTGCTGAGCACCGTTTTTGTTTTCGGCTCCTTTCGCTAGGACGCAACCGGGACTGCTCGTTTCCGTTGCCGCCAACAATGCCGGGTAGATTCCTGCTGTAGTAACAGTCGTTGTAGTTGCTCCTGCTGTAGTACCAAACTCCCGCAGTTGCCCCGCAGTTGCTCCATTCACCGTCGTGGTCGTCGCCACTCGATTATAAGGTGCATCGAATACAACGTGTGTCCACAGCGGGATTGGGAAACGGCCAGTGATGTGCGGTTTATCATCGATGAGGATGTCTCCGCGGACGGCCGTCTTATCTCGAGACAAGATCATTCGATCTAGCCAGTGCTCTCCAAGATAGGCACGAACCCATTCCCATTTTTCCTGTGCGCAGTAGCGGGAAAAAGAAACCGGACTTGTACACAGAAAAACGTCGTAGCCTTTCGTTAGCATTGCCTGTGAAGGAAGGATTGATGCGTGGTGTCAGAGAGTTCTTTTTTCATCTGAGGGTGACGGAGCTCAACCTAGAAGTAGCTGTTTCAAAAAATACGCAGTGAATTTTTATTGCAGGTCAGAGCAGCTAAAATACTTTCAAAGCCTGCACAGCCCCCTTCATCGGTGGCAAATTCCGGAAAAAGCCTTCCTCGCAATAAATCTCCTTAACCACATCTGCCCAAGACTCACAGCCTGCATCAATGCACTCTTGAGGAATCTCGCCAACAATACATCGTTCCATCTCGTAGTGCCGACTACGATCGATTTCTTGGTCTTTGATTAGAGGAGGATGGTGCATCCACATCGCCTGAAACAAAGCAAGTAGAAAGCGTAACAAATACAACTACTCGTAACTCGATATTTTTTATTTGAATCCATTCGGCGAGCTGCCTAAGATTTCCCAGACGAGTTCTACCCGCTAGTCTAGCCTGTTGTTGGATTGTTATTGGTTTCTTGCTCGTAACTCGATATATCCTTTTCCAAAAAACGCATGTCGGAATCCACGATCCCAGTCCACGACTACTCCATCCATATCCACTAAAACAACCGGCTTTGCTAATTTCAGAGCAACTCGGCGATAATTCTGAACCATCACATCGAGGCGAAAACTAGAAGCAAACCGCTTCACACCCGCACGACCCATCTTCATCCTGGTTTGATTGTTGGTAGTATGGTTGATGGAGTAGGAGCAAGAAGAAAAGAATAGAAACAAGTTCTAGTCGTTTATTAAAAGAATAGAAACAAGTTCTAGTCGTTTATTACACACATTCACTGTCATGGTCATCAATTCTATAGTATAATACCTGCTCTCATCTAGTAGTCGTGCAAGAAAACCCAAAGCACAAATCATGCACAAGTTATACCATTTTTTTTGTTGTTATACCAAAAAGTATACAAGTATTACCTCAATCCTTCATCTTCTGCCAATTTTTCCATTGCATCTGCCCATTTCTGGACACTTTCTTCGTCATCTTCATGGGGCAAAACGAAGCCTTCCACCCCATCCGTTACCATTTCCGGTATGCCAGCAATGCCTGTAGTCAGAACCGGTTTCCCTCGTGCCATTGCTTCCGCTAAGACACAAGGCGTCACTTCGTTCAAGGAACTAAGGACGACCACGTCAGCTTCAGCATAGTATTTGTCGATCTCATGTGTCACGTCAAAGAGGTGGATATTCCGACACGTCAAGGTAGCTTCGGTAAGTTTGTCGACGTACCTTGATGAGTCGTAAATTCTGGTGGAGGTGACACCCAAAAAAAGAGGTTGATGACAAAAGACGAGGTCGGTTCAGTGTTGGTGTATAATGAGAACTTTCGCTATAAAGTAATACTATCACTAGCTCAACATGACACCAGAAAGAAAAATACTGAATCTCATATTCTCGGATTCTGCGCACGCCCACTACGTTCAATTTCACATTGGTTCTCCTCTGGGAAAGTTCTTTGAAGCACTTCACCGTAAACAGCTGATTCTTCCGCGGACAGACGATGCCGAGGCACAGAAACGTCACAGTGGGTGCTTCGGCACGTTCATCTATCTGCGGTAAACTTGGTACACTCGGACTCAGCGCGGTCTCAACCACGCCTCCACCACCGCCTAAAATGGAACCGGAGGCACCAGATACCCCACTACCGACTTGTTCTCGAATCTCCGACACTCGTGGCGAATTAGCCAGACTCTCAGAGAGCAGAGGAAACTTATTCCGGACATCGTCGCTCACGTCAGGGGTGCCGTTGTAAATGACCTGGTAGCGCAGCATTTGGAGTAGGTGTATAGGATTGTAAGATTGCGAAGAGATGAACAGGAAGCAAAGCAGATGAAAAATCTATCAAAGTTTTCCAGACAGTCAACAGAGGGACCTATCGTTTTCCAAAAACTAGATCTAGAATACCTCTCCCCACTTCGGTTGATACAGATCTAGCTGCCGCTTGCACACGCACACGGTCGCTTGACACACACTCAGTGCAGCCTGAACCGTCTTCGGTGTTAAATCGGTGTTGTTCCGCTTCGCTTGGTATGAGAGAGAGAGAGAGCGAGAGAGAGGGTGAGTATGTTACGTTTCAGTAGAGGCGTTCTGATTAAGAAGAAAATGGTGCAAAGGTTCTATTAAAAACATTTAGATTTAGCACGAAACAAACCCACCTGATGTAGTTAGTTCAACATCTCAGAAATATTTAGTTTTTCTCTATTATGGAAAGTTCCATGTCGTGTAACTATTTTGAGTTCCAACATGTATAACTCTGTACTACTTTCTTGTCCATACCAACTCATCCGCGATCATGTCCTCACTCCACCACTCGTGCAAAACCCAAGCACAAGGAATCCTCCATTTCTGTTCCAGCATCAAAACCGTATGCGCTGTCATGATAGTGTTGCACACCGCGAAGCGAATGTCGCGAATGTCATTGAGGACCTCTTCGACGTTTTTGGTAATCCTTATCGCCACTCCCATCTCCTGGAACTTGGCGGCGAAGGGCCCAGGGGTTGGGGAGACGAGGAGAGGTTAGAGGGAAAACTTCATTGCGTTCCATTTCATAGGCGCGACTCCATCTCCCCAACGTCGGGCGTAGTCGACAAGAACCATAAAAAACGGCACACCAGGCAGACGAATCTGCCATGTGGAACCGAGTCGATTTGTTTTCTGAGTCGATAAACACCCAGCCACGATGTTGTGCAGTACTTGAACGTCCACTATAAACAAGCTGAATGAATCATCAATTTACAAAAATTTTCAACAGTGACTATCAATTATCAACTGAACACTATATTTCCACTATAAACAAGCTGAACATCAAATTTATCAACCATTTGTTCCTTCTTCTCTTCCCATAAACAACAGTGCCACGATACAAATTTCCAGCCACGATGTTGTACAGCACTTGATTAGCCCCAGACACCGCAAGATTCTGCGGGCACAAGAGCACGGAACCAAATTGATGCACCATCTTCCCTTGCTTGCTTCTTGTTTTGGTAGTCGGAGCTTCAGTTCTTGGTACACGAAGTGCAGTCTGCTTACTTGTCGTCACGTGTTGAAGAAAGTACGATGTTCTACTAGTTCTGATTGAGGGACTTCGCGAATTCTCCTTGTGAAAGTTCAAGAAGTGAGCTCTAACCTGCTGCTTTCACCGGTTTCTCTCGTTCTCCCCACTGGACTCCACAGCAAATTCACGTGTCTTTCCGACCGACGAGGGAAAGAAAAAAGGAAAAAGAAAGGTGACACTCTGATAGTGAAGCGAGTCGAGTGTATAGCATGCAAGCAGACGACTGTGTCGACGCCTTAGAGTGATCTTTGTCACATCTAATTTCTCTTAACAAATGTTGTGGTAATAAATAGCTAGTTATAACTAGCTGATCTTTAACACGACCCATAAAACCTAGACTTCTAAAACCGAACGGGGAAAGCCGACGGAAAGAGTTTGACTGTTGCTGTAGGGGGAAGAAATATGAATTTATCGTTATTTTTTCTGGGAATGAAGTATACAGAAACAGAAATGCTGGGAACTTATGTGTGAGAAACAAATTGGAATTTGAAAGAAACAATGTAGAAGTTTTGTGTGAAGCTATGCTTGAAGTAGGTGATGTGTTAGTTATCATATCATGAATGTTGCGTTTTGGAGAATTTTCTCGTGATTCGCTTGACAAGCCTCCCTCTTTCGCTTTCCCTCTCTCTTGTTGTTTGAGCGAGTCATCTTGTTCAGCCTCAACGTCGTGACAATTGTCATTGTCATCATCATCATCATCATCATCTTCATGATTTGCAGCATCATCCCACCTGAGACCATCACTGGGATTTTGTCTTTTGAGAAAATGAAAAGCATTTTCATCAGCATAAAACAGTCCAACGAACAGCTCCATGTGTTTTCCTCCGCGCACAGTGTTTCGTGATTCTCCAATCCTGTCTTGTTTTCGAATGTAAGAATGTAATTTTCATGCTGGAGTAAGACAGAGTAGTCAGACGAGTGTAAGAATGGTCAGCTAGAGGTGCGAGAACTAGTCAATTACTGTCAAAAATCTGCTTGTCGTGCAAGACAACTTTAGTCAGAGGGTTAAGGAATGTTGCACGCCACCTATACATATTTCCATCTTCTGCTTCATGGTACTGTTTTACGAGTACCTGCAGCAGTAGATATTTGTGTTTCTATCGAGAGTGGAGTTGTGCTGAAGGGGGGTGACCATACCAATCTATTCAGCTTCAGGGTAGTGAAAAACAGCAAAAATCTACTTCAGAGGAAATCTGTTAGCAGAGCATGGAATTGATCGTCCTTATGAATGTACACAAGCCCAGAATACATCTACGCATTAAACGGCAGCTATACAACTCTGCGCGAAGGGTTTTAATCCACCTACGTAGATAAGACGTATGTGTACTTCTAGCATAGATATGAGTGGAGGGTGAAGATGACATCATAATGCTACACTCTAAAAATGTGGGAGAAAAAACATGTACCTTGAAAATTTGCTTGTCGTCATTCAATGACAAGCGACGAATCCATGATAATCATTAACAATGGACCGAGCATTTGCACTAAATGGCATCAGCATGCAGGGAGTATGCTAATATGCGTACACATGATATGAGTCTTCGTCTGCTTTTTTTTTCATTACTAAGTAACACGATATATCTGTGCAAGGTACAGAACATGAACATGTTCAAAAATTGAACAACCTAATGATAGCAGCATTCGGCAACTGGCTATCACGATGATGAAAACTTCTAAAAGACACTAATCACGTCAAACAAAGGAACCAGGCAAGGCATTTTCTTATATCAATCAAATTTAAGCGGAAGATTAAAAATCAGGCAGACCTGCTCAAGGAAGGCCAATCAGCATTGGTGCTGAGAAAGAACTTGTCGCGCTAGGTTTTGGGGTAGGCTTCATATAAAAAATTTTACGTCTCTATGTATCTACCTCGTCCTAGTTGAGGCATGACAAAAAGCTGCTCCACTTTTTGCAGCGTAAGAGACAAAAAAGAAACAAATTCGTTTGGCTATGGAAAAAATCTTGATCTATAAGTTTCTGGACGGAAGAAGAAGCTCTTTCTAAACAAGTAGGCGAAGTATGATTTATTCATCGCAGACAAAAAATCAAGAAGTCAGAGTCGCCGCTCCAGCCACGAACTATGACAAAAAAATGGCGTTTTCAAACATCTCCAATTCTAGTTAAGCACCTCCACGAGTTCGAATAGAGCGCTATCTCCGTCGAAGTTGAAGTGGATCGGTAACCCAACGTTCAGCAATTTAGAGGCAGTTGTTTTTCACGGATGTTCCGTTGAGCGTGCTGTAACGATGGACTTTTGTTCCTTTGCCCTCAACTTATTTTTGAACAAAGCTTTTTCATAGACCTCCTCAGGAGAACTGCAATTCATAGACCTCCTGAGGAGAACTGCAACCTTGTAATCCTCCTTACTGACGCAGACCTACCAGTACCTGCTACCAAAACCTATCATAATCAACAAACTCCCTGTCAAGCAGAGTGCGCGCGAGTGTTTGTATCTCGGTCCGCCCGCTTGGGAAATGCCGTTGAAGACACCAGCCGCTAAGAGTGTTGGCACGTGCTCCCGCAGTCGGTATTGCGCCTGCGGATTCAATCCTCTCAAACGTAAACGAGAAGGAAACTGACCCACCGTGTCCCTTTGCAACACGACAGCCATCACAACAGCGCGCTGAGGAGTGGACCCTCCTTGATCCTGTTCCACGCACATCCAGGCATAGACATTGGAAACACCGTTCGCAGAGGTCAAGCCAGCAGAATGGCCATAGTCGAAACCTGGGTAGCCGAAACCAGGCAATCTGTAGAAGACACCGTGTAAAATTACTGGCGCCAGAGAATTCCGCAAGACCACCAGGTCACGTATTTCGCGGAGCTCCTCACTATTCATTTTTGTCAGGTCCAGCTCTAAGCCGAAGGTTCCAAAGAGTGCCACTATGAAGCGCGTCTTCAACAAAACCGTCCTTTGCGTTTGGTGATTCGGGCATGTCGTGATGTGCGCTCCCATACTCCGGACTGGGGCCCATAGGACATTAGACGCGGTATGTTGAGAAGATGAAGGCTTTCATCTTCTGGTAAAAAAGTAGTCCTCTGCACGATTATCATGTAGAAGATTGTACTTCAAAGTCTAATGAATAAGCCAGCTACTTGCACGTAAAAACGTTTCAATCACCACTAAAAATCCCCGACATAAAGCTCGTTCCGATCTGAATCCTCGTTCTCGAAAAGGCGTCTGTGTTGTCACTAGTCCACGTCTGCGGACAGTAGTGCAAGAGTCCAGCATCAAAGCGTCCGCCACCGCTGGCACACGACTCAAACAGCACATGAGGAAACCGCTCCGTCACTGTTGCCAGGATGCGATACAATCCCAAAACGTATCGGTGATACACCTCGCCCTGTTGTTCCGCTGGATAGGCGATCGAGAATGCATCCGTCAACGCGCGGTTCATGTCCCACTTTAGGTAGGTGATGTTAGCATCCTCTAGGACTTTTGAGACTGCTGCGATGATGTAATCCTGTACTTCTGCACGCGTCAAGTCTAGCACTAGTTGGTTGCGGCCCTCAGAGCGGATGCGGTCTGGGTGATGGAGAACCCAAGAAGGATGCTTGCGGTAGAGGACCGATGGATGTTAGAAGAAGAGCGTGTGGCAAGATCAGGCTTTGCTTCTAGATCGACTTGACTGACAATAGCATGAAGATAAAGAGGATTGTCTATCTAGTGTAGCGTCGTAACAAATTCATCGCAGAAGACGAAGACCATTTTTATGATGTAGCGTCGTAACAAATTCATCGCAGAAGGAGAAGACCAATTTCGTGTCATATCTTTGATCATGTGTCATAATTCTTATTCACCATTTCTGGCTCCATCCAGATTCCGAGTCCAAGGTCCATCTGCTTTAGATCTTCTGCTAGACCTTTGAGACCACGTGGCAGTTTCGCTGGATCCTCGGTCCAGTCTCCGAGACTACTAGCATCGTCGTTTCGCGAGCCGAACCAGCCATCATCTAGGACAAGCAGGGTTACTCCAGCTTCTTTCGCTGCTCGTCCGAGTTTCAAGATGTTTTCGTGCGTAACGTCGAAATAGAGAGGCTGTCATTTGGGAATGTTTGCGAGGCTACAAGTAGAAAGTAAGAATGGGTCACTGTAAAGGAAAGCTGAAGTGCGGCGCCCGTGTATTAGAGGCCTGACTACCCCGCTGTTAAGTGCCTGATAAGTGGCTCGCGAGGCACTTAAGGGCGCCTTCTGCTAAGTGCCTCACAAGTGCCCCGCGAGGCCCTTAAGTTCCTCGCGAGGCACTTAACAGACCCTGCCGTTACATGCCTCGTAAGTGCCTCTTAAGGGGCCCCACCGTTAAGTGCCTCGTAAGTGCCTCGCGAGGCACTTAACAGACCCTTCCGTTACATGCCTCGTAAGTGCCTCGTGAGGCACTTGAGGGGCCCCATCGTGAAGTGCGTCGTAGGTGCCTCGCGAGGCACTTAACAGACCCTGCCGTTACATGCCTCGTAAGTGCCTCTTAAGGGGCACCATCGTGAAGTGCGTCGTAAGTGCCTCGCGAGGCACTTAAGTGCCCCGCGAGGCACTTAACAGACCCTAACGCCCTGTCGTGGCCTGCCTCGCTAAGTACCTCGCGAGGCACGTAAGGGGCCCTTTCAGCAACCGTTAAGCGAAACACTCCAGAGAACCCGGTCTTATCCGTTTCCCGAAACCGTTAAGCAACCGTTAAGGGAAACACTTAAGTGGCATACCTGTGTCTTATAAAGGTTGCGCGGAACCGTTAAGAGAGTTATAACTACTTACCTATAGTCTACGAACAAACAAGAATATTACCTCCCACGTATTGATCAGCACCGGTGCTACGAGATTGCTCCACCTCTTTCGAATTAAGCGTTCCTGGAAGACGCGATGAAACATCCGTGTCAAGTCTCCTAAGCCCTTGCTGGAATAAACGCAGAGTAACTCTGGCGTTTCGAAAGCGTCGTTCTGAGATGGGGGTAGTGAATGATTATTTCTAGAAGTAGAGTGAAAGCTCCTGTGATAAGTTGTTAGCGTAAAAGAGAAACCAATAAGAAAAGTACTTTCTTATTGAAGTTCCAGGAAAAGTTTGCTGGATTGATGCCCGCGTTGATGCGGACGCAACCGGTTTCCGCACTCTCGATCTCCATGATCCAGTTGCCGCTAGGAGTTAGAGACGCCCCACAATCGTGCTGGTGAAAGAAAACTTAAACTTTCTTGTTATAAACAATAACTACATGATCCCCGTGACCAAACTGCATATTGATAGCGCTTATGAATCAAAACCACTGCCTTAAATACAGCAAGCAGAATCCGTAGCAGTCTCCGAACTCTTCCTGTGGCGGGCCTACACTGAGCACACAAAAAGGGTTTGTCTGGTGACTCGAGACGCCACGACTGGAGCCCAACTGTACTGTGCCGCCACACTCAAGTCTACGGGATTTCATCTGTCGTTCGTTGGCCCATCCACCATGCAGAGAGAGCAAGTGCCATTCGTTGGTCAAGAAGTCGAGACTGGCAGACATACATTTGATAATCTCGATGTCTGAGAAACTCAAGCGTGCTGTATTCTGAATGCGGATCCGCCTCGTCACACAGTCCAAGTCCGGAAAGACGGTGTAGATGAGCTGTGGAGGATTGAAGATTGGTTCTCATTTTGTGACATTCGTGATACCAATCGCACAACTGTTGTAGTATCAAACTACACTACTCTTTAATGAAATATAATATATCATCAACAAGACCTTTTACTTTATACTTAAAGAAGTCTATTCTCTAATACCTGCACCACCAGATCCGTGAATGTGTCGACCATGTCCACCACTAGCGTTTCCGCTCCACTCGGATCCGCACCCCCCACTAATGGCAAACCCGTGTCTGATGGCAGTATCCCCTTGATGATTCTGTGACTTCTGTAGGTCAATGGTAGCAGCCTGGATCCGTCTCTTCTGAATTTCACTTGCAAACTCGGACTTCGAAAATCGCCAGTGCCAAATTCCGAAACCTCGTACAACTTCGAACCCCTTTCTCCCTGTCGTCCATGGTGGTGCAATGGGTTGGGGGGTTCTAAGTTATGTTAGAAAGGTTGTACTATCTAAAAATGACAGTAACTTTCATTCTCCCGCAAGAATAATTGATGCTGAGATCATTACTTTTGCAGTAGTAGTAGTAGTAGTACGTGTTTTCACACCACGATGCTGTACAGTCTTAATGGAAAGGATTCGGTCCATCCTCTTCCCTTCCACCAGCCGATGTTGCACTGCCAGCTCTGAGGAACTCGATCCCTCTACCTCGAGCACTTGTTCCTTCGCCGCCTCCTCCGGGTAACATTTCGTTAACTGGCGAGAAGACTACAGGCTTCGTCGCTGCACGTTTTTGCCCATGACCAGCTGCTCTTCCATGATCCCTGGCGCGCTTCAGAAAACCTCCATTGGTATTGCTATTTCCACTCACGAGAGAACTGGATGTTGGCACTGCTCCTCCTCCTGTGGACGCCAACAAAGTACTACTACTCGTGCTATCGCCTCCGCCCCCACCTCCGTCGTCTACTGTTGCTGCTTTTGCTAGAGTTGAGAAAATCCCAGGTCCTGTCGGAGACTTGGGAGAACCACGAAGCCGTGATCTCATCGGACTCTGTGCGTCGTAGAAGCCGTGGTTGGCACTCTTGTAGTTCGATGTAGACGCTGAAGCGGAGGTGGAAGTAGATCCGGAATATTAGACTCGACTATTGGAGGAAGCGCTATAATCTCTGTTTCAAGATGAAGGACAAAACACATAAGCACCTCGGAAAATGAAGAACAAGATTTGCAGAAGAACATCAAAGAACTTATAACTAGAGGAGGACCCGTAGCTGCAACTATTTGCTGACGTCTGAAAAATGCCTGCTGCAGATGACGCTGTCGCGGGACGATAAAAGGAACTACTAGCCGCTGACTGCAAAGACAGTGGCTGAGTCCCTGCTGTGTTATTTGCGTGTCGTCCACTCAACAAATTCGCACTGCTAGCAGAAAAATTCCGCGCCTTTTTTTTGCCTCCCAAAAAAATCGACTCTTCTTGCTCGATGGGTGACACTGGTGGCGGATGCATCGCTGAGACACCCAGAACGCGCTTCTGACCGGCAGCATTCCGCAACAATGGCGGCCCTGTGCTACCAGTTGGAGGCAATATCGCGCTCTAATTAGAGGACCTTCCCGGCATCCATCTTGAAAGTCATCCTGGGCCAGTTTTCCCCTTGGACGAAGGTCCAAAATGGTTCTGAAGATGGACTTCCAGATATCTTAATCTGACTGCGATCCAGCTCCTCTGGAGTGCGACTCCCTTCCGAGAAGTTGGTGTGTTCTGAAGTTCGGCCTCCCACTCCCATAACATTGGCTGATGTTGGCATGGAAGGCGGTTGGTCATCGAAGGCAGCCGCAGGGTCGACATTGTGAAAACTGGACTGAAAAGCAGAACAGCGCTGTAGACTGGAGACTTCAAGCAGGTTCAGGATCGAAACGGAATTGATCTGCGCGTCACCGAGAAGCTTAGAGATGAAATTGTCCTCAAGATGCACCGCAATTTTCCCCAGGTATTCAATCACGCAAGAACTATTCACTGAATACACATTCAACATCTCTTAAGTAATCTCGGCTGGTCTCCGTCGCTGTATGGTGGTATTACTTGTTCATCTCCCGAGTAGTCGTCTGGGAGTGTGGAGCTATTGTTTGAGTCACTTCGGATCTGCTGGTATGATCCTGATACATGCAAGCCAGGTGCTGGAGAAGACGAGGGCTTTCTCATCGCATTACTACTAGGATCGGCCGTTGCAGTTTTGCTTCCTGGGGATCCGGACACCGCAACGGCTGATATGAAGTGGCGCAGAATAAATGCAACGGTAGGGAAAATAAATGTAGAAACCTATGCAGCTTCTCTCGTACACGTATACATGTTGCTGTTTCCTACTCGTCCATGATCCATGATCTGGTCTAAATATTAATTGCAATGAACGCAGCTGCACTCGAACGACTAGTACAAAACGAAGTCCTTAACTCCACTCCCCACATCCCCACTCTTCGTGATGCCCGTAGTGCAGTGTGGCGTCTTCCTCCACAAGTGCCGCAATCGCCAGGTGATGTTCTCAACGCGTGCAAAATGCCAATTGCCAGCACGTTCATGCGCCATCTGATTCGCCAGGGACCAGAGCTGCGAAGGGTCCACGTCTCGCGCTGCTTCTACTAGACGCAGTAACTCAGAATTCGAAAACGGATCACTCGCTGGCGCGGGCTCGAACGTCAAGTTCGGGTCGTTCTCGGATAAGTACGTCAAATCATGCCCCAAGCCGATCCAAGGTCCGAAATGCAGGTGTTCTAGTCGGCCCCACCTGTCTACATGAAACCAAAATATGTTATCATTGTCATACTTTTCTACGTAAGAAACTTGATAATGATAACAGATTTTCTTTTCATAGTCGACGCTGAAAATGTACTGCGCGGAAGTGCCGGCACGCAAAGAGAACGTCCGGAGGTGTTGGTCGAATTCGACTAGGTATTTGTTAGAAGATACAATGTTGAAGTCGTGGTAGTTTTTCTTTTGTCTTGAAGGCAATAAATCTGGTGTGGATCATGCTACGAGTGTGGGTTTTTTACGTATATTTTGAAACAAACTATAACTATGCTTTATTGTGATGATAAAAGTACTAAGTAATAAACAATCTAGGAGCCATAAGTTGTGGAGGCGCAGGTACGCTGTTCATCACATTCGGCGTTCTTTGCGGCATCGTTGAGCTACTAGAAGACGATGCTGCTGGAGTGTGCCCAGTATGCGCCGATCCTCCTAAGACTGCGTTGCTAGGTACTCCTAGAGGTGTTTCTGAGGAGTTGTTGAAAATTTGCTTGTTGCTGGAATCTCCATCACGGGATTAGAAAATGTTTACCCTAATACACAACAATGTTTCTTACACAACAACAGCTGCAATTCCCCAACTCCAACAGATCGAATAGTCGTCTTGATACAAAACAACAGCTTTCACCTATTAACAACTCTTACCAAACAGCCCGTTGTCGTAATTAGTACTCTTCCCTCGTGGCGGAGGATCGAATTTTGTCGCGCTTCCTGGGTCAGCTTCAGCGGTCATCGATAGTTCACCCCCTGCCGGTGAAAGCAACAGTGAGCTCCGTACTGAATCTCCTAAATTAGAGCTGAAAATAGTTGTTTTTTTTAAGTTAATTTTTTCAATTCATCCGAGAGAGGAAATAGAGAAAGATAGAGAGAAATAAATAACCTTAACCTCCTGAGTGAAGATGGTTTCCATTAATATTTGTGGTGGAGCCGACCTAACTAGAAAAAAGACAGACCAGAGGAAGATATAGAAGAGAAAAGGGTAACTATGATTTTTATCAATATTTATTATTATTGAATTATCATCAGCCTTAACTGAGTGTCTGCGTTGTAATATATGCACGTCAGCTGCACTTTTTTTTGAATTTGGCGACCCCGAACGCCATGAATTTGGCGACCCCATGGGCGAAGGAGTCGGCGCTCGCACCAATTTCTCATGCCGCGAAAGAGCAACTTCCAAGTGCCCTGCTCCGGAACTTCCAGTAGCACCATGCTCCTCGGATCTGATTAAAGAGAGAGAAGAGAATTTTACTCACAACATAAGTACTCAAGTAGAATTAGCAGGGCAGCAGTAGACTCATTCTCATTACTGTAAGTTATATATATAAAATCCACATGTGCACGCAGCTGCAGTACTACTTTCAGTGTCCTATGAGTAATGTTTCCCATAATTTTGCCTCGGACATGAAACCATTATCGTGAGTCCGAGAAAGCCTCCTGCCACTAGATTGCCCTCCTTCCCCAAGATTTGTGCTCTGTTGTTCTTTACTCGCGTCATCGTCGCCATCAGCACGTCCAGCGGATCCGCAATGTGCAATCTTTATGTCTGGCACGTAGTTCGGATTTGCTTGCTGTTGAGTTGCGTTGAATATTAGAAGAGCACTCACACTTACGTTAAGTTACTTATCTCCCATGTAGATCGAATTTGTTCTCGAGAAAAAAAGAAAACAGTTGTGCAAGCATGCGCTCTATTTTTCCTTGGCTCTATGAGTTCATCTTCATCACTTCTATGAGCTGTACAAGCATGTGCTCTATGCAGGTTGAGCACCTCCCTAAAATATAATGTCCTAACGCACCAGAGAGAGAGTCTTCTTCCTCGTCTTTTCCGGTAGTGCTTGGGGACCCGTAATGTTCGGGGCAACTGCCAAAACTGGAGAGGGAAAAAGTGTTCCTATCGCTCCGGAAGCCAGGTGGAGGCTGCAAGATAACGCGCCCTGCCACTTTCCGGTCCACCAAGTGCGCCATGATAGATTTTTCTGTTTGATGTTGTAAGTTGTAGGTACTTGTACTATGAGAAAAATTGTCGCTCTTATGTAATTTAGGCAGGAGGGGCGAGGAGGAAGCAGATTTGTTACGTGCAACAGTGAGACCTGACACTGGCCCCTGTTGAGGTACTGTAATATGGCAAAACTTTTACGCGGCAATGAACAGGGGAGAATGCTGTATTCAGATACTCGCGCGACGGGCAGGCACGTCGATTTGTGACGTGCGTATTTACCTTATTGTTATTGCGTGATAATGAAATAACTACGAGATCACGAAGAGCAGGGCACTGTATCTAGTTTACCGGTGTCGCATGCCTAGCATGCGCCCTGCATATCTTCACAATTTGCCCCGTTGGAAGTACCTATATGCGCAGTTTGGAAAAAGGGCGTTCGTCCTAAGAGTCACACACGTGTCACACATCATTATTCTCACCACGGCGTTCTCTTTTTTCTCACTCAGCCTCCGTTTTGCGATGCCACTCAACAAACTGACGCAGTCATTTTATTTTACCAGAAGAAGTGAGACCTCCCGAAGCCCCTCCAGGTGTTTCCACTATCGACGATTCCATTTTTGTGGCATTCCACGCAGGTTCACATGGATGGCACCACTTGTACGCGACGTCCGTTGTGTCAGGCTTCACGCCCCTTGCCGACGTACGAGGCTACCGCGCGTGGAAGAAAGGCGCGGAACTGGTAGGGCGCGCAACCATGTGTGGCACTCACCCATGCACCGACCCACCCGAAAACGAAAGCACCATCACCACGAAGCGACGCCGCCGTGCCTGAACAACGAAAAAAGCTCAGTAGTTTAGTCAGTCTAGGCAGGTCGACTAGGTCAAGGCCGTTGAGTTAGGCTAGCCGAGCCAGGCTAGTGCACTTGGGTGCATTTAGTCGGCCCGGTTTAGTCAAGTCTCGGCTTGGTTTAGTTGGGTCAGCTTAGTTTGGCTGGCTTGGTTAAGGGAGTTCCGGCGGCCTGGTTTTGGTTCACTTAGTTTTGCTGGGTTAGAGTAGTTTGGCTAGCTTATGAGACTGGCTTAGCCGCGCCAGGCACTAGCCTGGCTGGGTCAGTTAAGTCCGGCCAGTTTCGTCCGGTCCGTTTCGTTGGGACCATTTAAGTGTAGCGGGTCTAGTTTCGTTAGCTTAGTGCAGGCGTCTTAGTTTAGTCGGCTTAGCTTAGAAGGGTTGGCATCATTGGGCTCGCCTCAGTTTAGTTTAGTCCGGATAGTCCAGCTGGGTCCGACTAGTTAGGTTGGGCGGGCTTAGTTGGGTTGCCTCAGTTTGGTCAGCTTAGTCCGGTCAGCCTAGTCAGGTCACTCGGCTGGCTTAACTCGGTTCGTTTGGTTGGGTTAGTTCAGTAGGGTTGGCGCTGCTAGGTTAGTCAAGCTACGTTAGCTTAGCTAGGTCGGCCTGGTTAGGTTGTGTAGTTCGGTTAGTTCCGTGAGGCTAGTTTAGTTGCGTGGCTTTAGTTATAGCCGGGCCCGTTTCATCGTCGGATTGGTTGCGCCTCGGTTAGTTGGGTCAGCTATAGCGCAGCCGAATCAGTTAAGCCCGACGAGTTTAGTTAAGTTGGCTAAGGTGGTCTAGTTGAGGTAGCCGGGCTAGGTCAGTTTGGCGAAGTTAGTTTAGTGGAGTCAGTTCCGCGCAATCACTCCTGTTCGTTTAGATAGTGGGGCTGAGTTGGTTGAGCTGTTAGGCTAGTCCAGTTGCTGCGCTGCTTTAGTGGTTAGCTTAGTTCTAAGAGCGACCGGGTTAGGTTAGTTTCGCGATTCAGCTTAGTGGAGTTACTTCCACGCAGTTAGCTTAGAGGGTGGGGCTGAGTTGCTTGGGCTGCTAGGTGGGTCCAGTCGCTAAACTGCTTGAGTGGTTAGCTTAGTTGCAATAGCTTCGCCAAGTTAGTCTCGTTGGGTTAGTTTCGTTAGCTTAGGCTAGTCCAGTGCTGTGGTCAGTTTGGTTAAATTAGCTCGACCGAGTTAGGTTCGTCAAGTCATCTAGTCAAATTAGTGAAGCCCAGCTGAATAGGTGCAGCCAGCTGGGCCAAGTCAATGAGTTGGGGCGGGCCAGTTTAGTGGGGTTAGCTGACTGAGGTGGGCTGGGTTAGTTGCGTCGACTTGGCCGGGGTGAGTTGGTGGAGCTCGGTTAGCTTAGCTCAGTAAAGTGAGCTCAGCCCACTTAGTTTAGTGGGGTTGGCTTAGTTGAGTGAGCTCAGTCCAATGGGCTTAGCTAAGCTAGTTCAGCTCAGTGAGCTCCGACGAGTTCGCTTAGTGCTTTAGGTAAGTTGGTTGATTTAGGTTTGGCCTGCTTAGTTAAGTTCGGCCAGTTTCGTTAAGTTAGCTCAGTCGGGTTAGTTGGCTTCGGTTAGCTGAGTCCAGTTAGCTAGGCCCAGCTATTTGCGCTCAGTTAAGTCAGCCCAGTTGGTTGCTTGGCTGTGTTCGTTTGGTTAAGTTAGTTCAGCCAGGCTGGTCCTGATCTAGTTTAGTGAAGTTGCTCTGGCTGGGTCAGTTTGGTTAGGTTGGTTGAGTTTACCGAGTTGGGCCAGCTTGGTCCGGTTGGTTTAGTGGCGTGCGTTTAGTTGAATTGAGTTAGTTTAGGTAGATTAGCCCAGTTAGTTACTGTAATTAGATGCCTTTAGTTTGGTCGGCTTAGTTAAGTGGGCTCAGCTCGTCTAGTTAAATTCGTCAAGTTAGTTAATCTAGTTCGGTTCAGTTAGGTGAGTCTAGTTAAGTTAGTTAAGTCAGCGGAGTCGCGTTGGCTTAGTTCCGTTAGCTTCGTGCAGTTGTGTCCGTTCAGCTAAGTTAGCGCAGTTAGGTCAGTTCGGTTAAGCCGGTCCAGCTAAGTCAGCCCCGCTAGGTTAGTTCCGTTAAGTTAGTCCAGTTGGATCCGTTAAGTTAGTCCGGCTACGTTCATTAGTTCGGTTGGTTCAGTTCAGTCCGAAGCTCGCTGAGTTGAGTTAGCTGAGCTAGGGCAGCTGGGTTCAGTTCGCTGCGTTCAGTTAGTTGATTCGCGTCGCTCGAGTTCAGTTAGTCGGGCCAGGTTAGTTGGGTTGAGATAGTCGAGTTGGGTTAGTTGGGTGAAGTTGGTCAGGTGAGGTTGGTTGGGCTAAGTTGGCTGGGCTCAGTTCGTCGGACTGAGTTAGCTGGGCTAAGTTGGTTGGGTTCAGTTAGTCGCGTTAGGTTGGTCGGGTTAGGTTCGTTGAGTTAGGTTAGCTGAGTCAAGTTCGTGGAGTTAAGCGAGTTGCGTTAGGTTAGTTAAGTTGAGTCAGCGTCGGTCGGGTTAGGTTGGCCGAGTTGAGTTAGTTGGGGTAAGTTAGTGGGGCCAAGTCAGTCGAGTTAGGTTAGTCGGGTCGGGTTAGTTCGTTGGGCCCAGTTGCTTGGGCTGAGTTAGTTAGGCTCGGTTAGTGTAGCTCGGTTGGTTTGGTTCGGTGGGTGTGGTTAAGTCAGTCCAGTGAAATTAGGTAGGCGGGTGAAGTTAGTTCTAAGCTAGTTAAGGGAGTTTGCTTGAGTTGGTTGCGCTAGTTTGGTGGGGTTGGCTTAGTTGCGTTAGTACTGGCCGAGTTCAATTAGTTTCGTCCAGTCAGTTTGGGCCGGTCAGTTTAGTCCAGTTAGCTTAGTTCCCTCAGCTTAGTGGGGTCAGCTTCGTCCCGTCAGTTTAGCTCAGTCAGCTCAGTTGAGTCAGTTCAGTTCCGTCGGCTTCGTTCAGTCAGTTTGGCCCAGTCGGTTAAGCTCAGCCAATTTGTCGCGTCGGTTTAGTTCGGTCAGTTCAGTCCAGTCAGCTTCGTTCAGTCTGTTCAGTTCAGTCAGGCTAGTTCGGCCAGCTTAGTCCAGTCAGCTTGGCTCAGTCAGTTTAGATCAGCCAGCTTAGTCCAGTGAGCTTAGCTCAGTCAGCTTAGTCCAGTCAGTTCAGCCCAGTCGCTTTGCGCGTAGTTCTTTGCGCGTAGTTCAGTCAGTTTCGTTCAGTCAGTTTGTCCAATCAGTTTGGTCCAGTCAGTTTGGTCCAGTCAGTTCAGTTCAGTCAGTTTAGCTCCGTCAGTTTAGTTCAGTCGGCTTAGTTCAGTCGGTTTCCTTCTGCCAGTTTCGTTCAGTCAGTTTAGTCCCGTCGGTTTAGTTCCGTCAGCTTCGTTCAGTCAGTTTAGTCCAGTCAGTTTAGTTCAGTCAGTTTAGTTCAGTCAGTTGAGTTCAGTCCGCTTAGTTCAGTCAGGTCAGTCGAGTCAGGTTAGTTGAGTCAGGTTAGTTGAGTCAGGTTAGTTGAGTCAGGTTAGCTGAGTCAGGTTAGTTGGGTCAGGTTAGTCCGCTCAGCTTCGCCAGGCAGTTTCGTTCAGTCAGTTTAGTTCGGTCAGTTTAGTCCAGTCAGTTTAGTCCAGTCATTTTAGTCCAGTCAGCTTAGCCCAGTCAGTTTAGTCCAGTCAGTTTAGTCCAGTCAGTTTAGTGCAGTCAGTTTAGTCCAGTCAGCTTAGTCCAGTCAGTTTAGCCCAGTCAGTTTAGTCCAGTCAGTTTGGTCCAGTCAGTTCATTTCGGTGCTCCGTCAGTTTAGTTCGGTCAGTTTAGTCCAGTCAGCTTAGCTCAGTCAGTTCAGTCAGCTTAGTCCAGTCAGCTAAGCTCAGTCAGTTTAGCCCTGAACGCTTAGAAGAGTCCCGCCAGTCTAGTGCAGTCAGCTTAGTCAGGCCACGCAGTGTTGTAGTTTAGTGGTCTCTCGGTGTTGTCTCTCAAGAAACCGGCTACAAGGTCAGTCCGGTGCATTCGTAGCAGCGGGCAGGAGAACAGAAAACGGGCCGGGTATTTTGTAACTGTAAAAAGTTACTAACGCAGGCTCTTTAGCTAAGCTAGTGCAGGCTTGACCGAAGTCGTTCAGGTTCGTGCTTGTTTCACTGTCGGGCTGTTTTGGTCTTGAGGGGGAAGGCGTGAAAGTCATGCGAGTAAAAGTAGGCCAGTACTTTATACCAGTAACACAATAGAAGCCAGGAAGTTCATCGAGATGCATCAGCTCACTTTTTCACGATTTTAAACAGCACCAAGAACAAGAAAAAGCAAAGGAATCCAATACCTTT